GGCCGAAAATTTAGGGTAAAAACAGTCAAAATTCGGTTTTATTTACATGTATTTCCTCCCTTCAAAATGGATGATATTTGCTTAGATCTGCCGAAATGTGGGTGTCTGAATATTGATTCATGCTCCACTCGTCTCCAGAGGAATTTCTGGTTGTTTTGAGAAAAGTCATTTTTTGGCCAAATTTGGTTAAAAATGTAAGGCTAACCCCTTGTTTTTTTTGTCAATTTTGGCCAAAAAATGACATTCCTTGAAACTTCAGGAAAGATGCCTAATGTAGCCCTGAACACATTCCAATTCGATTTGGGAACAGATGTGCCAATACAAAGAAAATTTGGCCGAAAATTTGGGGCAAAAACAGTCAAAATTCGGTTTTATTTACATGTATTTCCTCCCCCAAAAATGGATGATATTTGCCCAGATCTGCCAAAATGTGGGTGTTTGAATATTGATTCATGCTCCACTCGTCTCCAGAGGTTTTTCTGCGTTGTTTGGAGAAAATTCAATTTTTGGCCAAATTTGATAAAAAATGTAAGGCTAACCCCTTGTTTTTTTTGTCAATTTTGGCCAAAAAATGACATTCCTTGAAACTTGGAGGAAAGATGCCTAATGTAGCCCTGAACACATTCCAATCCGATTTGGGAACAGATGTGCCTTTGAAAAGAAAATTTGGCCGAAAATTTAGGGTAAAAACAGTCAAAATTCGGTTTTATTTACATGTATTTCCTCCCTTCAAAATGGATGATATTTGCTTAGATCTGCCGAAATGTGGGTGTCTGAATATTGATTCATGCTCCACTCGTCTCCAGAGGAATTTCTGCGTTGTTTTGAGAAAAGTCATTTTTTGGCAAATTTTGATGAAAAATGTAAGGCTAACCCCCTGTTTTTTTTTTCAATTTTGGCCAAAAAATGAAATTCCTTGAAACTTGCAGGAAAGATGCCTAAGATAACCCTGAACACATTCCAATTCGATTTGGGAACAGATGTGCCAATACAAAGAAAATTTGGCCGAAAATTTGGGGCAAAAACAGTCAAAATTCGGTTTTATTTACATGTATTTCCTCCCCCAAAAATGGATGATATTTGCCCAGATCTGCCAAAATGTGGGTGTTTGAATATTGATTCATGCTCCACTCGTCTCCAGAGGTTTTTCTGCGTTGTTTGGAGAAAATTCAATTTTTGGCCAAATTTGGTTAAAAATGTAAGGCTAACCCCTTGTTTTTTTTGTCAATTTTGGCCAAAAAATGACATTCCTTGAAACTTGCAGGAAAGATGCCTAATGTAGCCCTGAACACATTCCAATCCGATTTGGGAACAGATGTGCCTTTGAAAAGAAAATTTGGCCGAAAATTTAGGGTAAAAACAGTCAAAATTCGGTTTTATTTACATGTATTTCCTCCCTTCAAAATGGATGATATTTGCTTAGATCTGCCGAAATGTGGGTGTCTGAATATTGATTCATGCTCCACTCGTCTCCAGAGGAATTTCTGCGTTGTTTTGAGAAAAGTCATTTTTTGGCCAATTTTGATGAAAAATGTAAGGCTAACCCCCTGTTTTTTTTTCAATTTTGGCCAAAAAATGAAATTCCTTGAAACTTGCAGGAAAGATGCCTAAGATAATCCTGAACACATTCCAATTCGATTTGGGAACAGATGTGCCAATACAAAGAAAATTTGGCCGAAAATTTGGGGCAAAAACAGTCAAAATTCGGTTTTATTTACATGTATTTCCTCCCCCAAAAATGGATGATATTTGCCCAGATCTGCCAAAATGTGGGTGTTTGAATATTGATTCATGCTCCACTCGTCTCCAGAGGTTTTTCTGCGTTGTTTGGAGAAAATTCAATTTTTGGCCATATTTGGTTAAAAATGTAAGGCTAACCCCTTGTTTTTTTTGTCAATTTTGGCCAAAAAATGACATTCCTTGAAACTTGCAGGAAAGATGCCTAATGTAGCCCTGAACACATTCCAATCCGATTTGGGAACAGATGTGCCTTTGAAAAGAAAATTTGGCCGAAAATTTAGGGTAAAAACAGTCAAAATTCGGTTTTATTTACATGTATTTCCTCCCTTCAAAATGGATGATATTTGCTTAGATCTGCCGAAATGTGGGTGTCTGAATATTGATTCATGCTCCACTCGTCTGCAGAGGAATTTCTGCGTTGTTTTGAGAAAAGTCATTTTTTGGCCAATTTTGATGAAAAATGTAAGGCTAACCCCTTGTTTTTTTTTCAATTTTGGCCAAAAAATGAAATTCCTTGAAACTTGCAGGAAAGATGCCTAAGATAACTCTGAACACATTCCAATTCGATTTGGGAACAGATGTGCCAATACAAAGAAAATTTGGCCGAAAATTTGGGGTAAAAACAGTCAAAATTCGGTTTTATTTACATGTATTTCCTCCCCCAAAAATGGATGATATTTGCCCAGATCTGCCAAAATGTGGGTGTTTGAATATTGATTCATGCTCCACTCGTCTCCAGAGGTTTTTCTGCGTTGTTTGGAGAAAATTCAATTTTTGGCCAAATTTGGTTAAAAATGTAAGGCTAACCCCTTGTTTTTTTTGTCAATTTTGGCCAAAAAATGACATTCCTTGAAACTTGCAGGAAAGATGCCTAATGTAGCCCTGAACACATTCCAATCCGATTTGGGAACAGATGTGCCTTTGAAAAGAAAATTTGGCCGAAAATTTAGGGTAAAAACAGTCAAAATTCGGTTTTATTTACATGTATTTCCTCCCTTCAAAATGGATGATATTTGCCAGATCTGCCGAAATGTGGGTGTCTGAATATTGATTCATGCTCCACTCGTCTCCAGAGGTTTTTCTGCGTTGTTTTGAGAAAAGTCATTTTTTGGCCAATTTTGATGAAAAATGTAAGGCTAACCCCTTGTTTTTTTTTCAATTTTGGCCAAAAAATGAAATCCTTGAAACTTGCAGGAAAGATGCCTAAGATAACCCTGAACACATTCCAATTCGATTTGGGAACAGATGTGCCAATACAACGAAAATTTGGCCGAAAATTTGGGGTAAAAACAGTCAAAATTCGGTTTTATTTACATGTATTTCCTCCCCAAAAATGGATGATATTTGCCCAGATCTGCCAAAATGTGGGTGTTTGAATATTGATTCATGCTCCACTCGTCTCCAGAGGTTTTTCTGCGTTGTTTGGAGAAAATTCAAGTTTTGGCCAAATTTGGTTAAAAATGTAAGGCTAACCCCTTGTTTTTTTTGTCAATTTTGGCCAAAAAATGACAATCCTTGAAACTTGCAGTAAAGATGCCTAAGATAACCCTGAACATATTCTAATTCGATTCGGGGACAGATGTGCCTTTGAAAAGAAAATGTGGCCGAAAATTTGGGGTAAAAACAGTCAAAATTCTGTTTTATTTTGATGTATTTCCTCCCCAAAAATGTAAGATTTTTGCTTAGATCTGCCAAAATGTGGGTGTTTGAATATTGATTCATGCTCCACCCGTCACCTTAGGTATTTCTGCGTGTTTGGAGAAAATTCAATTTTTGGCCAAATTTGGTTAAAAATGCAAGGCTAACCCCTTGGTTTTTTTTTTCAATTTTGTTTTTCTTTACATGTATTTCCTCCCCCTAAAATAGATGATTTTTGCCAGATCTGCGAAAAATGTTGTTTGGAGAATAGTCAATTTTTGGCCAAATTTGGTTAAAGGCTTTGAATTATCAAATTTAAATTAAACAAGTAGGGTTAACGCCTTTTCGTTTCATCAATTTTGATGAAATTTAGACATTTTAAATTATCACATGTTAATTTTTGATCAAAAATCAGGAAATAAGATTTTTCTTCAAAAACAGGAAACGATTAATTTAAGTTCCTAGGCCCACTAAAGAAAAATATATCACAAAATAATAGTGACAAAAAAACGGGGATTTCTGGAGAAAGGCAAACACTCTCATATTTAACTTCATATGCAAGGTTAATCCCTTACAATTTTATTGATTTTTTTTAAATGATCAAACTTAATGGAAATATGGTGCTATTATTTAACAGCTCATTTGACATTTATAACAAAAATTTGAGGTTTCAAATCACAGGAGCATCTTCAGGGTGAGTAAAAAAAAAAAAAAACCAAATGTCAGGGCTATAGCTTTAGTGAATCTGCATGTAGCACTTTCAAAATCTAGGATATGAAAGCCCAATTCATAAGCTTTCTTTTAGTACAAGAATCATTCAAATCACTCATACTTTTCAAGTTACGGAATTTTAAACACAAACACCGTTTTAAGTTCCGTCCACAGATCACAACAAAAAGGTGTGCGTTCTTTCAGCAAAACGAAAACAATTCACACACACTATGTGATTTGTTTTCGTTTTGCTGAGAGAACACTTACCTTTTTGTGATCCGTGGACAGAACTTTAATAAAGTGGTGTGTTTAAAATTCCCTAACTTGAAAATTTACTTTTTTGCTCACCCTTTAGTTGGACGGAACTTCTTTTTGTCCTGTTATCAAACACTTTATGTGTCCAAACACAAAATATATTTACATTTATGGTATAAAACTGAAATAAACGTAAGGACTTCTATTTATAAATGGACGGAAACTCCAGAAATTTTTAAAATCTAGATAATACAACTTACAAAAATGAATACATACACCCAGAGTTTTTCAAAATTATTTTCAATATTCAATTAACTCTAGAAGTTTCTTTGAGGTTATGAGAAACATTTTGTAGGCACAATTTAAGTAAGTAAGTAAGTAAAGTCTGTCACAAGCCAATGTGGACAATCAGGCCGGCGTTTATTGCCAGTTTCAGTGGCATGTTACGACTGAGAATATTTCTATTCCCCCTGGACGGGATGCTAGTCCATCGCAGGTTACTCCCAGCTAATGCCGGTACCCATTTATACTCCTGGGTGGAGAGAGGCAAGTGGGGGTGAAGTGGCTGACCCAAGGGCACAACATATGACCAGCAGCTGGCTTCGAACCCCCGACCGTCTGATCAGGAGTCACGAATCCTAACCACTAGGCCACACTCCCCCCCCCCCCCCCCCCCCCCAGTGTAACGCATGTGTAACAGTATCTTAAAATCAGGCACACTTTGGAAATACATCAAAAATTGAGTTCTGGAAGAAAAAAAATTGTGGTGAATTTTTAGTGGATTAAAGTTTTGTTTTTGACTACACCTCCGGCAGTGGTTCCTCTGGCTCCACCGACAATCCTAACGCCGCCAAGAACTTCTTCTCTTCTTCGACGTAGTCAAGGTAACCGACTCGCATCTTGCTCTCGACTTCCTCCGTGCTCGGTTCGGGAGGCTGAACCATCTGTGGAGAGGAGACGGAGGAGAGGTGAACTTTGACACAAGGTCAAAAGGTCAAGTTAATTTAAATATTTACACAACTCGGCACTGCGGTCTGCTTGCTTTCTTGAGATGAATTTGGCAGATAATAATAATGTGTCTTTATACAGTGCAGGTATGATCTGTCTCTCTGTTGGTTAGTAACAAACTTCAGCATATGCCTTGCTTGGCAATCAATCACCTTGTCCCTTAGGCCCTCGCAACAACACATGCCTCAGATCTCCACTGACCAGCTACTAATTTATTTCAGACATGGACAATTGGGTCACGAGGTCACTTTCGCATTGGGGCTAGCACAGCACTGCACACAAATTGGTGTTCCACATGCTATAAAACGCTCCATGCACCAACTGACGTTCAACAAACTAATGGGAATCCTTTTCAATTGACAGTCACGACCACGTGAGTAGTTGTGCATTATAAGAACAGACTTTCACATCATGTACATGACTTATAGGCTACAGCTGGTCTACAGTTTGACCGCATCTTCCAAGATCATTTTGAGCTTGGTTACCTTCTTTTCCGCCTCTTCGGCCTCCATCTTGCGTTTGTTCTGGACGTGGAAGTCCTGCCGTTTGTCGATGTACTCCAAGCGCTTGACCTCGCGCTCGATGTAACTGGTCATGCTGGACAACTGATGATGGAAACAGAAAGCCATTAGATGCAATCGAAATCCTATCAAATTCAAATAACTGCAATCAAATGCAACCAAATTCAATTGGATCCCATCAAAAGCTATCAAATGCAATCAATGCCAACATACTCCAAAAGAAAAGTTGTATTCACTCAGATTTCATCCTCCCAACTTTTGGTTTCAACTTTTTTTTCCTCAAAAATATTTTTACACCATTTCAGATTAGATGGTAAAAATGAACATGGGTGGAGAAAATACAAGATTTTGCGTTATTTATGACAACTAGCTGCTATGAAAAAGATTAGAAATGAATAATGACAAGAGCTAACCTCTCCAACGGTAGCATGACGCAGTGACCAGGGCACTTCTAAGATGTGTAAAGTCCCAACACTGTCAGAGACCGCCAAAAGCTGCTGCTTGCCTGCAGATAACAAAAATAATCATTCGGATACATCCTCTCAGCTAGAGTGTTCCTCATCCAACCTGGTGGTTGCCCCAAGATGAGAGAAATCACATTGTCCAGCGTTGTAGTCGAGTCCATCACAACTCCAAAACAAGTCCAATCAAATGTAAATCACAAGTCCATTCACAAGTAACAGGGTGAACAATGACAAAGGAATGCCTTTGTAGTTCATTTGAATAGCTAGAGACTTGACTTGAGACTGAAGGACTTGTGATGACTTGTGATGGACTTGTGATGGACTTGTGATGGACTTGTGATGGACTTGTGATGGACTTGCAGGGACTTGTGATGGACTTGTGATGGACTTGTGATGGACTTGCGATGGACTTGTGATGGACTTGCGATGGACTTGCGATGGACTTGCGATGGACTTGTGATGGACTTGTGATGGACTTGTGATGGACTTGTGATGCACTTGTGATGCACTTGTGATGGACTTGTGATGGACTTGTGATGGACTTGTGATGGACTTGTGATGGACTTGTGATGGACTTGTGATGGACTTGTGATGGACTTGTGATGGACTTGTGATGGACTTGTGATGGACTTGTGATGGACTTGTAATGGACTTGTGATGGACTTGTGATGGACTTGTGATGACTTGTGATTGACTTGTGGGGACTTTTGAGGACTTAGGACTTTTGAGGACTTTTTCGGACTTGTGATAGACTTGTGAGGATTTGTGAGGACTTGTGATGGACTTGTGGGGAACTGTGATGACATCTGAGGACTGTTTAGAGCTTGTGATGGACTTGTAAGGATTTGTGAGGATTTGTGGGGACTTGTGAAAACTTGTGACAGACTTGATCACAGAAATGCATCACAGTCATCCGAATATTCAGGCTTCCTGTTATATACTGTCACCAGATTGGTGCATATATGAAACACCTGGAAGTCTGTATGGTGCTGACTTACTGTTAACAACCCATGGATAGATCTGGGTGATGGTCGAAGCGGACACGTTCTGTGACAGGGACGGCTCATGGGTCTTATCCAGAAGGTCCCAGATATCGATGTTGCCATCGCTACGTCCAATGAAGAAGACAGCCGGTCGGCTGGGCGACCAGTAGCCTGCCGTCAGTTTCTTGGGAGCTGTGGCTGAGTGGATGATAGGGCCACCCTAAGAGAAGGCAAAAGTGAAATCAAAGCCAGGATTTCATGAAAGGCGTTTTTGAAACTATTGCTTCACTACAGTTTCGGTTTCATCACCGGCTCCAGAATCATATTCGCCTTTAATATCCTCAAAAAAGGAAATGGAACCCACTAGAAGGTCACAGGTGCGAGTACCGCCCTCTTTCCCAGATTGGCCACGCCCCTTTTCCTCACCTCAATGCCTTCTTTCCACAGAGTGAAGTTCCAGCCACCCACGGCCAGAATGAGATCCTTGTAGAACGGCGATCGCTGGAGTGTGTTGATGCCCCAGTCATGGTAGGACTTGGCAAACTGGGGCCGCGGAGCTATATATCAAGAGAAGAAATGTAACCAAATATCAATTTGTTTTGGGGGTTACTCCATTTTTGAAAAGGTGATTGAAGAGAAAACTGAAGTAAGACTCACGTTGGATCTTGCCGGAGTCGGTGTCCTTCTCAAGTTTCCAGTCAGCGTACACAAACTCACCAGCCTGTGAAACAATAAGTAAGAAGTAAGTACGTAGTGCCCAATATCCTCAACTTTAAATTTGCCGTTAAAAAGGATTCTACTACAATCAAAGCGACAGGCCCTCTAGTTAAAAAAGTTGGGTTTCTTTAGCATAAACTTATCAGTTACAAGCAGCTGTTTGATGTTATGATATCACTGCTGGGGTTTGGGAAAATGGATGTAAACTATGACGTACCTCCGTCCCAACAAAGAATTTGGAGGTGACGCCCTCCAAAGGTTTCTTGTCTTTGGCCGAGCCGGTCCTCAAGGAACCACCCATGCCCATGCTGCCACTCATACTGATGTCTGAGGCTTTACTCCCTTGCTTCTCAGCTGGAAGAAGAAGAACAGAGTTACGGACTTGTGATTGACTTGTGATTGACTTGTGACTGACCTGTGATGGACTTGTGACTGACTTGTGATGACTTGTAATGGACTTGTGATTGGCTTGTGATGGACTTGAGATTTACTTGTGACTGACTTGTGACTGACTTGTGATTGACTGGTGATGGACTTGTGATGGACTTGTGACTGGCTTGCGATTGACTTGTGAATGGCTTGTAATTGACTTGTGATTGAATTGTGATTGGCTTTTGATTGGCTTGTGATTTACTTGTAATTGACGTGTGATTGGCTTGCCATTGACTTGTGACTGACTTGTGATTGACTGGTGATGGACTTGTGATGGACTTATGATTGGCTTGTGATTGACTTGTGATTGGCTTGTGATTGACTTGTGATTACCTTGTGATTGACTTGTCATGCTGGTGATTGACTTGTGATTGTCTTGTGGTTGACTTGTGATTGACCTATGATTGGCCTGCGATTGACTTATGATTGACTTGTGATTGCATCATTAGGACGTCACTACAAGTCTGATTACAGCTGCTTGTGTCTCCCAGTTCACTTGATGACAATCAACCAACCACCACCCTCCCCTTTCTGCAATTGCCCCGCCCATATTTCAGGTTACTCCTCCTTCCCTCTACTTACCGACACTTCTGTCTCCCTGTCGTTCCTGTATACTGATCCTTGTCACTCCGTATTCCCCGTTGCCTTCAATCTTGCTCACTGGAAACTGCCGAGCCAAACAAATTCAAAGACCACTTTGGTAGTTTAACATTAAATTTAAAGGTATAGTCCATCATTTGCAGCCATCCGAAAAGTAACTGGCATAATTATTGTTGAAAAACAAACTTGGTTGGAAGATAGTAAGGGGACTAAACTCCCTGTGAAATTATTCTTTCTGGCAAGCTGTCATTTTGAAGTAATCAACGAAAGAAGGCATTTCCAACGGTGATTCTTAAGAAGCACCGTAGGAAAATTTAAAGTAAATTTAAAGAAAATTTTAGTAGTTCGTTTTGTTATTCAGCGCAGCGCGCACAAGTATTGGAACGACGCACACGCGCGCGCGGTTGTTATAATTCGTCGGATCAGTGCGCGACGTCGCGTATAGCTGCAATTCAAAACAATTCAAAACATGATTCAGTAACTTTGGATTTGAAATTGAGATCTTAGAATGCTGTTTTTCTCGGAATGTACAGCTGAAGCTTAGCTGAAACTTCATCAGGTTAGTTGCTCAGTATCCTTCATTAGATTTTGAACTCTTTTGTTGCTTCAAACGAACAAAATGCACAAATTACAAATGATGGACTGTAGCTTTAAGGCCATGTCCAAAACTAAACTGGTTCCCAGAGCTTTGGTTACATCTATCGTCAGCTTGTTCATCTATCGTCAGTTGTAATGGCAAAGACCTAGACAACAGCCCTAGACTAGAGACGCGACTTAATATACAATTGTCAGTGCTCCATGGAGAAAGTATCAAGCAAGAGCCAAATTTAAGCCTGCAACCTTAGAACAATCACCACTACACAGGAACAATTTTTTGTACGCAGGCACGTAGCCAGGATATCGTTTGCCCGTTACAAAATAGAATTTTTCGTCCTGTTCATCCATTTGCACATTCCCGATTTTACTTATATCAGCGTCCCGATTTTGCTTTTAAAATCTCCGTCCCGTTTGAATCTGCCACTCTGCTACCCCTAATGCAGTTGTTTAAGCAGCATTCTACTCTTGCCCCTACTTCTGTTTTAAATATGGAATATTCTGCGTAGTAGTACAAACCTTGAGCGTTGGTTTCCAGGTCAGGTCTAGATGCTTGAAGGTGGTAGCGATGGCTAGTGGGTTATCTCTCTGTTTAGCGTCGTCTACGGACGGCGTGTGGCCCTTGGGTGGTTTGGTATCCCAGATAGCTATATAGCTGATAGGGGAAAAACAAATCAAAGAATGAATAACTAAAGTTGGCCGACCAATATTCAGAGGATGAACGAATATTCGGATGTTCAATATAATCGGCACGGCCCTAGCGGACTTGTCAAGAGCAATGCTAAATATTCTGATTTTTTTAAAGTTGGTTCATTCTGTAATCATTCTATAATCATTCTATACACTTCAAATGTTTATGGCTATGACTATTCACTGTAGCGTGTCAATGTCTAAAAGTGAAGACACAGCCGGTAAACAGCCATTTTTGGATGTGGCTATACTCACCCATCCGTTGATGCAGTAAGAATCTGGTTGCAGGTTCCTGTCTTGTTCTCAACAACAATTCCCATGCGGGTGATCTAGATAATAGAGAACCATACAAGAAAATGGTATTAGGATGAACTTAAACACCGATTTCCCCCACCCGAGTGATTTTTTTCTGACTATCACTCAGAACAACACTGAGGATACAGTGTTTATAAAAATCCGTCGCTGCAGGGCAAAACCTAATATTAAATTACATCACCCCGACGTAAATTTCATCTTATGAATAGCTTGGTTGCGGTACCCACTGCTATATCAGATTAGAACCAGCCGGCCAACCACGGGTAGCTCGGTGGTCGAGTGGTAAGAGGTCTTTACTAGTGAGCACTGTTTGTGTTGTGTTGTTGCTTTGTTTGTTTGCTCTTTACTTTGTTGTTGTTTAACTCTATATGATCTGGCACCCATTACAGCTCGAAAATATCCGTTTTGTGATTATGTTCAATCCCGGAGACAGCACAGTAGTATGCGTTTGTTGTTGTTTTGTGTGTGCTTATTATTGTTTGTTGTTGTTATTTGTTGTTTACCTCCATATGAGCTGGCACCCACTGCAGCTCAGAGATAGCCGTTTTGTGACAATGTTCAATCCCGGAGACAGCACACTGTGTTTGTTGTTGTTTTGTGTGTGTTTTGTTGTTGTTTGTTGTTCATTTGTTGTTGTTTACTTCCATGTGATCTGGCACCCACTGCAGCTCAGAGATAGCCGTTTTGTGACTATGTTCAATCCCGGAGACAGCACAGTAGTTTGCGTTTGTTGTTGTTTTGTGTGTGATTATTATTGTTTGTTGTTGTTGTTATTTGTTGTTGTTTACCTCCATATGAGCTGGCACCCACTGCATCTCAGAGATAGCCGTTTTGTGACAATGTTCAATCCCGAGACAGCACATTGTGTTTGTTGTTGTTTTGTGTGATTTTTTGTTGTTGTTTGTTGTTTATTTGTTGTTGTTTACCTCCATATGATCCGGCACCCACTGCAACTCAGAGATAGCCGTTTTGTGGCTGTGTTCGATCCCGGAGACAGCACAGTAGCGTATGATAGGCATCTGATCTGTGTTCTCATCCTCAAAGCCAGGCTGCCGGGGAAAAATCAATAAAAGATCATCAACATCTTCAAACTCAAGTGTGAGATTAAAAACATGGCTCAAAACTAAATTGAACTTTGGCTCAACAAAGAGAATACAATATAAAACAACAAAACGAAGACTAAGCATATAGACAAATCCAGTCATGTAATCACTGTACCTTCACATGGCCCCCCTCAATGGCCAAATCATTGTGCTAGCTATTGTGCAAAGCTTGATGGGTTATCTGAACAATAGCTAACATAATGCTTTCGCCATTGAAGGGGGCCTTCGTGATAGAATTGACAGCGTGACTCAATTGGCTGATGGAGACAGAAAATGAACATAAAACCCCAAATGAAGATATAATACAAACCTGAATGCACTTCCAAATCAGAACAATTTAAAAAACTATACTTTAACAACAATATTTTAACAACAACACTTATGGTATATAATTATTTAACGCTTGAAAAACAATACAATGCATTCAAATATGAGGTCATAGGAACAAGAGACATAACTTAAGCACTGATTAAAATGTTAGATTTTGTGAATTCAATAAATGTCAATATTAGAAGTTAGCGTGATTAAACTCATGTAAACAAAGCACATTAGCAAAAGTGGATGAACACAAAAATGCAAAGTGAACAAACACGTCAATATCTCTATGAACAAATGTTGACTGGAGCTGGGTTTGAACCTGCAACCACCGGATTGCCGTTCCGGTGCTCTACCAACTGAGCTATCCAGCCCTATGTTGGCAGTTCCCCAATACGTCAATCTCTTTGTTCAAGGGGCACAAGTCCGAAGCCCAAAAAACCGTATATGTAGCCAGGGATCACGTCCAAAGTCATGATGCTATCAACATTAGCAATGCGGCAGAACTTAGAAAAGCCAGCTGTTTAAAGCTGATGATGTTCAAATGATGCTTACTAAAGACAAGTACATCTTGCACAATTTAAACAAATCAATGTACCTCTCCAAGTGATATTTAAAAAAGTTTTAAAACATCTTGTTTAGTACAAAAAGGTGTGGCAAATGAACTGGACTTTCAATTCCGCTAGTGGTGAGTATATTTGCAACGACGAATGAAAATGAGCAAACAAAATAGAGGGTTCACATTTTTGACTTGAGATAATGTAAGTATGTGACTGACTTGTGATGACTGGTGATGACTTATGATCGACTCATAACTAACTTGTGATGTCTTACGACTGATTTGTGATTGCCTTGTGATGACATGTGAGAACCTTGTTACATCTCTGCAATCCCATTGAATTTGAATGCAAACCCTCTGTTAGAACTTGTGAAAAAAAGTTTAATTTGTTACAACTTTCGTGATTATTGTGAATGATTTGTCGCTATTACCTGGTCCCTGCCTCTACCATAGTGCTGCATGGGAAAGCAAGAAAAGAGCATTGCATGGCAAGGCAGCGTGAGAAGAAGAAAAATCGAAATAAGATGAGAAAGAAAGAGAAGAAAGCATCGGTTAAGCAACCTTTTACACCACAAAAGGGACAAATAAAATATTCCAAATCACCTCAAATACACCACAGGAGAAATGAAAGTTTCCCATTAAATTCAATCCTCTCCAACCGAAACAGGAATGTTGTGTTCAGCACAGCCAATGACAAAGTATTGTTGATGTACCCTAACGTTGCGAGGCCCCTAATGTGGCACACTTTGATTCTTCATCTCTAGCGCCTAGCTAGACCAAAAGTTTTACCTGAAATTTCACAAATTTCATCAAGCTTGAAATATTCCAGCTCATAACTCGTGAATTTATCTACCTGTTACAAAGTTGGCAGAGAAATTTACTTCGGCGTGATTTTCCGATTTTATTTCGAAGTGCACAGTGAACCCTTTGAAAATGCACCCAAAAATAAGAGAATAATTTTCTGACAAACTTCTAGTTGGGGTATGTAAGTAGAGATAATAATGGTTTATCAGAACTTATCAACTTCAGAAATACTTAAATGTTAACTTTGGATTTTCCGAAATTTGTTCAAGTGCACCATGTTAAGGAACACTCGGCTGATTTTGTTCCCAATTTCTGGACGCCACCGTTTTTTTTAATTGCGGACTTAATTTCATGACACTAAAATTGTTCACAAAGGTTCAACAGCAAGCATTATTTACGTAAAAGTACCAGTATTTAACTGAATGAATTTGAAGTTTGTCAACAAAGAAGTTTAGAAACATGCATGAGGAAAGTCAGGGTAAATGTCGAAGTGCGCCTCGTTAGGAAACACCACTGTTGGTTGTAGAAATAGTGGACAAAATCTGTCGCTGAGCATGGTTGAGGAAATGCTGAAGAACGGTTTCTCAAACAAAATAGTGCTCAATGTTTGTAAAAACGAGGACAGTTATGAAGCCACTTTTTTTAAATAGACCCACTACCTAATTAAAAAATCAAAAAATCTGTGCGCTAAAGAAAAACAAAATGAGTGCATATTTTAATGCGATTTTTGTTTTAAAAAAGAAGAAGACATTTTTCAATTTGTTTCCAACAACTTACGAGTTTCATCATGGAGTTCTTCTTGGTCTGTTTGCCGCGCTGGTTGCTACGGAGACGGTCGGCATGCTTACTGATGTCCCACATGACCACCTGGCCGTTGATGCAGCCCCCAGCGATGATGTTGGGATCGGACGGGCAGAACTTGAAGCTGAAGATGTCGTCCGGGGCTTCTAACAAGATCTTCAAAAAATAAAATAATAATAACAAAACTTGTAAATAATAAAAAATAGAATAAATGTTCATTCAAACTTCACAGTGTTTTATTGCAAATACTGTTACACTGACCTGTTTAAAGTTTTGAGTTCAAAGATGCTACAAAAAAAACAAGAAAATAATGCTGTTCTTGCAATCTGGTTCCCTGACCCTACTTCTGACAAAACGGACCAATTTATAGCCGTCGTGGATTGTCAGGACTGGGAACCAGACTAGCTGGCCTGCACCCGTTTACGGATGTAAAACTAAATTTTGGTAAGTTGGGGGCAGTATTTGAAAGAAGTCAGTTTTTTCCAACGATGGTCGGCCAACCATCATTGGAAATTGATACAAAAATTCCACTTTTCTTAGAAATGACAGCACATCAGGTGCCATGACTTCACAGGATGCTTGAGACTATCATTTACCTACAGTCAAGTAAGGTATCTCATAATAATTTGGTAGTTTTATTTTTCGATGTTTGCAACTGTTGTATATTTTACCTTTAAAGGGAATATACAACATTTGCAAACATCGAAAAAAAAAACTACCAAGTTTTTGCGAAATACCTTAATAGGATGTTGGTAAATGACAGCCTGAAGCATCCTGTAAAATTATGGCACCTGGTATACTGTCATTTTCAAGAAAAGTGGTATTTTTGTATCAATTTCCAACGCTGATCGGCCGATCAGCGTTGGAAACAACTGGCTTTTTTTCAAATACTGGCCCCAATTGACCATTGCACTTGTTTGCAATCGATTACAAACCTATGAACGGGTACGAGCCAGCTAGACTGGTTCCCTGACCTTACAATTCCCCAATGTATGTAAACTGCTCTGTTTCTTCTTATATGGAGTCAGGGAACCAGACTACAGGATAATGATCGTTTTTCTTGGTTTTTATAGCATTTTCGAACCCAAAACCTCCAAAAAGTCAGTGCAACTATATTTGCTTTATATTTCCAACCCCCCAATTCCATCCATTTCTGAAAATTACAGCAAAAGCAAATGATGTATATTCCCTTTAAAACAAAACACACAAATTATAAATTCATGATAACAAAAACAAAAAGTTATTGAAGAGGACAGGGTAAGAATTTTAAAATGAACAGAACTCCGGCATAAAAAATTCCAAAAAGATAATTTGTCACAAATTTGAAACAGCTACTCTTATTCACCTGTGGGTGGATGGGATCCGTGAAGCTCCAGAGTAGAATGAGGGAAGGGTTCATGATGATCTTAGAACCGTGATCCACCCGATCATCGAAGGACATTCGCTCGGCGCAGGACACGGCAATAATGCCTTTGACGGTTGGGTGCCATTCTATGCAGGTGATGGCCTTGTCTTTGCTGAACTGGAGGTCCGTGAAGGACTGGTACTCCTAGGAAACCAGGACGGGGGAGAAGAGAAGCAATTACAGCAAAGTATCTTGCTTAGGGACACAAGAACCGAGGAAATAGGGCAAGCTAGTAAGCTTGTCCCAGGGCACACAAAATTCTATTCAATTGATTCAGAATGTCTATTCCTGCATCTGGTTTATACAATGGGACGGATAAAGCCCATTACTGGGTATTCCTATACAAGAGCACTGCCCGGTTCTCTTTACCAGCCAACAACCAGGCGAATTCACAAGAGAATGTATGTTTTTATCGTACCTTGAGGTGACTGTCCGACTTGCTTCCAAACGTGCTGTCTTGCTCAGCCAGGGCGAACCAGTCGTCAAAGAACACGTTCATGATCTCGTTCTGCTGTAAGGCCAACTCAAATCTGAATCACAAATAGAGAGAAAAAAAAGAAAACAGTGAGAACAAATGAACAAGTCAGATGCCATCTTGTCATTCGTTAGTAAATCACAAGTCAATCACAAAGTAATCACAAACTTTTCACAAGCTAATCACATGTCAAATTCCCAGTCAATCATAAATAAATCATAAGCTAATCATAAGTAAATCACAAGCTAATCATAAGTAATCACAAACTTTTCACAAGCTAATCACAAGTCAAATTCCCAGTCAATCATAAATAAATCACAAGCTAATCATAAGTAAATCACAAGTCAATCACAAAGTAATCACAAACTTTTCTCAAACTAATCACAAGTCAAATTCCCAGTCAATCATAAATAAATCACAAGCTAATCATAAGTAAATCACAAGCTTATCATAAGTAATCACAAACTTTTCACAAGCTAATCACAGTCAAATTCCCAGTCAATCATAAATAAATCACAAACTAATCATAAGTAAATCACAAGCTAATCATAAGTAAATCACAAGCTAATCATAAGTAATCACAAGCTAATCAGAAGTCAAATCACAAGAAAGATCACACAACTGGGGATGAACAATGACTTGAATCACACAGTTCACTTGAAAAATAATGACTTATAATATAAATCTAATTTTCACACGGACACCACACTGACCTGGGTGTGACATGGTTGAGAAAGTTTAGAATGTCTTCCGACTCCATCAGTTTATTTTTCTCCTCTTTATCGAATTCCCGTGGGAAGTACTGAGTAGTCTGGTTCCGAGGATGCTTCCTGCAAACAACAAACCAAAAAAATATTTTTTTTATTTCAGTTTTAGGATCACTAGTGATAGCTCTTGTTATGAATGAGGCAACCCAGTTGATGTAAATGCGATGACATCAACATAAATATCTTTAAAGATAAGAATTTTGGGGAAACAAAATGAAATTTGGAATGGTTCTACCAGTCAGTCTGTGTTCCGTTTTCAGTGTACGTAGGCACGGCCTGCACGCCATAATCCATCTCCACTTTCTTCACGTTGAAGCTCTTGTCCTCGTACGACGCGCATTCGATGTAGCCATCCTTGACGTCGTCTGCGTTGCGGTCCGTGAATGTGATGGGTGTGCCAAACTCGCGCCGCACTCTCTGAATCGTCATTTTGATCTGCCAGCCGATAACAAAACAGGAAGAAATGCTGAACAAAGCGTCCCGGTATTGAATATTTCGTTTTGGAGACTCAATCATTTCAGTGAAACAATTTTTTTCAATTTTCCGTTGCAGGTTTCAAGTATAAAAATATATTTTAAAAACAACATCCAAAGACAATTTTGGTTAAAATGTTTTCGTTTCCAAAATTGCTTATTCACCTTCGGTCTGCTTTCGGAGACAATTTCATCTTCAATGTCCATCTCGCTGCCTAGCGACACCCATTCCTTGGGTTCCGGAGGAATGTAACGATACACCACGACTTCTTCTTCTTGTCCTTCCCCGCCCCCTTCACCATCAGCTTGCTCCGCCCCTTCCTCTCCCTCCTCAGACGGTGGCTGCACATGAAAGAAAGAAAAAATGACAATGTGATAAAGGGAGTGTTTGGGATGTGTATCTGAGTTGACTACAAGACAATCATAAGTTTAATGTCACATGTCAATCACAAGTCAATTGTGAACTACATAGCACCCTCTACTGTTTATGCACAGACCCGATACAACTGCATAAACTTGATCAACTCACATTGAGGATGCGCTGTTTGGTCTCCTCAGTTAGAGCGATGTAGAAATTCTGTCCCATCTTGAAATCTGGATCAAACACGACCAATACTTCATCAGCTGGGTAGTCCTGCGCCAAAGACAGAGTAGGGAAAATAATTAACAGGCCATGTTGCGATTTACTACAAGTGTCTGATGATTTTTTTTTCTCATGATGCAAACAGGATTTGCACCATCAGTGACAATTACTCTGTAAACGAAACATGCATTGTCCTTGGACAATGTTTGTAACCCTTCTTCAGTTTGTCAAGTAACAGGCGTGCAACTGGGAATTTAGAAAAAACGAGGAAACTCCAAATGACACAAGACTTTGTACAGTATTTTTCAATTTGTAATGGCATTCATGAGAGGTACAAAACGAGGAAATCAGCGGATCTGAGGAAAAGTTGCATGTCTGCAAGTAAACACTTAGTTTTTGAAACAGGCAATACAAATTTTCAAAACTGATGAGAACTCAATTTGTCTTGTTCGATCAAATAAATTATAAGGTTGAGAAATTTTACCAGCATTTTCTGCTTGACTGGAAAGAAGTCGCACACAGCCGCCCTGGTCCTCAGGTCTTGCAAGATGCCCTCCTTAGGGATGAGTTTGCAAGGGTTCTCCTCGGTCACGTCAACATCGGCAACGCACCCAAACAGCTCCTGGGTCTTGGAGGCCAGAAAAAGGGGCATGATGCCATCTGCAGAGGGTGTTCAAGTCAACAAAACTTTCCATACATTACAATTTTAAGGTGCTTTTAAGAAATCCTTCGTCACATTACCAAAAATACATAATCAATATTATAATAACACAAGTTTTTACCATACTTTACCTTTGTCATTGCCAGACGGTTTTTCCTCGACTTCGTCTTTCTTTGGCTTGGAGGCTTTTCCACCTGCTAATGAAGAACAAAGAAGAAATAAAGATACAAAAAAAGTTAACTTCTAAAACTTTTTGACAGTGCCATGAAATCTGGTTGGAAGGGCATTGTTTATTGGTCCAGTTCAGAAAGAATGTAGTATCCTGATGCCACTTTGGTGGGTAGTTGTGTAAGGAGAGTTATTAAAATGATTCTTAATTATCTAATACCAAGTTTAGGTTTCTATTAATATTTTCAATCATTTTTATGTCGGTGAAGGGCAAAACCTAATTTGATTTACATCACCCCGACGCAAAATTCCATCTTGTGAATAGTTAATGCAGTACCCGCTGCTATATGTACATCAGATTCGAAACAGCCAACCGATCCCGTTAGCTCGGTGGTCGAGTGGTAAGACATCTGTACTAAAAAGCAGGAGTCCCAGCCGAGTGATTTTTCCAACTTTCACTCGGGAGGTAACACACTGAGTATACAGTATTTATACGTCGGTGAAGGGCAAAACCTAATTTGATTTTTAATCATGTTGAAGAGAAAAAAAAGTTGTGTGAGATTCATCTATACCTGGTTTGCCAGCTTTTCCGCCTTTTGCCCCGCCTTTCTCAGCGGGCTTAGCCTTAGCTGCCGGGGTCTTTGCTGGTGAAGCACTCCTCCTGCTGGATGCCGATGGGGAACGAGACTTGGACGTCCCCCCACTGCCCGGCTTAAGCCCCTCCCCCTCCTTGGCCGTGTCCTCCTCCTTCTCGTCCAGCTTGGCCGTCTCCACCTCTTTCTCAGAAATGGGGCTTTCGTCCGCCATGTCTAATTTTTCCTTCTTATTTGTGCTACGACTTAAAAAGTCCGGTTATCTGCAAGAAGAGAATACACAAAATTCTTAATTTTTTCCTAATTTTGGTTTTACCAATACAATTACCAGTGAAGCATGCTTAGCACTAGCACTATAGCAGTCACCTTAGTTGGAGGGCATCTTATGCTATTTTCAATTTAGTAACAATGAGTGCACACAAGGTATCTAGCAGAAAAAAAAACAAAGGCATTGCACTAAGAATAGTACGCATAACTCCATAATAACTTGGTAATCCTTACCTTTAGGACCCCATTCTATAAGGTTAAAAGACTCACCAAAACAGCTGACTAAATGACACTCAAAAGTGACATTCTGATATAATGACACATTTGAACAGTTGGCAATGACACCTTCTTGAATATCAGCAGGGTTAATTTTGTAGAAAGAGGGCAGGGCTTTGATTTATGACCGGTTAAAGATGACGATGAAAAACAGGAAAAAAAAGCAAGATGGCGAACTGCAAAAAAGGTAGGAAAGTCACATTTTCTTTTTTCTTTCAAAATTACAACTAACAATTAACATGAGTTTATCTAAAGAAAAAAGACTACGTTAGCCTGCAAAGTCACTTTGGTACTGGACAGTCATCTGCAAAAGTCAGTTTTGAACAGAACTCGTTAAAATAGAGGTGTCCTAAAGATAAGGATTAGGCCTACCAATAACTTAAATAAGGTGTTTCACGGCATTAATATGCACCATCTTGTTCATGCTACGGGGCAAAAAGAACACCCGTTGCTAGCATTTTGGAATGTACGCAAGCCATGATGACTTGGTTGGAACAATCAATGGAAGCGCAAAAGTTTTCTATTGACGATTCGTACACAGCAACGCGTGTAAATTTGCCACGTCTGCAAGATGGCGCATATTAGTTCCGTGAAACACCTTATTATTAGTACACACGGCACGGACGGCCTGCCAGACGGCGTCAACATGATGGTCAAGCCGCGGGCGCGGCGGGGCCCGGGCGGGACCGGCCGCGCCGGCCGGTCTTGCGAAAAAAAAAAGACGTGCTGAGTATTTCGTGGTGTACTCGTTTTTCCTAATATGGGAGGCTAAATTACATGACTTTACACAATATCGAATGTTATTTAAAATGTGGTAATCAAATAAAAGCGAAAAACCTTTGAAAAATCTTACTTTTTTCACATTTTGTTTTTCTTTTCCAGCGGTGAAGTTTCACATTGTCAGATCGTTGACATCGTTACCAACTGAATGACCTTTGACCGGCACTGTTGATTGATTGATAATAATTTATTTACTCCACAAAGCAAACTGGGCAAACTCCATTATTTCACGAGTTACTTAAATGAAATGATAATTAAAGACAATTATCGTATGTTCGTGTATATGGGAATTATTTTTACCTTAAAAATAAGCAACAATATATTTTTTTTTTAAATAAAATTTTATATTGGCTGTTGAATTTGTCCACACTATATGTAGGTGTAAATTCCACTTTCCATTCATGAAGGGGGTATAGCTCAGTGGTAGAGCATTCGACTGCAGATCGAGAGGTCCCCGGTTCAAATCCGGGTGCCCCCTAGATATACTTTTTATTCTTTCTTTGCGTCTTTTATGGCTTCAACAAATGCAAAGTATTTGTTTTTTTTATACCAGCCATGGCACTTCGTGTTTTCTTTACACGTAAAATTATCTTAAAAACCCAACCCTGAAACAAAATAATGTTGCACACTGCTTTATTTTTTTCATTTGGGGGGGGGGGGGGGGGTACAGCATGTACTGGAATATGAAAGTATAAAATTTGATATATTTTGATGACATAAAAGAAAAGATCATCCGATTATAAATTCACATGAAAAAGTCAAGCAACAAATAAACAACTAAATACAGGTTTCTTGTGTTTTTTTAAATATTTTTATTTCATTATTTTAGCTAGATTAAAACATAACATTTAAAATTTATTTCACATCGTCATCGCATTTTGGCAAATGAAAATGCAAACCAATTTCTGCCAGCGTTTCCAGGGTTCATCTTTCCTCAATGTTTATTTTGTCCAGAAAGTGATGGGTCAAATACTGACTGGTACATAAAAGAACTCTAAACCTTGATTCGATACATGTACAATGTAGTTGGAATTTTGACACTTACAATGTAACTGGCCAAACAATTTGAATGCACGACATTAAATTTGATTAACTGGCAGGCCTGATATTTTTTTTGGGGGGGGGGGGGTTGGTTGGGGGACAAGATTGAAGACACAAACAACCAACCCCGACACAAGTAAATGCCAAGCACAACCCCCCCCCCCCCCCCAAAAAAAATAATAATAAAGTGTATGATACAACATGTGTAAGTTCCAAAAATGGGGTCTTTGAGACCATTGTTTTACACTGGAAAAATTCTTTTCACACAATTTAGAAAAAACATGTTTTTCCTGGGGGAGGAGACATCTTTTACTTCCATAGCACAATTTGAAGATAACTGAGATAAAACATCAAGTTCCAACTTAATTGTTTAAGTTTCAACTGTACATGTGAGTTTAGTATTTCTTTGAAAAAGAGGAACTTGACATCAATAATGAAAACATGATTTTTTCTAATGTATCTTGCCGGATACGTCAAACAATATGTTACATCACCCTAACAGCATCATACGATAACTAAATACAGGTTTTATATGTTCACAACATGCACAAAAATCCACTTAATGAGAGAAACAAGAATTCACAAATTTTATTTCTTTATCCATTTGATGCAAATGTTTGCCATTTTCCATCCATGGCAACTGTAAAACCAGGGATATAAAAAAAGGCACACATGCATCAGATGAAGATCTTAGGGCAATTTTCATCACAAATAAAACAAATTTGGCACTTCCATCGACGTCCTTGCTTGTGTTTACTTATAAGTCTAGGGTGTGAGTGACCACTGATAAAAAAATAGCTGAAAACAGCTGAAAAAGGTGTCAAAAAGCTGAACTTTGGAAATCTCCTTTACTTTTGTACACAGCAAGTGAGGGAAAAAAGCTGAAATCCAAACCAAAAAAAGCTGAAATCAGCTTTAAAGCCGAGATTTCACACCCCTGAGAAGTATACTTTATGGTAACAAAGGATCATGTTCACTTCGAAAGTTTGTAGGAAAATACCAATTCGTCCATTTGGAATTTTTGCAAGCTTTATTTCCATTTAAAGGTTGAAATTTTCCATGCAAATTTCATTGTATTGCTCTCACTTGTGAATTCTGCAGCTAGTCGTCCACATCTAGTAAACCAAACAAGGTTCACAACACCATCAATGACAATAAATGAAAACTTTGAAATCGGGAATAAAAATATCCCCCCCCCCCTCAGAAAAATAACAACCTAACATACATGCACATGGATTTTGATGTAATTTCTATCTTATTTTATCTTTATTTAGAAAAACTATTACATGTATTTACAGCACATAGAAAAAAATGTACATTAAAAAAAAACCAATAAATATCTAGTGCTCCATCACCGATACATATTCGGGCAAACTGCTGTTACTGTCTGTGTTGAGTGGCGCGGCGAGGTCGTTTGATGTGAGTTTGTCCAAAGGGGAGGGGCAGGGCATAGCGCCGGGGACGGAGGGCGGGGCGATGACGTTTTGTTGGGGCGGGATGTTCTCATTGTTCATGCTGTCCTCCCAATCGATCTTGAAGCGTGTGATGCGAGGATCCGTGTGAAGAATGTTACGCACAACCTGTGGAAAACGAGCAATAATTTTAATAGTTTTATTTAATTAAAAATGTCTGTGATCCTGTCAGTCAGTTGAATGTCCGCCTGTCTGTACAGCTGCCTACAGCCCTTCTTAATCTTTATACCTTATCTCTGTTGTTGACGTTCTGTGTTTATGTACTGTTTGAATTCATGAATGTTAATGAGTTTTTTTTTCAGAAAACTCATTGACTGGGCTTTCATATGCCAAATTTTGAAAGTGCTACAGGCAAAACTTCATTCCAAAATTGGTCCTGCCATTTGGGATTCATTTTTTTTTTACCCACCCTGTACATTGGCAAGTGCTACAAATCTTTCGTTCCTTACCTTGTCAAAGTGAGGTTTGGAGGGAGGGTTTTCCCTCATCTCTGGATCTGAATATTCATTGTTAACGTAGTAGCCGACGCGTACAAACTCCTGGCTTCGGAAGGAACACGTGATGAGTGCCACCGTTACCCCTAAGGCGTCAGATTCCGGGATGAGTGATGTGTCTGGACAGTTTGCCTGATGGAAAAAAGAAAAAACAATCAAGCAATGAAAAGCAACATGATTTCTAGAAAACAAGTTAGACTTTAGGCCCAAAACAGTTCTACTTCCGATTACATGGCATTTATAAATAGGGTAGGTAGGTAGGGAAATTTTGTTTTTTGGGGGTTAATTTTTTTGTGTACGATCATATGGAGGCGTCTGCGTGCAGTCAAGGGTAAAAGGTGTTAATTGATGGTTTTGGGTATTTTTTCTCATTCCCCCCCCCACAAAAAAATTAGGGTAGGGGCTGTCAGAATAGTTTAGGTAGGGAAACCGGAAGCAGAACTATTTTTTTTTGCCTTAATGTGAGCAGAGTCTTGACCAAAGTTAACAAGTAAGATTTCCAAGAGCAATATTTGCAAATCCAATCAGGGGCCTTTTTCATACACCGTTCGTATTTTATGTGGTAATCTTTGGGGTATTTCACTGAAGAAATAAAACACGTTAATACGCATTTTCAATGAAATGCCCCCAAAGATTACCAAGTGATCAGAAGATGGGGGTATCCATCAAACAAAGCACTGAAATTTGCTAATTTGGAAATAATTGCTTAGCAACATAAAGTTACCAGCCAAAATCTGATGCAATACACACTGCTTGTGACTGGGTTCCGGTTCTCGTCTGATTTGTGCTTACCACCTAAATTTGCTGAGAAACATTTTCTACTTAAAGATTTAGAGACTCACCTGGAAAACGAACCGGTGGTGTCCAGCGGGGACTGGACCCACGAGGACAGAGTCTAACGTCTGGTCATGTTCCTCTGATTCAGCTGACCCTACGTAAATGATCTTCCATTCCAAATCTGGAGAATAGGATGACAACAAGTATTATTTCTGTAATATGACCATTGATTATAACTAGTTTAACTTTTTAAAATAGCAATGAATTTGGAACAAAAGTCTATGACTGAACCATTAATAATTTGACATCTGTTGCTGATATTATGAGACTTCATTTATTATTCATCAGCAGTGACAGCACTTCATAAGACCATTGACATTGTCTAATTTTTTTTTAAATTATTGATAACAAAATAATGTAAATTCAGTGAAAATGCAGCGAATCATTCACGAAGCAAAGGATCAACTTGAAACAGAACAAATCCAAGTAAAATATGAATAAAAATGATGACTTCGGCGGCTGTGAGCCTGTGTTGAGGCAAAATTTCACGGCCTCCGCCATTTTCGATCTGCTTATTCTGTGCTATGTATTATTTTTAGTTTTGTTTCCCGCGTTAAATCAAAATGTTGAATTCCCAATGAGCATTGGCATGATTGGAGCTGGAGTTTTTGAAGCTGCTCGCGTGCATTTTCGTCATGTTCGTTAGGAAAAAATGAAATAAAATTTTTAAAAACATGTTGAAAATAAAAAGGAATCCAAAATTATCATTTTGTCTGTTAATAATTGTACAACAATAACGTTTCTATAGTTTACAACTCTTCAGGCAATGCATGTAAAGCAGTGTCTGCCTCCTGTGCCCCCACCCCCCAAATTCGTTAGCTCCACCCACCAGCCAAATACCCGCTAATTCGCCCCATGGCAGAACAAGCTAGTGTGGGGCGAAAAATGTGCAGGTTTTTTTTCGCGCAACACGACAACACTCACCTTCAGACAAATCCTCTGCACACTCGAATGTTATCTCGAACTGGAAAGGGTTCAAGTAGGAAGTCGGATTATCCAAGACTTCGACATTCTCGATCTGTACCTTTGCCATTTTTCTGTACTCGTATTGTCGTAAGGGAACGTGCAGCGTGTTTAATTTGAAAGAATGTCAGACGAAGATTTCGCGGCGTTTGCAAGTGGCGCAAAAATGACGAACAAGAGATTTTCTAATGAGCTCTCTGAATGGTCAGATGGTATAAATATTCATAAGTGTTCATACGCGCACGCTGGTTGGTCAATGTTTTGTGACCTTCTTCGAGATTAAATAAAGTGTGACAATTGTTATCATAATAATTTGTACAATATTCGTAATTATAATTTTTACTAGGGCATACAATTATCTTAAACTTTTTTTGACTTTATTGTGATTGTTTTACGATATATGAATATTTCAAGGTTCGATTTATATTTTAGTGATTGTAAACGAGGCTGATTAAAACAAAATGGCAGCCACCATGACCAACGAAATTTTCAAGTTTTCGTGTACTTTACAGGGCCATGAAATGGATGTTCGGGCCGTTACCGCGGCATACTATCCAGATAGCTCCATTATAACGGCATCTAGGGATCGTACTGCTCGAATCTGGATTCCTACAGGGTACGGATCTAATTTTTTTTCCCTGGTTTTGGTCATCTCTTGTTTTGTGCAGTAAGCGAAGGGCAGTGCAATTGCTTGAACCAGTAGAGGGCGCTATTCAACTACTAATTAGTACTCATTGACACTATTACACTTTGTAGTAGTGTAGTGTGCTGATTTGCTAGCCAACATGCATGACATGAGTCTTGACATGCACATGGCCATCATGCAACCTTGAACATGTTGAAAGATATTTCATGGCATTGGATTTTCCTTAAGTTAAGTTATTTAAAGTTTAAGTTTAATTTTTTTCCATTTTTAATTGGGCAGTGGATATTTATTTGGCCGGCGTCGGTTTTCCTTAGTTTTAGTGTACAATATTAAGCCGGAACGGCACTGAACATGCGCGAAGTGACTGCGTTTTGGGACTTGGACATTTTAACTGTGATCTTAGTCTGGAGAGAAGTAAGGCACTGTACCATCTGCATCTGCTGGCCTAATATCATTTAGTAAAAGAAAGCTTGCGCCAGCAAAATATCCACTATCTTTTAGTAACGAAAAATAAAACTGCCAATATTGGCTCTGTGGACTTTCTGAGAAAACTTTGCAAAAAGAAATTTGTGATGCAAAATTTTGATGTGATGTCGTTGAATCCTTCAAGTGCAAACTTGAAAGTGTTCTGATGTGTGATGGTTGGAGTTTACTCCAACTTGCTTGAGTTGCCATTCTCATCCTATAATTTATAAATGTTTTTTTGATTGCAGAAGTGGCTACGAAGAACAGCATTGCATGCGAGGGCATGAGAACTTCATCGCAGCGGTCTGTGTCCTGCCTCCCAGTGACAAATACCCAAAGGGCCTGATAGCCACCGGAGGAAATGACCATAAGATCAATGTGTACCAGCCAGATAGTCCGGTACCGGAGTACACCTTGACTGGCCATGCTAATACAGGCGAGTGGGCTGGACTGAAAGTTCAGGAATTTCAATAGGGTTTGACGTCAAATCCAAACTGAGCTTCATTGTCGACAATCGAGGGCCTTTTATGTCCCACGCTAGTGTGCATCAATTTCAGAATGCAAGAAATCCAACCAGAAATCGTTTTTGTTTCACTTTGAAAAATTTGATCTTGTAACTCTTTCTTTTCCCTTTTAGCCAATTTTTCCACTCACATTCTATGTTTATTCTTGTTTCAGTCTGCGCCCTGGCTGCAGGAAAGTTTGGCACCCTACTCAGTGGCTCTTGGGATACAACAGCCAAGGTGTGGCTCAACCAACGCAATGTGATGACCCTGAAAGGTCACGACGCCGCGGTCTGGGCCGTGGCCCTCATGCCCGGCCAGGGGTTAATGCTGACCGGCTCGGCCGATAAGACCATCAAGATGTGGCGGGCTGGAAAGTCTGAACGCACTTTTGTTGGTGAGTTTGTTTCCCAGGAAGGTCACCCTAACTCCCTGGACCTTTATTTGCAATGCATCTTCCTGAATCTTCCAAAAGCCAACAGATACTTGCCTTGCAAAAATTCACAAATTTTCATATTTTGGTTAAGTGAAACAGAGCAGAGCAGTGGGAAAAATCTTCTCTTTAATGTCTTAGGAAGACAAAATGAAAACGTAATAAGAAATCACATATTTGTGAATCAAAGTTCAGAGGAGGCAAAGTAGACTACTCAATATAACCAATTGTGGTTGAGGATTGGAGTGAGCCAAGAGTTCTCTGCAAAGGTGCATTTCTCAACCAAATTCCCAAATTGGGCTCAAATTCTATAACTTACTGAAGCACCTCCAACATTCTTAGATTATGGCTGAGGATTGGAGCTACATGTAGAGCAGCAACCTCTGCTAGGGTATCCCTAACTTAATGCCGGTATCTGGTTTGTCTACAGGTCACAGCGACTGCGTGCGAGCCCTGGCTATCCTGTCGGAGTTAGAGTTCCTCTCCGCGGCCAACGACAACACCATCCGGCGCTGGACGACCAGCGGGGACTGCACGCAGCAGCTGCAGGCCCACACCAGCTTTGTCTACAGCATCGCCCTGCTGCCCAACGGCTCGGACTTTGTCACGTCCGGGGAGGATCGGACAGTCCGAGTCTGGCGCCAGGGAGATTGTAGCCAGACCATCACCCTCCCGGCCCAGTCGGTCTGGTGTGTGGCCGCGCTGCCGAACGGCGACATTGTCGCAGGCTCCAGGTACAGTGTAAAGAAAACACAGTCATATAGCAAGGAGGTGCACACTTTGTGTACAAAGTCTCTTTTAAAGGGAATATACAACATTTGCAAACATCCAAAAATAAAACTACCATGTTTTTGCGAAATACCTTAATAGGATGTTGGTAAATGACAGTCTAAAGCATCCTGTAAAATTATGGCACCTGGTATACTGTCATTTTCAAGAAAAGTGGTATTTTTGTATCAATTTCCAACGCTGATCGGCCGATCAGCGTTGGAAACAACTGGCTTTTTTCAAATACTGGCCCCAATTGACCATTGCACTTGTTTGCAATCGATTACAAACCTATGAACGGGTACGAGCCAGCTAGACTGGTTCCCTGACCTTACAATTCCCCAATGTATGTAAACTGCTCTGTTTCTTCTTATATGGAGTCGGGGAACCAGACTACAGGAAAATGATCGTTTTTCTTGGTTTTTATAGCATTTTCGAACCCAAAACCTCCAAAAAGTCAGTGTAACTATATTTGCTTTATATTTCCAACCCCCCAATTCCATCCATTTCTGAAAATTACAGCAAAAGCAAATGATGTATATTCCCTTTAACCCTAACCATCCTAAATCAGCTAACATTATGAAGTTTAACTTTTTATTAATGAAGTCCGAGTCCAGGGTCCTAAGTCAAGTCCACATTTTCTTGGCTGAATGACACTCGTACTTTTTACCAACAGTGACGGCGTGGCTCGAGTGTTCAGCACAAACCCTGAAAGAATCGCCAGTGCGGAGGCCCAGGACCTGTACAATCAGCAGGTGGCGGCGTTCAGCATGCCCGCCAAAGCCCAGGCCTTCGGCGGGATCAAGATGGAGGACTTACCAGGGAAAGAAGATCTGTCCAAACCAGGTAAAGAGATATAGTCCATATTTTGCTGTAAATTTTAGGGTAAAAACACTAGCAAATTCTGTTAATTGCGGCAGTTTAGTATTTTTTTACTAATTTTACTACTTTTTTTTTAACTCTATTTTCCGAGTAGGCAAGAAGGAAGGGCAGACGAAACTGGTACGCGTCGGTGACACAGTGGAAGCGTACTCGTGGAGCGTCGCGGACAGCAACTGGAACAAGATTGGTGATGTCGTAGGTACGGAAGGGGACGACACGCAACCTAGCAGCAGTAAGGTCATGTATGAAGGCACGGTAAGGACAAACTTTGCATACGAGTGGGGAAAAAAGTATGAACTGTTTACAGTAATACTATGGAGTAATACTTCTTTTAACTTAACATTTCACTCAGTATTCTCAGTATTCCTGAAGATGATCAAAGCACAGTGATTCAAACGTCAACTGGAATTATAAATGATAAATGATAAATGGGAAACAGAAAAAATGGCCCTACAATTTAGAGTATTGAAAGTTATCTGTTGACAGGCATGCAACTTTTCCTCAGATCCGCTTATTTCCTCGTTTTTTTTTAACTTCTCATGAATGCCATTACAAATTGAAAAATACTCTACAAGGTCTCGAGTGGTTTGGAGTTTCCTCGTTTTTCTAATTTCCCAGTTCAGTGCCTGTGTTGGACAGTATAGAAATTTTACAGTATCCTTAATCTAAGCCAAGAAATAGTCATCATCAAAAACTCAAAGATAAGTTGTCTTGTTTTCTTGTACCTTGTTCCTCATCCCTCAAGGAATACGACTACGTCTTCAACGTGGATCTGGAGGAAGGCAAGCCGGCGTTGAAGCTGCCGTACAACATCTCAGAAGATCCCTGGCTGACGGCCCAACGCTTCATCCACTCCAACGACCTGAGCCAACAGTTCCTGGAAGAGATTGCCAACTTCATCATTAAAAACACCAAGGGTGTGACCCTGGGCGGGGCAGCCCCGCCCTCAGGGGGCGATCCCTTTACGGGTAGGTTGGAGTAGCGTTGACCCTGAGTCACTGGTTTAAACAAACTTGTCCAACTAGAATTCAAGAAATTAGGGTTTACTGTCAATCTTGGATGTGGTAAGATTTTCTTAATACTGTTAACTTCCTTTGTAATATTTTGTGAAAAAGCACTCTTTGATATCTCTCTTAGGTAGCAAGATGGGCACCGGTAGAGCGGTTTTTCTGTTATTGCATTATATGAACATTATTCTCTGTTACCTCTCTCATAAGGCGGTTCCCGCTACATCCCCGGTTCCGAGCCCCCTCCTGGCGTTCCTAGAGCAGGCGGAGACCCCACTACTCCGAGATCAGGAACAGATCCCTTCACAGGTAATTCAACCACCACTGATATTCCACTGGAACAGTTTGGGAACTAGACTTTAATTTATAACACAACTTGTTTACTGTCATCTTGCAAAACTTAATAAAAAATCAAATATGATATGTTTTGTTTTCAGGGGCCGGTCGTTATGTTCCTACCTATGGTGCGTCAAGTCAACCAAACCAGATTCCATCTGCCGCACCTCAGACCAAACAGCCCAACCCCTACTTTCCAAAGCTGACGTTTGTGACCTTTGACACAGCTAATGCCCAGGCCATATTAGGTAAATTTCAAATGTTTTCCACGACTATTTCACCCATATCTGTGACCTGTAGTCCATAAATACAGTTTCCTTAAAAAAAAATAGAAAGTTCAAGTGTCATAACCAATACAGTAATTTTCTTACAAATTTAAACGTTTCTGAAGTTCAATATCGGGTTTTGCCCTTCACCGACGTATTTTTATAAACACTGTATACTCAGTGTTGTCCCAAGTGATTGTGAGAAAAAATTCACAACCTACTTGGGTGGGACTCAAACCAGGACCTGCTTACTAGTGCAGACATCTGCAGGAGGTTCAGGGTTCGAGTCCAACCCGAGTAGTGAATTTTTTTCTAACAATCACTCGCCACAACACTGGTTCAGTGTTTATGAAAATACATCGGTGAAGGACAAAACCCAATATTGAATGTACATGCACTTATCAATAATTTCTGAAGGTACCGTTTAGCAAAGACATTTTGATTTGAAACTCACATTTTTTTACTCAATCGTAGCAAAACTGAAAGATTTTAACTCGGCGTTGGATGAGTCCGGTCAGTTGGATGAGGTCGCCTTCGGTCAGCTGGAGCAACTTCTGCTAAACGCGGGTAATTCCGCCAGCCCTACAGCTGAGCAACTCGGTACCTTATGGAGAGCCCTGCAGTGGCCCATGGGTAAGAAAAGTTCAGAAAAATGATTTAGAAACCAAACGTAAACCATGGAAGAAAGTTTTGAACCTGCTGAACGGAACGTCAACTTGAAGATTGACTGGCAGTATAACTTCTACCTGTAGTAATTTTGTGCACTGTTTTTTTCTTTTCATAGACAAGGTATTCCCAGCCATTGACATCCTTCGGCTGGTAATCCGCCACCCAGCCATCAACCAGCACTTCTGCAATCAGACCGACGGGAACCAGTTCCTGTCCCGCCTCCTTCTCCTAGCCTCGGAGAGCTCCACCCCTGCCAGTCGCATGCTTGCCATGAGGACGCTCTCCAACGCTTTCAGCCAACCCCACGGCGCTGAGCTGTTGGCGGCCAATCGCGACACGGTCATCACCTCGGCACTGCAGTGCCAGGGGGTCGCCAACAAAAACCTCCACGTTGCCATGACGACGGTGCTTTTGAATTTCGCAGTCGTCTTGCAGAGCGGGAGTGACATTGAAGCCCGCTCGCATTGCCTGTCGGCCGCGTCGACGATCCTGGACAACGAAAGTGATCCAGAGGCACTCTTCCGACTCCTTGTTGCTATAGGAACGCTCATGAGCGTGGACGACAATGCGCTGGCGATCGGAAAATCACTTGACATTCTCCCAGTGGTCAGGAAACATTGCGCTGTGAAGGAACCCGCCAAAGTCGGAGAATGCGCACAGAAAGTGGCCGCTTTGTTACTATGAGGACGAGTCCTTGTCAAGTTGAACTAAACTGTTGTCTCCTTCAGAGATGCTAGATTTTATAATTTATGCCTTCAATTTAAAAAAAAAATGAAACATTTCCTTAATGAAACACAGCAAACAATGTGTCATTATTTCCAATGCAATGTGAATTGTGGACTATAACTTTGCACTATACTTGGACGAGCAACTTTTGTTAAAAGAAGACCGTGCTGTTCCAATTCCGGGGGGAAATCAAGTTAACTGTGATTACTTCTTGTATTGAGAGTTTATTGATCCGATATCTCTGGGTATTTCGACATATCCTATTATGTCACACTTTTCAAATAACTTTACACGTCTCATTTACCCTTATTCAGATAGTTTCCACTGTAAAACCGGCATATTTTGAAAGTTCGTGACATAAACGTAACTCCAAACTAACAGCCTGCTTCGAAGCTGATTTCACTAAATCTCCGCGCACACTGAGCACACCGTGATAAAATAATGAGTTTGACAATGAAAATTATGTATGTATCCATCGAGAAAAGCACCCAAAATGTTGTTAGCAAGTAGAAAACAACAAATATAACAGCACATTACATGTAAGTGTAGGAAAAGAATGACTAAGAGCAAAACGATTATGCAAAATTAAAAAAAAAAAAAAGTGATGGGGGCTTCAAACTCAAAAAGCTGAGAAACATTAGTTATGAAATAAAGTACTTGCGCCAAAAAAAATCCAATAACTTTTTTGAATTGAATTCGATAGCGACATTACAGCTACACAACGCACACAACGCTAGCACATTACATCAGGTCATGTGACCTGGGAATGAGTTACCTGCCTGGCCAGGGTCAGGCTATTTATAGAAAAAATACAAGTTGGGGGAGGGGACGAATGTTTGAGTCTATTTAAAAAAAAAAAAGGACAAGTTGTCGAGTTAAAACTCAGGCTGTTCCGCACAAAGTCGCAATCAATATGTAGTGCGTGTTATTTACTAAAAAAGGCACACTAGTTACTACTTCTTTATCCTTGAAACTTAATTTAGGTTCATAAAAGTTGACACAAGACAGGGTACCATACTTGTTAGCATAATGTCCAAATTTGTTAGATTTCAAAATTGTAAAATTTGTTAAAGGGACATTTAAGGGAAATAGTGTTTGTTAAAAAAAATAATGATTAAGCCCCAAAACGATGTTGGGAAAGTTCTTTGAGAAACATAATAAAGTAATATAGTTGCCATAAACTTCATAGATTCCATATGTTTATACATTATTTGTATTACAGACAATTAGACAATGTGACTTTATTAAACCATTGTTGTCGCACAATATCTATGCATAAAATTGTGTCAGTTATAAATGGGGGTGGTTATGCCTTAAATGTTGTGGTTATGTTGCAACCAGACACTGCTTTTTTCTTCATATATCATCTCAATGAAGGTCAGTCATTGCAAATATGATGAGATATGAATCTGGGACTGAGAAACATGTCCAAATTTGTTAGGAAATGCTAAGTCTTTTTCTTGACTCTCAAAACCGCTGAAGTGGCGTCAGGTTGCAACATTATTTCCACATTAAATATGGTAATCCTTACTTTTAGGACCCCGTTCCTATATAGGAAGGGAAAGACTCACCAAAACAGTTGACTAAATGACACTCGAAATTGACATTCTGATACTTCTTGGCACATCTGAACAATTGGCAATGACGCCTTCTTGACTTCTAAAGACTGCTTTAGCCTGCAAAAGTCACTTTGGTACTCACAGACATCTGCAAAAGTCGGTTTTGAACAGAACTCGTAAAAAATAGAGGTGTCCTAAAAGTAAGGATTACCTTAAATATAGTAGAATGTCATTTGTTACAAAAGGGGAAAATACAGCACAAATGTTAAGAAAGGTTTTGCACAACGGTACATACCTGCAGCTTAGTTTTTGTTTTACGCCTGATGCCCCCACCGAAGAAATTCTAAGCTCCACCCATCCGTTGGAGCATGAAACGACCTTGCCCCCAAACATCAAGGCGACTTGTACGCACTCGACTCTAACATACACACTGTTGTGGTTGTCCTGAGAACAAGGTTGATCGCAGCACATGTTGATGTGTTGAATACGTGAGCAAAACGAGAGATTTCATCATACGGTAAGAGAAAATGTCCAAAAATTTACGGAAGGTTGTATTATATTGATTCAAAGTTAAATAATTAACAGAAGCACAATAATTATCACATAACGTAGTTGCAATCACAGGCGAGAACTCGGCGAAAATGCACCGACGACGAGGCGAGTGCCGCAGTGCATTATGATCCACACGCGTAGGCCGTAGCACTTGCCCCATTACAAGTATTGTACAATCATGACAATTGGGGGCGATGTGGTACCGCTAAACAGTATGACTGAGCTGAGTCATCAGAACGAAAATCCACGGGTTTTTTTTGCATGTGATCAAAATAGCTTGTGATGATATTCTGTTAGGTAAATTGAATTTTGTGTCAGCATGGCAGGATTGGTTTGTTTTTCTATTTGAATTTTGTTTGTTTGTTTGTTTATTTCTTTGATTTTAAGGGTTCTTTTTGGTTCTTCAAGTTCAAGTTCAACAAGTCAACTTTTTTTTGTTTTGTTGGGGGTGTTTTTTTTGGGAGGGGGAATTAAATGAATTTTTGCGTTTTTGTTTTAATAATGTTTTGTGTTTTTTGGTCATTGTCAAATATGACATTGACAAAGCAATAATTGTGACTGACGAATTTGTTTTGTTTGTTATTTCGCTCTTTTGTTTTGTTTTTGGTTAGTTTTATGTTTTTCTTTTTTTGGTACGCATGGGTCTTGGAGCCAGCATGTGAAGGAAATTGGGGGAGGGGATGAAATAGGCAAAGCTGTGGTGACAGGTGTTCTCTTGTTGACAAGCCCAGCGGAAGCATTCAACTGCTTCTTCATGTTCTTACGATAATTACATTTCCTGTGCAGGACATTTTGGAGTACTCCAGAGAAGAACTCACAAATCACAAGATGGGTCGTCGCCGCTCAAAGAGGAAGCCTCCTCCTAAGAAGAAACTAGTAGGAACGCTGGACACTCAGTTCACGTGTCCCTTCTGCAACCACGAAAAAGCCTGCGAAGTCAAAATGTAAGTTTACTTCCAAATGAAAATGAATAAAACAAAACTGCTACAAAGTGCTTACTGACTGAATTGACCTGAAATAAAAATAGATCGGGGCAAAGTGACATCATTCAATGAAAACATCTGTTCGTTTGCACACCAGTTTTCATTGGTTGCTATGTGTTACCACTCAGTACTGCAAACTCGAGAACCATTGAGTTTCAAGAACATAGGTCTGGGAGCTAGATAAGCAAATGTTTCGATTCTCGCATGATTTTTGCCAAAGGCAAAGACACATGTAATGACAATTTGCAGTTGTGACTTTGAACTGTGACACTGAGGATTCCTGAACAAATTTAAGTAATAAAATTTGACAGATTTTGCAGTTGGTTAGGAAATTGTTTTCAACACATTTGCGATGACTGACCATCGTTGAGATTGCGAAAATTAAAAATGTGACATCAGTATACTGAATGTTGCTTCAGTTTTTACTGAGCGAGTTTTTTTCTTCTGTGACTGGTCAGTGTCAGTCCGCAGCAGATCAGTAAAATCAAACCTTGCTTTTCAAAACTGTAACTATCTTTTAATTTTCATGCATGTCATTTTATTGTTACCGTTCCAGGGATCGGACCAGACAGATTGGAGTCATATCCTGTAGAGTTTGCTTGGAGGATTTCCAGACCAGTATCAATTGTATCCTTCATATCAATTAGAAACACAATTTTTGACCTAAAACAAAGTAAATAGGTCCAGTAAGTTACCATAACAGTGGCAGGTTTCATGACCACAGCTCATTTAGGTTTTTTTTTCCATTACATGTACTTTAAAAACCATTAACCAGTATGCATAAATGAAACACTTGTGTTTTACAGGCCTTTTCACTATGTTTGCAACAATCTTTTAGTTCTTGCTCAAAATTCTCCACAATTTTTGAGGATTTCTTTTAAGAGGTGAAAACATCTTTCTAACCTGAAATTGTGGGTAAAAACTTGTAGGCATCAGTTTTTGTGTTTTATTCTCCAAAATTGGTCAGTGACGGTGCTGTTTTAGAAGTCACTTAAAACTTTGTGTGTAAATGTGTCTTTGACTGTGCTGAATATTTATTATAAAAAAGGATACTACAACATAACCTGGCTAATATAATTTTTAGTAAACATCCTTAACTTGTTTTGACATCAGACTTGACAGAGCCAGTGGACGTGTACAGCGATTGGATTGATGCTTGCGAGTCAGCCAATGGGTAGCGAACGGGGACCCCCGTTAGGGGGAGCGGGCTGTCGATACCTGCTGGATCATAAAAGCATGGATTATTTTGCTGCATGTATATACGCACAAAGTGCGTGTAGTACTTTCGTTGAATGTAAAGCCCATTTTTCTTTTGTGAAAATTTAGATCCCCCCCAAAAAAATCTACTTAAGTGGATGCATGTGTTTCAGAAATAAGAGATGGGGTCCTAACATTTTCCAAACAAAAGGCCAGAATTCCAGAAATCTACCGACCTCTTTTTGAATATTCTTCATTTGTAAATTATTAAATTTAGGTTAAGAATTGTTTGTTAGAACTGGAATTCCCATTTATTTCCATTCAAAAATACCCGAGACAGTTTACTCATTCCTATTGGTCGAGAGCCCGTCTCGTGGGTGGTTTTTAACCGAAACCACTGAAAAAACACCGCTGTGTTCTGCTCCACATCGCATTACGCGCCATGCGCGCCAATCTCCATATAAGGAGATTCATAGCACTACGTGCCTGAGGGACGTACCATGGACAGAGGGGTGTTTCACAAAACAAGAAGGAAAATTGTTGAACAAAATCGTTCCAGTTTGGGCAGTTTTTGTGTGTGTGCTTATTGTGACTTTTTAACCAAAAAGGTATTTGTGAATGGGAATAAATATGCGTTTGGCCGCTTTTAACCAAGTACATTAACTACTTATTTAAAACCAGTTAGGGTCCTGGTTGCCGATAATGGCCTGACCTGAAAGCGCTAAGCACATATTTATTCCCTTAAGAATAACAATCAAGAAAAAATTTTAACACATGAAATAAACTGCTTTTTTTTCCAAATGAACTTAAGGAACCAAAGAAATTCCAAAGAACTAAGTAAAATTGGGATCTTTTTCGGCTATTAATTGCATTTCGCAGGTAGCATACACCAGATGTAGACACTGTAAATTAAATTATGGCGGTCACGGTTTGTGGGAAATTCCGAGCAATAAAATGCCGATTTGGAAACGCAGTTCATTATGACGGAGCATTTGTGACCAAAAGTTTAGAAATATTAAAGCTCATGTAAATGGTTGTTATATTTTAATGTTTATTTTACAAGCAAAAAAATATTAGTAACTGAAAAGTTTGGAATTTTAACGATTTTGCTTTTGGCTTTTATGGTGGGGGGTTCTGTCACGCCTGAACTTAAGACAAATATACAAAGGCTAAAGCTAGGAAACTGGCAGTCGATGCCCCCGTTACATTCTTGGCCTTACGGGGTTGAAATTACAAACTTTGCAAATTGAAGGATAAATACATATTTAAGATTTGTGTTCAAGTTATAGAAATTCTGTCCTCAATTTTAATGTTATATTGTTTGTTTTTCAAGCGGCATTGTTTAATTTCTTGACATTAAAATAAAAGCCAAGACGGAACGTATTCAAAACAGATGGTGGTTTCACACCACCAGCAACACTTGTATTTTGTAATTTTCGCTGGTAGAACAAACAGAAAACTTGACCAAGCATGTAACATTACTAATTGGATTTATTGATCCAGTGTTGGTCTGGTTGACAGAATAAAACCAAAATAGTTGTATCACTTGAGATATATTGCGGATATACATTAATAACTTTCAGGCATATCTGAAGGAAATTGTGAAATCATTCATCAATCAAAACCCAGACATATTTTCTGTGCATAAAAATAACTTCCAAAACTGCTTGTATCAAGCCTCACCTTGTCTAACTGATTATTCATTTACAAGATTGATTTTTGAAGTTGTACAGTTGTAAAACTCAAAGTTACACCTAAATACAAAATTGTTAATCACAATATTTGTCATTTTTCAATTTCAATTTGAGCTGTTGACAGCTAATTCCGTATTTTTTTTCTTGGAACGCTTACAGTAGTATTAATCCTGTAAGGAAAGTGCTGTCAGTAATCTTACAATTAAACATATAAACAACTACCAAAAAGGGCAACTAATTTGTCAAATTTTAATTTACTAATGTAATTGACTGCTGGTATCAATTGCAGATATATGTATAAAGTCTTCAAATCGCAAAAAAATTGATATGATTTGAAGATTAAATAATGTTATGGACATTTTGTTTTAATGAAAAAAAAATAGCACAATTTAAGATTCTCAGTTGAATAATAAAGAAAAAAATCTTCATTGAGACTGTGAAGACGAGACAAAATACTGAATACAAAAATTATTTCTTAAAAGGAATTTTAAGTGCATGTATTGATAACTTTGTAGGAGGAAAAAAAATACTTACCCATTAAATGTACCTTAAGGAGACATTTGCGTCATAAGTTATACCTTGGCAACAAACCGGACATTAGGGAGACTTGATTTTACGGAGACTTTTCCCTGATGTCACAACTCTTATTAGAGGCACACATTACTGTCGCAAATAGGCTAGATTGATTGCTCGTGGTCCAAAACATCAATATATCAAAACTTGTGGGGGTAGGATAAGAGAAACTTGGGGCAAGGGGTCATTGAAGTTTGAAAAAAATGGGATTGTCTCCAAGGCCAAAAAAAAAAGTCTCCGGTTTCTGGTATGCGCGCGCGTCGCCGTAGCCATGCGCGTCGGCAAAATGAAAAGGTTTTTTTTTTCAATAAAAGATGATGTCTCAAAACCACCAAACTCACTGGTTTGACTGGAATCCTGCTGCTGCACAATTTTAACGTGTTTTTAGATGGGGTTATGATCGAGAATAAGTTTTATGTGGCCTCTCCGGACTCCCATACATTTGCACCAAGTTTAGTCGGGCACCATTTGCAGTCATCAGCCGACATTTGAAGCAAAAAAGAAAGGTAAAAAAAAAAAAAAAAGCCGCGTCACCGCACCACTTTTGGGGCAAGCTCCATACCAGAAACCGGAGACTTTTTTTTTTTGGCCTAAGAAACCGTTTCCTGTAATTACTTTACTTATATTTAAAGCATAGTTGCTTGCAAGAAAAGTGCCCCTATTCATTGCCCGAAACAAATGCGTGTAAATTCATCAAAAAAATGTTGCAACTTGAATTCAGAATTTACTCGAGTTGCATCAAAAGTCTATTTGTACCAGAATACTTTCTAAGGCATTTTTTTCTCACACGCAGATGTGAGCTTATCCGGAAATTGGAAAATGAACAACTTCCCCCAGCCTGATCAAAATCCACTCCTCCTGTGATACGACCTTGCCTCACAGCCGGCTCATATCGTGTTTTTTTTTTCTCTTCTTTACGTTGGGGATGATAAAAGTTACCCCCCCCCCAAAAGCAAATACACACACAAAAAAACAAGAACACTATTATTGGTTTCCTGCACAGAGCTTGATTTTGGAGATTTCAGGGAAAGTTCCAAAAGGGTTGATAATGAGTAACAAGCGTGAAGTATTCAGAAAAAACCCGACGTGCAATAATAGGGTACTGTCCGTTGCAAAACTTCACTTTGGAACGCTGTGCAATATCGAAGGTGTAAATTCAAAAGTAAATTCTACCGCATTTGAATTGCTATATAAATTTAAATAAGGATTAAGTTGTACACATAATATGTACTGGTTACTTTTTAACAGTTCTTATATACATGATCATTTGGTTTTTGTGGGTAAACATCTCTTCGTACCCGGTTCCTGTAGTACAATTTATTCGGGAATTTTTTTTAACTTTATTTTTCACTGGTTCCACTATACTCTGACTTGGTAGTCGCCGTTCTGTGTGATGTACCGTACCCATGGCAACGCCTGGTATCCACTCTTCTCAATGATCTTCAAGTAACGAACCTGTTAAAAAAATGAAAATAAGGATCAGTCTATGGGACGGGGGCACTTGTCCAAAAAGCCATCCCCTCCCCCCTCTCAAAGTCCCTTACCCCTCAGTATCCCCAGCCCCCCCCCCCCCCTCCACTGGCTATGCAGCTAAATAGAGTTAGAGAGTTAAAACAATCTTTTGATCGATCGTGATTTTGACAAAAACCCAAAGATCATAATTTTTTTATAGCCTACATACCTGGATACCAGATGTGGTGAAATATGGAATTTCAAACTTGACGCTGATTGGTGGTCGACCTTCTGCTTCCTCGGCCTCCACGCTGGGGAGATTGAAGTGCGCCCTCATGAGGTACTCCTTGCCACCCTGCGTGGAGGACAGAAAATGTACAGTGTTGACAGAAGGAATTAAATTCACAACCAAAGTGCTAAATAAGAATGGATAAATAAAATAAATACCGGGAATGATTTGATGTGCCAGACCACAGCGCTGCTCTCCGGCAGATACTTGGCGTAGCCGACGGTGGTCTTGAATTTAGGCGAGTCGGCATCGTTGGGCACGGGGATAATAATATCGACGTTGTTGGCCGTGGAACGACGTTTGAACTGGCTCTTGGCCTTGATCATGTACTCTACGCGAGAGTGGGAATGCCGCTCAATGACCGACTCGATCCAGATCAGGGGCTTGACCTGAAAAGAAAGAAATATCCATATTTAATGATGGACTTGTTTGTGGAGTCCAGTGCAAGTTACACCAAGCTACTGCCAGAACCCATTTACACTCCTGGGTAGAGAGAGGCAAGTTAGGGTAAAGTGGCTTGCCCAAGAACAAAACAAATGGCCACCAGCTGGATTTGAATCCCCCCAGCCTCTGATCAGAGTTACAAACCACTAACTGCTTGCTAGTACCCGTCTACATTTATACTCCTAAGTAGAGAGAGGCAAGTTAGGGTAAAGTGGCATGCCTAAGAACACAACATGGCCACCAGCTTGATTTGAACCCCCTCCCCCTAGCCTCTGATCTGTTACAAACCACTTAACACTAGCCAGTACCCATTTACATTTATACTCCTAAGTAGAGAGAGGCAGGTTAGGCTAAAGTGGCTTGCCAAGGGACACGACATATGGCCATCAGCTGGATTCGAACCCCTGACCCTCTTATCAAGAGCCACAAACCCTAACTACTAGACCACACTTCCTACCAAGCCTACAGTGCCAGTACACTATGAAATTCCACAGAACTGAAAAAAAAAAAAAAATGGGAATGATTTTTCTACTCACGTGAGTATTAAGCCGATAGGACATGAGTTCGAACTCCCCATCAGGGGGAATGAATGAGATGGTTCGGTCGTTCTCAAAGCGAGACAACCGGACGCACTGATGAAATTTTACGTCCTCCAGCTCCACGGATTTACTTTTGCCGCCCCCTAGAGTTGGCAGGGAGATAAGACAAACAGTTGATCTTTTCCGTAATGTTTTAACTTATGATAAAATCATGCTAAGGAACTTGTCACCTCCTCTAATAATAGAAAACAAGTTGAAAATAAAATGAAATGAACTTGTAAGCAATCTACAAATTTTCATCCCTGAGGGCGCCACACTTACTGCCTGTGTTTTCAAATAGCACTTTGTCGTTCAGTCCTAGTCGCAACTCTGGCATACCGCTCAGGAACACTCGCATCTTGACCGCGCCAACAATCTCACTCCGCAGGACGTTACCATTAGAATTCACCTGCGAAGACAGAAAACAGGGTAACAAAGAATTTAATCTTTCCATTTTGTATTTGCTCTCCAACAAAACAACTGAATCTAAATTTTACACCTAACAAAAGCTTTATGGATTGACAGAATTGGTGGCATTGATTTACCAGAAGATTAACAGATTCGATGACGTCGAGGAAAACCTCATTCTTGCGATATCGGACCCCTTCACTCCTCCACGACACGGCGTTGGTGATGGCTGGCGGGGGTTTGGGGGCAATCTCCAGCTTCTGTCCGACTTGGGTAATATACCTGCCAAAATAATCAAGTTATACAGGGAGAGTTATGTTGGTGCAGTGGTTCTTCTCTTGCCTTCCTCCTCTGTGGCCAAGGTTCAATTCCCACCCTGCCCTTCGTTTTTTCCTCACATCTCTAAAACTAAACATTGCTTTGATTGTCAAAAAAGAAAAAGAAAAAAAGAAAAGTTTTTTGGGAAGGAGTTCACAGGAAGAATTTTTGGGCCTTTTCTTGACTTACTCTTGTAAGATCTTGCTGTCTGTTGTCTGAGGGTAGCCAAAATCAATCAACTCGTCCAGAAGTTCGTAGATCAAGACAAAGTTATCTCTGATGCTTTCCTCTTCTAATTCCTTGAAGTACTCGGTCAGAACCTGGATCCAGACAAAAAAAAATCACAATCGGAGCAATAAGAGGCAGTATTGACGTGGAGTCAATCACAAGTCCATCACAAGTCCTCCAGTCCCAATTCAAGTCACAAGCTATTCAAATGAACTATGACATTGACATTTCTCTGTTACTGTTCATCCAATGTCTTGTGACTGAATAGGCTGGTTAAAGTGAAAGAGGTTTATTTCGATAGCAGCTAAATGTCTGGCTCTGTTCAAAATTAACTTAACCCTAACTCCCTAGCATAATTTACTAGGAACCATACCCATCCTGGCAAATTCCAACACCCACATGGGAAATTGTACACACACACACAATGTTGGACTTAGTTTATGGAGGTATGCCAAACCCAATGTAAAATACCATCAGTTTAGGGGTACTGTACCTATCCTAACAAACAAAACCTGCTGTTGGGCTTTGATGGGTTGAGTTTGGTTAGGGTTAATGGTTGTTTTTTTTATTGGAACCTTTCTGTATCCTCCAAAGTCCTCCAGTGATATATTCTTTGAACTGAAACTTCAAATGGGCATCAATTTCCATAAAATACCAGTGGCTGGGCTCTCCTACCTCAATCCTACAAAATCCAATGGCATACTCTTAGTACCTACCAAATTTCAAGGAGTATCAAGCCCCATAGAAAGTAACATGGCTGGGCTGAGTGGACTCTACCTTCCTCAATCCTACAAAATCCTCCAAAAACCTCCCTGTGGATTTTTATGGATCTTGGATGGTTAGGGTTGACATCAAAAAGCAATGAAAGATGAGAGAACCAAACTCTATGTCATGTTTCCTTCTGGTAAATGTTAGTCACCTACCTCAACGATTTTGTGGAGCATCGTGAAGACGAGCGCTACATTTGCATTCTTCTTGGAACAGGCCACCACTGGGATTTCAGAGTTAAGCAATTTTTTTAGTCTCGAAACAAAAAACCAATAGGCTCATTCACAATTTTATGAAAAAACACTTTATCTGAAAACTTGCCCATTTCCAAGATTTTACATAAATGGCCAATTTACCTCGGTTTGTTAGATTTGGTTTTTCAGTGTATTTTTGAAATTTGAGTTGAAAAAGGTGTTTAATCTAAAAGTAGAAGTTATGTAATAAACAAGAACAATTCATTTCTTGAGATGTTTAATGGGAAACAAAAGTATAATGACAAATTAACACAGACTCATAAAGATGAACATTTGACTTTTCTTTGAAAAGAAAACTTGATGTTAAATTACAATGTTCAGGATGTCATGGGTCCGAGTCCCACCCTAGTAGGCTTGTGACTTTTTGTTGCAAGTCCTCGGACACTACAATGTTTATGAAATTACATCAGTGAAGGGCAAAACCCAATATTAAATGCTCAGTTTTTGTAAAATTCCCTAGACCACAGGTCTCGTTATGTCACAGAAAGCACTAGTCTGAAATTTTGGGACTCTCAATACTGTGCTTGAGAGTCCCAAAACTTAAGATATTGAAAACATGCAAAACAAGAAAATAGACTGGCACATGAAACAACCAGTCCAACATCCCTTTAGTACTGCATCAATCAACTGTGTCGAAAGAAACATCTGGTACCGGTCTCTATTTCTATACATCTTTCCATGGTCTGCCACCAGACCACTGAAGGGTCAATCTTCTCAAAAATGTTGGACATGTACCAGTCTAGTCTTAGGCTTCATATTCAAATCACTTTGAATCACTCTCAGGTGCAAAATGTTGAAGAAAAGTCTCCTCTTAACACTGAATTGAGAACTCAAACTCGGCTGGTGAAATACTGAGGACCTTGTCTTTGCCTAGCCTCATAAAAATTTGGGAGAATTTTGTCAGCTAAAGAGGGACTAAAGTTGGCCTGATTTTGTTTTGCATGTTTTCTGCACTCAAGGTCCCAGTCTGAGAAGGCACTAGATCAGCCGACAAATCGTTGGACTCCATTCAGCAGTCCTGTTGATAGTCCAAGCCCTGATAAGGATACAGTAGAGATTGTTGTACTTGATGTACATGAACGTGACGGCCCCATGTGTTATGATGGGCGAGACTTGACCTTCCTCTTCTGTGTCCAGAATCAGCATCATGAACTTATCCACGGAGGACATGTCCACATCTCCACGGTAGTTTCGGGAAATTAGCACCTAGGGAAAAATTAAGGACAAAAGATAATGATAAATAGGCCTAATACTAGTAATAACAAGTGATAGGCATATTGTTTTGTAATGAACAAACATAATTATTGTGCTTTAAAACAATTTTTTCTTAAATAAGGCTCATGACCCACATCTAACATTTCAAATGTAGCCTAGCACTTAGCAGTTAAAAAAAATGCATAACAAACATTTAATATCTTGAAACTACATTTCATAATAGGGGGCCTATCATGCCTATCACAACATCAGGAAGTCGCTCATAAAATAGCCAATTTATAGGTAGGTATAGTCAGTTATTGCAGACAAACTAAAACAAGCCTAGCAAGAGGGCGGCTATTTAAAAAATTAGTTTTACTTTTAGGATGAAAAATATTAATCTTGCCGTCTTGGAAAATATTTACGTCTCAAAATAATTTAAATAACGGAGGAAATAAGGAATTTCTTTCCACTTAGCCTTAGCTTAGGCCCTAAATAATTCCAAAAAAGTTCATACCGGAAAACTTTATTTAAATTAAAGCTGTATATTCATTTTTTGTCCGGAAATTGGACCACTTCAACATGCACAACCTATTGGCAACCAACGCAATGCATGCAATGCAAAATGTTGCCCATGCGGACACACCTCCAACGTTAATTTACCTTTCCCTTCACATCCAGGAAGAAAACCGCCGACAAAGACATGATGGCAGACTTTAAGCGTCACCTTTCAACTGTCCAAACCGATCATTGGGGATTTAAATTTGACAATTACAAGGGTTTTAGCCCGGAAATTACGGGCCGTAAAACCAAAGCTCTGATGTGGCTGGCCGCAAGTGAGGAATCCCATCATGCACAGCGCGCGCCAGTTCCAGACTTGACCTCAAATGACCTCATTAATATGCATACGTCATGAACGTAAATAAAATGTTCAAACTGCGATCACACAACACGTTTGAAAACTGCTGCGAAAGTTGGCGCCTACAACCTGCCGTACAGGTTTTCAACAATTTTGTCCGAAGGTAACAATTGAAAGATTAGTCTTTGTAGTACATTGTTCTTGGAAATTTGTGTGCAGATTTCGATCATGTAACTCGTGGAATTCAATTTTTAATCATGTTAATTTTGGCTTTGCATTTGACATGTTTGAAACGTGACGAAAAACACTTGAAAAGGAAGTGAATTAAAATTAAATGGGCGGTTCTATCGTGGTTGGGGGGGGGGGGTTGATAAAAGACCATTATCGAGATGATTGTTCATATTTGGTTTCATCTGTTCGTGTTGGTGTTGTGCACATGCCCACATTGTTATCGCCAAACGCATTTCAAACATTTAATATAGGCATGATAGGGCCTTTTAGTTTTAGGGGTCTAATATTTATTTTTAATTTTATTGAATATTATTATTTTATATTAAGCAAAAAAAGTAATGTCGTTATGAAATTATACTAGTCGGTATTTAATAATGATAATACAGTTTTTTTTAAATTCTTATTTTCCAGAAATCATGTACTACATGTAGTTATGGACAAACTTGATCAGCAAGTTTAGATTAAACTGCAAACCCCTCTCGCTCAACCACTTCATATTCCTCCAATCAGGCGTCGTGTGATTTGTCAACGTCTACGGTAAAGACTCTCTACAACCATGCAAGTTCCAGGAAATCCATTCCACACAGCGCAGTTCGACATGAGCATGGTAACCGGTGGGCACGTCAACAGCCACCAGCACAATGGGGCGAACGGTGCCCTCAACGGTGGCTACTGCTTTGGCCAGAAAAGGAAGAGGGTGGAAGTAGAGACGATGGAAGAGCCCAGGCACAAGCGATGCAACCATTTCGAGCCGTCCCTTTTCAGAGGTACATTGAGTCAATTTTGCCAGAGTTGTAATTATTGTACCCTAACTAGGCCATCCGTCCCAACTTAAGCTGGGATAGTCCCTACCAAATTTGGGATTGATGATCAAGTTTCGGGCGTAACATAATCGAACCAATCACAGGTCAATGCACTAGTCAGATCACAAGTTAGTAACAGCGAGGAACAATGACAATGAAATGCCTTGTCACAGATGGTTTGAATAGCTTGTGACTGGACTTAAGACTAGTGATGTACTTGTGATTGACTTGTGATGGATTTGTGATTGGTGTGTGATTGGCTTGTGATTGACTTGTGTGTGATTGACTACTTGTGATTGACTTGTGAATGACTTGTGATTGACTTGTAATGGACTTGTGATTGACTTGTAATGGACTTGTGATTGGCTTGTGATTGGCTTGTGATTGACTTGTGGTGGTTTACATTTGATTGAATTCTCAATTTGGTGCTTACTTTATTAAAACTCAGAACATTTTCTTGTTCAGATGTTTGAGTAGTTTTGATAAGCCACTTTCACATATACATGTAGTTCTGGATGAATTTTCCATGGGCTGTTTTCCGATATTGTTGAATATTTTGTGGTGTGCAATTAGTGCAGCATACTAGTTGGTATAGGGCTGTAGAATATGTAGGAACCAACAAAGTACCTACTCCAATACACTAGTGGTGGGATTTAGATCAGTTTTTTTTTAATTTCAGTTACGATTTTGGAAACGGGATATTTGAAACCAAATTTAGAAAATAAATAAGTCTTCCATTCTTGTGTGACACAGGCTAAAGAAAACAACCAAAACATCCCCTAATTTGCTCCATGGTCTCTGATTGTACATGTATGTAACTACATTTACTTGCTAGTGGTCTTCTTGGTATATGAATAGCCTGCCCATTCAACTTATTAGAGAGTGTCTACCATTGCATGTGGCACCTCACTCCTCACTTTTTGTTGGCATGACTGACTGTTAGCTGAATAGGAACTTCCGGTGAAAAAAAATGAGGATAACCAGATTTTGAAATCTTGTATTTCTCCCACCACTACAATACACCTATGGCAGAGATAATTTAAGCCCCTTTTGCAATGATCCAGTAAGTCAAGAAAATAGAACACTACATGTAGTTGGTGTTGGACTGTACGATGTGTAGCGCTAAATATCACCCAACATCATGATGGGCCAGCAAAGCAATCAGGTCTATCAGTTGGTGTGGGATTGTAAGAGATGTAGAAAACCACGAAGCACATAACCACAACATAATGATCTAGCTTTGTAATTTGCACAAGATACTAGCTGGTGTAGTACTTTGAGATACACTCAACCAAAAAAAAGAAAGTCCCCCCTTAATACTTTTTGTCTAACTCAAAAATTACTGAGCACATCTTGCTCAAATAACGACTGATCAGTACAGAAATTCCTTAGCAATCCAGCCATACTCTTTGTTTGACCTAAAACAGTGATAATGTGTACAAAATTATCCAATTTATGACAAGTGGTACCGAAAAAAAGTTGCACTTTTGTATGCGTGCAAGGTGAGTGTGAACCACAACTTTCACGTATCACACAAAAGTGCAACTGTTTTCAGTATCATTTGTCATAAATTGCATAAATTCGAAGGGGGGGGGGGACTTTCTTTTTTGGTTGAGTGTACGTAGCAACTACACGATACACATTCACTGCTCAAGGCATTTAAGCCAGCTGTGCAGTCAATATAGCTGAACACTGAGGAATAAGAATCTGAATTGTGTAGCTCTAAAAAGCATTTACAACCGTAGTACCAACACATTCCCTCTGGAAAATAAACCAGCACCAATTATAGTTTTTATACATTGAACAATGGATTTACGATTCAACAGTTTTTGGCTGACCTCCGAGAGGTCAACCTACATGTACCTGACACTGATAACAAGGCCACAGTTTGTTTACAGACGACAGTCAGGAAATGCTAGCAACTAAGCCATGAACTTTGTAACAGAGGACTTGGCTTATTTACAGAGAGAGGTTGGCCAAACAATTTTTAAAACTTGTTTGCTACACAAAATATGACCTCAATAGTACATGTTTACATGTACAATTAATTTCTTTAACTGTTCTAGTTTCTTGCTTAGTATATTTTTTCGAAAACATTTATGTGCCCTGACACGATAAGTGAATGAGAAAAGTTAAAGATGTTTGAAAGTGTGTAACATCAGCAGTGATGGTAACAAGTTTTTTTTTGGTTAGCAGTTCCAAAGTTTGTATATTAACATAATATTCAATAACAATTCTCTGGTAAACCCAGTTTGTGTACAGTACACGTATTGTTAGTATGGTGTGATGCACTTGACTGTTCAAGGCTGACTTTTCACAAATTCAGTGTCAAGTGCCAGTAATGTGCCAGCCATGCTGATTTAGTCATGTCAACAGACAAGAGAAACTTGTGCATGACAACTGTGCACTGTGACAATCATTTTGGTCTAAAATGCTTGCAAGCTACATGCATGCATGCATGAAGTTGGAAAATCTTTGCACTGTGTACAGAACTAATTCACTGTAGTTTTGAAATATTTCCGACGAAGACAAAAATTGACTGGTTCCCACCATGTACATGTACGAGCAAAGCAGCATGGAACCAATGATTGAAGACAATTTGACCTTCTCCCCGACCTCAGGTCGCAACTTCCTGCCGGTCAAGGGCTCGGCCAGCGTCTTCCAGTCGGAGGTAGTCAAGCCGAAAGGGGAGACCATGTACCGACCGCTAATGGACGACGTTCTGATCAACATGCGGCATATTGAACAGGTCAGCTTTGAGTCCGGGATGCACTTCATCGGAGACCATCGGGGGAACTACGTTCGCTCCGACCAAGGCAAGTTTAAAGTTCTTTCTTTTCTTGCCCGCAAAATCATGATTATTCATTTATTGGGTCGTTTTACTAGTTATTTGAGACGTAAGATGACTCTGGCAAACAGTCAGAATCTGAACTTTGAACCCCATCATCAGCCAATCAGATTTATGCATGAGGTTTGCTGACGCACTGAATATTCATGAGTCTGAAACTTGAGGGCCAACTTTCTGAGAAATTGCAAAGGATGCTGGGAGATTGATAACCAATAGGAGAGCATGTTACATGTACCCTTGGGTGTAATTTTTTGAAATTATGTCAATCCATATTTGGAAGTGTGCATGAATAATTAATGATATGCAGTCAACACTAAAAATTCGGACTCAGTTAGCTAGGGTAGTCTTACAAAAAGCATGAATAAGTCTACCCTGCGTAGCAAGGATGAAAAACTCAAAAGCCCAATACGTAATAAGGGCAAAACCTAATTTGATTCAATACGTAATAGTTCTCTGTGCTAAGAACATTTTTGTTCTCATTTTCTGCCTCCTTTTTGCAGGTCATGTGATCAACATGTGGCGCTTTGACACAAACCAACAGCGTTTATTTGTCTCCAGGTCGCTACTTTTCACCGACCCCATGACATTCAACGAGCTGCGTTGTATATTACAGACCATGTAGACCAAACGCTGGTCTGGGAACACTATATAACCCAGCAGAAAAGTACTGTAAATAGACCAGCACTGTCCGAGCACACTCCCACCCCTTCAATGGCGTTAGCATTGTGCTAGCTATTGTTCAGATAATCTGTCAAGGGGCCGTTACTTTGTACAATAGCTAGCACAATGGTTTCTCCATTGTTGGGGGCCTCATGAGTGTACAGTTATATCCCTTGGATTTGTATAAGCCCTTTTCACACTAGACAAATCTCGGGGTTGACACAGGGTTGACCGAGGGTTGAAAACATGCATCGTTTCACACTTGAAGAATTTCAACCCTGCGTCAACCCTGAGATTGATTTCGCCCTGGTTTGAACTCAACCCTGCTCCAGACCAGGGTTGAGATTTTCAACCTGGGTGATATTCTTGCCAGGGTTCAAAATAGTAGTAACTGAGCATGATAAGCTTGATTTGCATAAAACAAGTGTGAAACGATGCGGGGTTGAACGCGGGGTTGAAAATCTAAAACTCAACCCGGGGCGGCACTGGGTTGGCCCAGGGTTGAGTTTTACCCGGGTTGAGTTTTACCCTGGTTGAGAGGCTCTAGTGTGAAATGGGCTTATGGAATAGTCCATGTTAACAAACCATTATTGCCATATTGTGACACGCACATATGAGTTTATTGTGCATAATCAGTACCTAAGCAATTTTCTTAACCGTAATTTTAATATTTTGCAAAACAAAATTACACAGACTATCATCATAATAATTTGTTTTTGTAGAAAAAAAAGAAAAATGTATGTGAGTTACTTATACACAAAATTGTAAAACTGATGATGCTTGTTTTGCATTATGGCAATTGTTGTTATAGGTGGCCGCGGACATCCGTTTTTTGGTTTTTTTTACATTTGCTTATCTAGCTCCCAGACTTATGATCTTGAAACTCAATGGTTCTTGAGTCTGGAGTGCTGAATGGTAACACATAGCAACCGATGAAAACTGGTGAGCAAATGAATAGATGTTTCCCGTGGATGACGTCAGTCTGCCGGCACTATAATGAACGATTCAATAAGATCTGTTTATCTGAAGGGGAAAAAAACTGTGTAGGGAAGGCTTCTATCAAAATGACCTACATGTATGGAGTTAGGGTGTTTAGAAGTTCTCAATATAAACTGATGACAACTCAATTATTTGTTGGTAACATTTGTTCATGTATAAAAGGCTGAATATTGTACATACATTTCAGAAATTGATTAAAATATATCCGTAGTTTGAGTAAATTGCAAAAACACATATGTTAGTTTTTGCTGGAAAGTTTGTTGGGCTAATTTAGTTAGGTTTGGCAAAAAAAAATTGGGAAATTTTTTTTCACACAAATCTATGGTCTGCAAGTGCCGTTTAATTTCTAGTCTGGAATTTTTTATCAGTAGAATGTTTATTTCATGTAATGGTATAGGAGGCTCATTCCACTAAGTGATTTTCTATGCCCGCTGCACAGCTTTTATGGAAATTTATAATTAAAGTTTTATGTTATCTACTCAATTAAAATTGTATCCAACGTCAGGTGTTTTTCATCAATTGAAGATTTGAGACTTCAGCTGAAACTTCTGAAAGTTTCCAAATCCTACAAAAACTTTAAAATAAAAAAGACTTCAAAGTTCCAAGTTTAATGTAATAGTCACAATTAAAGGGAAAATACAACATTTGCAAACATCAAAAAAATAAAACTACCAAATCATTTTGAAATACCTTGCTGGACTGTTAGTGAATGACAGTGTAAAGCATCCTGTAAAATCATGGCACCTGGTATACTGTCATTTTCAAGAAAAGTGGTATTTTTGTATCAATATTCAACGCTGGTCAGCCGACCAGCGTTGGAAAAAACTGGCTTTTTTTTCAAATACTGGCCCCAATTGACCATCGCACTTGTTTGCAATCGATTATACACCTATGAACGGGTACAAGCCAGCTGGACTGGTTCCCTGACCTTACGATTCCCCAATGTATGTAAACTGCTCTGTTTCTTCTTATATGGAGTCAGGGAACCAGACTACAGGAAAATGATTGTTTTTCTTGGTTTTATAGCATTTTCGAACCCAAAAGCTCAAAAAAGTCAGTGTAACTATATTTGCTATATATTTCCAACCCCCCAATTCCATCCATTTCTGAAAATTACAGCAAAAGCAAATGATGTATATTCCCTTTAACTACGAAAACCCAGTAACTTTGTAGAAGTTAAAAACAAATCATTAGAGACCAAAGATTTTTTTGTAAGAAAAAGTAAAATAAAAAAAAATATTAAGTTAGACAAGAAATTCAATATCCAAATGTTTCAAAAATTCTTAAACTTTATTATGTTGTGGCTTTTTCCTCAATTACCTATCTCTATACTTTGCTTTTCCATTTCTCTTTTTTCAATTTTAAAACTGGAATTTAAAAATTGCAAGTGCAAATAATGGTGTTAAAGACCAAAATGTGAATTAATTTAACTGAAGCACTTAAAACAAGTTACAAAAAAATGGGTACCTCAAAATGAGCAAATTTAGATTTGCAAGTACAATTTCACAGAATATGTAGAGTTAACCACTTGTACTAAAGTTTAAAAGAAAGTTTAAATTAATCACGACATTATCTGAAATAAAATAAAATAAAAGTGCCACTTTTGTACAATGGTTGTTTGCTGCTGTATTTTCTTAACCCTTCCAGTGCTGCAACATAGAATGTCGTCACGAATTAATGTCATTTGAAGTTTGAAGGAACCGCCACGATGTTTATTTCTGGTATGTTGCCGCTGACGAAACCAGCCATATCAGGTCACATGATCACATTTCCTCGAGGACAATGGAGGGCGCTAGACAATTCAGTCAAACCTGGGAGGGTTTTCCGACCAATGCAGTTCCACTAACGGATTTTCGTCGACAGCAGGTAAAGTTGGATTTATGACTAGAATAATTATTAACCAGTTCGCGCCCGGATTATTTTGACATTCACCAGACCCAGGTGCGGGATTTTTTTCACGAACCTCGATGCCAGACGGGTTTAGGCCGTCATCTGCGGGTAGCACACCCTGATATTTCCGGCCTCACTTGTTTCGTGTGTATAAGTCATCTGTTCCGAATACCGCAAAACCTTTTTATGTACACGTTATCCGACGTTAAGTGGTTAAGTAAAGTATCGACACCTATCCTGCAATTTTGTGACCGCTGTCGTGAAGTGCAAACACACAAAAATCGGCATCCGATCCGAATGAAGAAACACTGCTTTGAAGCTGACAGAAAGATAGTCCTGAATCTGCTGTAACCATGGCAATGCTGTAACCACGCCAATCGTTCGTTTTACCTGTTGGAGATTGTAATAAGCCTTCTCACTTGGTCCAACTGACTTTAGGGATGTCAAAGTGTTCTGTCAGGGTGTCCAGCTTGCTGTTGAATTCCTGCATGAAAAAACAAAAGCCATTATTAATAAAACTTTTTAAAATTATTTTAATTCATCATTCAAATACAGCTTAAATTGCATCAAATAAGCACAATTCAACCAACAACCAGTCAAAACACAATTTAGCCAACACAAGTCCATCAAAATGTGACGATACTTACATTGACTCTGTCTTTGTGTTTCTTCTGGGCTTTCTCCAAAATGCGCTCTGTTTGCTGTAAAATGAAAATAAAAATGTTCAAAATTATTCCCTGCTGAAACGGAAAGTATAAGGGTCTGCTCATACATATCAGGGAGCAACAAAGGACCTTGTGTTGTTTATGCTCGGCCGAGCACAAATGTAGGCCTGTGTTATACTTAAAGTCCTCCACACTGCTCCAGGATGTCCCTGGCTCTGCTTCAACATATTGACAGTGATTGCCGGAGGATTTTGCAGGATTGAGGCAGTGGTCACCCCTCCAAGGACCCCATTCAAGAAAGATTGGAGGATTTTGCATGATTGAGGCTGTATGGTAGTTTTACATGGAGGCAGTTGGAGGATTTTGCAGGATTGAGGCAGTGGTCACCCCTCCAAGGACCCCATTCAAGAAAGATTGGAGGATTTTGCAGGATTGAGGCTGTATGGTATTTTTACATGGAGGCAGTTGGAGGATTTTGCAGGATTGAGGTTACATCCTAGCAAAAATGCCTGGAACACTGATCCTCGATTGCCTACCCTCCTTTCCTGGATCTTAGCGAAGGCTTTCTCGGCCGGCGTTCTCCTGTCAATCTTGGGTTTCGTTTCTCCTTGGCCTTCATCGTCGGCCCCTACTGTTGTCGAGAGCTGCTCCTTGATCTGTTCCAAAGCCTTCTTCTTTTTCTTCTTCCTAAATCATCAGAAAGAAAAATAATTTCTTTATTAAAATGCCTTTTTTATTACTCAATTACTTTATACTGTTTCTGAATTTACATTTACAATCATAGAAATGACCAAACTAGGCTACAACACCAGAAACATAATTTAGGATCCATTTACTTTTCATATTTCATTGCAAGATCAGTCTTTGTTGACAATTGAGTTTGAAGATATTGGCATTGCCATGATTCACAGGAACATAGGCCTAAATGAATAGGCAGGTTCCACACTAAGATTGTCGTTGTGACTGCGTATTCACGAGATGGGAATCAGACCTAATGGAATTTCGGACTTTATTTCCCTTTAACAAAAAAATCCTCCAGAGCCAATATCAGATTCAGAAAAAGATGAAATGTTCTGCAAATTTAATGTAGGATTCAATTAAAAACAATAAAACTTAGTTTAATTCACAAAAAAAATTTAAAGGCAGAAAAAACGTTAGAATTAGTCCGAGCAACTTCATGAACTTGGACCCTACTTCTATCGCATTTTTGTTAAACATTTGGACATGGTCTGGTGATAGTAATAGTAGGGAATTTAATAAGGGAATAAATGTGTGCTCCGGAGGTTTTTATCACTCGTTTAATACCGCTTAGAGTCTGGGTGCTGATAATTACCCGAGCCGGAGGCGAGGGTAATTATCAGCACCCAGACTCTAAGCGGTATTAAACAGAGTGATAAATACCGACCGAGCACATATTTATTCCCATTCATAAATACCTTATCCGTAAAAAAATATCAAATAATTCGTTCAAAAAATCCCGATTTTGTTCAACAAGTTCACTTTATGCTTTTTGAAACATCCCTCTAGCAAAATAATGGAGTGTTCAGCTGGCGAGTAAGATGTAAACAACCCTTTTATGGAGATTGACGCGCGCGTAACATGTTCTGCGCGATGTCACGCAGAACGCACCTGGGGCGTTGCGTTTTGAATTTAGAACTATAAAATTCTGCCTCGCTTGTAGTGTTGCGCATGCCTACGTGAGGATTGTGAACGTTCAACCAATGAAACGGTAAGAGGCACTGGATTTTTAGGAGTCCACATTTTATTGTAACACTGGAAAAGTGTTTAAGACCAGCTAGCCATGTCTTTATCATCCGTTTAAGACCGGCCACGTGACGGGCTCTCGACCAATAGGAATAGCTAAACTGTCTGAGGTATTTATGAATAAATAATAATGTGTTGTATGGTGGTGCAGGCCTACTTGTAATTGTGCGCAGGAGGGCGCTATACGACGCAATGTGCATTCCGACTTAACATGCAGTCTAGAACGAAAAAAATGATTAGGCGTAATGAAGAAACTACTTTTTTGTCAATAAAAAAGGGACCTAACTGATCAAAAAACGGCATGAATGATTCACAATCATATCTACTATTCATGAATAACTCAACTACTCACTTTTTGCTCGATAAGTCACCAATTCCCTTCAGTTTCAAGGTTCCGCCTGCGGTCTGATACGGAGACGCCATTTCAATCGACTCAAAACAATGTCATCTCTTAAATCCATCTGACAAAAAGAGGTTTTTCTTGCCTCCAAGAATTAGCCTACGTCTCGAGCCGCTTCCATTTTCTGCTGTTTTATCTCTTTGATTATGAGCTCTAAACTGACTTAAAACATCCCATAAATTGTGCAAAAAGATAAATGTTGGATATTGCTTTCAAATGAGGGACTCAGCTATGAAAAATCTTAAGCTCCTCCATGCATAGACATAGTTCCGCAGAAAATATGCGAGTACCGAAATACTTCTACAACCGGATCTTCTCCAAGCGCATGTAGTCTACGTCTAGCAAATATGTTATTTTTTTAACAACCAAGCTTGCCGAGTGGTGGCGCTATTTATACAGAATGGAGATAAAAGCTTTCGGGGATGGATGGGGGCGGGGACAAACTGCAACTTTGTGGGAGTATTTGTTCCAATTTTGTCAGCCTTTGTTGCCGAAGAAATGTTTGGCACACTACAAATTGATGCCCATCCACCTCGGCTGCCCCCTAATTTTGACCCTACAACTCCCCACCTCCCCCCTCCCCCCAAAAATTGTCATGTCATGTAGTTGGGGGGGGGTGTCACGTGTTAATTTTCAGTTTATTAATAAAACTAACCATCACAACAAACAGCAAAAAAAATCTACAAACACAAAATATAGTGCAAGCCACATTGCGCGGCATATTATCTTGTTAATGGCCTTTTTTCTTTCAATATTCCAATATCTTTTCAATGTTCCAATAACCTCCTCTCGTACACACTCGGTAAATATTTCAATAAGTCCACCACTCCTTTTCATAAATATTTACACAATATAGATACATATTCCATCGGGAGTTGACATTTTTATAAAGTATGCAAAAATCTAAGTCATAGTGTTCCCCTAAAGTCCCTCCATCAGTAATTCCAACTTCAACTTATTATATGGGAGCAAAAACCAGTCTATGCAGAAAATATCATACAACACATTTGTTGCCAATCAAAATCCAGCCTAGACGGAACCAGTTAAAAACAATACATATTATATGGCATTTTATGGCTGGTAGCCAATCATCTCTAAGCAATACTTTTCATTGTTAAGTGCATTTACTCAGAAATTGGTCTTTGGGCAAAATAATGTGTTAAAAGTTAGGAGGCCCAACAGTTTGAGTCAAAGAAAAATATAACAAATTCTAAATCAATTTAATCATGTAATATTCTTGTGTGGTGCCCAACCCCACCCATACCTTCTGCATCCCTCCCCCGGTTTCATCTCGACACCATACCATTTATTCGTCCAATCTGCAAGCAGTTATTTTCTACATTAAATACAATTGTATTTACATTTCTTTCATTTCTACATTTAGAATTGCACTGAGAAATACGCGAAATGTGCGCTTTTCTGAGCTAATTTAATACGAGCGGTTTGGCGTAGCTCCTGCGAATATAATAATGCTGTATACAGATATGCATTTACAATACAATTGCAATAAAGTCTATTTTTAACATTCCCCACCAGAAGATAAATTGATACAAGTTATACTTCTGTTGTAATTGTGTTGTAATTTTAACAAACATGTTTTTTTTCTAACAGGCTTGTCTATATAAGTTTTGTTGTCATTTCAAAATACGATGACAAAACGGTTTATATAAGGTTTTGGCATCAAAAATGCAGGACGATTCAATAAATTAACAATAGTTTCAATTTATCAAATTAGTTTTTTCTTTATCGGCAAACATTGACCAACATTGACCAATGTTTCAAATTTTGATTCAAAATATTTTTCAAAAAATTTGGGCAGTTGCATATCATTGCTGATTTTTTTTTCTTCAAATATTCTTGTTAAATATGTAAAGCACAACTTTGCTTAATATCATTGGTATCAAGGATAGATTAAAAATCTTCAAAACTATGCGCAGCTTTCTAAATTGAAGCATGGCATACAATATATGGGTGCCCAGCACACAACTTACAGATTATGAATAAGCAAAATATACACAAAACAACTTATTTCCTCAAAAGGCAAAACAAAAAACCCATAAATTTACAAACTGTCCAAAAATAATAAAACGAAAGCAATGTTAGAAACCGAAAAATCATATGCCACATATGCGCAGCTACAGGAATGACGCAACATTTGGAGCAAAATTTTAAGCAATTATCTGAAAAGTCTGAAACTGTTTTTTATGATTAGAAAAATGTAACAAAATTAAGGCATCTGTGTGGTAAGGTATTTGTCTCTTTACAACAATCGGAAGACCCACGTCCGATACACACAATGAATGAATAGAAAACAGAATACAAAAATAATTCAAATTTTTAAAATATTTTTTTTTTTAACCACACACCATGTCAAGGAATCGTTGCAATTCAAACAAAAGACAGTTCAGGAAAATCCACTTCACCAAAAAAAAAAAAAAAATTGGATTTTTTTCGGTAACTACCCACATGTGCAAGACCAGCCAAATCACTGTCACTAATTAATTGTTGGTCCCAAAACACGGACTAGTCTAGCCACGGACCCCTTTCCCGATAGCAAATTTATAATGTTTTTCATTTTTCATTCTTTGTCGATGAGTTGACATATTAAATTAAAACAATGTGCATCAGACATACGCACAGCATAATAAATTTCGTCAACAAAGGCCACTTATTAAACAGGCAGATTTAATCGATGCAAACATTTAATTAGGCTCACCAAATTTCCTCTTTGAATGTTGGAAAAATCATCTCAAAACCTTCAACACCATATCTGAATGCTTTTATTATTGCTTTTTTTTTTGCTGCAAGTAGTCTTAAACTGGCACCTTGGATAACAATGAAATTGCTTTGAAGCATTTTTTTGTCCATGACAACGGACATTTACAGACAACAAACAGTTACAAAACGCTTTGCTGTTGTTTTAATTCCTCACTTGTCCCTTTTTCTATCTCTCTCTCTATCTATCGACAAAAACCCAACTCACTCCAGAAGTTGGTTCAGCCTCTCGAAGCCCCATAGCTTCACCGTTTACACACCTCTTCAAAAGTGGTCAATTTTTAATATAATTAACTTTTGATTTGATAAATAAGTATTTTGCCTGGACAATAATTAGGGTACGATATTCAATCATTTAGTGGTTTGCAACTGATGGTGAATTCTGGCAAAAACAACACATCAGTTTCAAACATATTTCTTTTGGAGAACAACTGTTTTACAAGGTTGTTCATAACTGGCCACTTTCTGAATAAACACACACATTTATCAGATGTGAAATTCCAATTTATAGAGTTGTAATCGCGTCAATCGCAAGGCAATCACGAGTGAATCGCACACCATACATTCTCAAGTCTGTGATTAATTCCCCGTTGATTGTGACTTGACCTGTGATCAGCTTGTGATTGACTTATGATTAGATCCTGACTGATCTGTGATGGACTTTGTAACTGACTTGTGATTGACTACTTATTGGCTTGTGATTGACTCGTGACTGACTGGTGATTGACTTGAGATCGTCTTACGATTGACTTGTGATTCACTTATGATTGACTTGTGATTGACTACATGTTGGCTTGTGATTGACTTGTGACTGACTGGTGATTGACTCAAGATTGACTTGTGATTGACTTGAGATAGACTAATGACCGATTTGAGATTGACTTGTGATTGATCTGAGATTAGCTTGTGATTGACTTATGATTGCCTTGTGATAGACTTACGATTGCCTTGTGATTGACTTATGATTACCTTGTGATTGACTTACGATTGCCTTGTGATTGACTAAGGACTGATCTGAGATTGACTTGTGATTGATCTGAGATTAGCTTATGATAGATCTGAGATTGCCTTGTGATTGCCTTATGATTGCCTTGTGATTGACTACATCACAACTTTGCTAATTTCCTTCCCGTGTCTCACTTTCTCTTGCCAAGCCCCTCCCCTTTCTTACTCCGATGGGAGTGGTGAGGCGAACTCCTCAGACTCTGTTTCTGCTCCACTGACCGACCGCCTCCTCTTTGGCTACTACCCGTCTGATTGGACGTCCGTCGACTGCTACTAACACCGCTACTCTGACTGCACATTGATCGTGGAGTGGCCGCTCCAGAACGTGGCGTGCTGGCGCCCGACCGGTCGGTGTCCGAGTAGTAACTCGGTGCGTGCAGGCTCTCTCTGGATCTGAAACAATTGTACAAAAATGCGTCACAAATTATCATCTGATTTTTGCTTAGCACCAACAATTTGGTAAGCAGGCTCAAAACAAAGAAAGGTGATCAGATGCTCTATTGGCTAAGCAGGAAATGAGTTGTCGGAAACAAAACTGGAAGATAAGCGATTTCTGGACTTGAGGAAAGGGGGGGGGTTCGAACTTACGAGTTTAGACATTCCCCTCTGTCAGGGATGAGCTTCAAGGCGCGGTACAGCTCCACCGTTGTTGGGGTGTTGATGATGGTTCGTTGTCCTACTGGAGTCCTCTCGTTGGGAGGCGTCGAAGGTGCGTGCTCGGCTGCAAAGCCACTAGGACCTAAACAAAAAAAGAAATTCACAATCTTACTTGGGTGGAACTCGAACCCACGACCTCCTGCTTACTAGTGCAGAGGTGTTACCACTCGACCACCGGGCTTGCTGGGTTGTGAATACCCCAACCCATCCACCTCCAACCTAACCCCTAAACCTTTAAAGGTAAACCTCTACAGCGGCTTTAGCCAGGTCTAAATTACATGGCTACGGCTTGTCATTACACGTGCGCCTATGGAAGCGGCTGAAGCCACTTCCCATAGACCCGTGTGTTACAGCTAGCCGTAGTCATTTAATTCAGACGCGTACACAATGTACTTACTACTAGAGGTGTTGATGGACTTGGGCGGTCGGAGAGGTGGCGTGGAGCCCTGCATGCCAGTGGGGCTCAGCATCAACTGCTGCTGGAGGAAACTACCCCGCTCCTCCTCAAACTTCTTACGCTGATGGAGAAAGACAAAAAATACTGCGTGTCAAACTTGCATAATCCTCCTGACATCCTGGCAGTTTGTATACATGTACATGTACAGGCAGTTGGTAAGGACAATTTTCAGTGACGGCCTTGATTGTCCACCCGGCAGGTACCAGTTCTCAGTTGAATAGGGAGTTTGGGTTGAATGGAGAGTTTTGGGTGAGACACCGGACTAACACGTGTTACAGTCATTAGTAATACTGAGCTGAGCTCTCCAGAGACCTCGTAAATGTCCATATTGGAAAGGACCACCTGTCAAGTTTGGTTGAGATTGATGAATGAACTTACAGTGAACTGGAAGACACACACACGGGAACGGACACAGAGACATTGAAGGAATACACGATTGCAATATCCCCCTGCCTGGCTTAAAAGCAAGGGGGATTCCAAAAAAAAAAAAGACTAGAAATTCTCATTCACTGGTCTTTGGAACAAAACATTTGTCAAGAATATTTTTTAGAAAAATGAGCAAACGCTGGCTTTACCTCGTGACCAAGCCTGATGGCCGCGTCGGTGAAATTCCTCCGCTCTTTCTCAAACGCCGCCTTCTGCTGATAGAAAAGCTTCTTCTCCTCCGCGATACATTCTTTCTCCTCAAGAAACTGCGAGTCTTTCAGCAGAGCCATCAGCCCCTCGTCCATACTGCTATCCTGCACGGTCTGAAAGCCAAGACAGATAGACTATTTCTCAAACCATGGGTTCATTTGTAGCTTCGTCTTCAACTCTTAAAATCAAAGCTCAATTTCATAGGGCTGAAACAGTAAGCAGAAAAGTTGTGCTTACTATAGCAGGAAATTGTGCTAACCTTAAGCACTATTTCATGGTGTGGATGTGCTAACGGTTACCATGCATGGAAAGTTTTGTTACATTCCTAATTTAAGCAATTTTTTCCTCGTTTAAAGGTAAGCGTGCCTTTAGCTGTACCTAACTGCTTACAGTCTCCATGAAATAGACGGAATCTCTGTAAGCAGTAAGTTAGGTGCTTAGCAGCGCCATAAAATTGGACCCAGGAGGTTAGATCCTGTAGCCAAAGCCAGAAATGAAAGCAAAGTTTGGGAAATGGCTTTAAAACAAAATCCAGACAAATGAGCAGGCCACAGGACTTGTCTCTACTGGTATCCTGTACAGACTCAAAATGTACAAAACATGATCTGGGACCAGTGAAAATCATTCGTTTGGGTAGCCACTACTTTGAGTGTAGAAAATTGCACAAGAAAACTGTCAATTAACAATGATAAATTTCATTCAGATTTCATTTTTTGTATATATTATTTTTAATTTTAGGGGGGCGAACCACAGACCTGTAATACCTGCTCTTGCTGTTGGATGATATCGTGATACACCTTGACTTTATCTTTCAATCGTGTGATCTCTTCCTCCAAGAGCTCAGTGGACGGACCGTTGTTATTTCCCGGCACATTGGGGTTTGCGGCGTTCTCCTTATTCTCACCCCCTCCGACCCCGACTCCGCCCATCCCCCCGGCCATCTGTTGTTGTTCTTTCTCCATGCGCTGGATGCGTTCCCGTAATTTCTGCCATTTGCTTCTTAGGCTGGTTTCGATGCCTTCCCGGACCATCTCGAAGGGCATCTGGAAGTGGCCGTGGCTGAGCTCGTCCACGGAGGAATCGTCCACTGACGTCGTGTCATCCTCGTGGTCACTGTTGTCACCAAGACTGGATAGCTGCATTTAGACAGGTCAATGACAAAAAACTTAAAGTCTAGGACACCAATGGCAGTTGACATCAATGATAAGGATTGCAATAAAACTGAAAACACTGCAATGACAATGACAAAAATTGTGACATTAATGACAATAATTGCAGTGAAATTGACCAATTCTTTGCAATGAAAATGATAACGATTGCAATAACACTGAAAACACTGCATTGACAATGACAAAAATTGTGATTATGACAAAAATTGCAGTGAAATTGACCAATACAATGAAAATGACATAAATTGCAATGATAAAGAAAATGGGAAAAAATAGTTAATGACAAAAAATTGCAATGAGAAAAATTACCATACAAAATCAGTGATGACTATAACAGTGGAAATATTGAGAATTATAATGACAAACAAAAATAACAAAAAATAACCAATGAAAAGCTTACTTGGGTGGGACTCGAACCCACGACCTCCTGCTTACTAGTGCCGACATTTTACCACTCAACCACAAGAAGTTACTAATGAAAGTTCCCCCTTCAAATTTCAAAAGCAGATTCGAACCAACCAGCTGACCCCATCAAGCTCGGTGTTCGATTGGTAAGACGTCTGCGCTTGTAAGCAGGAGGTCGTGGGTTCGAGTCCCACTTGATGCAGGATTCTCACCAGTCCCTTGTCTCCTTGTCGATTGAGGAGATCCACCAGCTCCTTCTGCATGTTGCTTAAAGACTCTCTCAGGACCTGGTTCTCCAACATCATCTCCTTTTGTCTCTCCTCGTAATTTGTGATGATCAATCGATACATCTCCTCCTCATGCCTTGAGAAAAAAACCCCCAGAAATTTCATGAAAAATGTTACCTTGGTGTCGTTTGAGGTTCTGCACAAAAAATCTCTTCAGGGGTGAGATTGGGCGATAATGACAAATCCACAAAATAATTGGCAGAGGGACTGGGAGTCGCCGATGGCCCCAGAGTAACGTAGGGTCTATGGCATGTGTTTGTATAAGTTTGCCTAAAGGCACTCCTAAAACACCTAATTTTTCTTTTCTATATAACTTTTATAAAAAGAAAAACCTCAGTGGTGATAACTCGGGGAATTCCAGATTTCACAAGGGATTCTTTAAAAAATCCTAAAGTTAGGAAACATCAGAACAAAAAATCCTAAAATCTGGAAAAAATCCCGACAAATCTCACCCCTGCACACGTTTACACAGGTGGGACTCGAACCCATGACCTCCTGCTTAATAGTGCAGGGCAAAACCTGATATTAAATTAACATCTCCCAACGTAAAATCCCCCATACTATTATTGAATAAAGAAATTCAACATTTATTGAATAAAGAAATTCAACATTTATTGAATAAAGAAATTCAACATTTATTGAATAAAGAAATTCAACATTTATTCGACAAAGAAATTGACGGGTAGAAGTTTATAGCCATACTTCACTTACTTTGTACCCGTTTTGCCAGTTTTCCATGTTGCTCTCTTACCGTCGGCCCGCTGCAGTGAGTTCAATATGTCCATTCCTGCAACAGACAAAACATCATAATCAACTTTCAAGATTATACAAATCAGAAATTAACTTTACCCCACCTTGGAAAATTGTGCACCACTCCAAAAAACTTTGGGCCACTTTGAAAATAATGACCCCTTAGGTTTCCCCAACTTCAACCCTAACCCCTTAAGCAATTTTACTAGAAAATATCCTGAATCCGCCGGAATCCATAAATTTTGTCATGTAAAAAATGTTGGTGTCCTGAGTCCATCAGAATCCACCAATGAGTCCATCAGAATCCACCAGTGTAGTACATATACATCATACACACCAAACTTACAGCCAACATGGCCAAGGAGTTAAACTGGTGAGATCCTAAATCCATCAAAGTCCCCAACTGCTCAATATGGAGGTATCCTGAATCCATCAAAATCCTGCAGTCTTGCGAGGCTTACTGTCCTGAATCCATCAAAATCCGCCAACATTTTCAATATGGAGGTATCCTGAATCCGCCGAAATCCTCTAAAACAGGGGTGTGGATTTTGATGGATTCAGGTACGTTAGGGTAAAAGAAAATTTCTATACACATGCCTTTGTCTAAAAACCACTACTTAAAAAAAAAAAACCAAATTGGTGAGACAGCTAATCTTACCTATTCTTCTTTCTTGATTCTTGTCTGTCAGCAGTTGATGTATCCTCTCCTTCATCTTATTGATTTCTCGTTCTTTCTTCTTCAGGTCGTGCTTGAACTGCGTGTCGCGGTGCTTGACAATACTCTCAAGCTTCTTCATCTGAAAAAAAACAAAAGATGACGTGATTTTATGCAAATTTGTGAAAGCATTACGGGGCGACATCGCGGCCAAGCTCCCTACGTCCCGTGCATTGGTAGGTTCGATTGTAGATTTATTGAGCAGTATTTTGGAAAAAAATAGTTCACTTTTCTAAACACAGCAGTTTTTCGCTCTACACGTGAAGCATTAATTGTTCTACTGAAATTTCTGATTTTATTGAAATATCAGTGATGGAAACCAGCACTCAAATTTTTATTCCCGTAAGGAATTCCGGGGAAATTGGACGTGTGGGGGAGTTGGCTAAGTGGTTAGGGTTCTTGACTTGTGATCAGAGGGTTAGAGGTTCGAATCCAGCTGCTGGCCCTGTGTTGTGTCTTTGGGCAAGCCGCTTCACCCCAACGTGCCTCTCTCCACCCAGGAGTATAAATGGGTACCGGCATTAGCTGGGGAGTAACCTGCGATGGACTGGCATCCCATCAAGAAGAAGACAAAATTTCCACTCCATTCATGGCCAAAAAACTGGAGATAAACGCAGGCCTGATGGGCCATACTGGCTCGTGACAGACTTGACTTTACTTGGTGGTTACGTGTGAAACAAACCTCTTCTCTAGTATTCTTGAGTTTTGCAGCAATGGATTTGTTCTGGTTAAGATGCTGTCGGTCTTTCTCCGTCAGCGCTACGTTGTCTCGTTCAACCTGTTCTAGTCGTTCCTTTAGCCGGCCGTGGCTGGACTGTAGATGCTCCAGGTCAGAGTCGCATCGCATCTGTCTGCAAAGAAATCAATGTAAACCCAATTTCAATATCAAAACAATTACAACTGGCAAAGTACAGTATGTTTCAACAACATACTTTTCCTTATGAGTTTAACTTTATTTACCATAATCTAATAATTTGTAATGTGTGCAGGGCTCCAATGGAAACAAGTTTGGAATGGAATAAACACATAAATGAATAACTACCGGTAGTATAGACTCACTGCTTACTTGTGAGAAAAGTTGCAATTCAATCAATCACAAGTCAATCACAACTCAGGTCACAAGTCAGTCACAACTCAATCACAAGTCAATCACACGTCAATCACAAGTCAATTTCAAATCAATCACAAGTCAATCACAAGTCAATCACAAGTCAATCACAAGCCAATCACAAGTCAATCACAAGTCAATTTCAAATCAATCACAAGTCAATCACAAGTCAATCACAAGTCAATCACAAGCCAATCACAAGTCAATCACAAGCCAATCACACGCCAATCAAAAGTCAATCACAAGCCAATCACACGCCAATCACAAGTCAATCACAAGCCAATCACAAGTCAATCACAAGTCAATCACAAGTCAGTTCACAAGAGGGGTGAGCAAAGACAAAGGAATTCTCCCCCCCCCCCCTATAAATAGAGCTCCGCCCTTCCCCAAGTGACTTACTTTGTCTCCATTTCTTCTCGTTTATTGAGGTGTTGCTGGTGTCTTTGCATGAGTTCATAGCAGCAGTTGACTAATTGCACGATATCAAACGGCCCAGACTGGTTCCGGTCCGAGGCGGCATATAGACTCGGGAAACCAAGGACCGTCATCTCCTGCATAATCAACAACAAATAGTCAACTCAAATTAATCAATAACCGATCAAATATCTTTATCACAATGGATGACACACTGCATATTTTGCATATTTGTTTGGTGCAGTACAGTACACACAATGTCTACACAGTCACAGGCTAGCACATTTTTTTCTCCTAAAACTCTTTTTTAAGTGTGAATTTTGGGCAATTCTGTAAACATCGGACATACAGTCGGACACTTTTAGTAATGAGCTGCTGTTGGAAAAGTGAATGTGATACATCACTAATATGTGACGTCTAATGAGCAGAAAACAATTACAGACCAAACTAAGGTACCACCACCTTAACGACCTTGTACATCATGTGGTCGGACATAAGCAGAGAATTTGATTTTACGAAATGCACTTTTGTCTTTTGGGAGGAAAATAGCAAACTCACACTTGTATTATCTAAATTGTGTAATTTTATGCTAATATCAGGCAAAATACCATCAGATTAGAATGTGTGTAGTGTATGTACATGTGTGTGTTTCCATATTGTGAACTGTTCATAGCAGTTATTTTGCCTTTTGGCATTTGCGATGTTTGCTCCAGACAGATGTCATTTCTCAACACGCCAGTAATTGAGGCCTAGTTGCTAAACAAGTGCGCAGTGTCTGTTGAACACCGAAGGCCAATTTCTGAGCCGAGGTGAAACGTGAGCAAATCAGTATCACAGTTGGTAACATTTGTCAGAAATTGGATAATATGTAAAGTGAGACACCAGGAAAAGAGAAAACAAATGTGGGGAAATGTGAGTAATTTTTTTGGGGGGGGGGGGGGATGGGGGGTGTGCAGACAGAAATTGTTTTCCTTGTAATGTTTGCAAGTGACATAAGAAAACAACACATTTCTTGCGTGAGTATGGTCACTAAGTTTCCTTTAATTAAAGTTTGCAATAAACTAGTCGAAAGACAATCAAACAAAATGCTCAGGAAAATGAAAATTTCTATAACAATGATCCAGAAATCATCAACCTTTCCTAAATTTGCCAAAAAATTGATACTTTGAAGTAATTCTTTGTACTTTAAAGACAACTGGAAAAAGATTTGTTCTAGATTTCTGTCAGTCTGCAGGACATGAATAATGTTTGATACATGTATGTGTGCATATTCATAAAGTTTATACATCATGTGTGTCAATTTCTGGTAATTCACATCATCATGACAAACTGTTTTAAGCTCATAGTGGCAACCACCGCAGAGGAAATAAGTGGGGGAGGCTTGTCAACGTAAACACAGCAACCGACTGCACCGATAAACGTGGGATGCCAGCCAAAGGAAACATCCATCAGGGGATCGGTGAAGGAAATGATTACGAACGAGAGGATGTGACCAGCGTCTGTGTCATTCAACCAAGGGAAGAGCTTCTGCATTACACACGAGTGTGGAATTCATACACTCTGACTTAGCAAGTTTTGGGCAAGCCGTGCATGACCCGGCCCAATTTCAATGGGACAAAATGCTTAGAGAATGTATGCACAAAGCGAAAATCCGCGGAGGACCAGTCATCAGTAATTAGTTTAGCATGGTATTCTGGCTGGTGACCTGTTTTTGCTAAGCAGATATTTTCTGTGCTTAGCAGTCTTATGGAATTGGCTCCTGGTCTAAATTGATGAGGCTATGGCTGTGTCCGAATTACTTGGCTTAACAAATTTATACGCTAAGCAAAAATCCGCAGAGGACCAGTCATCAGTAATTAGTTTAGCATGGTATTCTGGCTGGTGACCTGTTTTTGCTAAGCAGATATTATCTGTGCTTAGCAGTCTTATGGAATTGCCTCTTGGTCTTAATTGATGAGGCTTTGGCTGTGTCCGACTTACATGGCTACGGCTTAAATTACACACGCGCCTATGGAAGCCGCTGTAGCCACTTCACATAGACACGTACAGGGTGTAGTCAAGTAATTTGGACACGGCTCTGCATTGAACAGAAATTTTCTAAGCAGAGAAACTATTCGCTTAACAGGAACCGGTTACCGACCAAAACATCATGAAATGTATTGCTAATGACCGGTTCTCAGCTGAGGTTGGCTAAGCACATATAATTTAATTACATTTTCTGTAAATATATCCCTCCTGCTCGACCTGCTGTATGAACAGTCACAGAAAGTCAAAAAATCAATCCTTAACCTCTGCCATGCCTTTTACACAGGCTAGTCACCAACAGTCAAATCATATTTCAAGCAAGCACTGTGAGTAGTCAAATTCAGTCAACAGACAAAAGTAGGCAAGTGGTAAGCACAGCTGGCTTATCAATCTGCTACAGTCAAAGCAAAGCTGCATCAAGTTACATAAACAGTCACAGCCAGTCAATCCTGCTTTCTGAGGGCTGGGAGCTCTTAACTGTTGAAAACAGTCACTTGATTAAATATGACTGAAAGGACAACTTTGCACTGAATGCATGTTTGCATAGGAGGGTTACAGTTACCCTAAACATCTTCATAAATTTGGGTCTATCCTCAATTGTCCCAAAAACCTTCAAACCCTCAGAGTTCAGAAAAAACTATTATCCACTCTCCAGAAGATAAGTTTTTTTTGTCTGACAACAGAAGAATGCCTTTAAGTCACAACTGGCTTAAATTTGAGTTTTTAGAAAAATGGCAAGAGAGTTCTTCCGTGCTCATAAAGAACTAAGGTTGATTTGCATACAAACCTGGTCCAGATATGACACACACTGTTCCAAATTGTCCTTATTGCAAAACGAGGGTCCGAATGTTTGGGACACCCTTCGGCCAGAGCGAGGCGACGTGAACAGCAGGCCCGAGCGCCAACTGTGGTGCATTGTGTGGTGCAAACTGTCGTCCGAGTTGGTGTTTGCCTGGAGGGTGTGGCTCCGCAGGTACTTGGAGACAAAGTCCTCATGGGCAGGGTTGTGGCTGACGGGGGCGTGGCCGGAAGGGGCGTGGCTTGTAGGGACATGGCTTGAAGACGTTTGGGTGTGGCTTGCTGGGGCGCGGCCTGAAGGGGGGAGGCTTGCAGGGGCATGGCTGGAAGGGGCGTGGCTCCGACTCCATGGGTAAAATGCGGACGAGTTCTGGGTGTCCCAGCCTGCCATGGTGGACTGGCTCTCTACGGAGAGCATTTAGTCAACTGGTGGAAAGAGTAACCAAAGACAAAAATAAGAAACTGCCATATGGACAATAATGCTCTGACCAAGGTGAACCAGACTACATCCGGTACCAGAAAGTCAGCGTCGCCATTGTAGTAGGCAAAGATGGTATGCCGCGTGCAGGGAGTAGGCAACCTTCAAAGCTGTGATGGATGGTGAAAACTGTGAGAAAAACGTGGAGCCAACACCCAGTGCTGACTTGGCACGATAATGACAACAGTACACGGCACAGGTAGTGAGCATTACCCTGTTCGACAAAGAATTCAAGGTTATTTTACATAAATATAAGCCTACGTCTAGTTTACCATGCACGACATGGTTGCTAATGAAATGCTTGCCTACTGCAATGGTGGCTGATCATCACAGTGAAACTGGATGGTCACATGGTACATTTTGTACTTTGACATCCTACGTGTGGGCACGTGTGGTCTAGCGGTGGAGCACAGGATTCATGATCGTGAGGTTGTGGGTTCGAGCCCCACCGCGGCCATGCGTGTTGTGCCCTTGAGTAAGGCGCTTTACCTCAATTACTCCTCTCAACCCAGGTGTTAAATGGGTACCGGCATTATTCAATGCTGGGAAGGTAACAGACTCGCTGTGGAGGAGGTGTGGCGATCCCCCCACAGCAGCATATGAGTCTGGCCCAATCGCTAATGAAAGAGAGATGGGCACTCCGTTCCTGTTAACACAGGTTCGTCCCCTTAACCTTTACCTTTTTATATCCTATGATCAGAACGATTACCATATGTACGTGCAACAGCACAGCTGTTACTTCAAATCCTGTCACAAAAATAAAGCATGCATTTCCCCAAAAAATAAAGAGCAGTTTTTAAAATACAGTTGAGAAATTGATTCAGAATAAGATGAATATCCCTACCCTGCTCAAACACAATAACAACTGTAGAACTTTAAGATTAACAAAAGCAGAACAAAATGCATCTGATGTACTGTACTGTCCATACATTCCTTTGCAGAAACGCTGTGTAGTTTACCAGCGATTTACCGGCCGTCACAAACCTTTTAAAAGTCCATCGAAGTCCGTCTGTGATAAATGATTCACAGGAAATTGGCAACTAATTGAATGTGACACCTCCAACACAATGCCTAATGGCCAATGCGCCGACTGTGTCGTTTACACGTTTACACAATAACGTCATATCTCCTGTGCAGTGCAGGGGCGGAGAGCGTTGAACGTTGCCCCTACTTGACTCCGAAACAAAAAACACTGCATGCCAATCATCAGTTGGTAATGTCACAGTGGGTCGACACGTTGTAAATTGTCATGACTTCCGTGAAGGCAGTAAATATCAGTTTACCAATCAAATGGGACTCCTGTTCAAGCTCAAACATGTTCATGTACATCTTCAAATCTGTGAACATTTTTGTACTTTGTCAAATTAAGGGTTTTTTCCGCTGGTGCCAGAGAGCTGGTCTAGTATCCTCTTCGCACCTATCTCACTGACTGACTGACTAACTGTCGGGCAGTGCTATCTTATAGGATTACTCAGCCAATGAATGGGCTAAATCCAATGATATGGGCTAAAACTGTGAAGACCAGATGCATGAAAAGACTTCAGTGAACAGCCATTCCGACACAATAATTGAATAAAATTTGTACGCACTTTGCCCAGCTTTTAATGCTTGCCAAGTCACATCTGTCCAGCAGCTGATGACAACTATGGTTTTAAAATTGACAAGCAAGCCCATTTCATCAATCACCACATTCATGTTGGCCCTGAGGGGGTATCAGTCTTGGGCAAGAACCCAAATTCCAGCCTGGGTGGAGATCTTTCAAGCGAACACCCCCCAAAAATTGTGTCAAAAGTCTGACGATTTATGAAGTTGTCGTGTGACCTAGGGAACCTATGTTCCAGCTGCTACAGACAAACACAGGTTGGTCTGGGCCGTGTATGTTTATTTATGTTCGTTGCTTTCAACATGCCTGCCCGGCCCCTGTATTGGAATAAGCCCTCAGGAATTCAATTAAAATGTTGTTTCGTTGCCGATGGCAACCTAAAATATGGCCACAACAGCCTGGAAAAATATGTAGTGAAATGTCAGCATAAAATTCCATGCTCGTCTTGAAGTCTTTTCCAAAAAATAAAAAAATAAAAAAAATTCTGTCCCATCCTTGAAATCTATGCCAATTTGCATAGCTTTTCATTGTATCCAGTCAGTGTGAAGAGCCGTTGTAATTATTCTCTACACGTATTTGTGAAGTACTGTTAGCCTTTGTTGTCATGACAACAATCCAGGCATGTCCATATTTTATTCTTTTATTTTGCACCTGTTTCACCTTCCAATTATAATACAGAATTAGCATTTGGAATACCGTCATCAGCAGCAGGCATTTAGTGGATCGATAAAAAATGGATTTTTTCTCATTGAAATTTTAATAGGATTCTTCAATAACGACGACAAAATCAACAAAATGCACGGTGATGGTTGATTTGTTTTTACATATGTTGGCACTCTACAAGAATGCTACATACATGTACATACACATGTACAGTGTACGTATGAGCTGGGCAATGCAGTTTTTAAGATACAATTTTTGTTTTCAAATGCATTCTCAAGTTTGTTTTCAAAACACAAATTTCCATGATGGTGAATCTCTCAACAATACATGTTCTTTTTCCCTTGTACAATTACAGTACAATGCAAAGGAGAGACACAGTTTTTATTTTCCTGTTTTATTTTATCTACTTATAATAAATTTGAATATTTGAAAAAGAATTCCGTTCAAATTATCTATGCATGTCAGATGTATATCTGAAATATTACAGAAATTATATTAAAAGTACATTTTAGACACATGTACTGGTACATGTATGTAAGTCAATTTTGACCTTTTTTGACAACGATCTAACTTACATTGTAACTTGAAATCAACAGGTTGACGATAAATAACAGACATGTCACTGGCAAAAGTAAGGAAATTTCAAGCTTTTCAAAACATTCATGGGTGTTTTTTAATTTTCAAGGGCACACAGATCTGAGGAAAAACTTCATGTCTGAAATAAATGTAACATGCAATTTTATCCCCCGAACTATGAATAAAATTCACCATTTCAAATGGTGCTCAACCTAAAATCAGTTTGCGTACTTAGGTTTAGCTGTTTTATGTAAAATGGGGCAGGGTGGCCAGATATGCAAAAAAAACGGCGACCACAAGTTCAGGAATTTGCTCCCCTACAGGGCTCTTTAATCCACCCCCATTATATTACACAAGCTTTGCCTCTTTGGCAGACAAAAATATGTAGTGTCCGTCGCCGCTACCCATTACAAAAGAAGCCTTTGATCAAATGAAAGTTCAATGACATTTCTGGTAAATGCTTGCAACGGGCATCGACAATAACGCTTATTGTTGCGTCTGTTTACTTTACCAAACTTCCCCGTTCAATTCATTCAGGCTTTAATAAATTGGTACGTATTTGCAACTTTGGGCAAGTTTGTATGGTTAGGCTGGTTTTCGAATACGAAAACAAGAAGGTGTGTACATTTCTATGAAAGCCCATCTATGCTCCATGTTTATTTCTATTGAATCTGGATACATACATTGTACAATGTGTATGATGTTCTACATGCAATTTTACATGTACATTTGTAGAACTATTCATTGTGCTAAAATTGTTCACAAGAATGCACTTCAAAACTGTGCATTATTTACTTTAACGTACAGTTATGTACATCATTTTTTGAATTTTGCCAGGCCTCAAAGTCTATATATACAGGCAATCTTTAAACAAAATTTCATTTTATTATTGTGACAATAAAACAACTCTGTTTTAGTGATACTACTCTAATACTCGACTTTGTTTTGCAGTTATCCCTGCATTTTCCTGCATTTTTAGCATTTTAATGTATTTATGACAAATATGCTAATTGTGAGTGCCCATGCGTATTACTGCAATTCATTTCTGCAGGTAGGCTCTTGTGTGTATTTATTCCAATCCATTTCGTTTACTTGACAGACAATGTATGGCCCCATATAAACGGCATGCATAAATTTATTGCAAAGATCTGAGAAGCGACACTCAAAACATGTCTGTAGTTGTGCCTGGTTGCAACCTGTTTTCATTTAGCATACATGTACCTTCTGAATCTACATGCTTAATTTGGTTATTTTATTATTTATTAATAAAATTTATTATTATTTAAAATTTATTATTTATTATTAAGCCCAATTTTATGAATGTCCAAATTTTGTTCAGTTTTTGTTGTCGATACATTTACTAACTACAATTTTGTAGGACTAGTGTGTTCACATAAATACATGTATGATGTATGCATCACGGCAAAATTACAATACATGAAATATTTATGTGAATTCAATTCAATTGAATTAAAAACTCACATGTATTTCCATACCAAATGAGAAATATAAGCAGAGAATACACGAATAAGTAAAAGAATAAGTAAATAGAATTGTCAGAAAGGTGTAGGAGGCAATAATATAAATTATAGGTATGGAAGCATCCTCTAGAACTAACCTAGGCCATGTAGGCTGAGTTGTGGCAAGATGCCTTGGACCGACTATACACAAAACTAAAACGGTAAAACAACTTGAAGTACATACGGAGAGTTGGACAAAGACTGAACCGGCCCGTCCTAAGCATGAAAACTCACATTGTATGAGAAGTGGATTTGGTTTGAATTGGGAAGTAGGCCTAACGTTATATGTAGACCTACAACAATGATTTTTAAGATTTAAACTATTGCTAAAAAATTTGATCCAACATTCATGTCGTCTGATCTAACTCTAAGCACTCAGTCTAAAACAGAGAGTTAAAACACTGGACTGTTGACGGAGTTTATACGAAAATTGCAGGAAAAAACATTATTTATATTCAAGTGATGAAAGTAACTTGGAATGTTTAGTCAATAATTACAACTCAAAACCATGGTTAATATGTAAAACATTATAACATATTTCACTCGAGCGCGTGGCAAAAATGTAATCAAAAGTGATTTTGCTATACACATTAAACAGCGCCATCTAACGTCGAGTTCCCAATTTTAATACGGAGACGGAGTGCGAGTACGACCTTCCGAACACATCCAAAACTCGTTGAATTTTAGGCCATTTAAACAACGACCGATACCAGGATGCTACCTACCTGTGAACTATTTATGCTGATCCATAACTCTTCAATTTTAAGTCCAAACCACCCTGATGTCCATTCCAAAGAACTTGAAAATCGTCGACCTACCTCCCACTTCGGAGTTGTACGGAAGTGATACCTGCATATGATGCTAGCGAAAAAATATATTGCAACGTGTAGTTGGTGTCACTTACAAATACTTTTTTTCATCTACCTAATTTAATTATCCTCCCGAAAAAAACTGGTTTATGGCTGTTTGAAACTTAATATTCTCAGTTTTGTCTTTTTATAGAACTCATTGATCAAAATTCACGCCAAAATTCCGTACAGGGGGGACCAATTTGCCATCAGTGCGCATGCGTATAATTTAATCTTCCCGGCAACTTTTGATTGGTTAACACACCGGCCAATGGAAGAACAGTACAGAAAAAGTTTACCGATTTGGGGCGTCTGCAACCCTCTAAAAATAACCCGCCGTAGTGGATATTTTTTTGTTCGGTGTCTCATCATTCAAAATTGAATAAATTTAATAAATATATTGCAAGGAAAATGTCTATGGTGTGGGTACTATTATTTTTGTGATCGTGTAAACTCATAGAGCTGTATACTACATGCGTAAACAGCGCTCCAAGCGTCCAACATATGATTTTTAAACGCAGCAGCGCCCCCCCCCCCCCCTCGCCCCACCCACTTCTATTAATGGTTTGAATGGATCCCAGGCCCAAGTAATACTGATGCTTTGTGTGTAATGGCTTCAAAAGAAAATTATCTAATTTTCTAATTACCTACCGTTTCCGAAAATCGGATATAACTGCATATGACATCGACACCATAATGTCACGCGCGAGAAACGACGGACGAGCAAGTCTATTTGTAAGGCATTCCAATGACGTCATCCCAAATCTAGAAAGTTCCATTTCGCTGGTGCCGATGGATCCCGCATTCGCTCACCACACAAGCAATCAGCAGGCAGTACCAGGGAAATAATTGTAAACACGGACATTGGACCGACGTACGTAGACTAAATCTAGGCGGCTCCAGATATTGCGGTAAATCTCTAGAAATTTCGAATTTTGATTATATAAATGCGGGAAAGGTGATTCAGTGTTATTTTGTCAGATTGCTTGCCAGTGGAGTATATTTAAGTCAAGTGCATCAAGGCTGCAGTTAACGTATTCTCCTAAAATTCTATTCACTAACTTCTGGATTCGTTGAGCTGTTGAGTGAGTGACAAATCTGTGCCTGTGGCTGTGGCAGTAGTGCGCTGTATTAAAACCCGCTGCATGCTGTATGATGATGTGGTGAAATTGTGTTTTGGGGATTTTTTCCACCGAAATTGGTAAGGCTTAACTCAGTTTTACTTCTGTTTAAAATGTAAATAATGATAATTTCCTTCGACATCTTTTGGACATGTTGCCTTGTTGGATAGTGTGGTTTTAAGAAAATATGTTTATTCATTATGAATCGTTAATTATGCCTTAAGTTAAGTTTAACTTAGTTCGATCGAGTTTAAAATGAATTGCAATTTTGAAATCAATTTCAAAATTATATAACAATTTTTAAAATTTTATTATCATAATTTATGTGCTTTACCCGATATAAATGGAAAGAACGTTGCAATCTGACGCCACTTTTTTCTTCATATATCATCTCAGTGAAGGTCAGTCATTGCAAAAATGATTATAAGACATGAATCTTGGACTGAGAAACATTTCCAATTTTGTTAGGAAATACTCAGAAAATTTTCTTGACTCTCCATAGATTATGTACACAACCGCTGAAGTGGCGTCAGGTTGCAACATTCCTCATAAATAAGTAAATTAAATTTGATTTTCCATTCCTGACTGCTGGCCCAATCGGTATGTTACTCATGCCTGTGTGATTCCCAATACTCGGCTCTCATGACTCAAACTTCTAAAGGAAATTCAATCTGTTTAAAATTGGCCGTTGCAATTACTCTTGCAGTCTGTGCACGCACGCGTACATGTGTCAACTGTGTACTGTGTAATAACAAAAGCTATCAGAGTTAATGTGATCTAATTCAACAAATCCTGTTTGCTAATAATGGAGTTAATAAAACTATGTAAACTTTGTAATTGATTCATTGGTGCTTGAAGTCTGTAGATTCATAGCGCTTGTGTAGGGAAGAGGTTTTGATGAGCAAGGCAGTAGAATCATACGCAATACATGGATCTTTCATGTCCGCATGTAGTTAGCATCCATACACTGTCCAAAGAATTTAACCGGCTTGGCAGAGTAGGCAACTTCTGCTTCTGAAATTGTAAGCAAAGTAAGAAGCAGTGCTTCTTTATGAATTAAAAGGTTAGAGAAAAAAGGGATAAAGGAGAAAAATATGTTAATCAATAATGGACTGAATCTTTTGGAATTTGTAATTTACCCTTTTCACCCTTTTTTGATATTTTGCGCAGGTTGTTTAGTAGCCTCATCAGTCAGTCTCTTCAAATTGAATTGGAAACTTGTCGAGGGAGACCCTTTGCCCTCAGCCGGCGACAATGGGTAAGGATTACTACAAGGTCCTGGGCATCGGCCGCAAAGCTACGGAGGAAGAAATCAAGAAGGCCTACCGCAAGATGGCCCTTAAGTACCACCCAGACAAGAACAAAGCCAAAGGCGCCGAGGAGAGGTTCAAGGAGATCTCGGAGGCGTACGAGGTCCTGAGCGACAAGGAGAAGCGGACCATCTTTGATAAGTACGGCGAGGAGGGTTTGAAGGGGAACGCTGGTCCCGCGCCCGGATCCGGCAACTTCAAATCCTGGTCCTACCACGGGGACCCCAACGCGACCTTCCAGAGCTTCTTTGGTGGACAGGACCCTTTCAAGGTATTCATGAACTTCGGCGGGCAAGGTGGCAGCGGTGGCCACCGCACCGTGTTCTCATCAACCGGCGGGGATCCCATGGAAATAGATGACGATTTTGGTTTTTCCGGCTTTGGGATGCCCGGGATGTCTGGCATGCCCGGAATGTCGGGGATGCAGGGTAGAGCCCCCAAACGCCAGGACCCTTCAGTGCACCACGATCTCAGGGTATCGCTAGAGGACATTAACACGGGCTGCACCAAGAAGATGAAAATCTCGCGGCGGGTGCTGAACTCAGACGGCCGCACCACAAAATCAGAAGACAAAGTACTGGAAATCAACGTCAAGCCAGGCTGGAAGGCCGGCACCAAAATCACATTTCCCAAAGAAGGGGACCAGTATCGGGACCGAATACCGGCAGACATTGTGTTCACATTAAAGGACAAACCTCACCACCATTTTAAGAGGGACGGGAGTAACTTACACTACAAAGCCAAGATTTCACTCAAAGAGGTGAGTTAACCTTGAAAACTTCTGGGGCATTTTTGCCAAATCCTCCCGATTCCACCTTTGACGGAACTTAATTGTAATATTCTTTGTACTTAATCTGTCTAGGGGGGACAAAAGCACGGAACTTTCCTCAGTCCTGCATAATCTTCAAAAAAAACTTTCATGTTTGAACAGAGCCTTTGCCATCAAAAATTTTCTATATTCCTGTCAGTATTCTCTCCAATATTTTGAAAATTGTGAAAAACGTGTTTGTGGTGAAAAAGTTTTTTGTATCGTCAAAAATGATAACAAATATGCGCAGAGCTTAAATTTTAGGGGGTTGGGAGGATGCCAAAATGAAACCTGTTTTCCCCCCCCCCTTCCTTTTTTAAAGTTCCGTGTCATTCATACCAATTGATTACAATTTTATCCATGTTTCCACAGGCTCTAGTCGGCACAACCTTGCGAGTGCCGTCGATCAAAGGCGGCACCATATCAGTGCCGTGCAGAGAGATCATCAAGCCCAGCTCGGTCAAACGGGTGAGTGGGGAAGGACTACCCTACCCCAAGCAGCCCTCGCGGAGAGGCGACATGCAGATCAGCTTCGACATCGGCTTCCCCGAGTACCTCAACAGCTCCACCAAGGAGGTGCTATCTGACTGTCTCCCATGAGGAGCCAACGCTGCAGAGCCATCGGAGCAAAGGCTGCGTTCGCACTGCATTTTTAAAAATTGTTTGGAAAGTTTTTGTAATTGTGCCAGTAGGCAAATCTGTCATGGGAAACAGAGGCCGCGTTGTTTTAAAATTAGATGCTTTTTTTGGAGAAATTTGTTTTTACAAATCATGCGCTGTTCGCACTGGACTTTTCTGATTTGGTCAAAAAATTAAAAATAGCCTGTGAATTTGTCTTGCAGAAATTGATCTTTTACACCAAGGAACGCATGTCCTAGGCTGTACACATTGGACACGAAGTTGGCAACGTTGCCAGATTTTTTTATTCCCTTTGCCCAAAAGTCCAGTGACAACGCAATGTAGAAAGTTACTATGCAAGGCAACAGCTTTCTGTAGTACTTACATATTTTCCAAATTTGATGACTGCATACAATGTACTGCTCATTAGAAAAATCCAGTCGTTATAATTTCTATGATGTTTATACATTAAGGGGTCTAGTATGTTCGCATTTTTCAGATTTGGCCGTTATACTATATCACTTGCCAGTTTTGTTCACTGCCATTTTAACTAGTTCACGTCGGATGACGTGTATACACGCAAAGGTTTTGCGGTATTGGGAACGGGTGACAGATAAACACGAAACGAGCGAGGCCGGAAATATCTGTCTACGACCCATTGCAGCAAGCGAGGCCGCAAATGTCAGGATGTGCTACCCGCAGATGGTGGCCTGAACCCGTCTGGCATCGAGGTTCGTGAAAAACAATCCTGTGCCTGGGTCCATTCAATGTCAAAATTATCTCGGCGTGAACTCACTTTTCCAAAACACAACTAAAACTTCTTTTTGTGTGTTTTTGAAATTTTGTATAAAAGAAAGATTTCTTTTCAGGCTTTCTGGTATAAGTCAAAGAAAAGTTTCATTTTAAATGAACTGGAAAATATTTATGGCAGTACACATCCAAAAACGTCATAAGTGTTAAAAAGTAGCATTACATCTGCTTTGATTTTGACTTGATTATATTGAGTACTCTCTTGGCTAAGTAATGTCATTCTGTGTAAAACGGAGACTTTGGGGACATTGAGAAAGCCTTCTTTTGTTTTCGTTACAACTTGGAGGAATTTGAGGTTTCAGAAACGCAAATCATGGTTGGTTTGGAAATGGGAAGCACTTTTCATAAGCGATGGAACATGGGTATTTCTAGTTTCATGGTGAACTGAGTATTAGCAGTTCTAGTATGAAAGGTGTGAAATTCATGTACGTCACAGAGCAAATTTGATATCTAATTAATGATTCAGAGAAATGATCCAAAACTCCTAGTCTGTAATCTCCTTGACCATTATTAGATTTTCATCTTTTTAGTCTCCGTAACTATCTCCAAAAGTCTTCTTTTTGATGGTACTGAACAAAAGATGAGGAGTTTGTTAGCCGTCATAATTTATATTATTTATAAATTCTGAAATCTGATTAAAAATAGGAAACAAAAGAACAATTGTATTAAGCCAAATACAAATTAACTGTGGCATATTGCCGAAAAAAATGTATATTACTATGTACATGTATATTTTGTTTTATAGAGATTTACTAAATTTAAATTAGAAAACTGCTAAATTGCTGCAGCAATATTTTAGGGATTGTTCACATTTAAGAAAAAATGTAAAGAAATATTCAAAGGTTTTTTTCGGCGTTAACAGTACGACTTGTTTAACTGTAAACTACCTGTAACCTTTCGTATCGTGGGTGGATTAAAAATATAAGTAACAATAAAATAAATGAACATTTTTATTTTCAGCTGAAAAATGCAAAGTTTTTGTCTACAGAGCCTTTAGTAGAAGTATTTGTGAAAAAGAAATATATTTAGTTGATGAGGGATTTCCTGTTTCCTTTGCGGTTTAGCAATGCACAAAACAAGTGCGCTTAAAAAAGCTTAAAAGTTTTTGTAGACTCTGGAGATGAGCCAATGAATGAGGATGATTCACGCTGGTACCATCCTGTGCTGTGGTTGACATAGTTATTTAATTATAGCATGTAATGGTCAGTCTCATCTGTATCAAGAAGAGTGCACAAATCGTCGGTAGCACCAACGAAGTGACGTATCATGTGCACAAAGTCCATAGACGATACGTCACTTCGTGGTGCGACCGACGAACTAAGGCACTTCTCGTGTGCATAATGTACGTATAGATTGTTTGCGCGGCGGCCATGTTTGGGGTGTGCGCTTTTGTTCAACAGGGATATGTATGAGTGGACTTCTTATTACTGAATTCCTTGTTATTGAATTGACACAAAATGCTTCATAGATGAATGCATTTCAACTTTTCATCCTTTCATCCTGTCACTGTGGGGTTCAACATTTTGGATATATCATTGTGAGAACATTACTTGGATTTGCTTTTTGCACATGTGATGAATTTTTGGTTACAAAAAAAAAAGTACAAATAAGAAAAGATATTGAAAGAGAACACAGTTAAAATGATGTGATATATAAAAAAAAAGCAGTCTGTGTGTATCCTCCTGGCTTTCTTTGATCTTTGAAAACTCTACGAAAATTTCATTCAAAATCTTGACCACCCTTTCAAATTTCAACTCTATACTGCTGTTTTGTTAGCCTTTACTCCGAAACAAGTAAACAAGTCTGGATGGAATTTTATGTTGCTTGTGAAAAATGAATATTTAATTTTGACTGAAATAACGAAGAAAACCAGCCAATAAGTCCAAGTTTCTTTCCTTAGCACAGGATTTTTTCTTGTTATTATAGTAAATGTTGTGCGACTTGTGCTTGATTTATGACGTCACATTTGGTGCTGAAAATGCATGACAATTTACTAACATTGAGAGCAAATAGAGTCTAAATGAGTCTATGTGGCATTGTGTCAGTTTCACTTATTTTAGTTTTCTCATTTAGTTTATCTGTAACTGAAAAATAAAAACCCAATATTTTGTATGTATTTATTTGATGTTTAATCTATGTGTATCATATAGCAGGATTGTTGAATTTAATAAAACTTATTTTTTTGGTACAAATTTTGAATTTCTTTTCTTTTTTCTTGTGTTCTCTTGTATTTGTGCTCAAGTACGAAAAATGGTTTTCAACAAGTAATGGGATGACTAATAAGTCTGAAACTGTCATTTGGGAAAATAAATATTTTTTTTTGAAGAGGACGAGTGCTACAACAAAAACATCACTTCAATTTTTGTCGCCATCCCTATCTCTATCAGAAAATTGCAAAAACACAACACATACACTCTTTAATGAACAACGGGAAATTTAATTCAATTCATCCTAATCCATGTAGAAACAGGACGATTTGGTCAATATTTTGAAGACGATTTGCAAGAATTAAAAAAAAAACAGCAAAAACGAATTTTTTTTCACAAACTTTGATTATAATTAGCAAAAAGTAGACTAATTAGTAAATTCCGACATTATACTTAACAGCTGCTTTTTACATCACACCAAGTAATATTCAATCAACCGGATTTCCTTTTACTTAAGGAAAAACACCTTGGTTAATTTGTGGAATTAACCAAAATAAGGCTTATGTGGGTGGGGCTTTCATTATAAAGGCCTTGGGAACCTAATTTGGTTGGCAACAAAACTGGCCATTGGCCAACTTTCATTGCTCTGGCTACTTTCCAAAGGTTCTCTTACCAAAAATAAAAAAAACATTTGAGAAACATTCCTTCTTTTGCAGCTCTTACAAATTTTGGCAACGGAGTTGATGTTTGAATTTTTTTCTTGAAAATTATCTCAATGTTACATAAATGCATAAAGACAATGAGGTACATTGCAGTATCGTTAAATTTTAAAAATGGATTTTAGCAAAAAATCAAAATAACATGGCAGCTGAACATTGCGCTGATTATTTTGTTGTTATTTTTTTTTAAGTTATGATTTCAAAAAAGTTTCTAGTGGGTTGCCAAGCTCGAAATTCTACCCTAGAGACGTTCTATTAAAGGGTCTTCTACTGATGATGTAACTTATACTTCAAGTCAGTACTGCGTTCATCGGAATTTCCAAATGATAACATTTCCCCTTGAATTCACACATTTTACAATTCAATCCATTAAAATATCAAAAAATGCGTTTCAATTCCTTAAATTGGAGTCGTCACTGTCTTTTACGTTAAAAAGCCTCGCATGAATTTAACATCATTTTTAGAATGTTAAATCGAAAAAAAATTTACAATATAGAAAACGCTCAATACAATCCAGATCGTACCATTCAAAATGTTCCAAACATTCACACATCAAAAATGATTACATTCAAATCACAAAATTGTGATTTTTTTCATATTTTTTTTTTAAACAAAAGACAGCCGATTCACAGACTTACTCTTGCGGGGGCGCTACGATCGGTTTCCATTTCTGAAAACCACATTCTGCTCCACTCGTCCAATCAGAAGGTCGAGGGTTAGAGGAGGAACGGAACGATTGACTTGCGACTTCGCGGGTAGTTGGAGAACTCTTTCTTGTAGTTGCGGTGCTTGCCCAGAGCCCAGATGGCCATCTGGACAAAGCCGGCCGTGGTGAAAAGGAGAGCTGAAGATGCAGAAGGGGGGGGGGGGGGGGTTGGGAGGAGGGAGAATCCAACCATACAAAAATTAACGTTTATTTATCATAATTTTCTTATCCCTCTAAGCGGGAAGTCAATACTCACAGTTATATGCAAAACCCTTGAAAACCTTACAGGCCAGTTTCAGGTGAAGGGATATGAAGTGTTCAAGTAACTGTGTCACACAGAGAGTCACTGCACAATAAACAGCACTGTGGAGAGCAGTGAAGCGTGACTGAATCTGCCCGCTTGCCCTGAGCTTAACCACATAAAAGAATTGTGCAGGGATTTGAAGTGTTATCCATATTTCACAGAAGATTACCTCCAAAGAATTTGAAATGCGGCTGCTAAATCTATGGGAAAAGTGGTTTTGCAAAACTTGAAGGGTTGTAGCGTGCAGAAGACTAGGTCACAATTTCATGGCGCTGCTTAACAGTTAGCAGAAAAGTTGTGCTTAGCACAGCAGACAAATTTGCTAACCTGTGGCACTATTTCATGGCGTGGATGTGCTAACGGTCGCGCATGCATGGAGATTTCTATTGTAACGTCACTGGTTTAAGCAGCTTTTTCCACTGAGGTAAGCGTGCCTTTTGATGTGCTTATGCTTACGGTCTCCATGAAATAGACGGAGGCTTTGTTAGCAGAAAATTGTGTGCTTAGCAGCGCCGTGAAATTCAGCCTAGGTGGGTTAATCTCTTTAGCAACTCTTAAGGACTGTAAGCAGGAACAGTTTGATAGATCTGCAAACCACAGAATTCTCTGCTTACAAGCATCGTTCTCTATCAACAGCGCTAGCACAGAAATTCTGTGCTAAGCCTGTAAGCATAGAATCCTTAGCTACGGGATGTATGCAGGTGCACAAGTCACAATTCCTAGCTAACCCATGAAATGTGCTAACCATAAGTGCTAAATGTTCTGCTTACGGACAGCAGAGCCATGGATTGGGCCGGGTCATATCATTAGAACCTACTCTTACCAGGCAGACACTGAGTCATAACACTGAACGCGATCCAGGCGCCGGCTTCGTAGGTGTAGTTGGGACAGCTAACCATGCTGAAGAGGAACGTCATGGGGTTGGCCGTGGGCTGGGGGATGCGACGTTCTTTGGTGCCGGGCGGGCGCAGGTTGCGGAAGGCGACGTGGATGCTGAAGTTACCAAGCTCGCAAAACTGTCAGATAGAGACATTAAAGAATTATCAGGCATGCAACTTGGAAGTAACAAAAAAGGAAACTCCTAACTTTACAAGACTTTGTACAGTGTTTTTCAATTTTTAATGGCATCAGTGTGAAGTGAAAAACGAGGAAATCAGCTGATCCGAGGAAAATGTGCATGCCTGAATTATCAAAGCTTGTGCATAAAGTCAACAGTCAGTGAGACTAAAAGATCTGGCAACATAGGTGTTATGATATTGTATTGAATTCAGGGCACCAGACCAGGAGTGAGATTTGGGAAAAAATGAAAAATCCATGAAATACTTAGCAGATGGTTTGAGGGTCGCTGAGCGCATCAGAGCAACGTAGGGTCTATGGTATGTTTGCATTAGCCTAAAGGCACCCCCTTAAAATACCCATTGCCTTTATGATAAATCTCTGGAATTCCAGATTTTAAAAGGGATTCTTACAAAAATCCTGAAATAAGTCAAGGAAAATCCTGACAGAAAATCCTAAAATCAGGAAAAAATCCTGACAAATCTCAACCCTGCCACACAAATAAAAAAGACATTTAAAAATCCTTGAAAAAACCTATTGTCACTTACCAGGAAGAATGCAAGCCCACCGTAGATTTGAATATCGCCACCAGCTGAAAGACACAGAGGCAAGATTCAGGGTAAAATGAAACAAAAAATGGGAAAAATGTGACCAGATTCCACAAAATGAGTCTAATGGACACATTTCACTTTTATATTTTCCATAAGTGTGCATTAGAAAGAGCATTTCAATAAACTCTTCATTTTGATATATATCACATCTTTTAAACTCTGTGCCGAAACTGAGGTTACATCTTTTTCGAATTCATCAGAATCTGAGTGAAGGATTTTACCTGGTGGCGTGTACAGCGGATGGTTGACAAAGTACGCCACGAAGGCAGCAAACCCCCAGTAGTAGGAAGAATTCTGCAATGGAAAAAAAAGAAGAAATTTAGAAGAAAAAATTTATGATAAAAAAACCTTTACAGAACTGCATCAATTATGGGATGGTATGGATTCTGTGCACATACAGTTGATGGTGTTCTGTGACCATGTATGAGAGCTAAATACGAAGAGACACATTACGCACGCGCACCGTTTAACACGCGTTTAGCACCCACGACTCACTTTAATCTGAACGCGTACAAGCTCATACGAGTCCCATGATAGAAATGAATTCGAATTCCCCCTCAACACCCGTTCATACTTCACGAATGCGGATGCAAAGTGAACATGATGTCAGGAAACATTCGCTGTGAAATTTGCCAGAGTTGGAATGTGTTCAACAGTTGCGAATTTTCAGCGCGAATACTTGCCATGACGACACAGATTCTATTCACGTTCACTTTCAAGCCAGGTATGAACCGTGTCTTAACTCCCCCTATCTCTCTCTGTTACCTGGTTAAGGGGGTACTTGTTAACGGAGTCCGTAGCGATAAAAAAATTCCTCATTATTTTCGTACCTTGAAGATGTTTAAGATGGGCATCGTGGCATGGGAGAAGCGATGCACAAAGACCGTCTCAAAGAGCCTCTTGGCATAATGGAATGTCCAACACACGGCTGCAAGTCTGTTGAAAGGCGTCAACATGCATGAATCTTTTTGAAAACATTATTTTGGGGGCGATTATAGGTTGTGGGTTCATGTCCAGCTTGGGGGCTGCATTGCATGTGTCCCTGGGCAATACACTTTGTCACAATATTGCTTCTCCCCTCCAAGCATGCCAAGGGGCAACTTTGTACCTGTGAGGGTAGAGATAGTTTTGTTTGAGCTCTGCCTTTTGTTGCAAAATGACAGCATCAAGCTGTATACTCCCCAGGGAGCCAAGATGGTCTTCGGACTGCTTCATGAGTTGATTTAGGCTCAACAGGACAGCATTTATCTCAAGTTTTCTTGGCATAAACTTAGAATATTTTCTACCCTCAGATGGATGCCAGTCCATCACAGGTTACTCCCTAGCTATTTTTGGTAACCAGTTAAACTCCTGGATCAAGTGAGACAAGTTGAGGTAAAGTGGCTTGCCTAAGGACATAACAAACAGCCACTGGCAGTAACTGGATTCGAACCCCTGACCCTCTGAACACTCCCATACTTGACTTTGATGCGCAAGGGTAATAATAGTACTTCATCAATCTTAACAATACTTACTGCACCACCGGTTGCCTCACGGCATTGACGTTTGCAGCTCCGTAGATGAGCGCAGGACGCATGTAGAAGAGCAGGTAGATAAATAAGGGACCAGCGTACTCAGTCATAAACACCTGGGAAAGAAATCTTTTCTGTTAACCGTCTATTTCAATTAAACAAAACATTTCACAAAAAAAGAACGGCAAATTGGCAATTCGACAATCCAGAGGGTGCAGGTTCAAACTCTACGCCAGTCAATTTCTTCATTCAACTACCCAAAAAAGAACAACAAAAGACTGTGCTGTGGCCTCGTGGTCTGGGGCATTGAACTCGTGGTCTGTGGGTAATTCTGCAGGTTGTGGGTTCGAGCCCAGCCTGGGGTTATGGTGCGAATGCCCTTGGGCAAGGCACTTTGTCACTCATTGCTTCTCTCCACCCAGGAGTAAATGGGTACCTGTGAGGGCAGAGATGGTTATTGTGATTGATTCTAGCTGCCTTGCGCCGAAATGGCAGCATCGAGCTGTATACTCCCCAGGGAGCTGAGATGGTATTTGGAATGTTTCATTGGCCCAATGATCAGGGGTAATAATAAAATAAAGCGCTTTGATCTTAAACACGCTATATAAGAACTTGTTACTATTATTATTATTAGTATTGTTATAATTGCTTACTTTCTTGGACTTTTTAAAGGGTCTTCGTCACATTGACCATTACTCCCTTGGCATTTTTGCTAAGAACCCTTTGCCAGATTCTTCCGACTTTCTCCGCTGTGCAGTAAATGAACGCCTCATTCTTCAGACTGAGTTTTGCTCAACTTACGGTAGTCCAGCCCACTTGTGGGCCCAGGTCTTTGAAGTAGAGCTTGCCACTACGGCCTAGGTCTAGAGACTCCAGTGTGCAGTCATCCTTCAGGGACTTTCCCTCTGAAAACAGCAAAGAAATCGACATTAATCTCTTCTTTTTTTTTACAAACTCTCCAGAAAATTTTGATATATGCCAAAAGACTGGCAAAACAAATTGTTTTTGGCAATGGTTATAACAGAAATATGATTTTTTTTTTAATGTAACAATGGAGTTTCATTTTATTTGCAAAATGAGATGTGACAAAAAGTTGTGAGTACTAACTTGAGGAAGTACGGAAGGACTGCCGATCCGCGTACAGATTTCTCTCTGGAACAAAAAGACAAGAACAAAATCAAATACTCTCAATGTAGTCTTGAACATCAAATCTTCACAAATCTCAGTACTGCCAATTTATTTGTTCACTTCAGAAACAGTTACTCACTAAATATTGCATATTGTGAATTTTGTGCTGACTGCTTTTATATAGTGAATTTTTTAAGTAATAAGATGTTTATTTCTCATGTGCTTACTTTTGAGGTGGACCTGTGTCTTGACATCAGCGATAGTTGTGGCCTTGCCAAGCTGCAAACAATCACATAAACAAATCATAAAAATAACCGACGTCTTTCTTACAATAAACCATTATTGCGGATGCGAAGATTCCCTTTTATAAGCAAAATTTGGTTTGACATCATGAGAAACATCAGAATACTTACGCCCGTTAATGTAAGAAGTTCCTTACTGCTCCTTGCATCCAATATTTTGATCTGCAAAATATGAGAACAAGAAAAACTGGCGTTTGTTTTTAAAATTTCATTTCAGAGTTGATATAGCTGATTATAGGCCTAATAAAAAATACAAGAACATTGCTTCACTTTATGTCTTTAGTGTCCTCATTGTCCTCCCTATATCCTTGAGTCACCATAATCGGCGCAGGTAACGCTTGCAACGCGCGTGCGTTGTCCAACGCAAATTGAATGGGAGTGCGTCGAAATAGATCCTCGTTGTTTTAGGTGGACTGACGATATACAAAATGTGGGGTCACTTTTAAGTTTTAAGGAAAACGATACCTGATGTCTGATGATATGGATGAGTCAATCATTATTCAGAAATAATTTAACAATGTGAACAGGGTCAATGACGTTTTACTTTTAGAAATTAGACGTTAGGCCCTAAATGTAGTCAGAATTCTCAACCTTTTCTTTCAGTTTCAGGCAATAGTTTCATATAAAACTAAGGGCTTTTAGGAGCAAATAATTCATCAGTGCAAATATTTTATTTTCCAGTTGCCAAACCCCAAGGAGTGGCATTTCGGTCGCTTGCCCCCCCCCCCCCCCCCCCCCCCCCCCCCCCCCCCCCCCCCCCCCAATACCCCCACCCTACCCCGCCCTTCGGACATTTGTCGGACACATGTCGGATGATGGAGAAAGAAATTAAATGCATGATAAATCATTCCCTTTACTGTCCTAGGTTAGGGTTATGTTGCTGCTAATTAGCTCAACTAAAGAGTGTCAAGTGTGTACAATACACTTTGCATTTCTAACATATCTTAATATAATAATATCTCCGTACTCACGTCCATTTTGGGGTGTTTTTGGCCTCACGAAACAGCACAAAATCTCAGGTTTACACTGAACCGAACGAAATCACGCCATGCGACACCTTGAACAGCGCCCTCATTCAAGGTAAATCCTTCCAGTTTGGTTTCCCACTCAGCAAACGGCATGTCCAAAATGCCACGACGGTACGTAGGAAACCGACAAATATTTTTCCCCAGGGTAAAACAAAAAGGTGATTAATTTAGTGATGTAACAAACATGTTAAGGATTTTTGAGGCTAAAGTCCAATTAATTCGAGAAGCAGCTTAAAAACTGGATCAGATAGATGGGACTTATAATTATTAACTCAAGTTTGGTCGGAGATGGGCGTGGCTTCACATGGGTGTGAGAGTGGGGGAGGGGGCGCATGAGCAAAATCGATCCAAGTGGCCTAAAAAGGACCTAATTTGAAAGAACCGTGAGCTCATTTTCTGGTGGGGCACTCAGTTGGTTTCAAACAAAGCAAAACGTCACTGTTTTGCATCCCAACAAGGGGGGGGGGGAGGCTTCGATTGGGGGCATGCAACAACATGTACCAGAAATGCACTACACAGGGCGAGCCAAAAAACAAACGAAACCCAAATGGCAGGACCATTTCTTTGAATGAAGTTTTGCCCGTAGCACTTTCAAAATCTAGGATATGAAAGCCCAATTAATGAGCTTTCTTTAAGTACAAAAATCATTCAAATCACTAATGTACTTTTCAAGTTACGGAATTTTGAACACAAACACCGTTTTAAAGTTCTGTCCACGGATCACAAAAATGTAAGTGTGGCAGAACATTAAAACGGTGTTTGTGTTCGAAATTCCGTTACTTGAAAAGTTCATGAGTGATTTGAATGATTCGTGTACTAAAAGAAAGTTTAATAACTGGGCTTTCATATCCTAGATTTTGAAAGTGCTACTGTCAAAAGTTCATTTAAAAACTGGTCCTGCCATTTGGTTTCGTTTTTTTTACTCACCCTGTACATGGAAAAATTCACTACCCAAAAAATGCAATTTTGTTCCATTTCATATTTTATTTCCAAAGCTCATTCAATTTGGATTGCCTTCGCAACTTTAATTTATATTTATTACAAACCTTCGTCCGGTTAACTTCCCCATGTCATTTTACTTTCCACGTCCCATTCTACGATTTCACGGACAGGCCATCTATGGGTGTGTTCATTTCATTAGCATAAACAACTGCTGGACTATCTTTCAAAAATTCATTGATGATTGACTTAAAATATACAGAGTTTACTGTTTACATTCGATGTTGGAGTGAAGGTGCTTACTATGTATAATACAAAGGACGATTTTCGTTGATTCTGCTGCATTTGGTGAACACTAACATTCAGTTATTACAAAAATTACTGTTAACTCAAAAGTTAATTACATTACAACTACTTTTGACTTAATCCATGAAAGTGGTATTAAATAACAAGCCCCGTCTTTTGACAACTTGATTTGCAAACAAAGCATAAAAAATGAGGATTTAATTGGCCTTAAAAAAAATCAAAGTCAACTGAGCCTTGAGAAATTTGGTAAAATTTATTTTAACTTTCTTCTTCTCTTACTTTTCTGACAATTTACTGAAGGCAATGTCACTAAAGTAATTTTGGGTCGAGAAAAACATGCAACAACAAAATACTCGCGTGGTAACAAAGGTGGTTTTTTTTTGATAAATTGTTTAAATAAACAATATTTTAGCAACCCAGTTCAGCCGTACAACCAAGCAAAACAATCACTATTGGGCCTTGTTTATCATCAAAGTGACACCAAAACTAACTTTTTTGAGCCTCAAATACTCGTGCTATATTTTTCTTTCAAAAACCAGTTTTTCCTAACAAAATGTACCCCGACCAGCTGTGTACAATCCACAGGGTCAAAGTCACAAACACTTTCAACAATACAGTTTGAGACAATAACTACAGAACGGACCACATTGTGTATCAAACACGTATATTTGGGGCAAATTTGTGATGGGAAAAATATGCATTTGTTCGAAAGTCCTAACTACAATAATGAATGTGATATTTTGAAGCTGAGTGAACAACAAAAGTTCTTAACTACTAATCCTTAACTGTGACTTTTTAAGCCAACAAAATGTTATCAAATAATATACACTTCTGTACAAAAATTAAAAAAAAAAACTTGGTGTGACTGGCAATGACTTTAAAAAGGGCAAGTTTGTTTTAATAAAAGATTTTGTCAAACTAGAAAAACATTTACAAAAAAAAAGGTTTTTGTTTTAAGGTGGTAATTTCCAGAAAAACTTCAAAAGCCAAAAAAAGGAAGAAATATCAATACATATATGCAGCCATAATGCCCAAAGTTCATTTGTTCGAGTTGGCAATTTTTTTTTTTTTTGCTGAATTAATTTTTGAAATTATAATTCATCATTCACCAAAAATGCATAAATGTTACTTCTTTTATAAGAAAAAAATGGCACCAAAAAGCTTCTGCCAATCACAAAAACGATAAGTAACATGTCTATCGCATATGTTTAATTTTTTTTCCGTTTTCCTTTTTGGGGCCAGTAAAACGTTGGATACTTTTAACACAGTGTTAATGGCTGTGGTAAAAAAAATAAAAAATAAAAATAATAATAAAAATAAACTCACTTAAGCTTGAAACAAAATTTGAAACATAGATGTCACCACAAAAAATTTACACTAAGTACAAAACGGGATTTTCTTTTTTTAGCAGAGAAACATTAACTTGATGAGTTGGATAATCACCAACACACTTAGAAACTCAGGTAGAATGTGTACGGTGAGGAAAATGGAAGACTTAACGAATGTTAATTAAAGACGGAACGCAAATATATCATTTAACAACGTCTTGTAAAAGGTAAAAAGGAAAATGCCCTGTTTACTCAAATGAGTTGTATATAACAATGTCGCAATCTATTTTGCATACTGCACGGCCATATGACTAAGGTCTTGGAAAAACAAACTTCGCTAATTTTAAGTATTTTGGAATATGCAAAATTGCAGAAAAAAATATGCAGGGAAGCATATTTGAATCAGCCTACATGTATATTACAATGGAGTCACAAAAAAGTAACGCATAAATTACCAGAAATGGTAATTGAATTTTTTTAAAACGTTTGAGATAAAGAAAAAATGATTTATATTACATAGATAACTCGCTTTCTGAAATGGAGTTAAAACTACAGAATGTCTGAATTAGAAAATGGCTGAAATTTTACTTTTACAATGTTTGCAAACATTTTTGCAGCAAAACTCTAGAAAATAGGCAAGAAATATCAAGCAATGGTACCAGGGCGCTAATTTGGATATGGAAGTTGTACCAAAAAAAAAAAAAATGGCTCATTGCCAACATTATACAACTTGATTTATTTAAACAACAAACCTTTTGTTTTGGCCTCAAAAAAGCTTTTAACAGAAAACTCAAGACCATAGGCCTACTTGCTTCGTCACCTACAATTCAACACAAAAAAAATTCTTTTTTAGAAAATATCACTTAAAAACATACATAAGCACCAGGAATTAGCGCTCTCTAAACAATATAATAAATAAAAATATCCTCTTCTCTCAATTTACAATTTCTTCCGTAAAATCTGTACAACAAAAAACAAACACAAACTTGAATACAAATATTTTTTTTTCAATCGTGCATATTGGCATCGCTACATGATGCATCCCTGAATATCTAAAATAAATCCTTAATACTTTACAAAAAAGTTGACATAACAGACAAACTTGCTGTTTCATGAAGTAAGAACGTTCGCTTAAGGTTAATGGACAACATCTTCAAACATTCAAAAATGAAATTGCCAACATATTGTGAATGATATAACTGGCATACAGATCCTTGTCATTTGATTGGTGGAACTCACATCACGTGACATTCATTATTGCTCCCGTTCATGCCGGGCTCAAAAAGTTCCATTCGTCCATGGGGAATGGGATTTACTATTCAACAGTTAGGATCATCCTTGTTCCATGGTGCGGTATTTGTGTGCAAATGCATGCTGGTGTGCGTGTTGAGCGTTGCGCGATGCATGTAAGCCACGTATTGTTCCCAAGAGCCAGTAGCTACAGAGTCGAGTTCAGACATTTCGTGAAGGGGTGGTTTGGAAGTGAGAAATACATTTCCCACCAATTTTGTATTAGAATAGAAGTTCATTTTAACTGTATATCAAATGACAAGGATCTATTTGTCAGTTATATAACACACATATTGAGTGACTTTAAATTGTGAAATGGGAGGAATATTATCGCTCGGTAAAATCTGGACTTTTCCATTTCACTCGGCTTGATTGTACATGTAAGTTAATAAAAGGGTCATGCATCCTGTGAAAACATTGCGCCTAGTATGCTGTCATTTTCAAGAAAAGAGGAATAACCATAATTTCCTCATGATGGTTTGGACCGATATTTATTTTATACAAATATGTGTTTCTTTCAATAGGAATGGATTCTCATTGTGAACACGCTTACCCGTTTATTACAAGCACAGAGAATTGTACACAGCATATCTTGGTGCATGAATTTCAATTTTGAGATTTTGCCCTCAGAATCTACTACTGAGTATATTTTGCATAAGGTAGATCCAAAAGTCTGTAATACTGCTTCTTTTAGGTGAAACCACCGTATACTACAAGTGAAATATCTTCATCACTGTTTTTTTCCCCTGTTTTTTAATTTACAGGTTTTAAAATTATGCTGAGGATTTTACATTCATGCACAAATGGGCCAATGTGACTAAATAGATTTGGACTGATATACGTCTGCTTTTTACTTTGCATAACGCTGTCTGTGTGTTGAAGATTCTTTTTGAATTTGTAGACTTTGCACTAACAATGGGGATAAATTCATGAATTACATTTACCATTAAATGTATATATGATATTTGATTTTTTTTCTCTCCCAATATTGCACAAAAATTACACAGTGGAGTAGAGAGAACCGAATTAAGTTCATACATTCCAAATTCTGACATTTCATGAAAAAGTATTTACACTAAATCCTGCATTTTTATCTTCTGTACATAAAAACGAGTAAGTCCAGGCAATTTCATTTCAACCAAGTTCATTTGCATCTTGGTACCAGACAATACAGGTTGACCATCCGGTTTCAAAATAACACATGCCAATTTTCTAATTTCTATATATGTCATATTATAATTTGTGCACGGACAGCTCATTTATCAATATTGAAGACAGGGGTACATGCACCGAAATACAATCTCTGCGCTCTTCGAAAAGGACTTCCTAAACCTCCCTCCATCAATTCATAGCTCCGCCCACCACGGTCAATTCCTTCACTTAGAGGTATAATCTAACTTTTTCTCAACCTCCCAAAATAACTGGCCACACCCACTTTTCCCCTGCCTCTTCTTATTCATTCCGACTCTGCCCACTATCCCCGCCCATGATGCCCCGCCCCCAAACCCCTTCCTTACAAATATATATTTTCTCCATGCATTACTGGCCACACCCACTTTTTCTGACCCCCCTCTTATTCATCATGACTCCACCCATCATCTGAGCCCATGTCCCACCCCAAAGTCCTCTCCCTACAGATGTGAATTTCCCGATGCATTATTGGCCACGCCCACTTTTTCTATTGTTATCGCCCTCTTATTCTTTCTGACTCCGCCCACCCTTAAAATAATCCCCACCCACCCCATAGTCCGCCCACTATGCCCCACCCCAAAGCCCTTTCCTACAAATCTGAATTTCCTCTTGCATAACTGGCCACACCCACTATTTCTGTCACTGACCCACTCATTAATTCTGACCCCGCCCACCATCCACGCCCACCAGCCCCAGCCCCGCCCCCACGCCCATCCCCTATAAATCGGTACTTTCCTCCTCATCTTCCTCCTCCTCCTCCGATGCCTCGTCAGCCCCGCCCATCATCTCCCGCATCCTCTCCCGTGCCAGGTGGAGTCGTTTGGCGATGGCCGTGGAGCAACCGTGATGAGTGACTTGGATGAGGCGGTAGGTGCTCGCGACTCGTTCCTCGTTGATGTAGGTGATCAGATGCTCGCTCTCGTTGTGGTTCAGAACCAGCTTGGTGTGATCATCAAATAAATTCATCTGATAGCAGGAGAGAGAATTTTAAGATCAATCAATCAATTAAAAATGAGTTTAGGTTATCTGGTGGGTGATGCTTACAAGAATTCATCTGGGGTCTATTTCATGAAAATCCTGAGCAAGAAAATGGAGATGCCAAATTTTTTTCTCAAAATTTGTGATCCTTAATATGTCTAAAATACACCTGGCTGTCCTCCGTGGTCATATATGGGTCATATGGCTGGATGCCAAAGGCGCCCAAACATCTCTGTGGCTTCCTTCGCAATTCAGCTTCTCAGCTGCGAGTAAGGATGATCCTCCCAAATTATTATAAAAGTTTCAGACCTAGATTTTGCCTCAAAAGGCGCTATTTTAGTTGATGGTTTTAATGTGTATCAGTACAAGAAAGACATAAACAAAAAATTAACAAGATTTGTTAACAACTTTGTGACAGCACAGAATTAAAATGGGCATCATTATGCCAAAGTCAGTTTGTTTTAAAAAAATGAGAGCATCATTTTAAGGAATATGATCTATATTTTGACAGTATTTAAAAAAAACACCTACTTTCAACAAGCTACCTAAAGAAGGATGTTCTTGAGAAATTTTTTTTTACCAAACTTTTTTGAATTGACGCTTACCTGGAATGTTCCGTTACTGAGATACATAGCGATGGCCTTCGGGGTGCGATTCCATTGCACTAGGTACGGGCACGGCTGAAACCAGGCCCCGCCCCCAGCCTGTGATTGGTCCGTTCCTTTCCTCTTGGGCGACGGAGAACGGATGGCGTATTCGCTGGGTTCACTAGCCTGAAGGGAAATTTGTAATTAATTTTGTAATTTTTTTTTTTTAAACCAAGATAACTAACTACATGTATCGAAAAATGTGAGGTGAAAAAAGTGGTTAGCAGTGCCTAAACGTGAACTTGCAACTACAGATTTTAAAAAAACTGGCAAATTAAGGTGCATTTTAAATAAAGCAACATTTTTTTTGCCAAAAATAAGCAGAAGTTAAGAACTTTTTCTTTTTTTGGGGGGGGGGAAGTGATGTTTGCAGGGCGGCTTTTTATGCTAACCTTCAAGTCTCCAATGGGTGACGTAGGGCTCGCAAGATCTGACGATGGCCCCTTCAAAAGGAAATATCGAGAGAAAGTCTTTAATTCCAAAAACAATTTGATTATCATCCATTTTGTTGAAATCCATTCATTGAACGGCACTGATAAAAAACTGCTTTATCAAGACATTATCCGGCAAACATTTTGAAGGTGAGTGGTCGAGTCTTAAGATTTGGGCACAAGCTTAAACCATCTTCCTGAATCCTCCAAACTCCACCACTGTAAAGGAGCCCAGTGGCACTTTCTTGGCAAATAAGGTATCGAGACTTGTAACTTTCACCTAAAATATCGGTTGCAAATTAATTTGTCAAATTCTGTAAAATTCTCCAAACCTCCAGGTGGATTCAGAGATTAGGTGCGAGGGTTAGGGTTAAAGATAATAAAGGATGCGGTTCGATTCCCGGCTTGGGACAACTCATCTTCGCTTTCTCAGCCTTTTCTTTGTGAGCAATGAAACTTGGGAGTTTTAGACTTTGGACTTTTCTCAAGAGCGTCAAGATAACTTCAACTGCACCTAAACTCAGGTGATATTACATTTAGAGTCTATTCGGAGTAAAATCTTGCAGGAGCCAATATGGCCCATCAGGCTGGTGTTTATCTCTGGTTCCTTGGCATGAAACGACTGAGAATATTTCTATTCCACCTGGACGGGATGCCAGTCCATCGCAGGTTACTCCCCAGCTAATGCCGGTACTCATTTATACTCCTGGGTTGAGAGAGGCAGATTGGGGTGAAGTGGCTTGCCCAAGAACACAACATATAGCCAACGACTGGATTAGAACCCCTAACCACATGGCCCTACTCCCCAAGGGTCAGTTAGAAGGAAAAAACCTTAATTGACAATTTTTCATCAAAACTGTTTCTCATGTTCAGAATGAGTGGCAACGTACCTTTATCAGGTGTTCGTCCATGTAAGTGGAGAAGTAGTCTAGCAGGGTGACTTTCTTTGAGAGTCGCGACGGAACGGAGGAGAGGCTGAACGAATGGGCCTTGTCGTCCGTCGATAAATATTGCACTGAACTGGAACGATGGTAAAGAAAAATAAACACAAATAATTAAATTAATAAGTGATGCTTGTAGGAGTGATGCTTGAAATTATTGGAAAAGCATGAAGCTAGTTACAATGAAGGTTCAATCAATTTGAAATTGAAATTTAATAGAACTAGAAATTGACTACAGTGGTGACCTCCGAAATACCGCAATTTGTATCCTACTCCAAGGGACAAGAAGCCACTATATCCTTGACCTTTGGCCTCAACAAAATGCGCTCTCTGGTGGTCTCCAAAGTCCATCAAGGCAAATCGACGTGCACCCCTTTAAACTAAGACTCATTTCCCCTAAAATTCCAGAGGTGATATTTTACCTCCGATCCGGAGAGAAGGAAATCCGTGATTTGTCGTTGAACATGACGCCGACGGTCCGGTCCGAGAGCTGGTAGCCGAAGCCATACTTGTTGGAATAATCCACCCACTTAGTGACCCATAATACCTCGTTGGGCTGGGGTTTGTATCTGGAGCTACCCTGGCGTTCACCTGATTAAGGGGGGAGGGGAAGTAAAATTTAAATTTTGTCAAGTGTCTCTTTGTTAAAATTTTGTATTGGGTAATGTCAATTTTAACCCAAATTCCCTTGACATTCTTAATTCTTCAAAACTGAAATGCGGGCTAGAAACCACAAGTTTTCAAGCAGCATGAAACTCACGTCAAGAACTAGGGGCTAGTTTGTACCTACCAAAATGCTATCAAAACCTCCAAAAACTCCTGGTGTTTTTTTCCAAAAATCTGGGAGGGTTGCGGAAAATATTTTGCATGTAAGCACGTACAGCCCAAACGGTCACTGTGGTGAATATTTCCAGAGACTGGTTCTGAACGCATCTTTTGTTTTGCACTTAAATTCCCAGGTTTAACAAATTTAAGCTGGAACCTTTCCTACTTTTGGAAGCGGTCTGGATTGCAACCTACCTTTTGGCAAGTGTTCTAGGCAAGTTTGCAGCATCTCGGCAACTGTCTCTATGGCAACGGGACTGCACGGTTTGCTCACTACGACTGTAATGAACAATGGGATTAAACGAAGCAATTTAATTACCGAACTCAAATCAACTTATTTCAGAACATTGATTAGAAAAATGTCATCAAAGCTCAAGCACAGTTGAAGCTATGTCCTTCATTTTAAAGGAGCGCGATCGCACAGGTGCTCCTACTGCACTCCTCGAATGTCTCGAAGGAGCGCAAAAAAATAGCGCTCCTCAAAAATCCCAAATGAGGGCTCATCAAACACGGGCAGTTTAAAAATAAAAGTGATAAAAACGTCAAGGATTTGAAGTCTTTAGCTACATGAATTATTCGTTTCTATTAATGCCCAAACACACATTTATTCCGCCACAGCGTGTTTTCACTGCTGTTTATCCATGGATTTTAAGGAGAGCGATTTGCTCTCCTCCTAGGCTTAAGGAGAGCGATTTCTAGCTCTTCTGGATTTTCTTTAAATGAAGGACTGTTAAGTGATTGTGCACAGTTACGTCTAATGCTGCATTCGAATCTGTCCTCCAAAGCTAATCTCTAGCTTTTTGCCTATTGTAACTACATGGGAAGAAGCTGACAACAGACATAGCCATAGCTCAGAAAGCCTGTTTTCGACATGGCCTTTCTTACTAAAAAGTAAACAATGTCCTCATATATTTTTTAAATCGATAACTACAAAATGAAGTTCTGGTTAATATGGGAGAGAACTGGTTTAATCCATTAACTTGCCTCTCTTCTCTGCTACTGTCGACATGACATTTTTCAGAGCTGCCGTTACCGGGGTCTTGGGCCTTGACCCATGGGTGTGCTTTGTCCGTAGCTTTGGTGTGCTTGCCTGCTTGGCACCCGCCTAGAAGAGGAACAAAATTTGGTCGAAGTTTGTGATTGTGAATTACTTCATAACTTTTTCTTTTTATTGCCTTACTCTAAAATTGTTGGAAATTTCACAGCATTTAAAGTTATCTCTATAAACACTTTTAGTTTATAATTTAAAAAGTTTTGTAGATTTTTTGGACTCACTCCACCAGAGGGAGACTTTGGTTTTGTGTTGGGGACGTTTCCGCCAGAATACATCTTGAGCTGGGCGAGGGGCGCCGTCATGTCGCGCCGCTGCAGCGTGCTCTCCCGTTTCAGCCGACAGAAGTCGTTGGTGACGATCTCCCCCGAGCTGTCGCTGATCAAGACCTTGGTGATCGGGAACGTCGGCGCGGTGGTTACGGAGCTGGTGGGTAGGGAATCGGGGATGAAGCCCTCCGTGAAGAAGGGATGGTCTAGGATGGCTTCTAGAGGAGGCCGCTCGTCGGGATCGGAGGACAGGAGAGCGGTGATGATGGATTTGGCTCCGGGGGAGAGGTATTCTGGAATGATGTACTTGTTGTGCTTGATGCGAGAGTAGGTTTCCTTGAGGGACGTGGTCTCAAAGGGGGGCTTACCGACGAGCATTGTGAATCTGAAGAGGGAAAGATCACAACAGAAGTCATAAATTTTTTATTTTCAACTGTTTGAGTCAGTAAAGACGCGTAAACCCTCCCTCTCTGGCTGGCAATTTCAACAAGGTCAGCCCAGCTGTCAAAATCAATCCAGTGACTGTTTTGAACAGTTGAGTGCTCCCTGCCTTCATAAAGCAGGATTGACTGGCTGTGATTGTTATGAAACCTGATATAGCTTTGCTTTGACTGTAGGAGATTGATAAGCCAGCTGTGCCTACCAGTCACCTGCTTTTGTCTGTTGATGGAATTTGGTTGTCACAGTGCCTACAAGAAATATGATCTGACTGTTGGTGACTAGCCTGTGTAAAAGGCATGGCCAGGGAACAGCATAAAATTTTTGACTGTCTGTGACTGATCAAACAAAAGGAGAGTTAATGGAAGTGAATAAAAGCCCATCATGGCATTTGAACCAAACAAAAATTTAAAATTTAAAATACTCACAGTATGCATCCAAGAGCCCAGACATCTGCTTCGAAACTGTGGCCGATCTTGCCCAAGACCTCTGGGGCAATGTAGTTGGGAGTCCCACACATGGTCCTGAAAAAAAGGCACAAAGTATAATCAGCATTACTTATCACAGTACCGCATCGTCCGTACTTTGCGCAATATGCGTTCAAACCTGTGTGCACACGGTGTGAGAGCTGTCGAAGCGCCCTCTACTGTCCATGTATGGAGTCCAAAGCAAACAGGTTACACACGCATGTGTACCTGGGCCCAAATTCACAGCACTGCTAATAAGCACATGATTTTCTGCTTACAGAGCCTCTGTCAAATTTATGGAGTCAGTAAGCAGTAAGCACACAAAAGCACGCTTACCTCAAAGGAAAAAGCTGCTTAAATTAGTGATGTAACAACAGAAATCTTGAAGCGCCACAACTGTTGTGTTGACTGTTAGCGCACTTTTGTGCTATACTTAGCAAAACTTTTCTGCTAACTGTTAAGCAGTGCCATGAAATTGGGCCCAGGATTAATATATATTTTTTTTTAGCCCTAACCGCCCTGAATCCTTCAAAATCCTCTTTGCCAAAGTGGAGGAATGTGGAGGACTGAGGTTGCATGGCAAAAGTGCGTTATTGATTTCGTAGGATGCACTTTGTCAAGGTCTTGGGTCGGACCTTGTGTTGTTTTTGCTCAGCCATGCATAAATATAGGCCTGGATTATACTTGAAATCCTCTGTACTGCTCCAGGATGTCACTGGCCAAGCCTCAACATATTGACAGTCACTGCTGCAGGATTTTGCAGGATTCAAACAGTGGTCACCCCTCCACGGACCATATTCAAGAAATAATGGAGGAATTTGCAGGATTGAGGCTATATGCTATTTTTCCATGAGGCCAATTGGAGGATTTTGCAGGACTGACGCTACATGTATATCCTAGCAAAAGGGCCTAGGGAGTTAGGGTTGATACAAAATTATCCGCCTACCTTTTGCGATCGCCCTGGAACTCCAGCTTGGCGGCCAGCCCAAAGTCGCCGATCTTGACCCCCATGTCATCGGTCAGGAACATGTTGCCCAGCTTGAGATCTCGATGGAGCACGCAGTGGCTGTGCAGGTACCGGACCCCCTCGATGATCTGCTTCATGAAGTATCGCACCTCGGGCTCCGTGAAGGTCTTGCGTAACTTCAACATTTGGACCAAAGACTGAAGGAAAAGAGAAAACCGAAGTAAGCTTTTTTATAAACTCCATGCCAACGGGCCACATTGTACTCTTTTATTGCAGAAACATTCAAATTGTGAAATGAAATTTTCAAATTTAATCAATTTTGTTGTTGTTTATGATTATGAAACAAGACCATGCAAGGCTTGTAGAGCTGGTCTCAGAGTGCACAAATTTCTCGTCAATTGATTCAGAATGGCTAGTCACAGGAACTGCGCTTAATCAATTTGCGTCGGGGGCTGTGATAACACGCAGTGGCTGTTTTTGTGCACAGGCACGGCTGACGGGTTGAGACGTCAAGATTGCCTCGACTCGCCTCCGGGTGACGTCTAAATACATTAATCCCTCGTGCCTTTTGTACACAAAGTCCATGTCCAATGTAGTCTGTGGAGGCAGACCGTGTGCTGAGCAATGTGTGGGCCGTTGTGCACGGCCTATTGCTGTACAATTTATGCTCCAGTGCACACCCTGGAGTATTGAAACATTTGAGGTTTCGGCAAGAGATATCGTACAAATATTATTGAAATCACCCTTGCGAATCAGTACTTGTGGCGTTTGGCTGCATATCAGAAGTTGGCTTGGAAATTTTGCCTTTTGAAAATTTCCAAATTTTTGGCAAAAATAAACCTGGCGGAAAGTGGTTAAGGCTTCAAAATTAACTGAAAAACTTGTGTAAAGTGTAATTACATAGTACATGTTACCCATACACCCTCACAAGACAAATTTTTTATATTATCTTTCTCAATCTTTTGAGCTATACGTACACGTATACATGTACAAGTAAGTACGACATATGTGTAAAAAAAAACAAGTCGCTTTAAATTATTGTTAACATACTCCGCAAACATGGAATAAAATTGGCAATGTGTAAAAGCACCTCAAGTGAGAACACATCATTTGTAAATTTACATTTGGCGGGATGCGGCAATATTCATGGCACCAACCTTTCTGCTGCATAGTTCTAAGATGATGTAGATGTTATCATCGTCGTCAAAGTGCCGGTGAAAGCCCACGACGTGGGGGTGTTTGAGGAGGGAGTGGACGTGAATCTCGCGCTGCATCTGTGAAAAGAAAATGAAGACAGAGTGGGGAATGGATAAGATCTATGTGAGAAGAGGAAAGGACATGAATGATCTAACCAATGGGTCTTAAGGTGTCAGTGATAATTTTGAGATAAATGTATAAGCCCTTTTTATAAGCCCTTTTAATGGCTAAACACATTTATCTCAAAAGAGCTGGGGGGGGGGGCTTATTCACAACCTTATCTTACATCAGAGAATAGGACTGTCAATGTTTTCACTCACATAATGTCCATATGGGTCATTCTATAACTCTAAGGTCCAAAGTTTGACATTTTTCCTGAACCTGTTACCGTGGTAATTTGTAATTTTCCATTCAAGTATCATTAAGAATGACTTCAAATGGGAGATGGTTTGCCATTCATAATCTCTCTTGGAGGACGACTGCATTAAGGAGTGCATCAGAATTATAAAATCACAGATGTCAGATGTAACAGGGACAGGGAAAAAGTGGACCCTTAATTTGTGAGGAATTCCTCGCAAAATGAGATGGAAATCAAATGGGCACAGGCCGTAGTGAAGAAAAAAACAAAAACTGACTGGGACTGATTTTTTCCCGATTTATTGATTTTTCTGATTTTTGATGTCTACTAGTACACATACATGTATGCATGTATTTGAACAAAAAAATTTGTTGAATAAAAGTGTTTTTAAGGAAAAACAATCGGCATCTTTCCTTTTTACGACTACAAAACTCGAACCTTTAAAGGCTTTTTTCTCAGTATTTTACATTGTTGACATGTTGGTAAATGCAAACTTTAAACAGCCATAACCTGTCAACAGAAAACATCCGATTTAAGTTCAAGAAACAGTATTGTAAGGAGAATTTTATTCTCTTTCCTAATACTCGCAAACCTTTATTTCGACCTCTGCCCGAAAGTTCTGTCTTATTTCACCTGAACGCCTCACATAAGAATGACCTATACATTCATGTGTCTCTCATTTTTCTATTTCAATTAAAAAGTGATAGTTGATACTACAAAAGTACAAACCAATTCTTTTACAGCATATATGAAAATAAACATTGTAACCTACATGTAAACCACACACTAGTATATGATAATGGGCCTTTTCACTTTCGCTGCAAAGCACTGATGACAATTAGCATGTATTCAATATACCCAGAGTGTCGGTAATTTTGTCCATTATCATGCAGACGTCCTTCATCGGTAATTCAATTTGCTACGCTCGGGCGAAGTCAGTGAGCGTTCTTCCATTACACGTGTACGGGAATTGCTAACCTTTACATGCGCATAGGTTAAATTATACGTAGAAATATTCCGGGGACAGCAAATGACTTGACTTTTGATGTAAAAGGTTGAATTGTTTCTTGTGAATATTTTCTGTTGTGAAGTTCTGGATGTCATAGATGCACGCAGTGCATATTTTCGTTCCCTAACATGCATTTAATGAATGTTTGTACATTTAGTATTTTAAGAAAAATATGCAAGCCTCATGTACGTAAGTTTACAAACTTGTATTTTCATTTTTGTCCTTTACACACACGTTTGTTTATGGTGTAAATCGAGGAGTTTCATTTGTTCCTCTTCCCTTTTCCTTTGTTTGTCCTTCGTTGGTTTTGTACACGTTTTCCAACCGAGGAGTCCTCGATTCGGTTTCTGTCCTCGATTCATCGATGATGTTGCACGTGTGGGTCCTCGATTTACGCCATAAACACGCGCATGTTCGTTATACATTTGTATCAAACTGCATGTAGCACGCAAATAAATATGTACCCGGTATGTATACTTCTGCTTCATGACACAAGACTGATTTTTTTTGCATCAGGATTTCAAATTTGCTGAAATTCATAAATTAATCTTTATTCCAACCTATCTTGTCCAATGCCTTCGGAACGTGTGCTTTTAACACAATTTAAGTCTTAAATACTTTCTTAATTAGTGTGGGGTCTTGTAACTGTAGATTTTATGTACTACAATAAAATACTTTTAACCGTGACTATAATGGTAATACTGACAATGAGATTTCGGTACATTAAGTAGTTTTTCAAATTCATCCTATAATCATAAATCTCTCAGTTGACTTCTGAGAAAAATACCCACAATGTATAAAAAAACCATGAATAAATCTCGAATAAAGTCTAATTTTGTTCCCAATAAATGCACAACTAGCATTTTAATACAGTGCTGTTTACGGTCAGCACAATGCAATATCCCGCACTGCGACTTCGTTCTTGTCCTTACACATATTAACACGACATCACAGCGAATGCCCACGTCTTGGAAGTTGGACTGACATTTAAAATTTTACAGCCTGCCTCGCTGCGGGCCGAATATAATCCTTCTTGAGTGTCCAAGATGATGCCCTGTTCTGCGTTTTCCCCCCTGCTTGCTCGCTGTGCGTGTAACGAGCGGTCGCAATCCGGTCAACGTTTTAATGAACAAGCCGTGCGGGACTGCCTGAGGGAGGTTTGCCTCTCTGCCGAACAATATATTTTGTCAGGTGCTCTCCCGATAGATGTTCAGCTCATTCTCTAGTTTTTTTCCTTTTCTTTTTTTTTGCTTCTCCTTTGAGAAGACGACAGAACTGGGCTAGCAATAATAAGAGTAGGGACCTTGTGGAAACATCAGTGACAAGGAGGAGATGGCTTTAATAGAAGTGGGAGAGAATCACAGAATGCAGCACAGAAAGAAACGAAACCAAATCACAGAATGGACTGGCAAATAAATTGACGAATAAATTATGAGGCCTTCACTGACACATTAAGACAACCGGGACGTTTTCTGTAGACACATACAATTTACAAAATTAACTAGATATTTCTGAAATGCCTACTACCCCACCCCAAAATACATATTATTAGCACACGCAGATGGTGGATTTCAAGTGAAGATAAACAAAATTTCTTACTTGCGCCCATCCACAGAAAAAGACCCCCCCCCAAAAAAAAAAAACCCACTTATAAAAATCCGAGGCTGAATTGACACAAAAACTGGTCAGACAAAATGAACAAGTGAAAAAAAAATTTGCGCTGTCCCCTGCAATGTACCAAATTTGACAGAGCACACCTGGAGTTTTTTCCAGAAAAAAATATGGTCAATGTTCAATTTCCAACCTTATTTTAACCCCTGCATGTTACGAAAGTATGCAAATGTGGATATGAATTTCACTTCTTAATCCTAATGCCTTTTTCTGACTGTTAAAACACAGCTGTGTGGAGATTTTTTGGAATGCATTTTTTTTCACCCTGTACAACTGCTCTGGTCTCATTAAAATTTCCCACAATAAAAAATTCCAATAAAAAACCAAAACCAGTGCGTCCCGTTTCTGGCCCCACGAGTGTCTAGCCGCAATGACACATACCTTCTCCATCTGAATCGGCTTGGCAATGCGGGCCTTGGGCACGATCTTCCCCGCATAAATTTGTCGCGTCTCCAAGTCGATGAGCTCATAGCATCTGGCAAAACCGCCCTGTAGCGGGGAAAGAAAAAGAGGGGGGAAATTTTAAAGACGGAATTGAGACGAAGTGAATTGGACGGAAATGTAACAAGTTTAATATCCTGAGTGCATTACAGTTGGAGGCTGCGGTTAGGTACAGGACAATCTATAAATTCAAGGTCCAAAAGTGTGACCTTTTTCCTGTCCCTGTTACCTTGGTACTTTGTAATTTGCCTAGTATCTTTAAGAATTACCTCAAAAATTGTTTGATTTGTTGAGCAGGTAGTTTGCTATTCATAATCACTCTTCAAGAACGACTGCATTAAGGAGTGCATCAGAATTATAAAATCATAGATGTCAGATGAAACAGGGACAGGAAAAAAGTGACCCCAAATTTAGAGAACAAAATATAGTGTGTGATGAAAAAAAAAATTTTGACGAAACTCTCAACACTTAAAAAAGTGAGAAAGACATGAGATACAGAAAAAAAAGGATTATAAACAAACACGAAGTTGTTAAATGGGAGTTGAACATTTTACAGCACTAAAAAAACCGACAACATATGGGACACACACATGTACAATGTATTGTACCAAAATGTACTTCTGACCTTTCTGTACCCTTTATTCCCCCCCCCCCCCATAAAAAGGAGAAAGTTTACAGCATTCTGTATTTGGGTATGTGTCCATCCTCCCCCCCCCCCACCCACTCACAGCCCCTCCTTCCCCCCCCCCCCAAAAAAAAAAATGCTCTCAAACTTAGGCATTCAGACCTAATTGCATGAAATGCTTAAAAATGGACTCAATATGAACTCTCATCAAACGTATACTCTCAGCAATTGAAAATGCAAAACATTATTGTTATACACAAACACTCTACAGTCCCATAAGTGGCCTGGGCCCATGCTCAAACACATTCCTCCCATGCATAGGCGAGCTTGTGTTTCCTTAGCATTTACTGATCTTTCAATCCAAGGGACATGTAACGCACAGGTGTATTGTACCGGCCCGTAACGCATTCTATAAGTCATAATGCATTATGTTTCTGGTACAGTGCTCGTGCAGACATACATAGGAATGATATGCCATTTCCTCGAGCAGCTCGAGCATTGAATTACATTCTCGTACGCTGTTGGGTCAAGACTATTTTTTTTACTGCGTGCATTTCCAAATGGAATCAGAGTCACCTTTTATGCATTATGAGGGGTGGGATGAAATTGCATCTTCCGTCTGTGTTTTCCACAATCGATTAAAGAATACAAATGAGTGTGTACATTGTACGTGTACATGGGTCATTTTTCTATAAATTTGGGTCCACTTTTTTTCCCAATCCCTGTTACATCTGACATCTATGATTTTATAACTCTGACGCACTTCTTAGTGCAGTTATCCTCCAAGAGTGATATAAATAGGTAGCAAACTAATTACCCAACAAAAATTTAAAACATTTTGAAGTCATTCTTAATAAGGCCAAAAAAATAATTCTGCTTCCGATTGTAAACATGGCATTTGAAAATAGGGTAGGTAGGTAGAGATTTTTTTTTTGGGGGGGGAGCAATTTTTGTGTGTATGATCATGTGGAGGCATGGATGTAGTCAAGGGTAAAAAGTAGTAATTGATGGTTTTGGGTTTTTTTTTTTAAATTTTTCCCATAAAAAAAATTAGGGTAGGGGCTGTCGGAATAGGGCAGGTAGAGAAACTGGAAGAATACTTGAATGACAAATTACCAAGTAGCAAGGTACTTTTTGTTTGTGATATCTTTTTAAGATAAATTATTAATTTTTTTTTTGGGGGGGGGGTAACTTTTGTTTAGTATTTTCAGCCTAATGAATATATCTGAAAATGAACAAGTGGCACAATCAGATATATTTGCATGTTGAAAGGATACGAACAAATGTAAACGTTTATTTCAAGAAGTAGTGTACCTGATACTAGGCATCTTGTACACATATTATTTCTGTGTAGCTCAATTCTCAACGACCAGCTTAAGTGTGCATTATTAGCGATTACTTCATGCGGGTCCTCAGAAATCTATTTTGCATCGGCCAAGAATCACAACGGTGACCCTTGCTCTTTCCAGACTGCCATACAAGTGTTTTCACACCATGGGGGGGGGGGGGGGGGGGGGGGCAAGTGCTCCTCACATGTTCCGATGACGAATAAGTGGCACATAATGCCGTACACGCAGCGAATGAGTCACTTTTTTTTAGGGACCAAAATCAATCATCGCTGTACTGCTGTATGTATGTTGTGCGTGGGTGTTCAGGTAGTGAAAGTAAGGTACCGGTATGCATTGATCATGTAATATCCACAAGCTGAAGAAAGCAATCTCAAAACTCTTTAAAAAATATATCAATAGGCCTATACTTTAATATGCAATGCTTGAGTGGAAACACATAGGCCTACATGTATAGAATCTTCTGGCTGCTCGTACACGTTTACGTGTACAAGTCTGCAGTTTTTATTCGTTATTACCAAAACAAATTCTGGTGATAAGGCAAGATTTTTACACCAAATGACACCACAGCACACAGGCCCGTGAAGACGAAATGACAAAATCCTTCGACAGTGACAACATTCTTCAAGATTGACAAAATGCAAAAGCTGAGTAAATGTTCGACACCAGTGCATACAAGACTAGACTTGCATAGTCCAGCAGGACCTGAAAATCTCAGTTTTACGACATTATTTATACTCAATGCCTCCGTCAGTCAGTCAAGTGGGGGAGTTAGTCTGTCTGTCAGTCAGTCTGTGACACAGTCAGTCTGTCTGTCTGTCAGTCAGTCAAGTGACACAGTCAGTCTGTCTGTCAGTCAGTCAAGTGACACAGTCAGTCTGTCAGTCAGTCAAGTGACACAGTCAGTCTGTCTGTCAGTCAGTCAAGTGACACAGTCAGTCTGTCTGTCAGTCAGTCAAGTGACACAGTCAGTCTGTCTGTCAGTCAGTCAAGTGACACAGTCAGTCTGTCTGTCAGTCAGTCAAGTGACACAGTCAGTCTGTCTGTCAGTCACTCAAGTGACACAGTCAGTCAAGTGACACAGTTAGTCTGTCTGTCAGTCAAGTGACACAGTCATTCTGTCTGGGGCAATTCCACACCAAAGTGGACATGACACCAAAAAATTCAAATACATGTGACTTAAACAAATTTGGCATCAAATGAAAGCTAAAAGTCTATATTTTCAAGATTTGAAGTCGGAATTTAATTTTTTATACATTTCGGTACCAAAAAATAAGATTATGTAATAATCCTGTTTTAATCCTAAAAATGTGATTAATAGTGATATGAAAGTATTCTACCAATAGACACACAAAAATATGTACTAATGCCATCAATTTCTGTCATGAGAAAGTATTGGTCTTGAAAACCAACTAAAACTTGTTTTTAACATTTTGCGTAATTTGTTTCGCTTCAGTGACTTCTAATATTTCAGCCTTCGAAAATGTCCTTCCGTTACCGAAAAAATACATATTTTTAATTTATTTTTAAAACTTGCAGTATGAATGCATTGAAAGTTATTGTGCAAAGCAAGTTTAGGTAGGCCTTCAATATGACATTATAACTGACACTGCTGTACTTCTCTATTTTTAATTACAATTAATTAAATCACGTCCTTCCGTTACCAAATTGGTAACGGAAGGACGGTAACGAAAGGACAAATCGTATTTTTATCAAATGTTACGACATTTGCGCTCATGTTTGAAAAATGAAAATCACTGCAAATACATGCATGTATAATGAGCATTGAAAGGACATTCATGTGATCCACCTTCACAAAAGCGGGATAAGCAGGGCAAGGTGTTTATTACAAAGGAAGGCACAGGCATGTACAACATGTACAATGTACATGTACGTATATGCCGATGTACCAGTACTTGTACATGTATGGAGTTGTTGCAGAAAATCAAATCATAAAGTTGCTAACATCAGCATTCATGGACAATAGAGATAGATACGAATTCTGTGAAGCCATTCCAGAAGCAAATTAAGTCAAAAATGAGATGGCAGAAAGTACTGGTACTTTGGGGCACTTTCATTCAATTTACATGTGTAAGACATGTGAGGTGCAATCTTTGACAAATTATGCCCAAGTTAACTATTTCAGTTTGGATGTTTATAAATTAATTGTTACTACTCTAAATCATTGTAATTTGATTGCAAACATTGATTTTAGAGTTCAATTAAAAGCAACACCTAACTGAAGCCATCAGTTCTACCGGTAGATGTTTTTACCTTAAATGTACATGTAGGCTAGTGGGCCCCCCCCCCCCCACCCTTTAGGTAAACCTTTGAACCTACCGGTATTATTATTAAAAGTTGTTGGTGAACATGTAACCAATATACTCAAGAGTTCAAATACTGTGTATTTAAACTTTTAAGGATTGAGGTGATGGGTTTGAAGTCTATTTCTGTAGTAGTCCTGTGTTCGTGAATTATGTGTTTTGGGTTGTTTTCATTTTTCTTTTGTTATCATTAATTAGCAGGCTTCTATCTTTATCTCAATAGTTTCTTGGGTACAATTATTTATGCCAGGTCTGCATATTGTTGATTTCACATTCAGTTACACATTTCAGCAATTTGTTTCACTTGTATAATTAGTGTAAATTCACATTTTGTTCATGCTATAATTGAGTAAACCTTTTGTCCTTCCGTTACCGTCCTTCCGTTACCAAATTATAATCTGCTTAAAACGTTGTAATTATATTACCGAAACACTTAAAGTCAAATGAAAGGCGGTATAGTATAGATAAAGCTTCAGGGATTCCATTTCCTACCTTTAAAATATAATTGCCCCATAAAATTCACAGAGTTTACGCAAAACGCGAGTAAGTTGGAAAACCCTTGTCCGTTTTACTGTCCTTCCGTTACCGACCTCATTAATATTCATAATTCATAAACGGGAGGCATTCATGCCCCCCAAAAGTGTGGAAAATGAAAGTAGCATTATAGCAATACAATTGTGACATTTGTTTGCTGTAACTATGAACAGTGTCTGTGATACACACATTTGAAATTTTGTTTAATGAGTGAAAACGTCCTTCCGTTACCGTGGAATTGCCCTCTGTCAGTCAGTCAAGTGACACAGTTAGCTCTAAAATCCCATTAATAACAGCAATAAAAATGGAGGCACTGCAAACACTGTCACAAATGTTTCCTGACATTTTCATTTAGTGGAATGATTGACTTCACCGATCGTTCTCACTGATACATGACGGAGGGTCCCCAGCCAGCGAGAGTGAGAGTGACGGACACAGGAAGACAATGATTGCTTATTCATTTCCTTGTGACTTCCGGGATCAAGGCTGCTAGTGCTAGCACCAACTGCAAGGTATTGCCTCAGTCGTCAACTACGTAGTGAGAAAAATCCATCTTGGGCAAATGTTGGAGTTTGTCCAACGCTGGCTAATATTTTATGCTCAGCAATGTAGCGTATTGATTATTGCATGCACGATGCTCATGGTACAGGTGTTTATTGAGCATAATGCACTGCATTACACAAAAGCCATTTCTGCTTTTTGTAACTAAATTAAATTACATTGAACGTCACTGATTTTGTAATTGTCAAGGTATATTTTAAAACTATGAATTTTTTTTGATAACCAAGTTACAAGTTCTTGCTCTTCAAATGTAAAACAAGGAAAACTGACTAAGTCTTAGTTGAGATGTGTACCAATTTCTTCCGGTTTTTTTTTGTAAAGAGCGATTGCTTTCAACTTTAGAGTATGACTAGAGGTTTTTCCTTTGGGGGGAGGGTTTTGCAGACAGTATTAAGTTGACATCAAATCGATCAAAACTGAAACCAAATGTATGACGTAGTATGTTTTAACAACACTATTAATATCATTTTTAACTTCCCCTACTGCAATTTTGACTCCACACTTTCAATTTCAAGTGTACAACTCTGTAGTTCTTAAGGCTATTGTAAACACAATATGTCTGCAAGTTGAAAAGTTCATTTGATGAGGGCAAGCTACATTGTATGTATGTTTTCACTACAGAAACCTGAATGGCAACAATGCCTTCTACAATACCTTGAACACTACACCCTGCGGGTGACTGGTTTCTGGGGCATTAGATGTCGCAGTTAATCAAACTGCTGTGAATAGTCCAAGGCCTGCTGATCATAATACTTCCCGCCAGGAACTTGTAAACGAGTGCACTGTAAATGTACAGTATGGTACATGTATGTAGGTGTACTGTAAATTGCACATGGTTTAACACCTGTTTTCATCAAACAGTTTTTCTTGGGGGTAGGGGAGGGCTAAGCTTTGAAGATTAACTACCTAGAACTGTTCTGAAAACTACATTTTGAAAATGAGGGAATTTTTCAGAAGAAAACTTCCTTTAAAAAAAACATTTTCACAAGTGTGGAGCGGGACAAATTTATGGAAAATTTTACCCCTTTGAAAAGAAGCACTGACAATTTAAATAACCCAAAACTCAGCCATTTTAGAGATCAAGTTATTTGACTTAAGAAATTTACACTGTCAGATGTTTTCAAATATGAACAGTACTCTGTGGACAGAAGGGATAGTATATATATTTTTAAGGAACATTAATATTATCTGTATTAAGTTAAAAAAAAGCTAGACAGAGAAGCACATTGTTCAAAAGGATACATTACAGAAACTTAACCCATAGACAAAGCATTGTACAATGTATGTTCATTACAAATACCCGTACACGCAGGTTTGTTTATGGTGTAAATCGAGGATTTTCTACTGTTCCTCTTCCTTTTTCCTTTGTTTATACTCTGTAAATACTTTGTTTATAACTTTTTTGCAACAGCTCTCATTGGTTTTGTACACGTTTTCTAAACGAGGTCGTCCTCGATCTGGTTCCTGTCCTCGATTCATCGATGATGCTGTACGTGTGTGTCCTCGATTTACACCATACACACGCACTTTAGTTCACACAGGCCAAAAACTACAAACCATGTACGCCACAGTGACCAGACACAGACTAGGATCCAGGAAAAGATTAATTGACAAATGTCCAGCAAAGCATTGTTTTAAAATCAATTTGAAGCTGGAAATTACACATCACTTCTAGGCTACCGGTAACGGATGAACACTTTCTGCAAAGAACACTGAAGAAGTGTGGATTTCAAACCACTTTCATTTAAATGCAATACAGGGTGACGAAAACACGGTCTTTCAAAACAATTGTAAACCAGTTGCTGATCCTAAAGTTATAGTTTAGAACGAAAAGAAAATGCAACTCGAATTGAGAACTACCGGTACTAGTGAATGGTAGTTCAGACAAACAATAGGTGCTTGCTACATTATGTATACAGTTACTGTCCAGACAACGTCATATAAGAAGTATTTATTTCCATTCTTTTATAAAATTCCAAGAATATTTTCCGTCGACTGCAACTTATCTACAATGCAAGTTATTCACACCACGCTTGGTGCCCATAAAGCGTAACCATTCACGAATCTCTCACTGAGAATAAAAGATCACTTTCTGTGGTGCTCTCTGCGTCACAATAGAACCGGAAGTCGGACATTTTATCACCGCTGGCTTGTTGCACAGCCAAAAGAGAAGTATAGTGTTACAAGTACATGGGGAAATGCCATGATTCATCAACTTAAGACAGATTGACACAGTGTGTTCTTAATCATGACTTCCTAATCTTTTAAATGCTAGCCTTGGCAAATGTTACTGGGGGGGGGGGGGGTCGGTGACGATGCGAAAAGGTACATGTACATGTAGGCCTACATGTACGGAAATGTAAGGTATACGCGTAACAGTCAAACCACACAACAACCAGAATGCCAAATATGAGTCACTCAACCTACAAGAAACAACCCACTTCGTGAACTTCATCCGTTAGGCATTGTTTGGGAAAATAACCTACATTTTGGTACGTTACATACATGAATAGTGTCCGTTGATGTTTTAGGCCCCACTAGATAATCGACCCAAGTTTACTTTGGCCAGTTAAGTTGGATGGTCTCAACTAAAGTGTTCAAACTAGAAACACGTAAGTTGGGATGATCCAAGCTTAAGTTGAGACAGATTGCTGGGATTGGGGTGTGAGTGTGACAATGTGGCCCAACAAGTAGAGGTTTTAGGAATTACAAGTTTTAAACTGACGGCACAAAATCGCATGGTAAATCGTTCTTTCCTTTCCTGGTTCAAAGTTAAAAAATACAAAATTGCACTTGTGGCCCACTGCAGATCTCAAAATAGTAATATATATTGAAACTAGAAAGCACTCAGAGAGCACAAACCTCCACCAAGGCTTAACAATTCCCCGCCATATTGTCAGTACACCCAAAAGAAATACTTGCATAAATGGTGAAGAATCCTTTAAAAAAATCCTGGATCCAGACCCAGATTCGGATCACTTCCAAAATCTAATCATTTTGTACTTGTACCAAGGACCACCCCTAAAAAAAAAGTCATGCAGATCCGTCCATAACTTTTTGAGTTATCTTGTTAACAGACAAAGCAACCAACAAACTAACCAAATCTGATGAAAACATAACCTCCTTGGCAGAGGTAATTATGTTGTCAAGAGTTGAACAAAGAAATTGAATGGAGCAGGGCTTGAACCTACGTCCTCCCGAGCGCCATTCTGGTGCTCTACCAACTGAGCTATCCAGCCCTAGGTTGGCGGTTCCCCAAATGACTTTGTTCAAGGGGTGCTAGTCAGAAGCCATAAACCCTATTATGCCATGTAGCCAGGGATCATGCCCAAAGTCACGGTGCGAGCAACCTTAGCAATGCTTCAAACCTTGGAAATAATTCCAACCCGACTCCGGTAAATTTCTTTGTTCATCGGACAAAATCGCCCCTTTCACAATTCCGCAACACCACAATTTTTGCGATTTCGGATCCTTCTTTTATATAACTCACCTTCCCCAGCAGTCGACCGCGCTGGTAAGACTTCCCGGTTTTTGGATCCTTGATAACCGCCGGTAACTCCAAATGGAAGTGGTGTTTGCTTGTTTCGGATGTCGGGGAACCGTTGTGTTTTCCTTTCCCCGGGGAGGGGTTGTGGCCCCCCTTGCCACCCACCTCTCCCTCCCTGATGGGGGGCGGGGGTGGTGGGGGCAGGGCGGGCGCCTGTGGGGATGCATTCTCTGGGACAACTGGTAGCATTGACGAGGCTAGACTATGGTGCACTGCAGTCAGATGGAAAGACAGGTGAAAGTTACATTTATTTTTTATCAGTTTTCAATCATTTTTTTCCCCATCAAGGAGGTGGTTTGAACAAATAAACAGGGATTTATTAAATGATTCAACATATAACATGGGTAACTGCATTTTGTCAAGTACCATGTTTTCAATACCTTAAGTTTTGGGACTCTCATGCAAAATAGTCGTATGTAATATTGAGAGTCCCACATTTCGAACTACCTGTAGCCCTACTCTTAAAATTCCTCAAAAAGCATGCATGCATTTGTTAACACTTAGCACAAAACTTAATTTTAACTTTAAGTTTAAGACAGATAACCAAAATCTAAAATATAAAAAAAAACATAAATCATGAAGCAAGGTAAATTTACACGCCTACCGTACGGTCTGACGCCGACGGTAGCAGGCCTGCAACAAATATTAAATTTCAATTGACGGCAAAGAAATTCTCAACTCACCAATGATTTTTCCTCGAGCGTGGCTTGCAGCAAGTATTCCTTGCCTAGGCCAACAAGAATTTCGATCGGGAAACGGTATTTAATCTGGGAAATTAATTCAACAGCTAGTCATGTCGAGCGAGCAGTCAGCATATTCCACACTAAACACGTCAGTTGAAGTCGTCTGCAGGCTCGGCGCTAAAAACTTAAGTTCAGACGAGCGCAAAGCCAAAGACCGGGTGTAAAACTTCCCACTCTCACACGTTCACCTGACTCACGCGTTTGTATACAAACTATTCCAGAAATTCGTCATATGTCCACTCTTTGGAAGTCATAAATCTCGGTGTTTACTGTTGTCCTGTAAACAGTAAACAGTACGCAGACGAAATCACTTTACAACTTACCGTCACGATGTGTACCGAGTAAATAAATAAACTGAATTGAATGAATTTTTTACATGCCTTACTCTGGTTTCCGACCTTGAGTTGCGCGGAACCAGACTAAGTTGAAGGTACGCACAACGCCCTCTTTAGTTTAGACAAGTTTCTCTGAATTGAACATAGGCTGCATCCGAATCTGTTGTCTAGAGCTAGGTCTAGGTCTTCGCTCCATTAGAAATACGCGGAGACGTGCTGACAATAGACGTAGCCGTAGCTCTGGAAGCCCGTTTCGGACACGGCCTTAGTCACTTTCCCCCAACTTTTTCCAAAACTTAGTTAATTGACCCTCAAATAACTCACACATTTTCAGGAGGGTATTTACACCCAAATCGGGCACAATTTTGATACGTAAACTATAGCCTACCAAATGGATGGTAAAAATTAACCAAAAACTCAGCGAAATCCCCCCCCCCCGCCCCCAGCCAGCAGAAAACAAAGAACGCCCTGTATTTTTTTTTGTGGTAATAATGCTTATGTTTTAGAAACTGTTCGGGAACACACAAACATTTGAAACTGATGGAAGGTGGGTTCGCAACCGTTTTCGAAACTATTACTGTGTATTGCCTCCATGAATGCGTTTCGATACATTGTAACTTTATATTTCGAATCGCCGTTAATCATAAATAGCGCCCTCATTCTGTTAATTTGTCTCAGTGCAGTGTGCGCGCATGTCCCCCTTTAGTTTGCACACCAGTAAATAAACTGCCATAGACCCCTATGATAAATGCCCCCACTTCAAAAATTCAGGAAAAATACTCACAACTCTCCAAGGTATTCAAGACACACATCAAATTAAAGCTAATTTCATCATCTTTCATTTTCTTTTCGATTTTCGGGGGTTAACAGATGACTTTTAGGAGAAATTTCCATCCGAAGATGACCACCGTTTTAAATGGTCCTGAAGCCCATCGCCATTTTGAAAAACGACGCCTACACTCCATGCAAAATAGAGCGCTTTTAGGACTCCAATTTTATCCAAATTGCACAGAACTGTCCTGTGCACGGCTTCCACCCATATTTTTTACAAACCCTCAAGTTCATGGCCCACAATGTGCTCAAATAACGAAGAATTTGAGGGCATGCAAATCGTCATTTACCGTCCACACCAACGTGGGCGATTTCGGACTGATTTACTGGCCTACTATCCTCAGAATACTTCGTACATCGACACACGAATAATAACACGTAGTTGGGCTTTCGAAGGGGACCAGGGAGGGAGTGGGGAAGGGGCTTGTAACAGACACCATGTCCGTCATGTTGTTTTTATTGGCAGAACTATATGAAACATATATATGTCCAACCACTCATCTCAAGCGATGAAGTAAACTTTATTTGACCGAATGATATATAACCAATCAATCTTTATCAATATATGTCTCAGACATAGAATTATGACAAAATCTAATGCTATACATTGTGCATAAACCACAGGCTTGGAGTATTTTAAGTTTGAACATACCATAGTAAAATTTGTTAATGCATTTAGTTTTGCATAGTCAAAAATTATTCATTTTATAAAAAAAAAAATATTATACAAACTTGCGTGCGAATTACGTGCGTAGCTTTGTTTTCAGACGTGCCTCGTGACTGTCAAATTATTTTGTCATATCAATGAAATTAAGTTCGGTATTTAACTGCGCATGCCTGAGCACATCAAGATATTCACTTGGTGGCGATATGATTTTGTAGTTGCGTTGCTGAGTTCAAAAAGAATTCGAAGTTACCTTCGTAATGGACCGATCCAGTAAGCACCGCCCTATGGTATTCTGACCAATCACATCCGTGATTTATGTCCGACATGCGTGCACAAAAGTCCGACATGCGTGCACGCGCGTATGATGCGCGCGGCAGGAAAATGCAGTGTGGCATTGGAGAGGAGCACGTGTTAATTTGTCCACGTGCGCAGTGGGAGGGCTTAATGGATCGGTCCATTAAAGATGGTACTTTTGTTCATTTGCTGTCTTCAATTTGCAGTGAAAATCGTCAACCATGCAAATCATCAAAATAGTGGAGCAGATAGGGGAAATATTTGGGGGAACTTGCCTTTGACGATACAAGCATAGCATTTGGCACACAGTCAGAGCAGTATGTCTCAAGAAAGATATTTGGCCATAGGGCTTTCGCAGATTTGTCCTATAAAAATATAATTGAATAACAAGCAGTTTTAAAAAATTTCAAAATCATGGCACAATCAGTTATCAAAATCCAGTGGCTGGCATTGCTTGTCATTCTAACTATAATTATGTTTCAAAGGACAAATCTGCGATGTCCCTATAGCCAAATATCTTTCTCATGACACACTAAGTTACTGCCAAATGCCATGCTTGTATCATCAAAGGCACAATCCCTATCTGCCGTAAGCATCACCTATATCTGCCGTAAGCTGTACTAAATGTAAACCTACCGCAAAATGTTTTAGTTGCAATACGAAGGGGATATAGAAACAAGTTTAAACTTGCGAATTTCAATTGTCCAGGAAACGTGGAGCAACCTTGCAAAGCAAATTTTTTTTCAAAGGTGTGCAGATTTTTAAAAACTTTCCTCGTGATATTGTTGCATGTTACTTGCTGCAAGCATAATAGTTAATACATGTACTGCAATGCAGGACATAATACGAGTTAGAAGAAAAAGCGGACGGATCGACTATTGCGGTCTTGTGAGGCGGTTCGCCTAAATAGACAGCTTATCATTTCAGACTAGCTGATCCACCGACTTTTGTCAGCAATTTCAGACATAATAAAAGCCCATTAATTAATATTTCCCCATTAACACCTATCGAACCTCAATATTCGAACTGGCAACTATATAAACTGGGCCCAGGTTTTTTTTCAGTCCGGGTAATGTATTTTATTCTAATGATAATACAACACCCATGGTTTCTCACATCATTCTCAGTGTTTTGAGGTCTGTGTTGAATGTTGGGACAACACTGTCCTACACTCTAAAAAGTTACTTATACAGCCTCTAACATTGTTTTGTTTTGAAATTGGCGCCAATCAAACATTAAAGATGATATCCTCGTCAACATGTAAAGAGAATTAACATAGAGCGCCGTTCTGTATGGAGGACCAGTGGTTCCTCGAAAACTGTACAGGACGAGACAGCACCTTTAAGCAAGATGAGTGATATGAAGAATGGTATAGTTTGTCACTCATAGTAAGTGCAATGGACCAGCGCTACGGCGTAGAGCGAGTTGTTCTGGTACGTGCAAGTAGCGAAGTTATCGGTGTCGGTGTTCCAGACGGCACGGCTGACCATCTGTTGACACTGACCGCTCACGGACCCCATGAAGACCTGGCACGTGATCTTATAGCGAGGGATCTTGAGCTCCTTGACCCTCATCTTAATCTCCTCGGCGATCCGCTGGGTGAAGATGGAGCACGTACGAGGCTCGTAGCGCGTCTTCTCAGTCAAGTTGGCCTCCAAGACCTGCCGGGCGATCTTCTCCACCTCCCCTGGCACGAACCGGGTGCCGGGATCCGGAGTCATCTTGAAGGTGTTCTCGAAGCGGACCAAGGGCTTGCTAGCCGCCGCTGGCGTGTCGGTGGAGCGCACGGTGGCCACGCGGAAGTTGGGATTACCGATGGAGGTGGAGTAGGCACGGGACAGGCGCCGCCAGCGGGTGCTGGCCGCCCCGTCCCCCGTGGTGGAGTGGCTGATGGAGCTCTTGCGGGACACGATGGAGTAGCGACGGGAGGACTTGACGCTGCCATCCTGGCGGTTCAACTTCTCCAAGTTCTGGGCGTTCAGGGCCGCCATCGTCAGACACAACTCTCGTAGACCAGTGAAAGTCAATCAACGGGTGGTCCACAGAATGTTACAACCGTACTAACTACAGATGAAGATCTGCTGGCGAAAACGGAAACAAAAATTTCAGATGATAAAATTTTGGAATTCAAACTTTCAACCCCTATTCTCAGTTCGTTCCACAAACTGAGCAGCAAAGCCGTCCCTTTTGATCAATAAAATATCAGCTCTACTCCGTAGGTTGGAGGTCTCCCTCTCTTCTAAAAACCGAACAATGCGATTGGTTTTATTTCATGGCCAAATAATAAAAAACGAAAACCTTTATACCCTATACACCTCCTACCACGAATAGTAGTTATGGCAAACAAGGCGAGGTCAAACGAACTTTCGTAGGGTGTATATACCCGTGTCACCAACCCTGAGAAATATGAATGAGCATTCAAAATATTATATCATGCAAGGAAAATAGCAGCGATGCAAACTGAAATCCGGACAATGCTTCATAATATAGGTGGAAGGTTATATAAGTACGTACTCACAAAAGCCATCTTTGCAAGTGGGCAGTGTTTTGTTCAGCTAGGACAGGCGTAAGCAAACCTTTTGCTTTCGTCGGATTGAAATAAGAAAAGTTCCGTGTGGAATTGTAACGTCACTCTTTTGGTGACTGCAACAGTTATTGTTTTATTTCTTTTCCAGGTTAAAATAGATTTCTCTGTCCAAAAATGTGACATTTTGGACAATATATACCACTGCCTTATCGGCCTATGAGCACGAAAAACAGTTTCAAGGAATTGTCACGTTCCGTTTACAGGTTATGAGAAGATCACAACCAATAATCGATTACTAGGGTTTACTTGAGACCACTCGCCACTTTTCCAGAATCGATCGACCAGCATCGATTCGCTCTCAACACAATGGTTTGGCCTTAGTGTCAACGATCCCTTAGTATTCGACAAAGGATGCGAAACGGAACAACAAGTCTGCCGTGATTATATATAATAAATGGGACTCCCGATCTTTACAAACTTGTAAAGGCTAACGCCAATATGGTGAACCTTCGATGAAATTGCGTCAGCTTTGTATAGCTTCGTCCATATAGTAACACATTTGCCAACCTTACATACTCCATTGTAACTGTGCTTTATAGGCCTCCATGTCCAAATTATTTAGGACTATAACGAACTGTGTTGCTGTAGAAAAGACTGTGTTAAATAAAGAATAAACTCACATGTTCTTAAGAAAAAAAGTTGGATTTTTGGTGTAACCACAACTTCAGGTGAAACAAAGTTTTGAACAACATGATTCTTTAAAAATAGATCTACACGACCAAGCCTGCATAACACATTTGTGTAACAAAATGTAAGAATGTTTTCCCACAGCCAGGATTTTCCAATCACCCTAGCGCAGCACGCAACACATCTGGATCGCAGTAGGAACTCAAGCCCGAAGACTGACTCTATAAACAACCTCGCAAGGCTAGAATGTATTCCCAGACATTTCATGTTCCGTCGAGGTGCCAACATTATGAAATGAAAAGGCAATGAGTTTGAACCCCCACGTCGACAAGGTATCGTCTCCATAGCAACGGTTTCTACCTTTAATTCCGGTGAAATGATAAGCTTAACCCCGGACTGTGACACCGAAGCGAGGCAGTATAACCGCTTTGCAGATAATTTCTTTTACGTCTGAGATGTGGTTTCTTAATCATATCAGATGAATGTTCCTTATTCATGAGTTGGCCATTTTTGTCGAGTTCTCTGAAAGTGTTTCATTAATTGCTTATACTGTTAAATGGGATGGCGCCAGACTATTTTATGCAGGCATAATGCAGCCTTATTTTAATGTCATTTTTAAAAAGTTTGGCTTTAAACATTAGGGAACATTTAATTACAAATTTTAAATTATTTATTGAATCAGACTGGAATTAATGAGTAATTAACTTGCTTTCATTTTTCTACACAAGTTCCAAAATTCAAGATTTTTCCTCACTCTCAATCCAATATGGCCGACTCGTGAATAAGGCCCACTTAGTAAAGTGATTAATTGTTGATACCTCTTGCCGATTTCAAACCGAGCAAAATCTTCGTGTCCAGATAAGTAGCGCCAACGTATGACATGCCTCATTTACCTACCTTCACTCACCAATCAAGAATGGCGCTAAAAAGGAAGTCAACAGCACGTCTGCTATCTGTGTCGCTATGGCAACGAAACCAACCTTTCAAGAAAATGTACTAACAACGCAAAAGCGTGAAGCTGTTTACGACGAGTCCACAGCCAGAAAGGTGGTGCGTGCTCAGAATTTGATCACAAGTACTCGTGATAGTGAAACTAGCGTATTTACATAATGCCCGTTGGTACTATGTTTACACTTGATAACCTATGACTCGTATCCTATAAAACAGTAACACAGCAGAGTGCCGAATGGTTCCAAATGTCTATACTATGAACTCAACGATTGGAGAACTAGTGTATTGTACAGCGATTTGCAAGATAAAAACAACACGATCGCATAAAGCACCCGAGATCCGTTAACAAAAAATTAATTTGCAAACATCCGCGGAACACCTTTACGTATAATGGCAGTCACGGTCAAATTTCCCGAACAGAAACCCCATTAAAAACCTTATCAGGGAAAACGTTGAAGATTTCCAAGCCTTTTCCACTTCTCCTTTTTAGGTTTTAGGTAAAAACAGTTAAGGTTCTCTCTGCATGGTTCGCTGTCTAATTTTTCTTGGACTGTAGTTCTCGTCCTGTTTTCGATGTCCAAATCATCAAGACTTGTAAGTCTCGACTCCAACACTGGCTAACTCCTCAAGGCACCTTAAGTCTGAAAATCAGTTGCGATCTTAGTTCTTGTTAGTCTTGATGCTCTCAGATCTGACTGTAACTTCACTAGAAACACAAACATGACTATCATTTCTTGATCGAAAATATGCTTTAAAGCTGGACGATAATTATATTTGCCACCATGGCTTCTTGACACATACGTAGACCTGGCATCGTATTTAGGATGAATCTCCTTTAAAAACAAAAGTACACACACCCCTACAAACTTTAAGTAAGACGTGTATTTTGGACAAACAACTAGCGTACTGGAGAGTCATAACTTATTGTATCTTCCCGATGCGCGCATGTAAATTCTTCTTCAGACAACTGCCTTGAGAGAGGCTCGATCGAAAACGATGTGGCAGACACCTTGCGTGGATCTTGGACACATTTCCCAATTAAACTCAATTATACAACTCTCTCTTTCAGACCCTAACAGCTCGGACATTTTTAACATACGAGTGCAACTATAGTTACAATGGCCTACAACGGGACTCGTTTGGGATTCAGGGCACGCACCAAACCTCTCCCATCTCCGCTACCCATCTTGATTAAAAGCAAGATATCAGACAAAAGAAGCGGGTGAAATTTACTCTTTCAAGAATTATCTTCATGTTTTGACAGCACATTAAACACAGCGCGTTGATGGCAATCTTCATTGCAAGGGCAGCCCTCGAACATCTTTCTCTTGTTTTATCATCGCGTCATCACCTCTGTTTAGACAAGGGGAAATCATTAACTTCAGCATCTTCCAGTGACGATGGAGAAGTGCGTACAGGGTACTTACGATTGCATCGAGTCGAGATGCAACGACTGAAACACTAACCTCCTCATTGTTATCAGCAAGAACTTGGAGACAGAAATAAGTCAACGACAGGTCTTGGGCACAACTGCTTAAACGGGATAAACTGGCAAGTAACAGTTCGCAACGTCTGATCAATATGACATGACGGATATTTTGCCACCTTTTGAGGAAAGTCGACTATTTTCGAGCGTGTCTCCGAGACGCCACATCTTTGGAAATTAAGTTACGAATCAGCACATCTGGTAACCACGGCATCCGTGAATAACCCTCGAGCGCACTAGCCACGGTTCGATCCATCAAGCACACACGCCCAATTGCAACGACAGATAGCGAGCGAAATGACAGACAGAAGTTGCGATGTTGTCAGCATAATGGCATGATGGTCAGGCCTGGCTGTCGTTTTTAAATAACGTTTATAACGAGTTCGCTTGCAAAGGAGGACCCCTGCATCCAACTGCCAGTGACTTCATCTCAAGAGCATTGCGTTAGTTCTAGAACAATAATAGCTATACCTACTGACACTTGATTTTAAACTGATGTTTTAGATCACACACAAAAAGCCACAATGTCGACGAAAAATGCGACTTCATTGATAAGTCTTGAAGAGGCGCAAACAAATGCTTGGGTGTGTCAGATCATTGCGGCGGCAGGAGTCCTGGGTTTCCTGGGAAACCTCTTGGTATGCTTCGTCATCCTTCGCGTCAGGTTTCTCCACAACATGACGAACTACCTGCTGGTGAATCTAGCTGTGGCCGACATGCTGATATGTCTCAGTGCCTTTTTCCATTACATTTCTGCCTCGGGCAGGTGTACGATCATAAACTTCGTTCCAGCGAGCACCCTTGGAAGGGAGCTATTCTGCCGGCTTGTGACGTCCCAGTCTCTCATCTGGGCGTTTTCCAACGCAGGCGCTAACAACCTCTGCGTGGTGACGCTGGAAAGATACATAGCTATCGTACATCCACTGCAATATGCCAGAAGAGTCACAGCAACAAAGATGAAGACGCTCGTCGCTCTGCTCTGGATGCTTTCTGTCCTGTTGTCTCTACCGTTTATATTCACAATCAGCGCCAGTGATGATCCAGACAAAGCCTGTTCTGACATCACGTACCCTCATCCAGCATTCCCCGTGTTGCTTGGTGTTGTGATGGTTTCATTCACCTACATACTGCCCGTCATATTGATGAGTTTGGCCTACTACAAAATACAAGTTACCCTCAAAAGGCAAGCGAAAGCCCTGAACTTACAACGCGCAAAGGCAGCAGCTTATGACCTCGTGATTGCTAGACAGCATGTCATCAGCATGCTTACGATTGTCCTGGGAACTCTCATAATCTTCTGGACACCGGATAGCATCTGTGTCATTTTGTGCTTGCACCCAACAAGCGATAGCACACTCGATTTCTGTGATACAGAGAGTTTCAAGTACATCAGTGGCATAACCAGTTTCCTGCTATACCTAAACTCGGTGGTTAACCCCATCATCTACGAGCTGAAGTACAAGAAATTCCGGAAGGGTTTGAGGGCGGTTTTCTGCACTTGTTTGGACGAGCACGGCGGTAGCAACGCCGTGGATGCCGAGATGGCTCGACGTTGATGAGTTGTCACTGAGTGGTGTTTTCATTTAGGACCTGCTATAGAGTGGAAGTCACGGTGTTTGCAGTTTATACACACGAAGTGTACACATTATATCTGAGGAGTTTATTCGTGTGCTTCTTAACAACTGGTCGACGTTTCGAACGGTGTGCTTCGTCCATCTTCAGGAGACTGTCGGACTATGGCAATGCAGGGCTTACGGAGGATGCATAAAGATGCTCACTGATTTTCAAAAAGAACACCACACTTTGGTGTAAATGGATTTTTAAGAAACAAGTGGGAACACGATGCGAACAAATATCGTAACATCGAGTTTTGATCTTGATAATCTGTACTTTCCGAGGAAAACATTACAGTTATCCGAGCAGTAGGGGTACAATGGTAGGCTAGCTGGTGTATTCACCGCAACACTAAAAAGACACCAGCGCCCAAGGAAAGCTGTACCAGAAAATCGGACAAGATATAAATATTGAACACCGCATGATTCATGTGTCAGGGGTAGTCTAGCAAGAAATTGGTGCATTTGTGTAATTATTTTCAAATCACTAACACAATTTATAAGAGGGCAGTGCCGTGGTAACAGCTAACAAAAGCGCGACAAGTACAGATATCTGATATAGTAGGTCGACCCTTCAGCTGGTCGTACTTTAATTAGTTTAGAAATGATGACAAGTATATTATTATGAGTATTGTGTAAAAGGAACTTGCTATTACACTCTCGAATAGGCCCTTCGGTCACCTTAACAAAAAACGAGTGGTGCACGTACCTCAAACTCGTAGTAGAAAGTACAACAGCACAGTGTGTCAAGCGAGCTACAAGTGGCCTACACGAGATCGGCCATGGCCCATGATGACTGCTTCCAAAGTAGAGTCAAAACTTGTTTTATTTTGGTCCCACGCCGTTAGTGTTGATGCACGATGGAGGTCTTTGAAGTCACACTCATTCCTCCTTTTCCAGTTTCACACAAAGCAAATACGGCCCACATCAGAACATCTATAGTCACTCTAGTTTATTGACACTTTCAAAGTGTTTTTTCACTCCTTTTGAGGCTCACAATCGCTCTGGACCCAGGGCCAATTGGCACCGAATATAATTGGGCGTCCACGTAATGGCACATTTTGTTCCGTTTTACATTCAACTGTGAATTGCGCGTTGTGTCTTTTTCATCGCTGAGGTGAAGTCGTGGCCCTCAAACACAGCGTTGGTCGTTACCACGGAAACAGTGATTTATAGCAAACAATATTTTTTCATCGGCACTGCGATGAATTCAACTTAACTCATGGGCTCGGTATTAGATCCTTACAGAATGTAAAATTGACAAAAGCAAGGTCTCTCGCAGACAAAATGTATAACGGAAACATGAGTGATTCGGAAGGATATTTAAGTGACAGATATTACCATGGAGAAATAAACAAGGCAATTCGCACTTTTGGGGCATATAGGCCTACGTACATGTACTTGTGATTACTATACTTCCGCCAATGAGGTTCATCGAATTTTGTTGGTTGTTGATTGGTTGGTTGGTTGGTTGACACTTAACAAGATAACTCAAAAAGTTATAGACGGATTTGCATGAAATTTATTTTAGGAGTGGTCACTTGGTACAAGTACAAATTAGATTTTGGAAGTGATCCGGATTTGGGTCTGGATCCAGGATTTTTTTAAAGGATTCCTCACAATTTATGTGAATATGTCTTTGGGTGTACTGACAATATGGCGGGGAATTGTTAAGCCCGTTGGCGGAGGTTTGCGCTCTTTGAGTGCCTTCTAGTTTGTCATTGTGTGAACGGATCTGTATAGTTTGTATAGAGGTGATATATTTGTTTGGGGTTATGACAATCTCCCGAGGGAAGGGGGGGGGGGGGACTGTAGTGTATAGGGTTATATTTTAACACCGCGGTATATTAAAAGCTCCTTTCCCGGCCGGCCCACCCACACGCAGCCGAGCTGTTGGGAGAACTCAAAACAATAGGTCGGAAGTGATGTTTTCGAAGAGACGGTTATTACCAATAAATATGAAGGCAAATTTCTTACAAGCCACATGTTTGAATATATCTTCGCAAAATATTCGCCTGGTTTAAAAATAAAAACTTAAAAGTTCAACTGAATTTTGGCTAATGGAAAGAAACACATCAAATCTCCTTTAATCTCCCTAAAATTTCTAAGTGCCTCTGGAAATGGGATCAGCAGATACAGCAAGTTCATTTATTAAAACAAAAATGTATTTGTTGTTACTTTTCAAAACTCATCGGGAGCTCTGATAAACAGTTTGTGTAGCCAATTGGGTTTTGCCTTCATTGACGTATTTTATAAACACTCATGCATATACTCAGTATTGTCCCAAGTGATCGTGAGTAAAAAAAAAATATCACAAACTATTTGGTCTAAAAAATACGTCGGTGAAGCCTTGGCAAAACCAAACATTGAATTTCTCCTCGATCCGACGCAAATTCACGGGCGTTGCACGCTAGACCATTTTGAATGGGGTTGCCATCGTGAAATTTGCCGACGGACCGTCACGCAAAATGAAATTAGGCCTAATTGATAATTTCCGCCTATAATGATCCTTTAACTCCATTTCTTATTTCCTCCACATGTTGATCATACTTTGAATGGATTTAATTTTCAGTGGGATAAGTTCAACATTACCATTTGCTCGTCGCAAAACTGCGTGTACACGTTCAGTACTACGAGCGCGCATAGCTTGTTCAGGCCCGTTCTCTGATCCCAGTGGGGGAGGGGGGGGGGGTATATGCGCGAAGCCGCTCCTCGATATTCTGAAGGCGTGGGGTCCGGGGCCCGCCTTAAATACAAAAAAGAAGACAACCTCTGGGGGAGGGCTCAAGCCCCCCGAGGCTCCCCCGGCCCCTTGGGTGCGCCACTGCCATGGGTTGCAGAACGGGATGTTAGCTTCGCGGGACATTGGGCAGTGTTAATTATTAACATTCTCCATCTTTCGTCTTCCCTCTTAATTTCCCCTTCCTTCTCCATTCTTCATTGGGGGACCCCCCCCCCCCGTAGCGATGCTTTGGTTGCGGTACTCGCTGCCATTCGAACCAGCTAGCCGACCCAGGCTGGTCAAGTGGTAAGACATCTGCACATCAAGTAAGAGGACGGAAGGCCATGGGTTCGAGTCCCACCGAGTAGTTTGTGAATTGCTCCTCACAGTCACTCGGGACAACACCAAGTATATTAAAGTGTTTATAAACGCCGGTGAAGGAAAAAAACAATATTGAATGTACCGTATATCACCCAGACTCAAATTCCATCTTATGAATATAGTTCGTGTACGTAGTACGTTTATATTAGTTGCCATGCATGATGCGCTTCAAGCACTAGTTAATCTGGAACACTCACCTCTCAGTGGACTGTATTTCTAGGTTTATCTCCAACAATGAAACTCTGCACAGTTGATTCTGGTTGACTCGATTAATGGCCAAATCGCAAGGACAGACTAGTCGATTTAATCAGCCTGGCATTATACGATCCGCCGCCATAAAGTTATAAAAACCGAAGTGTTGGCAAAATTATGACACCGCTAAGTAGGCAAGTGATCATGTGGTCTCGTTACCAAGCAGGCTGGCTTATGGTTCACTGCCGCCACATAATCAAGTCAGTTGATTCATTGGTGTCATCTGTGAATTGACGGCAAAGCGGATCATCAGTACATCATATCGATCCGCGCCAGCTGTCTTGTCTGTTGATACGGCCTGACGATTTCCAAACGCTGCTGCTAGGCCAACTCGCAAGAAAAGGCTTTTGTCACAGGGCCGACAATAGTCAATATACAAGCGACAACAATGACGAAAGTTTATCTGGCTAGTGAATCAATCCACTTTTTACGAAGTCGTGAGTACGTGTTTTGGCCAACAACAAGTTTGACACCATGCGCAGTGGTAAAGTCTGGCAAAATGCCACGAACTTATTACCGGTATAGCGCTACAGACCTTCCTTGCTCTATGAATGAACTTGGCTTTATGTCATTGCGGAAATAAATAATGCCTATGTATATCAATGCTCACTATGTGGTCTTTATTTAGAAGTCACTGGCAATCTGCCATAGCCTATTTGTATCGTTGCCAGGACGACCGGAGAACGGACACAAAAGCAACATGGCTAGTGGCCCATGCGACGGTTCCAAGAGATCTAACAAAAAGTTCAACAAACTAGTTGCATTCATTCACTCACAACGATAATTCGAACAATTGACAATGACGAATCATGAGGCCATTTTTCCACAAACTTTCCAAGTTAAATTTAGAGAAAAAAACTAATACCAACATTTCCATAATATTCCTTCACCAGATGTAGTTTCATCATCTCTTCAAGTTCCCTTGCCATAAAAAGGGAAATGTACTTTTAATTAATTTGGTTAATAGTGTCCTGCCTACCAATAACGACACTGGATTAATGTACAAAACATAATACAGCAAGCTTTCTCGTGACATAAACTTAAAGCCAAGTTTATATTTGCTGGTACAACCATTAACAGAACATGAACTTAATGTTATCAGTATCCTTGCTTTGTGTCCGCGTACCTCCATTTCCGATCGATAAACATAATCCTATGCCAATGACCTGTGTGGTTTGTTATATTCCAAATAGAAACCCGATAATTGTGTCTCGATGAAAGAACCTCTTCCAAGAACTCTCCAAGTGGGAGAAGTTGGAATAATATCGGTTTTCTTCTCCAGTGACAAGGCCAGGAAAGACCGGATCAGTGCTGCACGGTTTCTGTGAAGTGGAGGACAACTACTAATGGTTCATTAGCCTCGTATTGTCTGCTTCACTGTAACAGAGACCATTTTGTGCTCACATATATACAAGCTGATTGACAGTGCACTGAACTTAGAAAAGAGTTTGGACAACTGTTTTGGCGGTGTGAAACACGGCGAGGGGTCGAGCTGCTTATGTTGGTTGGTTGGTGGGTTGCAAGACGGACGGGTTGGTCGGTGGACAATTTACTCGGCCTCATATTGTATTCATACAACTCCAGTAAATTGCGGAGCCAAGTGTCCGGACAAAAAAAACATGTCTACATTTCAGCAAAGATTTGAAATCCCCCCCACAAAAATTCCTGGATCCGCCCCTGGGCTGGTAGATCACAAGGCAACATGATAATTCGAACAATGGTTTAAAAAAAGAAATCAGCAACAAACATCTCATATTTTGACCGGTTTTTTTTACTTTTTACTTTTTAGAATTTATAGAAGCACACGTTTTAAGGCACATATTTCATGAATACATCAGTAAATATCTTTGGTGCATACATATCAAACATCAAAAATACATACAAAAATATACAATTCACGTTTATAAAAAGGTAAATATATAAAAAGTCATGATACATAACACGCTCGGTCACACACGTTCCACATAATTATTTTGAGTACACACCAACACTGTCAATATTAGCTCTGCTCCAGGACCTGGACAGCATTTGACACCTGGGGGCGCTGTTCAAACTGCAAAGGCTCATCAACACTTGAGGCCTCAGAGTTCCTGGTGCTTGAGGATGTGTACTCAATATAAGACGAGTCTCAACCCCAAACTACTGTGGAAGCTTCCCACATAATGGAATACCCCCTCTCTTGCCCGTTACTGCCAGAGCCAGGCTGTCTACGTGATCTGGAAGTTTTAATATGTGGGCCAGAGCCTGTTTTAAGCAGTGGCTGAGTACATGTCAAGTGGACAGATACAACCACCACCGACCCAACTATATGTGAAGTACATAGTGCTGGTAGATCTATCCTTTTCACACTAGACAAATCTTTGGGTTGACCCGGGGTTGACGCAGGGTTGAACACACGCAGCATTTCACGCTTGAACAATTTCAACCCTGCGTTAACCCTGAGATTGATTTCGCCCTGGTATGAACTCAACCCTGCTCTAAACCAGGGTTGAGATTTTCAACCCGGGTTTAAACTCTGATAACCCTGAAGTTCCTTAGAAGTACAAAACAAACATTTAGCAAGAGTGGCATCACGACAGAGAAAAACATTTGTGCATTTGTTCTTGAGAACATTTCAACTTTCGGTACGGACTATGGAAAAACTGCAAGGCACACTTCAGAAAGTACAATGAAATAAACGGTACTGCAGAGAAGTAGTCAGTGACAGAGTAATCACAAGAGAATCACAAGTCATTCAGTCTCAGTTCAAAGCACAAGCTATTCAAATGAACTGTGCAAAGGTATTTTTTTTGTCATGGGTCATTGGATGAACTTGTCATTTAATATGACAGACTTGTGATAGACTTGTGATGGACTTTTGATGGACCTCTGATAGACTTGTGATGGACTTGTGATTTGACTTGTGATTTGACTTGTGATGGACTTGTGATGGACTTGTGATGGACTTGTGATGAACTTGTGATGGACTTGTGATCTGACTTGTGATAGACTTGTGATGGACTTGTGATGAACTTGTGATGGACTTGTGATGAACTTGTGATGGACTTGTGATCTGACTTGTGATAGACTTGTGCTAGACTTGTGATTTGACTTGTGACGGTAATGACTAGAGCTCTGCAGATCAAGCTTGGTGTTCACTTGTCCCATGGAACCAACCCTTGGTGGGAGGGTCTAGACGAAGTCCCTCGCCGGAGCTGGGTCTGGGGATTACCAAGCTCAGATTCGTGAAGAGCGTGGAACTTCCAGGCAGCAGCGATAGCGTTGATCTGCAGGGATGAAGAAAACAGGCTTGTTTCATGAGACAAATGTCCATTTTTCTTACCGTTGATAAAACGTTTAAAAAAATGTCCATTTTCTGCACATCCAATTCAACACCCACTGGACTTCTTCCACTACATACTTGCTGGGAATTCATCTATCAAAGTCCCAAAATGTGTCGGAGAGGGGCGAATCCAGCTTTGGCTTGGGGGGAGGGGTGTTTTAGCTATCAAGGAAAGGGGGGTTAGCACGATTTTCCTATTTTTTGCCGCCCAAAAGGGGGTTGGGGTTGTTAGCTTTAACCCCTGCCCCTGCCCCTGCCAGGGATGGGTAAGGGGTTGAGTGGGTAGAAATAAAGCCACGAAACTGTTTTGGTTAAGGGTGGAAGTAGAGACAGGCTTGACAAATACCAACAGGCAAGCAGAGAGACGGACAGACAAACAGAATTATAGACCCTCCCAGAGAACAGAAATGACTTACAGGAATGATTTGCTGCGCTTCGTTCTCCCTCTCCAGTTGCTTCAACTCGTTTGGAGCCAGGAGGGCCAGCCGTATGTGCCTGACCACTGACTGGATGACCTTCTGAACAGGCTGGTGTGTGACTGCCTGCAAATCGGACAAAAATACACTCGACATCTTCAAAGGGACGCAAAATATGGTGTAGGATGCAAGACTCATTTTAAGGGCTTGATTTTTTTGTATTTGATTCGAGGCTCAATGCAATGGAAGAAAGTTTTGGCAAGTTTTCCCAGAGAGTTCATGTTGATACTGACAACACCTTTCCAGATATCCTTACCCCTCCACACTTTGTTTGAGATTAACCTTCCCAGAACCGTCTAAGTCTACCAGCTTTTTAAAGGATTCGGCAGGATTGCAGGAGGTAGAGCCTAGTCACTATATTTTCACATAGGGTTTGATAGCCCTAGAAAGTTTAATTTTGAAGAATGGACCATGGACATCCTTCAGAGTGAAGGATGTTTGGCAAGTAAGAAAAATCCCTAGCAAAACTGCATGAGGTCTAAGAGTGAGCTGGCTTTCCCAGATGAGTATCTGAACGCAGTCTGGAATAGTGGTACAGGAGTAGTAAGGCTTCATCAGTCCCACAGTTTTTGTGCAGCCCTCCCCAACAACTTAAATTCTGACCAGAAAACTGGTTGATGGATTCACAAACTTTATAACTTCTGAATTGGTTTTTAAACCCCTACTGGATTGGTTTAGAATATTGAGGGGATGAGCTTCACTTACTGAGTTGGCTGCTGCCCACTCTCTCACGGCCCTTATGATGTCCAGTTCATCCGCCGTCAGCTTGGAGCTCTGCAGGATGCAGCACACTGCTTCAGGGGATAACTCTAGGAAACCCCTGGTCTTGAGAACATTCTGCGTTACAATCGGACGATGACAAGATGTCAATTCGATAAGAGCGATTCGTCCTTTTTATAAAGGAGCTGTTAACACAGGTGTCCCAAGACAATGTTAAATGGGGGGGGGGGGGGGGGGGGGGGAAGGGGTTTGCCAGCATCTGACAAAAAGGGGTGCTGTTCAAAGCAGACAGGACTGTCAGTGGAGTGTCATGGCCTAGCGGTTAAGAGCACCGGACTCATGCTCTGGTGTTTCAGAGGCAACAGTGGCGTAAGTCCGAGCCCAGGTGGACACTTGTGTCCTTAAGCAAGGCACTTAACCATTATTGCTTCGTCTTTCAGATGAGACGTAGAGCCGTAGGTCCCGTGTGTTGTGTAATACAATGCATGTGAAGAACCCAGTGACACTAATCGTTAAGAGAAGGGGTTTGCCCCAGTGTTTCTGGCCTCCTGTTAAACTCCCACACCGAGTATTTAGGAGAAGAACCAACCAAGAACCAACCAGGAACAAAGACTGGGCATTATCCGACTGAAATTATCTGGTGGTGCTTTTCATGCTGGCAGACACATAACTTGCAGACATACACAATTTTGAAAACAAAAAATTGTATAGCGTGAGAGGGGGTTGACACCCCCATCCAACCCCAATCCAAGTAGATTGGGGTAAGATTGAAGGGGAAAGACCACCAACCTGAGTGTTCTTATCGATGAAGCTCAGCGCTTTGGTCTTTAAGTCTTCCTGTCCGTATGAGACGGCCGCCTGCACGGCCTCGCAGCAGGAGTTGACCGACAAGTTGTCAATCAGGAATCCCACGCACACCTTCCGCAAATCATCCAGGCCGTACTCAATAGAACAACTCAGAACCTCAAACGCCTGCATTGTATAACAAAGACAGAGAACGGACAGGTCAAAGAAATGCCGTTATTTCAGAATTACGGTCACTTTTCTTGGAAACCACAAAGTGATGCGCCCTTCACAAGAACTGAAAGTATCTTTTTGGTCATTCCAAACTAAAAAATGCTGAAATTTTTGAAAAGTTGTCACCAACTCAGATTTTGATGTAACTTTTTAAAACATAGGTCTCGGACTAGAGCTATGTGCATTGGCATGCCCTAGTCCGAAAATTTGGGACTATCAATACTGTGTATGAGAGTCCCAAAACTTAAGATATTGAAAACATGCAATACAAGAAAATAGACTGGCACATGAAACAACCAGTCCAACACCCCTTTAGTACTGCATCAGCCAACTGTGTCAAAAGAAACATCTGGTACCGGTCTCTATTTCTTCACATTCTCATAGTCATGCCACCAGACTACTGAAGGGTCAATCTTTTCAAAAAGTTGGGCATGTACCAGTCTAGTCTTAGGCCTCAAATTCAAACTACTTGGCTTCCCTCTCAGGTGCAAAATGTTGAAGAAAAGTCTCCTTAAAAACTGAATTGAGACCTCAAACTTGGCTGGTGAAATATACTGAGGACCTTGTCTTTGCCTCATTAAAATTTTGGAGAATTTTGTTGGCTAAAGAGTAGGTAAAGTTGGCCTGATTTTGTTTTGCATGTTTTTCTGCACTCAAGCGCCCAGTCTGGGTATACCCTTAGGTAAGCACTGCGTCTACAAATTTCACACAATTTTTTTTGCACAGAATGCTGATCATGTGCGCAGAATTTTATAATCAGCAGGGCCATGAAATAGGGTCCCAGACTCCTGGTCAAAAAATATTTTGGAAAAGTTTACATTTTTGACATTCAGCGTGACGCAGTTGGTGTAGATGAACTCCAAGACAGTCAGGAAGACGTCCGGGTCCACATCGGACATGACGTAGGGGGTTTCCTCCTTGTTGTTCCGGTCGGCAAACATCGCGCGGAAGACCTCACAACGGGACGCCAGGATGCAGCGATGGGCGCGGACCTGCTTGCGGGAATCCCCGACGATGAACTTGATGTCGCTGTGGGTGAAAAAAGGCCAAAAAGGTCAAATATGATTATATATAACGACAGCATGATAGTAATAAATATGTAACAGTATAAAATATGATGTACTTCTTAATGAGGCATGGCAATCAGAGAACATAGTGGCTATTTGTTACGGCAGCTTAACGCATGTTTCATCTGCTATTGTTACGGCATTGCAAAGACACCATTGGAAATCTATAATTATTACTGCTCTACCAATCAGTGTACTTGGGTAGCTTGATTGGTTCAATTCTTAACTACAGTACCATGCCGAAGGAACCGGGATCAAATGTGTGCTTGCCTTTTTTTCCCCTTTTATTATTGTAAAGGGCCTAGTCATTTACCTTTGTTTTGTTTTTTTCTTGAAGTAGATTTCACTTTCTTCTTCGTAATCCCTGGGTTTGGAGGATTTATTTCGAGGATTTTTTTTTAAAGGGAAATAAACTCCGAGATCCGTTCAGATGACAGTCCGGTTCTAAGAGCCAAAGATTCTGACATTGAACACTATTAGGTCAGGGAGCCTGACGGTCGACTGCCGTAACTATAGCCACTAAGATCAGAGAAAGCACCGGGCAAATATCCACTGCCACTGTACTGCCGTGCAACCAATTGACTCGAGCTCGACACAAAAACTGACAGTGACACAGTGACACAAAATGTCCTACCTGAAGTCTTTACTGTTGATTAATTTCTTCATCTGTTTGGCGAACGGCATAGCATCACCTTTCAGGTATCTTTCCTTTGCCATTTTTAATTTAAATCTATAAAAAAAACCCGCAACTTAGTTAAATTCCTGGCCCTTGCGGTGCCTCAGTCGTGTTTCGTTAACTTTCGTAGTTTCGTTGCCACGCCAGTCTGGTTCCTTTGTTTTCCTGACGCAATGATTACGAGTGCATGTTACGGCGTCTCGGTACCAGACAATAATTGAGACACTATAGAGGGCGCTTTTCCCATCCACTGGTAGCTAGCTGGCCAGCTAGCAAGCACCCCCCCCCATCACAATCCCTTTTAATTCAGTTTTAATGTTATTTAAATGATTATTTTACACGTTACCTGCCTTAATACAATTGAAAAAAAAACCCCTTTACCCTGTGGTCTTAAAATCAAGCATTTGAAGTTGGCGACTTTCGTTGTTTTTTTAAAGGGCCGGGGCAGTTAGTTTGGTACAATTATCATGTTAATGGTTACTTTAACGAAATACCCAGACGCGCACGAATGGGCGTTAATCGGTGGGGAATTTGGGGAATATTTTTTTCGGCCCCCCCCCCCCACTTTTTAAGTCCCCGAATAACAATTGTAGCCTACATGATTCTGTAGCCCTGAAAATAGCTGATTTAATGACTCAAAACTCGCAAATGATGTTTAATGAGGATCTTTTGCTAAAAAAAATTGGTTAAAGTATGGTCAGAACTTGCCTTAGATCGCACCACATCACAGAGCGTCTAAAATCCAAAATTTATCGGGTCCCCTTTAAATTAGTAGTAGTCTGAGTATCACCCGTTAATTCACGGAACTCAGTCTCCTATATAACGGGTAGGACACGTGACGCACAGAAGATGCCGGCACGTAAAAAGACTAGCACGAGCGGCGGTACGTGCGCGTATCGCGTATCATACAGCGCGTGACCACTGCCTTTGTGTGATTAGGGTATTTTTGTATCCATGTCTATGACGCGACAACGGTGAATGACCGAAGACTTGATATATGGAAAGCGCCCGGCTGATTGGTCAAAATGTAGAGGTCAAGATAGACAGTTACTCTCTTATTACTCATTGAACAAGTTTTAATTCTCCCGAAGAAGCAAACAACAGGTCAGACTTAAAGCTTAAAGAGCGATTCGGTTGTCTTGCATAAGTTAATCAGCGAATCTGCTCAAATGTATTATATTATAGACCATGGTTCATAGACTAATAAATTAGCGGGCCCCGGAGGCCCGAATCCCTCGCCATCAAGTTAGGGCTAGGCGCTTCGCGCGCTCGCATTAGTTCTGATCCAAAGGTGCATATGCCCCCCTTCCCCACTCTTGTTAAGCGCGCGATTGACGGCATTGCCATGACGATTGTTTATTATGGAGAAGTTTTGAAGTTTTGCAAACGATTCAGCTGCAGCTAGGTAATCAACAATTACTGACATATTATAATTACTGATGGAAAACAAATTGGGGGTGAAAACTTAAGGGAAAGAAACCACAAGACGTTTTCTCGTAAATTGTAGATGGCCAGCTTCGTGCTTAATAAATTGATGCTTAATTCAAAAACAATCCCCTTTGCATGCGGTGGATGGGAATATCTTACCACAAAAATACCAAGGCTCCCCCAATTTAATTTTGGCAGGGGGCTTCACGCGCTCGTAAAATCCCATTCAACCCAATTCGTAACGGACAAAAAAACCCCAACTCTTTTGCTTTGCTTTTCAATAATCACACAGAATATTCCAATTTTCCCATGAATAGTTAGTAAATTCCCCAGTCTATTTGAATCGTTAAAATTATTATAAGTGTCTTCCCTGATTGTATGCGCTCTTCTTTAGTACAGTACAAGTAGTCAGCCTACCAATCTGTATGATGAGCATGGCTGCGTTTTGTAATGATAATAATTAACATAAAATCTGACGTCGACCCGCGCGCTAATTAATTATTCATTTTCACAAGACCCGTATAATATTTCAATTTCTCTCTTTCGCTTCTCCAACGTAGGACAGGTTGGGGTTTTTCCCAACGGCAACTGTACACGATGAACGGTTGTCTATCTCAAGCGCGTAATTCTATCCGCGCGCTTTCCGCCAACGTCATCCAGTGTACACATCCCCGAGGTGTGATTGGTCGATGCGACAGGCAGCACGTGCTGACGTCAACCGCGCGAGTGAGAGATAGGTGTCGATATATGGTCATCGCGGAAATCTTTTACGGATCAAATGCTCATCTCTTCGTGACGAAAGCATGACGAAACGAATTTTAGGGAAAATGAATTACACAGTAAGATTTGCGGGTATTAACAAGGATCCAGCTAGGCGTTTTTCAAAAAGGAACTTTCCATTTGATAATATTTGCCGCGATAAAGTTGAGTACATGTAGTATTTTCCCATTTGCCTGCGAAAGCTGGCAATCAATCACGGCAGCACGCTGCTTTTTTTTTTAATTTTTTTTTAAAGCCTTTAACGTTATTAGTTAACATTTTATGCACGCATGCGCATAAACAGGATGGCAATGCGGACGTAAAAGAGATCCGACGTCACTTTAGATCCGGTGTCATATGAAAATCGGACTCGTATGAAAATCGGACCTTTCCCTTTTATTGGTTAAACCCTCTCACGTGATCGGTCCCTCTCCTAATTATCTATACATGAGCATGCGCAATATACCACCAATGAGTCCGTATTACATAAAACTTAAATCCATGCTACACCGGATCCCGTATCAGAATGAACATTATTAATTGAGATAGGGGCGATGATCGCTAGTTTAACGACTTTACTGAGTTATCAAGATAATCTGTGAATAGCCCCACTCCACACCTCGTCACATCCGGATGTAAAGTATAACAAAAGAACAGAACAATCGCGATATCTTGAACAAAAACCCGGATTTTGCTTGATACAATCGCGGATTTTACGAAAACTGTTTTTATTCCCTACGCGCGGCTCGTACTTGTTCCTACTTCCCTAGCCTTCTTCTTCACTTCCGTGAGGTGCGTGCCGCTCATTATGTTTCCCCTCTGACTTTTCCCCTATATAATGAAACATAAATAGACAGAATTTCACGGGACCGATATTTGCCTTTACTGGGGAATATTTTGTCAGGATGATGTTGTTGGAAAAGAAAAATGTTTACGTTTGTGTGACGCCTATGGTCAAAATGACTCACGACAAAAGGGTTTCCCCAACTGCTAGCCCACACGTCTGTAGTGTGGTTTTTTGCTTGGCACCGTCCCAAGCATAGACTTTGCTCAAGTCTGGTCCCGTGCTTTGCCAGCCCAGTATGCGTTGAATGCCCATCAGTCCATCGTGCATCCAAGTCAAATCCAACTCGACTCAAGTCTATCAGAAACATAGTACGCGCAGCACGTGCTGTGATTGCACGGGACTTTTTGAGCGGGAACTTATGTCTTTGCCAAGATTCAAGAAACAAAAAGTTGAGGGAAAGGAGAAATGGACATTACAAAAATAGGGGGGCTTCCCATACGTCCCGTGGTTTGTATATCGATAGTTATGTTCAATACGGTATATTTGTATGTTTTTAAAAAGATTTAAGCAAACAACATAACTTCCCGTTTTGCTATGAGACATAATCAACATATAGATGTGACGTGAGCGCCAAACTACTTTCTGGTGACTAAAATGATCATAAGTTTCTCATTGCGAATGAGAATGACAACTTCATTTATTGAAGTATTAAAGTATTTCCCCCAATTCTAAATCCCTTTTTAAAAAGTTTGGCATGTAGCCATACCATGGAGAAATACTTTTTTATTCCTCCATGGTCATCATACCACCAACTTAAAAAAATAATATTATATCACAATTTTATGGGATCCGGTGCGTTCTGCCCCAGTTAAATGAACTACGTGCTGTTTTCCACGAATGAAACTAGAAAACTCTAGTCTGAGAATATCATGAATGATAAGCGACAATCACTTGATATTTAATACTTTAGAATCATATTTCAATCAGTCGTTGGTTGTATAAAAGCAATGATTATGCATGCACGTGCGACGTATTTGATGAGCTATGACGTAAAACGCACACCCCTTTCCTACCAATGAGATGTCCCTTTCAGGTAGTAGCCAATCAAACCAGGACCTCGGGACCACGTGACACGTCGACGGGGTGGGTTTTCTTTGTACGTGCATGCATAGGGAATGAAGCACAGCCGAAAGAAGTATATTTCATGGGGAAAATGCTACTATAACGACCAGTTTTTTGACAGTGAATCGCGCCGGAAGGATGGACGACGAGCATGGGGAACCGAAAAGACCGTTGGAACTTAGATTACACAGCCCAGCTGGAGCAGATCCGGCGATCTATACCTGGCCACTCCAACACACGGTGAGTTATGTGCAAATCTAACGTGTGTAAAGATGTAGGCCTACGTGTACAATGTAAATTGTGGTTTGTATACAAAACAAATCATCATTCATTCAATCCCCAATGCAAACTTCCTTGGTCATTAAATCGGCACCGTCGCCTGTTTTAACCATAGATCATGGAAACTATATGGATTAACTTATGTTTTAATCAGTATTGTTTCGTGGAACATCAATTAAATCTTTACATTGCGAGAAAGCCGTGTTTTATTTTGGTAAATCCTAGCTTGGCCTTGACCATTGACCTTGCCATGCTTTTGATAAGCAAACAATCCATTTGTTTTGATATCACTTTTCTGTTTTTTTTTTCTTAACGTCTTAAGTATATTGTGGGAAAGAATTTTGCATCGTGACGCCACTTTTTTTTCATCACATATTATTATTACACCATGTACATCAATGAAGGTCAGTCATTGAAAAATGTTGAAAAAAGACATGAATCTGGGACTGAGAAACATTTCCAATTTTGTTAGAAATTAAGAAAATACTTCGAAAATGCACTTGACTCTGACTCCATAGACTATGTACACAACCAAAGAAGTGGCGTCTGGATACTACATTCTGAGAACCTAAGTGTCTTGCAGTGATGACACGGGTTCTCAATCTCAGAGCACACTCATGGCAAATTAGCGTTAGGAAGTGTCAGTGCCGGCAAAAAATCAAATGCCTTTATTGTGCGCATGTTCTGTGCATCACATTATCTTTTGTGAATAATGACATGAATGAGCCCCATAAATTGTGTCTCAAAATACTGGACTTACTCCATAAATGTGAGAAACCCAATGATGCGTGCTAAATTTCCTGAAAATATATATGTTCTCCGAATTTGAAATCTACACTGTTTTTCCAACTAGAAATTCACCAATCTACTTACTTGGTTAAAAAGCAGGAAAAACATCCTGGTATCTACTTTAGATGTCAAGTTTCAAATTAGGAGAACGCAGCTTTCTAGACAATTTAGCTAGGAAGTCCAGTATTTGTGACATAAATATGGGACTATCCAATAATGTTATCGAATACAGAGCACTATAATATTACATTCACATTATATATGGTTATTACATTTGTACCATTTTGTGTGTGTGTGTGTCATTTATTGTGTATCCTCGTGTAATTTTAATAATTGTAATTTTATGTTATTTGTAGTATTTTGATGGTTTTTTTTGTACAGGACAAAAGCGATGGGGCAAATGAGATCGTTGACACAATCAAGTAAGTGCATTGTTAAAACATAATTTTTCTACATTTCAACAGCCATTGGGAATTTTGAAACAGGCCTGTTGAATTGACTTTGTGTGGTAGTTCCTTATGGTACATTAGTCTATTAATAGGTACATGTATGTCTGTATTAAAGAGATACATGAACATGTTTTAACTTACCCATGGCCCCAGGCAAAATATATATTCATGTTCTCAGTTTCTATTTCCTCATAAAACCCCCTTTTTTATTTACCAGTAATACTATACATGATGAATGTTCCTGTTCGCCATGCAATCTTACAGCGAGTGATTATAACTTTAAAATACTGTTAACTCTCTGGTTTGATTGTATAAAATCTGAAATTGTTATTTCGGCCATAAAATGATTGTGTAATGTGTATCACTGTTTGCATGTCACACGTACATCAGGCTTAGCTGCATTACTGAAAAAGGACTGAACATTATATCGGCAGCACGTACACTGTATTTCCTATGTTCCCTTGAAGTGCACACACACAATAGGGGTTGGCTTCCAAAGGTCAATTTGTTAAAAAAAAAGAATTTTTTTTCTATTATTTCCGTCTATTTTGGCATTCTGGGTTGAAAATATCGGCCTTGAATGTTGTATTATAAAGCCATTTTTCGTAAGGGGGGGGGGGGGGGGATTGAGGGGGTGCAGAAGGGAATTGACTGGAACATTTGTTAGTTGTATGAGTTTTATTGTGATCTGCTGTGGAAGCTGTGACAACAGCACTGTTGTCATTTTTCATGCCAACAAAGGAATTTATTTACCCCAGATCCCCAGGTAAATCTAGGAACTTTCCCGGGTTTTCCCAAATCCACCAATCGACAGATTCTTTATACAAAATATTTTAAGCCAGCCATCGATAAACACCCTAATGTACCATTGGCAATATATGTGTAGTAGAGTCTTAAACATACATGTATTACTACTACTAATAATAATGAGTGTCGCTAATATAGCGCTTTCCACCAAAGCTAGATCTCAAAGCGTTTCACAGTTTATTACCCCTGTTCATCAGGCCATGAGACAATTTTTTTCTGCAGGCGAGAGACTAAACGTAATCTGGTCTGTACCCTCGAAGGTACCCATTTATACTCCTGGGTGGATAGAGGCAATTGTAGTAAAGTGTCTTGCCCAAGAACACAAGCATCAATGCAATCTGGCCTCTGCCCTCACATGTACTCATTTATACTCCTGGGTGGAGAGAGGCAATTGTAGTAAAGTGTCTTGCCCAAGAACACAAGCATCAGTGCAATCTGGCCTCTGCCCTCACATGTACTCATTTATACTCCTGGGTGGAGAGAGGCAATTGTAGTAAAGTGCCTAGCCCAAGAACACAAGCATCAGCGCAATCTGGTCTCTACCCTCACATGTACCCATTTATACTCCTGGGTGGAGAGAGGCAATTGTAGTAAAGTGTCTTGCCCAAGAACACATGCATCAGTGCAATCTGGCCTCTACCCTCACATGTACTCATTTATACTCCTGGGTGGAGAGAAGCAATTGTAGTAAAGTGTCTTGCCCAAGAACACAAGCATCAGCGCAATCTGGCCTCTACCCTCACAGGTGCCCATTTATACTCCTGGGTGGAGAGAGGCAATTGTAGTAAAGTGTCTTGCCCAAGAACACAAGCATCAGTGCAATCGGTCCTCGACCCTCACAGGTACCCATTTATACTCCTGGGTGGAGAGGCAATTGTAGTAAAGTGTCTTGCCCAAGAACACAAGCATCGTGTTCCCCCGTCACGGTTCAAACCCATGTACCATGGCACATGGGTCGAACACCCTAACCACTGGACCACAGCGCTGCACAGTTAACATTGTTTTCCCTTAAATTCTTTCCCTGTAGATGGGTTTGCGATGATATTCCTGAAATGATGGTTGCCATGCAGAAAAATGTACTCAATGACTTTGACACAAAAAGGTAAACTATTCTTTAATTTTTTAAAATTATTTTGTATATTATATTGTACTCCGCTCTTGAATATTCCAGAATACATGATGTACAACATGGTAGTTTCTAATTTATACTGGAATGGTACAGACATTGGTGAATTCTTGACCGCTTGACCCCTCAAACCCTCATCAACACCTGGTATAGCCATCGAGTAATGCCCCGCGTAGCCTCTTAAAGACTTGATTAAGATTGTCGGACAGGTGAACTTAACGCCGCACATAACGGTCATTTATTGAAAACATCCTAATGACAAAAAGAGCAGCATCCTGAAGACTCATGGTCGCCTGTCCGTTGCCCTTCCTGTCGCATCACCCCCACGTGCCCACCTGGCTCTCTCTTAGCTTGCCCGCTTCCGATCATTCTTGGAAAATTCAAAATTTTATTGGGACCCTTTCCCCACGTCCAAACACTTGAGCATTTGCGTAGTCTTAGGCGACGTCTGAAGTCTTCATTTCCTGTTCATTAATATCGCGTACTTCATCTTTACTTCAACTTGACTTTCAGATAATGTTGTTTTAAAAAAAAAGGAGTTGAAATTGAAGCTCACGGTTATTTCATGAAAGATAAGGTCATTCCTCTGAAGTAAGGCTTATTCCATGGAAATTTATGTGCAGTTTTCCTGGTGCTTTCCCTCTAAATCCGAGAGCGTTTTGTTTTTCTAGCAACCATCCTGATTACCTTGAAATCCAGCTCTGTGTAGTAGACTAATAGACCTTTATCATGCTGTCACCATTTTAGTCATGTTCCCTGTATCCAATAACAGTAGTGAGGGAAAGCATTTCGCACCTTCGGATGCTCGTGTTTGAATGCTGTACGTTGTGCTGTGTGTTGATTCGGTGAATGAGTAGTTGAACTAGCAGATGAGCGGATGGACAGCGGGTCTAATCTGTTCTTAGTCACCCTCCATTATCAGTATCCTGTTCCGTGGGAAACTGACGGTACTTTGTTTTCCTCCTATTTCTAAAAACGTACCCCTGTCCGCAGCGCGCTCACGGGACGTTGTTGGTGAGTTTGCGCGGAAGAGTTGCGTTAAAATTGCGGAGGGATTCAGACATAACAGGAGACAGAATCAGACGAGTGGGATATGTGAGGGGGGGGGGGGGGGTGAGTTGGGAGTTGGGGGGTGACTAGTTAAGAGTCACAATCTTTTGTAAATTGTCCATAGTAAAGTTAGCAAAATGTTCACAATACTAGGTACAATAAGATATGTTAGATATGTAAAGATTCTTTATTCTTGACTTTAAGATTAGCAATGAGACGGGGATTCATTGATGTCAAAATCAAAATTGTAACATTAAAATCGATTCATTGCTGATTTGTACTCATGTTGTGTACATTTTTGTTCCTGTTGCAGTTTTGAGAGCATGCACACACTATGCGAGAAGTACAACAGAGCCATTGATGCAGTCAGACAGCTGGTGAGTTTTTCAATAAGTAATCATAATGGGGGAATTCCCAGACAATGTTGCTGTGCATGGTCTGCCCGCCCTGAATGTCAGCCTCTATTGTCACCATGTGCACCTGTCTTAGGAGAGAAAACCAGAAATCCAAAAATAATTTTTGTATTGCAGGCATATCTCGAGTTATTTTTGTTTAGCTTGCATAGCTTAACCCTAACGCCCTCGGTTTTGTGAAAAAAAAAAATCTAGGAAAATTGGAGGATTGAAGCCCGGATTTTGTGGAGTTGCTAAGCAGCGTAATAAAATTTGACTTAGCACATTTAGGAAACGGCTGAGTACCAGTTACAAGCAATTTGCATGACAGTTTGGCAGGGAACCTGTTTTTACTAAGCTACTAATTTCTGTATTTTAAAGGTTGGGTACAATGTAGATCATTTGCAGCTAAGTATCCAAAAAGTTTAGTGACAAAATAACTGTTAAAAAGCTTACTTGGTTTAAAGATTGTAATGGTACTGAACTCCCTGTAAAATTGTTCTTTCTGGCAAGCTGTCAAGTGACACATTTTTGGAAATTTCGTTAGTAGTTGGTTTGTAATTCGGGGAATCCGTGAATGGGTGCGCGCAAGCGTTGACACGACGCACAGATATTCGCGGTTGCAATTATTCGTCGGTTCAGTGTGTGACGTGGTGTAGCTGCAATCGGCTGAATGAGAACGTGTCCCGGATGCTGATGTCGGCACAATTCAAAGCAGGACTTTGCAACTTTTGAATGAGAATCAAGATCCTGGAATATTGTTTTCTCGGAATATACAGCATTCACCGAGCTAAAAGTTCATCGGGTTAGTTGTTAAGCACCTGTCTTTAGATTTTGAGCACTTTTGTTGCTTCAAACGAAAAAAAATGCACAAATGACAAATGATCTACTCTACAGTGTACCTTTAAACTCCAGGAAATTGGCTTTAAAAATTTAGTAATGAATGAACTTTCATTATTCTATCAAACACCATTCACTATTTGTAATACCATGGATTTTAGATTGGTTGTGCACTTGTTATAATAAACAAAATTGATTATAAAACTAGAATTCATTTTGTAGTTTGCAGTTTAGACTGATAAGTTTGCTATGTCCCTTAACAGTGTTTACATACATACATGTACTGCGTAGTGTTCAGTTCAACAACTAAAAACAGTTCAAGAACCACCAGTAGAAAACCACATTGCGAAATTTTAAGACTTACGAATGGTTTGGAAATCATGTACAATGCATAAATTTGTGACCTCATTCGTTTTGATAAATTTGTTAATGTAATCTTGTTTTGTTGTCAGATGATGACATCAAGACATCTTGTTTGTGCTTTGGAATAAGAAAACACCTCTTTGTTAGGTACAGAACAGTTTGTTGCTTACAACTGAATATTGTGAATGTGGCATAAGTGGAACATAAAATTAACGTCAGCGCATTTTACAATAGCGCATCTAGTCCCCTCCCCCCCATCATTGAGCTGAGTGCCTTTTGTGTAATCCAAGTTCAAGATGAAATGAAAATAGTCACCCTCAGTAGTCTCACGTTGCAAAAGGAGGGGGGGGGTGCGTTTTTTTCTATCCTTCACAGTCGGGGCTGGTTCTAAAATTACCCTTTTCCCCAGAGAGAGTAGCGGAGTCGAGCGCTGTGCGTCCTGTTCATAGCCCCGGCCTGAATGAATGAATGGAGATGATGATATGGGGGTTTATTTTTAGCTGGAGGCCCCAGACGAAGCAGGGGAAAATCGTGCGGGAATAGATTGTCAAAGGAAGAAAAGGCTCAAGCGTTTGTTGCCGCTGCGTTCAGAGATTGAGATCAGGTCTGCATAAGTCATGATGCTTGCCGTCATTCACAGCTCATTTATAGATGCACGACCTTTTTATGGGTATATATGTAAATTGTGCCTTTATATAGTGAGTGATGCTATATTTAGCATACGCGTCTATAGGCATGCACAAAGATAGCGTTTCGCCCGCAAGGGGCTAAGTTTAGTTTAATGGATGCAGTTTCTACAGAAATCATGCGCATGTGGATTATTTCCCGTTTGAGTTTCCTTTTTCATGAGAAATGTAAACATGCGACGATGTGTACGTGGAATCATCTAACACGTGCAGTTTCTATTTCAATGAAAAGATCGTTTGGCTGAAAGCGAAACCAACTGAATTATCATATTTATTTTTCCGGTTAGGTATTTTTTTTCCAATAATGTGAAATGTTATGAGAAACCTACTGAAACAGCGAAGAGAAATAAACGTCGATGAATGCTGCTCTGTAATACAGAAATAGAGGATTGTACATGTATTGCAATCTTTATGTTTTCATTACATGAGGATACAACTCATTTTAAAGGTGACCGGTGTATTATTTTTATTAGCCACAATACAGTGGACAACCGTACCAGGGCCCAATTCATTGGCTTTGCTTACTGTTAAGGAGAAATCCCTGCTTACTGGAGCAGAAAATTCTGTGCTTACAGTAAGCGTATTTCACCAGATAGTGAGGATTTTGGGCTAATGTGCGGGGGGGGGGGGGGGGGGGGGGGGGGGGGGGGGGTAGCGCCACCAATGTTGGTTCGTATAGACTCCCTTCGTGGACGGAAGCGTGCACACATCGCGGGTGAGCAAACCCAATGTATTGTACACAACGCTGTCTACACCCCGATGTACACAATACTTACACAGAGCTACAGTGTGATGATCTATCAACAGTTGACCACAAACAGATCCCCAGACACTGTGACCATGCTGCACTATGCCCGTCGTGTTCCTAGTTACGAACAACGTTATAGCCCACTCGTTGAGCCAGGCACCCGACTGTGCTACTCTGAAAATGCTCTCGCCCCCCCCTACCCCATCTGTGCCCTTCCCCCCATCTGTTCCCCCCCCCCCCCCCCCCCCCCCCCCCCCCGGCTTATGCACATGCATACATCGCATAAAGCCTGGTTCATACTTCACGCGAAAACAAGTGCGAAGCGAAATTCATGTCGTCAGCAATGGTGGACGCGCTTCGAACGTATTGTTGACATCACAAATTTCGCTTCGCTTGCGCTTTCGCGTGAAGTATGAACCGGGCTTTACTAAGGATTCTCTGCGTACACAGTCAGCACAAGTCAGCGATAGTGTTAGTGCAGAATGCTGATCATAAGCGCGGAAAACTGTAGTTAGCAGAGCGGTGAATTTGGGCCCTGTAGGATATTTATTTTAATATTTTTAATTTTTAACAGTGGCAAGGGACAACATGCATCGAGCGGCCGGTCAAAGCATGGACGACCCGGGGTCATCTCAAACACATCATGCAACAGGTCTACAGCCACGCTATCGACGATCCTGACAGGCTGAATGCGTACGAACCATTCTCACCAGAGGTAAGCTTTTTCTTGGGGAAACTGTACACGAAGGAATAAAAGGGTATATGTGACGTCCTGTAATAGAGATTTTGAATTATTGTGAAAAAAATACAAATGTTTTTTTTTTTTTTTTTTTTTTTTACACAAATTTTATGTCCGATAGTAGAACTACAAATTCCTTAAGAGTCATTTCTTTAACATTCTGTCCTACTTACCAGCGATGGTATCGGGACAATTCGATTTGCACGCTCAGTCGCTACTCATGCTATTTGACATGGGCTTCTATTAAATTACTACGCATTTATTACTAGAGCAGAAGAGTGCACCTTGGAAATTCAACATGGTTTAACATGTATGCACATTTGAGGGAACTGAATTAGTATTCCGAGGGCAATACTGTATGATTTCATCAAACTGGGGGGGAGGGGGGGGGGGGGGGTGGACATTGGAGTCGACTGCAAAGGTCATTCGTGGATTAGAGATCAATTTTGTCTGCAAAAGTAATGTCGTAAATTCAAAGTGTTTCTGTGAAAAGCTGTTTAGTAATCCTCTTTTTATCCATGAGAATAATCTTTCAGGTTCTTTGAGATTAGGGAAATCATTAATTTCAGTAAAAACGGCCGTTATCACAGTGATTTCACTTGATACGTACCTATCATGGTTTGCAATGGTTAAGATATGAGCAGTGCAAGGCCATTACCTAATTCCAGCCTTAATTGAGACAAATGAGAAATGGTTGCAAAACACCGGCAATGGGACTAAAGTACGCGTAGATAATGCCAAACTTGTTTCCACAATAAACGTGTCGGCGATTATCATTTAAATATTAAAAAAAATTGCTAAAGTACATTGATATGTTTTCAAAAACAACTGGTTTTCAAGTGACAAATTTGATTTAAATAAATTCATTTGAAAATGACTTATACTGCTGCAAACTGCTTGCCGATTGGATTGACCTGAAAAATACAAACCAACAAAATTAGATGGCCTAACGTTTCGATCTTAGTGGGATTTTTTGACAGCTAGAATTATTTAATTTATACTATAATGTCCGAAATACTACAAGTACGGTACAAGCTAGCTAGGCAATAATTTCCGTAACAAACTATACAAATTGCCTAATAACTTCTCAGACAATTTAAAAAGAAAGAAATTGAGTGCCGTTTGTGGGAAATTTTCTAAAATGTAAACCAGTTTACATGGAAAACCAAAACAGATTTCATTTTTGTGTCTGTGTGCATTTTAACGCGCGACAGATGAAAAAGAAAGGTTTTGAATGAAATTTGTGGGGAATTTTCCAGGCTACGTGGAAAACCAGACTACATGGAAAACCAAAACAGATACATGTTTTGATTCCAAAACTGGCAAAAGTTGCATCTTTACACCGTAAAGCTACGAAGCCCTTCAGACAAATGCCGGGATTTGAATTTTGAGGTGGGGTTTCTTGTACGTGTACCCGGGTACACGTGTTTTACTGACAATAGGGTACCCGACTCCTGTACGACCCGTAAAAGCACACCACTTACCATTTCTTTTGTATTGGTTTGGTCTGGTCTCCCATCTGTTTATGTATGCACCTGTATCACACATGCACATGTATACGTGTACATCATCCATTCTTGAAGAATATACGGAGAAGGACCCCTGATTTGCATAATCAGATGATTTTGATCGCAGCTGGCACAGACTGAGGCAATGTACCGTGCACTGATCATGTCAAGTGCCTATCACTTAATACACATGTACGTATAATGTACATGTACTACATGTATGTAGATGTAAATAAAGCATGAGTGAATGTCATGTTCATGTGTGTACAAAGGATGTGCATACACACATACATGTACATGTGTGAATATGTTCATGTGTGTACAAAGGATGTGCATACGCACATACATGTACATGTACATGTGTGAATGTGTTCATGTATGTACAAAGGATGTGCATACACACATACATGTGTGAATGTACATGTACTTTGTATGTTCAGTAACTGTATTGTCATAATACTGTATTACCACACATGTACATGTACATGTATCACTATCATTTACAAATAACAATACAAGTAACCAGTGCTTTGTATACGTGTACATATGTACCATGCATTCATACATTATAATGCTTTATACATGTACATGTACATCATGATCCACATGATATGTGCATGCATCATTAATGTTTAATTTGATGACAGACGCATGATTACACACACAAACAACATATTGCATTCCATTGTCACCATGCCCTAACTGTTTCATCAGCAGGCCTGCCTCCTAATTATCTGTACACAGACTTTCAAGGTCTTTCCGTGCATACTACGTGTAGACTATGCACATAATGGCTCTACCTTTAATAACTAACATAACACATGCTGTACATACATGTACATTTGTATTAAGTATTATTTGTATTTGCAATGACGCCTTTAATTTTTGGAAACCCTTGTCAGACCCCTTATGTACATGTATGAATATCTTTGCAGTATAGATGTAATAAATTTAATCTAATGAATGACGTGCCCCTTTAAAAAAACTGTTTCTGCATAAGGTCTTGTATGGAATACATGGATATACCAAATATACATGTACATTGCAAAAGAAAACCTGTCTTAAAATTTCCTTTAAAAACCTCCATGTTTTCATGTTTTCTAACCACCCCTTAACCCCAACCCTGCTAAATGCAACAGAAAGGAACAAAGGTCAAAAGTTGTTGCATACTGTTGCATTTTTTATAGCAGGCAACTCAAGTCCCCGTGCTTTGTTGCATCTTGTTGCATTTAGCAGGGTAACTGCCCATAGTGCCAAGGCAGTACAATAGTATGCGCTAGCTGTTGCAGTTTGTTGCATTTAGCAGGGTAACTGCTCATAGGTCCAAGGCAGTACAACAGAATCCACTGTTTTAGTTTGTTGCATTTAGCAGGGTAACTGCTTGGTGCCAAGGCTGGTATGCACTGGGCTCACTGCACAATGCAACAGAATCCACTGTTGCAGTTTGTTGCATTTAGCAGGGTCACTGCTTGCCAAGGCTGGTATGCACTGGCTTCACTGCACAATGCAACAGAATCCACTGTTGCAGTTTGTTGCATTTAGCAGGGTTCTCATTTGAGTTAAATTGGATATTGTTAAATAATGAAAGGTTTGCGGAAACACGATGTGCAAATAACTTCTCAACTAAGAGAATGGTTCTGAAAAGAACCAGAGGTATAAGCTCGACGTTCCGGTCAGTATGCTCTGACCGTCTTCAGGATATTGTTGCATTTAGCAGGGTACCTGAAGAATACCTGATAAGGGTATAGGGCATTGAATGTGTGATATTGAATGAACTTAATCTTTTCTGCCCAGCATGCCCAGAGCCTTAAAAATAAGTCATGTAACAAAATACCTGATACTTTCCAAGTATTTGTTCAGCGCATTAAAAAAATGAGCTGTTGGTGCTAGACGTTTATGTTTGTTTGATTTCCTGCTTATGTTCAGGTCTATGGGGAGACGTCCTTTGATCTTGTGGCACAGATGCTGGAACACGTTCAGATATCAACTGATGACTTGTTCATCGACCTTGGAAGTGGTGGGTTTGCTTCTCATTATAGATCTCAATCCCTTCCCCTAACTAGCGCATAGCACCCAAACCGAAGCCGAGGTGCTACGCGCCCCTCTGGTGTCTTGAAGTCTTTGTATTTTGATGTAAAAATCATGAAAACAAACGGCAATGAACACAGCAATCATGACAATCGAACGTCAACTCACATGCATGTTGCGTGCTCGAAACAGCTGACCGTCTGCTAGTTCACTGCTCCCACTCATGTGTAAAAACATGGTCAAAATAGCGTGGGTACCAACGATACAAGCGTTTCACACTGTACGTACAAAGTCATAGCACTCCGTGTGGGATGTCCCGTACGTGATATCCCACAGGGAGTGTGCCATGACTTTTTATAAACTTAACACGTGATCGTTCTAGGCAAATGAAAATACAGTACTCAAGACGGAGGTATAAACAGGAGATATATTGACTGTCATATGTGTGTTTTTGTTGTACAGGTGTCGGTCAGGTGGTCTTACAAGTAGCGGCGTCGGTGAAGTGCAAAGTAACCTATGGCATAGAGAAGGCAGACGTCCCTGCTGCATATGGCAAGGTACCGGTTAAGCACCTACACACCTATTACTCCCCTAACACCCCTTGAGCCTTCCAAATCCAATTTCATGAACACATGGGGCATTCTATAAATTCAGGGTCCAAAGTGTGACATTTTTTTCTGACCCTCTTACTTGGTACTTTGTAATTTTCTGTTTGAGTATCATTAAGAATGACTTCAAACAGTTTTTCATTTGCTTGGCAGTAGTTTGCTATTTATAATCACTCTTGGAGGACGACTGCATTAAAGAGGGCATCACAAGATGTCAGGAATAGGAAAAAAAGTGGGCCCTAAATTTATAGAATGACCGGAAAGAATTCCATACTGGGCCACCACTTAGCCCTCCTGCACTAAGTCTATGGGCCATGACAGAAAAAGTCAAAGTATTTTAAGAATTTTTGCACTCCTTAAATAGTGTTTCTTCATCAGATTTACAACTTTTGGTACTTTTCAGGTCATATTAGGGAATATGAGTGGTGGCCCAGTATGGAACTCTTTCCGAATGACCCGTACATGTTGTGCATTGATAAGAATCTGTACTTGTTGCATTTACTGTTCCGCAGGTCATGATGAGAGAATTTGAGCGTTGGATGAAGTGGTACGGCAAGGAGTACAGTCCTTTTGAGCTCCACAAAGGCGACTTCCTATCAGGAGAGATGAAGGAAAAGATCTCAGTTGCAAAGTAAGCCGGCTTAGATTTAGTTTTCCAAACAAATTCCTTTATTTACAGTAGGAAATTTTCAATATGTAGCACAGTCAAACCCTGATAAGAAGAGCACTGTTAATACAACATCCTGCTTATAACAAGCAAAATGTTTAGGTCCCAAGTCTTTGGTTTTTTTTCTTTGTTTTTCCATTACTGTTAATACAAGTTACCTGTTATAACAAGGTAATTCGTAAATTCCCAAGGACTTTGTTATAAAGGTTTCACACCCCCCCCCAAAAAGAGAAAAATTGCAAAGGTATTTTTTTGCCATGAATTCCTGACAATGATCAAAATTCTTGTAACAATGATTTTTTTCAACAGCTGTGACACCCGCCATAGACTAACACCAAAAGTGTGCAAAATCCTGCTTTTATCCATCTATCCGAAACTCAAAACTTTTATATTTTGCGACTGTACAAATAATGGTCCCAAACTATAAAAGCAGACCACATTTTGTCAAGAACTACTTATGGGGTTAGGTTTAATGTATATTGACTGCATGTTTGTATGCCAGTGTTTTCCAGTGGGTAGAAATGCGTTGTTAAAGTTCCGGTTTTAAAATAAAAGTGGCTGGATGAATGAGCTGTAAAGGTTTATTGAATTTCCGAGATTGTTTTATGGCAAAGTCTTGAAATGTCACTGTTCACGGAAAGGTCGTGTAATTGGAAAGGGCTACAAGTTTTTGTGTGGGTGGTGAGAAGTTAACAAGGGAATAACCGCAGCTTGTGCGATTCTTCGTAAATCAGGTTTTCTTCTCGCCAGGGGGTCGGTTGGGTTTGACTGTTCAAACATTTCTCCGTCTCGCTTGCTTTTCAAGAAAATATTTGCCTGTGGAAATGTCAGCTGGTTTGATTCAAAGAAAGATAACTGCCTCGCAGACACTTTGCTAGATTGTTCTGTCTCGACAGATGCTGCTAAGTTGGTCAGATAAGACGCCAGCCCCTGGAGAAAAGGCAGTGAGATATTTTGACCCGTACTGCTGGGGATTTTCATGAATTGCAAAAACGTCAGTTTGACGTCACTCGCTCGCTTCTGGCATTTGCCGATGTGCAAATTGTACATATATCCCTCTGCAAATCAAAACTTGAATTAACCCGATCCTCGTGGAAAACGCAGACTTGATTAGTCTGGGTCCTTTGAGGTTTGAAGCCAATTTTGAAGTGAGAAAGTCATCAATATTCTGATTTTCTGCCTATATTTACTCAGAACTTGTGTGAATACTAACCATTGTGATTCTTTCTTAGGTTTAAGTTCTTGTGTAATTTTTCTCCAATACCATTTTCAAAGAAGCCGCTTAACAAATTTTTTTACTGAGAAGACGGTATTTTCCCATCTTTTTTTTTCTGTCCAGACTTTATTGTCCTGCCCACTTGTGGTTTGTGGTCTGTATTTGATCTACCCTGAATGGGCTTTTTGGAATTCTAAATTACCAAATTACACAATCAATACACTTTAATACATGTATTCATATTTTAAAGTTGCAAATTGTTTGACTAGACGTAATACGCGTCGGCCATCTTAGAGTGTATCTTTTGTTATGTTAATTCAGTAACAGTGAAAGTACAAAAGATTGACTCATGCATATCCCAACAAAACAAAGGCATTGCCCTCTGAGATGGCAGCTACGCAAAAGGTCTATTAAATGATGAAATGCATGTGTTTATTTGTGCCCTTTTCTTTCCAGCATTATCTTTGTAAACAACTTCGCGTTCGGCCCAACTGTCGACCACAAGGTAAAAAAAAAAATGGATTTTATTTTTTTGAAACTTTGTAAGGGCTTAAAAAAAAAAGGTGTATAATACTTGATGTTTAACAAAAATTATGTGGATAAAACTAAAATCAAATGTTTACTGTGAGGTCATACTGCCATCAAATTAATGTGGAAAAACACCTTAAATGCCAGAACATTTGAAAGAAAAATGCCATTTAGGTATGTTTTACCATCCCATTGATATTGTAAGATATTTTTTTTGCAGTTGAAGGAGCGTTTTGCCAACATGAAGGAAGGAGCCAAGATCGTCTCATCCAAAGCGTTCTGTCCCCTCAATTTTAGGATCACGGATAGAAATTTAAGTGGTAAGTATCCATCAGTTGCTGTCATGTACCGTTCCATAATGTGTCCCAAGAACCTGTGCAGTGTTGATGAAGAATTCTATTCAATTTGACTTGTTTATTTTTCAGATATCGGGAGCATCATGCACGTGGTGGAGCTGTCGCCTCTAAGAGGTTCGGTATCCTGGACCGGCAAACCTGTATCCTACTACCTCCATACCATAGATAGAACCTTGGTGAGTAGGACTAGAATGTAACCATTAGCATCTGTACTTCATTGTACATGTATTACCTTGTATTACATTGTATTACACTGTATTACATTGTATTACACTGTATTACATTGTATTACATTGTATTACATTGTATTACACTTTAGTACACTTTGTTACATTGTATTACATTTTATTACATTGTATTACACTTTATTACACTGTATTACACTGTATTACACTGTATTACACTGTATTACACTGTATTACATTGTATTACACTGTATTACATTGTATTACACTGTATTACATTGTATTACACTGTATTACTTTGCATTACATTGTACTACATTGTATTATATTGTATTACACTGTATTGCATTGTACTACATTGTATTAAATTGTATTACATTGTATTACACTGTATTACATGGTATTCCATTGTATTACACTGTATTACATTGTATTACACTGTATTACATTGTATTCACTGTATTACATTGTATTACACTGTATTACATTGTATTCACTGTATTACATTGTATTACATTGTATTACATTGTATTACATTGTATTACATTGTATTACATTGTATTGCATTGTATTACATTGTATTACATTGTATTACATTGTATTACACTGTATTACATTGTATTTCATTGTATTAAATTACCATGTAGTTGTTGTGAAGTTATCATACCAGTGTTTCAAGACAACTGCTTGTTAAATTCTTGTTTTTGATCTTACTTTTTTTTTGCAGCTCGAGAAGTATTTCCAGCGGTTAAAAGATCCTAAACTCAGGGTGAGTGAAATTTTTGTCCATTGTCCGAGTAACTATGCCTCAGTTTGGGCTCCCAGAAGCTCTTGACATTATAAAATAGATCGTAAATCTGCAAAAGTGTTTGGTGTGGACCTTATTGTCAAATTTTGGTGTCTTATAGGAAGAAGAATATCAAAACTGGAAGAACAGAAACCGGCGAGGCGTTGAGTACAGCGCCATCAAGAATCTGGACTTCAGTCGGAACTCCAGCGATAGTGAGTCAGTGGTGGTGGTCGGTCCCACGACCAGACGCAAATGGACCGAGTGGATCGCCAAGGACAACAGCAAGGAAAACATGGATAAGAACTCGGACGATAAGGTAGGGACAAGAAGGGTGGCTGGGTGTAAAATTTTAAAGTAATCATAGTCGAGAACAAAATTGGGATTTCAGATCTTGCCTTACTTTTTACTGTTGACCCCAATGTCTTGACATGTTTGGCTTAATCTTTGTCCACATCCGAACTACTTGGCTTCGGCTGAAATGTTGCACACGTGCCTAACTTTACACTGATTATCAGTGACATGGTATTTGTGGCCAACCTTTGACATTTTAAATCTGTAACTCCTCTTACAAGTTGTTTCTGATTTCTTCCATCAGGCCTCAGAGAGCTCAGAGCCAGGAAAACGGAGACGGAAATTGAAAAGGACACAGAGTCGGGAAGTGGAGGTATTTATGGAAGTTCTGGAACAACTTTATGAAATAAAAACATTTTACAGGGATCCTAATTTTCACGGAAAGTGCACCCAATAATTTTCCAGCTTTATCTCTTAAACATTGTAAATCTTAAATCTGCTGATCATGGGTTGTTTTCAGGAGAAGACCAAACGCAAAAGAGGGCGCCCTCCCAAGTCGGTCAAGAGCCAGGACGAGAACAACGTCACCAAGAAGCAGTCGGCAGTCTTGGGTCTTGAAGCCCTCCACCAACACACCGTGTCGCTGAGCCAGTCACCGCCTGACAAGAAAGGTTGGTAGCCAATGACCCCTCACCCCCCTGCCCCTGCCCCCTCCCCAGCAGCCATCCTTCTTGTTCCACCTTACAGATGGCCCGTGGATGTTGAACCCCTTCCAGATGCACCCTCCCTGAAATTACAGCGTTAATCTCCCTCTCTTGTTTTCAGATTCGAGACAGATCCACAACGCGCAGTTCAACCTTCCCAGCATGGTCACGTCCAAGAAAAAGTTGAAGACGAGTCCCACAACACTGAGCACCAAACAGCAACACAACGTGGAGAAATCGCTGGACAGACTACTAGGTGAGTTATGCTGTAAAAAAACCCCTGCAAGATCACAATTCAAAACCAGACCCCAAATTACTCGGATGCTAAGCACTAAAATGCTAAGTGCTGAAATGCGCTTAGCAGAAGCATGTTGATTCTTATTTCTTCTTAGGCAAGTTTTGTTGCTTAGCGCATAAAAACAGGTTGTATTAACCCTAAACTCCAGGGTATTTTGGCTAGAAACCCTGCTGAATGCAGCAACATGCAGCACTTGTCAAAATGACAAGCCTGCCCAGTGTAGCAAAATCCATCAGGCCCAAAGTCTCAAGGCCAAACTGCCTCAGAGTCTGTGGTCACCGAATGCAGCAGGATACAACTGTGGCATTGTTCAATGGGACTAGCTCTCATTGTTTCAGAATTGGCCGTTGATGCACTGGCGTTGACGGCTCAGTGGAGCAAGGTCCCACAGACTTTTACACGTGATGCTCTGTGTTGCGTCTGGCAGGGTTAGGGTTAATGATCAGGCAACCCCAAATAATCATTAAATAAACAAAATTGTTTCTGTTATAGACTTTGTACTTGCTGTTTTCTTGTGTCTGCTCACACCACTCTTCTCCGGAAATTCATTAATTCCATTTATTTCTTGATTTCAGAGTCCTACAAGCAACAGATGTTGGACTTCGTCACCTACATGAGAAGTCCCGACTACCTGCATTTGCTGCACGTGCAACTGGATCAAGAAAGGGTACGTCAGGTAAAACATCACAAGGTCAAAGAACAGGGGTGATTGTTCAAGGATCAGGTTGCGAAATACTTGTTAGTAACACCATAACTTTCAAGAATGGGTTTTTAAATTTTTTTCTAAATCTTGTGCTTTCTAAAGTTCCACCAGTGACATTGCACGCTGAAGAAAGCAAGAATTTTTAGTTGATAGACTTGGATGGAGCCTCTGTTGACCAGAGACGCGTTCTTTAAACTGTCTTGAAGGAGATGCAGGCCTCTTAAAATGGCCGAGATCACTGTAGATATGCCCGCGACAAAATGGCGGAGATTGCAGTGTGAGATTATTTTGCGATTGCAGTAGTTTGAATTTTTTTTTCTTTCCAGATGCGAAAGGACCAGCTCGACGCCAGACAAGAACAGCTGGAAAAGCAGATTGAACATTTGCGTTACGACAGCATGAAAATGCTGAATGTTCGACTGGACGAGGTACGTATTATGCCGTAGTCACGCTTCACATTTTTAGCCTTCCAAGGCCCAGTATCATTGCTGCCAAATTGACTGCTACCCATTCGCTGTCAACATGTTTTATCCAATGACGCTTGCTTGCTCGCTTGCATGCTGCAGCATGTACAGAAACCAGACATGCTTACATCACGCACACATGCAAATGCACACACAGAAATACAAAATTCCCAAGACAACCTTTGTGGACAGTTGGCGTGTGTGTTAAGGGTACCCGCTTTAGTGAATCGCTGTGGGCCTTGAATCATCGCACCGCCCATGACGTCTTGGAACCAAGACTGCCTAAATCCAAGTGTTCCTCAAATCTAACATGATAACACCATTGTAATAGCTTTTAATTGTGGCTGCTGGACTTACGAGGTCCTTTGTTTCTTATCTTCTTTCTTAACAGCTTGGAATCGAAGCTAAGACCCCATCGGAGCTGGTGGAGAAGTCGAAGGAGATCGTTGGCAAGCATCGAGAGCTGCAGCTGCAGTGTGAGGCACTGCAACACCAGATCCAGTCAATAGAGGACGCTAATGACAAAGTGGTGAGTCCTTAGAATTGGCCCTAACTGACCCCCAAATCCTCCAAACTGGTATGGATGGTTGCAGTTGTGGCCATAAGACACTCCCACCTTTGGTTTGCCACCATTTCTAACAGCGCATGGTACCATGTCAGGTGACCATGTCAGGTGACCATGTCAGGTGACCATGTCAGGTGGTTAAGTCGGGCTGCCAGTGTCACCTGACCAAAAGTTGTGTCCAGTAGACTAAATCGACATCTCATGTGTGTAATGAATTGTAGGACACAATATTGGGCAAACAAACCCAAGCAATGCTGTTAACTTCCCATCTATTGGACCAGGACCACTCGACATGTTTTGTTTATCCAAAAAAATTGCATTGTTCATGAGGATTTGGACATGCCCGAGTGAAATGTTGACTTGGCTTATTGGTTAGTGCGTCTCGCCTACCCTCATGACCATGTCTGTTTGTCTATCAGGTACGCGAGAGCCAGCAGGACGTCTTGAGTCACTCCAACCCGACGTCGCTCATCACGGAGCAGATCATCCAGGAGTACAATCAACAGAAGCATCTACGCAAGGAGCTGGAGAAGCTAGAGTCTGAGGTACGGCCCACAGTTTCCAACCAAGTAAATTATCACAAAAAGGCAAAACATTCAAAATGTAACCCAAATTTTCTTAAAATCCCATTTTTCGAGTTAGGCTGTTTAGGGCCAACCCAATCGTGAACATTTCATTCTTACATGTATGGGCTACATAGACTGATGCACGTTGTCAATTATGTGTTCTTTTTTTTAAAGGTCCATAAATTGGAGAAAATGTCATCAACTCAAGGTGATGACCATCTTGCCAATCAGGGGAGACGTTCTGCCAAGCGTACTTCCGGAAGCCCAGTGGGTAGGTTTGAGACTTGTGTGACGCAGAACTTTCAACTATTATTATGCTTATCACAGTGTTGACTTATAAGTTGGTGGGATTTATTTTAACAAAGAAATTTGTGTGATTATCATCCAACAGGCCTTGCCAATGGAAGCTTAGAGCACCGTCGTAATAATTCTCTGAGTCCTGCCCGCTCCAAGGGGATCAGTTCCAACAGCCCGTCCCCAACAGCTCTGGTCACCAAAGTGTTGCCTCCTAATCTCTCGCCCCGGTCTGCTGCCCTCGCTGCCGGCATGCACGACTACACGCACCTGTCGCCAGGGAAAGCTGCGCTTCATCGGAGACTCTCTGGCTACGACAACAAAGACATGGCCGGGAAGCCCGTTGCGACCCAAGGCGCGACCGACAAAGAATCTATGCTGAACGGTGAAGCGAAGGAAAAGAGCAAAAGTGGGAAGGAGAGAGTTCAAGGAGGCTTTGCAATCTTGGCTGGGCTCCAGGCACAGCCATCCTCTGCGCTAGTGGGCTCGGCACAGATACCGACGTCAAGAACAACCAGCGGTTTGGAAACGGCGAAAGATGGTAACCTGATAAACAAAGGCTTGGTGAATCCGAACATTGTGCTGAAAGGGTCCAAAAAGCCATTTGACGTCCCCCATCAGGACATGACCCAGATCATACCCCCTCTGTCTGCTGCCCAACCCCTGGTCACCTCCGTCATCACCTCTGTTGGGTTGGTGGGAGCCCTCCCCCAGGCCCCAATAACTGTCCAAACCCCACTTACAACCCAGACTACGCCCCAGATGACCCTCATCAGCCCCCTGGACATCAAACACCGCGGCATCTTCAACATGCTTGCCGCTCACCCGGTCAGCAAAGTCAAGGAGGCCAGTGTGGCCTCGCTAGATGCCCCTCTAAGCCCCCAAAATGTCACCCTGTACCCTAGCGAACCTGCTAGCACGCCCACCCCCATGAGCAGTACTGTAACCGTTACTACCTCACAGAGCAATGCAACCGTGTCTACAAAGGCCAAGTCCAATCCAGCCCCCCTCTCCAACTTCTTGCCGGAAGCTGCTGCGGAGAAACCAAAGCCACCCTCTGCGACATCAGATCCATCCGCAAGCCTGCCAGCAGCTGTGAAAGCCTTACCAGTTGTAACAATGGCAGCCACGATCCTGTCCCAGCCTCCGCCAATCAGGTCCAAGAAGGGTCGAAAGCGGTCGGCAACGACGGCAGCAGACGCCCATCTGCCGGCTAAGATGGCTTCGGTGGTCCGACAGGGGAGCCTGGAGTCGCAGGATAGCATCCTGACCATGCTGACAAACGTGAACCAGCCGCTGCGCATCAGTGCCATTCCCTCCCCAGAGGGTAAGATGTCCTCCTTGGACCGTTCCACAGGGAGGGAATCACAGAGGGGAAGAGCCAAGTCTACAGCCAGGTCTGCTCTTAAGAAGTAAGTCGACTCGGTCCGTACGTGGACCAAACCTCGAAGATTGATTCAGATGTTGCCAGAGCCGCTTTTGAGAAATACTAACAGTCAATGTTTTTACGTATGGGCCTTGCACTCATTTTCTGCGTCCAGTCTTATTTGGATCTTTTATACTGTGCGAAACAGTTCTTTTGTACTTTCCAAATCCAAAATCCGTTAAAATGCATGAGGTTGGAATGAATGCCAGGTTCAGTTTAGGAGTTGCTTTGTAAATGTTAAAGACGATTTTCCTCTTCCTCCTGCAGCAAATTGTGCAAGGCAACTGCTGCTGAGCCTAAAGTTACGTCAGTTGCTGTCAGGGCTGTGTGTAAAACTCCGGACCCAACAAAGGAACAGAGCAATGGTATGACACTGAAGAAACAGACTTGTAATGGTCCACGGGATCATGTACAATGACTATCGTTTTATATTTGGAAGAAAGCTTTACTTGTTAAAGACTTGATTGGTATAAAGCACTCTGTGATAATGTTCAATCTGGCATGTTGCCATGAAGAAGGAAACAAGTGGTTACTTTCCAAAGGTGCCTGATGTTACATCATCTTTTGAAAGATATGTGCCAGCCGGCAAACTCGACCTGCACCCAGATTCATTCTCAGTGCAGATTGACGAAGCCTAGTTCAGTGGTTTCAAGAATGAATTGGTTTTCAACAAGTTTTCAGAACAGGATGGGCTTCCATTGAATTCAATTAATTCATGTGATGTGCAGATCTTTGTCTAAACTTCAATATTGCAGGAAAAAAGTAGAAATCAATGTTTATTTTGAAACCGTTTGGTCTTTTTGACAGAAACAGACAGACTGCCTTCGCCTGTTTCACCTGAGCCAGCCAGGCCAAAGGTCAAGGAGTCCCCCAACACCAAGAAGCTTCAGGCCAAGATCAGCAGTGGCTTTGATGCCTTGGCAGCCTTCGCCTCAACTGAGCTGGATCGCAGCAAGCAGATCCGCCGTCAGAGCGCCGGCAACAGCCCCGAGAACCAAGGCCGTCGGGATGCCTCCAAGAGTCCCATAGGTGCCGGGGGTCGCTCTCCTCATGTGCCCCAGGTGGCTAGTCCCGAAGGCACTCTGGAGGGCTACAAGACCCCTAAGAAGAGTTCAGCTGTTTCGTTTGACACCCAGAAGAAAGGGTCTACCCCGATGATCGCCGTGACCTCACCGGTTGGGGCAATAGGCAGCGGCAGCACGCCGCAACAGAATAATGCTGCATCCAACACAGATCAAAGTGCCAATATGCAATCTCTACCACATGCTGCAGATGGTGTGCGGTTCGGCGAGACTGAGCACCATCTTATATCGGAGGATGAGGACGATGTCCACATCGACGTAGAGGAGACGGACTCTGTCCATGAGCTACTGAAGCCACGCACTCCTGGATGGAGACGGATGGCGGACGAAGAGGCTCTCCGATACGTAGACGATGAGAAGGAGGAGGAGCCTCCCCGCCAACCGGACAAACCCAGCAATCCCTCCAACAAGGCTGGCACAAACACAAACCCTCAGCCAGCATCGGTTACTCCATCAGCACCACCAAAGACCCAGCAAGGCTTTGTCGCGAGTGTTGCATCCACTCAGGCCCAAGTGCCTTCGCAGGCATCAACAACAAACCATGGGGTGAGCAACCCTGCCCCCAGTCAAGCTCCTAGCTACAACCAGAACAGAGCGTATGTTGTGCCAACAGTCTCCCAGCCCCAGGCAGGGGGGTTGATTGGATCTGTGTCCGGTCAAGGTGTACCTCCCATTAACCAGGTCCAGAGTACAGGATCTAAATACCAAGGAACAAGGAATGGTGTACCTGTCACAACACCACAGCAGGGCCTGAGCCAGGTGACCACTATTCCTCCAAAGCCTGCCCCGACAACCAAGCCCAGTGCCACTTTGCCCCTTATTAGCCGTTCACTGGCCACAATCACGACTGTCGCCGATCCATTAAGCATATCCAACTCGATCGCAAACAGTACCATGGAGGTTGCACCTGCGGACCAGTTCCACAAGAAGTTCTCCCGGAAGGAAGGCCGGAAGTTCGGGAAGCTGTGGCTGCAGCATCAGCTAAACCCCACCAACGACCCGAAGATAAACACCTCAGGTCCGGCCCAGGGAAAAACAGCAGACAATTTTGTGGCTGGAGTAGGCGACTACCAGCAGATGGAGGACAAGTGGCGGAAACTGCACCATCCCAACTCTTACAATTTGCAATCAAACATGAACCCGAGGTCATCTGCTGGCCTTCTGAACCAGGCGCCTACCTTGTCACACTACACGCCTGTCTCCAACTCCTCCAAGCTGTCGCCCTATTCTGTGCCAAGCCAGCAACCTGGATACACCAACATGTCTGCCTCCAACCAGAAGCTCTCCCATCCCCGGCTGGTAGGGGATGGCCAGGGGAGCAACAAGCAGTACTCCAACTGGGACGGACGCTCCACCACAGACACAAGCAGCATCTCCCCAACCGGTGCCTCCTGCCAACGCAGCAGGCAAGACACCAGGAGTGGATACCCTACCGGGATCACCACCAACACCCCTTACATTGAACTCAAATCACAGCATCAGCGAAACGGACCCTCTCAGGGACCTGCTGGACCCTTTAAAGGTGCTGGAGATGCAAACGCTGCACCCAAATCCAAACATATGGGTGTGTACAAGCCCAAAGATGCAGGCACCTCAGCGAAATCCTGCAATCAGGCCAACGCGACCGCCAGTTACCTCAACAATGCCTCGCTTTTTTCCAACGCCCCCCACTACAGTAACTCACTGCCAAAAACTGGGCACGCGGTCCCTCACAGTGCCCAGGCGGCCCCGTATAACCATTCCCAAAGTCTTCCAAATCGGGGCGTTGGGGTACCTCTACAATCGCCGCGGTCCAGTTACAACCACCACACTCCTTCCCCGACCTCTCCGAACCGTTTTCGTCCCCCGTATCCAAGCCCCACGCACCAGAACAGAGTGATGTCGCAGGGGACAACGCCCCCCTTGGCCTCACCCACAGAACAGCCGCCTCCTCCCCCGCCTCCGCCCCCTAGGGGTGAAGACCTTGAGCCCCCTCCCCCACCCCCCGGCAGGCCATTGCCGCCTAGGATTAACACTATGCGTCCAGGCATGGCCATGTCACCAGGCTTTCCCATGCTGGCACCTTACGGCATCCCAGCCAGGCCCGAGATGGCAATGCCCGCGTATCTCCACTCCTCCTATCCTCATCCACACCCACAGGCCAATCTGTCGGGATTCACCACACCCAATGCCACGCCCGGTTACATCATGCAGTATGGCACCACGCCCAGATAAATGAACCAGGTCAGTATGTGGTCACGTCTGAAACTGCTGTAGAATTCACCCAATGTAAATACTATCATCAATGACTCCAGCCTCATTTCTAGATTTGCACAACAGCCAATTATCAGTGTTTTTTTTTGGCAATCTTCATCACTGGTACGTGATGAAGAAAAAACTTGCTCTTTGAAAAAAAAAAAACGGTCCCACTGGGCTGCATGCTTCAAGCAACGGTCCATATATTATGGCTTGAGCACACAATTGCTTGGGAAGGCAGAAACGAAAGTGTTAAGGATCATTGCAAATAACAACGTAGATTTTAGCCAGTGTCTGCTTCTTTTGCCTCACTTTACAGTTGGCGAATATAGATACTCAATATTTACTTTGTTCTCTTTTTGCCATTTCAGGTCAGTCCATAAGCAAGTACAGAATATGACAAAAAAACGACGTAAAGACACCAACACTTCAAGCCAGTCAACAGAGCCAGCTTCGAACCCTGCGCAGGGAGTGAGGTACAGTTTTGATTGGCTCACAATATACAGCCTCAAATCTGATTGGTCAGTCAACTATCTCCTAATTAACATATTATTATGCACTGTCTATTGGTTGCAATTGACGACCATTATACCCAACTACACTCAATTTTTGATATAATGTGTGTTTAAACAAAAAAATGCATATATGCGCATAATATCCTTCCACAGTTTTTATAAACCTGGATGTTTACATTTAGGTATGCATAATTAAAGTAAATACAAATAATATTACAAAAAAACTACTGCCAAATAGTATACCACTATTTTACTGATGCGAAGTGTTGCCAGAGATGATACGATGTATAGAAGTAGATGAAAATTATAGAGTAGAGAGTTAGGGTATATTTTTCTGTCGTGTTGATGTCTTGGAAATGGATCTATCACTACATGTAGCATAGATTCCTATTTTGCGCAGTGTGATGTGTTCTGGGTACTGTTGGAATCGTTGAATATTTCTCCTAAGTCTTCCTTAAAAAAAAGGCGCTCCGTGCGCAAAAGAGAGAGGGCGCTCTATTTACCACATTCGCGAGCACTGTGGACGTGACACACCGCGTGCGAGTACTAGTTCGCCATTTCGGTATCTTGTTGAAGTATTCCGGGTCAAAGGTCATTCAGGATAAAATCGCTGACGTGATGTTGTGCAAACATCCAGTCGGCTAGTTCATTTGTAATTAACGAGCGCGCGACCGTCTCCTTGCGCGTTAGGTTATCCTGAGTGACATTTGTGCACATGCGCAGTTGAAATACCGAACTGGTTTATTGCATATGCAGCGCACCCAGAACCGCCACACTGCAAAACCATATAGTTTAGAAGATTGCTCTATTCTTTTCACATAGCCTCATGCACTTGGCATGTTATCAACTGAAAAAAAATATCACTGCCAACAGACATTTCTAGCAAACACTTAGTTCAGGGGCTTCACAGAGAGAACTTCTAATTAAAGTAAATATCAAAAAAATATTTTTGTGAACAGAATTAAAAAGAAAGAATATATAGGAATGTAGATTAATTCTATAAATTAATTCTGAAAAACACCTTGAAATTGAGAATGACTGATTTCAGCAATTCCGAGCTCAATACGGAACAATGAAGTCATGAATTCAGATGCAAAGACGGTGTTGCAGTATACAGTGTAGAGATTGACTATTTTTTCTTGAATCGATGTGAAAGTTAGTGACTAGAGATTCTTAAATTTTACAGTGAAGCAGAAATTATAAAATGTGCGTTTATTTTTTCAAGTAGAGATAATGGCTGCAAGTCGTCCACTTCGAACGGTTGGAATCGAGTCGATCGCAATTCAATCACGAGTCGGTCACAAGTTAGGTGTCAAGTAAAGGGATGAACGTTAACAAAGGAAAGCCGTCGTCACAGTTCATTTGAATAGCTTGAGACCTGGATGATTTGTGATTGACTTTTGACGACTTATCATCATGACTTGATCTTGAAAACCTCTGACTTTGAAAAAAAACTTAATTGTGAAGTAGTCTTTTTTTAGGCCAAAAAAAAAGTCTGGTTTCTGGTATGCGCGCGTGTCCCCGTAGCCATGCGCGTCGGCAAAATTTAAAAAAAAATGTTTTTTCAATGTAAGATGATGTCTCAAAACCGCCAAACTCACTGGTTTGACTGGAATCCTGCTGCTGCACAATTTTAACGTGTCTTTAGATGGGGTTACGATCGAGTGTAAGCCTTATGTGGCCTCTCTGGGCTCCCATATATTTTGCACTAAATTTAGTCGGGCACCATTTGCAGACGGTGGTGTAATTTTGTAATTGTGCGTCTGGAAGCCAGACTGACGGAGCGATGGTCGTGTATCTGGAACCTGTAAACGCTTTTTAATTAGTTCAATATACCTCTCAAGCCTTACGGCCTTACTGAGGTCACCTCAAGCTGCACTCTGAAGGATATTTTGAGAGTTTTAAGGGGATCGAAGCGTCATCTGCAACATCAGCTGACATTTAAAGAAAGAAAGAAGTTGGGTAAAAAAAAAACACCTGCGTCACCGCACCACTTTTGGGGCAAGCTCCATACCAGAAACCGAAGACTCTTTTGTTTGGCCTTAAGTAGCGTCTCCTACATCTGTCTATCACACTAGTGAATGATAGTTTTCATCTGTTGGGTACATTACCCCGTTATCTTAGAATGCAACAGACTTCAGCAACTTCTCGGACACAGATCTTTAATGTCACTTTGCTGCACTTCTTTTCATGCATGTTTCCCGTCTTTACCTTTAATGAGGTACCTTGTTGGCTTTGACTTTCTGTGTGCATTTCTATTGGTAGTTGCTCTCGGAACCGAACTAAACTGTTTAAAATGTAGTGGTTTTTACTAGTTTTTTTGTAGTTGTTCTATCGAGCACATGCTGCACATTTACAACGCTGTCACTCTTACAAAGTGCAGCAGTGGAAAACGCACTACTTAGCTTGCCTGGCGTAATGCAATTTTGTGTATTGATAACAATAATGTTTAAAGGGGACCAAATCTTAGTTCGGATGTAACGTTTATGGACGAGGATTGTATTACATTGAAATGTATTTATTGATATTGTATCCTAGTTTGACGGATTGATGCTATTTTTTGTATAACTGGAAAAAAAAAGTGAACGGTGTGTAGGGCTGACATGGTAGGTCAGCCTTGGTGTTTGTTTTTATTAAGGTGATTGTGTGCAGTGCACGTGATAAATTCCCTTTCCTTTTCTTCTTTTTCATATTTAAAAAGTTTTTTTTCTCTTGATTATGTTTGATTTTGTAGTAAACCAGTTGCCAATTTTTCAAGTTTGAAATCGAATTTTCTTCGTTGTATGCTGCATTTTGTAAAAATTTCTTCAATATTTAACCTTCCTCTATTCATTACGTAGGAGTGAAACGTGAAAATGTTGGTTAGAATGAGTAATTTTTTTCAGGCTTTAAAAAGAAATTTGAATTGAGTGGTGCATCTGTATTAGGTATGTTTTACTGCAAAAAGATTGTTACGGTAAAGTCTTATTCCTAAGCCTTCCAAATTCTTCAAAAGCCAGCAGGAGTGTTTGGAGGATTTTGTAGGGTTAACGAAGGTTCAGACCAACCACTATGAATGTATGTGGGCTTGAGGCATTTGGAAAGTTAAATCACCGTACATAAGACAGTGCTCATGGTTTTTCTAGATTCCGAACCTTGCGAGTTAGGATCTATGATCAAACAAATGAAATTACTATTTGTGAACATTGTAGAAGCCTATTTTTCCCGGTTGTTTTATTCAGTACTAGAGACTCTAAAATTTTCGTGTGATTACACACTGATGGCTTGTTTGAATACTAATTACTAGATGGAGTTCAAAGGTCGTACATGTAGCTCAGCTTTCTTGCATGAGGAAAAAAAAAAGAATCGTTGAAATGAAAAAGTTGTTTGGAAAGTTCATGTTAATTGTTATGGAAGGTGTTTCAACCGTGTCCTGAAGTTTTCTTAGGTAGTTCATCAGCAAAGTGAAAGATTTTCGTGTGGTTAGTTAACACCATGTGATCAGTACAATTGGAATTGATAGAATCGTGTGCGGTATTGGGGTTCTTGAGCTGGCTAGCCAGAGTTTAATGTTGTGATGTTTACTGGGCGTGCTGGTTGTCATTATAACAGTTTTCTGTTTTTACTTCTTTTTTGGGGGTAACTATTTGCAATTGTAGGCATGCATCCATTTTCAGAAATCGTTTCAGATATTTGGCAGTTTCATCATATCTGATTTTATCAATGCATTTGTAATTAACAGTGACTCATTTCATTTTGGTTTGGTGTGTATTTTTTCTATAATAATAGAGTGGCGTAACTAAAATGTGTCAAAAAGGTTCCGTGAAACATTTCTGAGTTGTGCCAAAGTTAATCACTTGCAAAATGTTGGATTCCAACGTCAGCAGTTACACCCCATTTGATTGGACCAGCATTAGCCAGTCATGCCCAATCAAATCGCTTGTTACTGCCCATTTTGGTATTGCTCAAACCTGATTTGTCAATCGCTCCTGGTGGCATTTTCAATGGAAGAAATTGAACAATTCAGGATAAAAAAGAAATCAGCCAAAAAATCCTCAAATATTGAATCAAAAAAAAAAATCCTTAAATGCATTTTTTTTTAATTTTAGCCAATCACAAATATTGATTTGAAACATTCGGGTTCATCCTGCTGCCGTTTATCGACCTTTGACCTCTAGACGGACGCTACATAACCATTTTTTTTTTGGCAACTTTAGTGAGACCGCTCAATAAAATCTGTAGGCTTTTTTCAGTAGATAATTGAACATCACTAACAGTAGGAGTTTTAAAATGGAAACATTTCCGATATTGTCTCGAAATGCTGCATTTGTAATGCCTAATTTGCAATGGTACTGTGTGGTGCTATTTGTTTATATACGAGTGAAATATTCTAATGCCATTACGAAAAACATTAATTACCAAATGTGTTGGCCTTCGAGGCTGTGCATTGGAACAATTATCCCCATTAATTTCTTGGCCAAAATATGTGAACCTGTATTTTAATACTATTGCTTCAGAAACTAGACTTTATAGGCTGACTGTGTTGTGTACAAAAAGTTGTTGCCCGTTCAAGTAGCCATTGTGTATATGACTAATTAAAAATATGTTTTGTACAACATTGTGTCCAGCACATTAACTAACGTGTTTTTGTTACCTAACCTTACCTAGTAATTTAAACCAGTTAACAATGACTTAAACAGTAATAAGTTGAAAGGGAAATTAACTAGAACTACCACTGGTTGGTTCAATCAGTGACATGAATCATGGTTTAGGACTGACAAACTTGGACCCAGAAATTGTTTTTAAAAAATGACGAAAACGACAGAATGATACTACGATAATTTTACTCACAAGTCGTGCGTACAGCATATCATGGTCGTGGGCAGTTTGCGCCGTACACGTCCGAAGCACGTATGAGCGACTCACTCCATAGCAGAATTCGTCTCATGCATTATGTTCAAGCGGCCAGTCAGTCCTATTCAAGGATTTATGTGATAACTTGATTGTTTTTAAGCTTCCAAAATATAGAACATTCATCGGGACCAGTTTTGCCATTTTTTTAGAGAATTTTTATGGCTACATTTTGATACATTAGGTCTTCAAACTTAACAAGAAAGAAAATTGCAAAATCCTGCAGGACGTGAAAAACCAAAATTCCTCTTAAAGGGAAGGAAATTTGCAAAAAAATATATTTCAGGGATTTCGTTTGATCTCGTTTTCAGTAGAAGATTGCATCATTAGAGAAAATAGAATCTCCGATATTTTTTTTCTGGTTTAGAAAACTATCAATTCCCGTGTGAAGTCGAAATGGGATCGTTACAAGCGATCCGGCCAACAATGATTACATTTAATTGAGCGACAGAAAAGGGTTGCTGACGAGAAAAAAAAAATGATAAAACGGGTAGGCAGCAAAAATGTGTTTCGATGCTAATGCCTGTATTCGCTTGTCCGTATATTGCAACTAATCTTGTGCCCCAGCACAGTGGTACTCATTGTTCCCCGAATTTTGTTTTTTATTTGTGACGGCATTTTGAATCGATGATAATACGTGAATATAATATACTGGGATTTTTTTTAGTGCTGCTTCGTAGAACAATCTAACTTCGCAAAAATGAAGCGAAAGCAGTCAGAAATGCGGTACGAAACTGGCTGGTAGTCTTTTGCTGACTTTTTGCGCTCAACACTTTTGAAACTTGGGCGAGACATTAGAATGAATATTTAAGTTGGTCTTGTTTATTTTTTTGAAGCACAGTTGCAGTGCTGTGTTTTTTCTCTGTACATTATTATTATTTTTCGCAACGGCAGTTGCATTCTGTAGTAATAATTGTGAAATATTGTTACATAGAATGAATTGTTTATTATCTCTTGGAAATTCGGGTCAATAAACTAATTAATTGTAGAAATGTAGCCAGGTTTGTGCTTGTGGTTCATTTTTTTTTTTTTTACCAGAAGTACCCTTTTTACCATGACCTTCTCTAACTGTGAAACCCAAGTTGACCAAAATAAACCAAATTTCCCGATCTCTAGGATCTAGGAGCGTCCCTGAGAGCAAATTACAAATGTATTTACAATTAATAAATATCTTGTAGCGTTGCGGCCGAAGAATTATGCGTGTCCCTAAAAACGTCCCTAAAAAGGGCCGGGTTATTTTGACGACTCTCCCCCTAAAATCTCGGCCATTGAGTCACGAAACATTATGAAACTCGGTACACGCATAGAACAACTAATCATGAACGTACCCAAGAAATTGTATGACTATAGGTCAAAAGGTTTTGGAATTATGGCTAATTAATTATTCATATGCACGAATGGTAATTCTACTTAGTTTGTGTACCTACGTATATGGGGAAATTCAGTTTTCACGGCGCATAGCACTGGACTTTTTTTGGGGGGGGGGCGTTATAAATCTTCCACAAACCCTCTAAAATAGAACGAATTCCGCCTAAAATGGAAAACCTGCCTGCTCCTTACCCAAATCACCTCTTTTAGTCCATTTTGATCACTTATTCCGATTTCTGTTCCCCCCCCCCACATCGCAATGCTAGTCCCGCCTCCTCCACAATCAATTAACCCAAGTCTGGTTCCTCGGCACAACTGGCTTTTCCCTTTTAAAAAGTGCAATGACGTCTAAGAACCAGTCCTGCCGTAGAGGGCGGTTATTTCCATAGCTTCATAACACTCTGACGTCACTTCTTCTACATGCTTTTCTGTGCACAGAAACACGGTTGAGTGTGGCAACGAATTCCGCCAAAAATTGTAGTTTTAAGCTGGGTGAGTCTGTATAAAAGTATTTATTAATGCACCGAATAAGGCTAAGGTACGCAGTAATGGATTTATTCTTAACTTCCTAAACATAACGTTACTCGTTAGGCAACAAGACTCAACTTGGAACGGAATTTGTGCAGATTGTTTTTTTACGTGTTTAAACGTAGGCTAATTCCGCTATCTATTGTCACCAACTAATTCGGTAGATCAAATAATTTAAAGGTGGATTTTGATGCCTTATAGTTATAGGAACCAGGCCATAGATACACGATTGCCAGATTTTTTTTCTAGAAAATGCAATTTTCTTATGCATTTTCAGGCACAGCCAATGCCATGTCGTGTGCATCAACATTTCAATTCATGTATTGTTGGGGGGTCATTGTTGGGCATTCAAAAAGTCATACTCATGGTGCATTGCCCATCACGGCGATTGCCATCTTTATTTTCATCTTGGAAAAGGGACCTTCTCTGTAAAATAGATGGAGGTTCGTGTAACAGGAAATGATGTGCTCACTGCAATAGCAGTTCAATCGGGGTCTACCCGATGTTCCCCAATACCTATGTTCCCCAATACCGATGTTCCTCGAAATCCTTAGGATCAGGGTTAGGGCTAGGTTTAGGGTTATAGGGTAAGGATTTCGGGGAACATCGGTATTGGGGAACATAGGTATGCACCCGTTCAATCAGTGGTCTATGGAATTTGGCCAAGTTCAGCTTGACTGAAAAATCTGACTGACAATATTTTATCTTTGGTTTGCAGAAGCTTTTCTTCTGTGTCCTCTGAAGTGTTTCCACACCCTCTGCCACACCCAGTAGTGCCACACCCAGTAGAACCACACCCAGGAGTACCACACCCAGTAAAACCACACCCATTGCCACACCAACTACTATATTACCAGTTGGCCTTTCTAGATCCTGTGCACTACCACAGAAAAACACCAACAATTCTAGGGGCGATCGTCACTGCTGAGCTGTTTTAAATATCAACTGGAAGTTGGTGGAAAACAAAGCTAAGATGGCGGGCACGGCAAGACACGACCACGAGATGAAAATGAACGCTCGGAAGAAATTGCAGACCACAAAAGACCCAATTGAGAAACTGAGGTTGAGGTGTTTGGAACGAGGATCTGCTGGTATCAAGGGAATCGGCCGGTATGAAAAAAAAATACCCCCTCCACCCCTCCTCCCCACTGAAACACATGTACAGATAGCCCCACTACTGTGGCTCGGATATTGTTGCGCTGTGTCCTAGAGTCACACATCCCAGTGCGTCGCCTGAAATTGAGCTGAAATTGTCAACTTTGCAGGCGCACGAAACTGAGTTGCAAGTATTGGATGCATTCTATGATCTCTCAGCATTTGCGCACTGGGTTCATTAAGTAATCTTGCCTCCAATTTTGCGAGAAATTTAGGCATCTGTCTGGATTTGATATGCATGTGTACAATGGTTGCTGATGGCAGCAATGTTGAATGCGAGAACTCGATGACCCCAAAGCTGTGTCGTCTTGTTATTCAAAACGATCTCGTTGCTCCGGCTTTAAGAGTTGCGATGCGACGGCTGTTTCTTGTATAATCTCTGCGCACTGTTTGTGGTTTAGATTACATTTGAGATTATACAAGAAACGGCAGTCGCATTGCACCGTGTTATGCAAATCAATCTTGCCGCTTGGCTTCATGAGTATGCGACCATAATTCAGCATCACGTGATCAACCAATTTTTCCAATTGTTTATTTTTTTCTGCCAACAGCGTCTTCAGAATTATGGACGATGACGGTAATCGGACGCTGGACTACGGTGAGTTCAAGAAGGGCATCCACGACTATGGGTTTAGTTTTGATGACAAGGCCATCAAGGAAATGTTTGCCGCATTCGACAGGGACGGAAGTGGAAAGATCGACTTTGATGAATTCCTGTTATCACTAAGGGTAAGTTTGTCCTAGCGGTTTTTTGTTTCAAATTTTTACCCTAAAGACATTGACCAATGATTAACCAATTATCGGATTTTTTCTTTCTCTAACTAAGCCGAAGATGTCCAACACGAGGATAGACATTATCTGCGAGGCCTTCAAGAAAATGGACAAAACCGGCGACGGGGTGATAACCATCGAGGACATGAAGGGCGTGTACAACGTCAAGAAGCACCCCAAGTACCTCAACGGGGAGAAAACAGAGGACGAACTCTTCAGGATGTTTCTGGATACCTTTGAGCCGGACAAATCAAAAGCCGATGGCAAGGTATGAGGGTTTTGTTTCATAAAAACCATCCTGGTTGAACAGTCTGGATGAAGCTTCACATATTTCTGACGTGTCCTGTCGAAACCAAACATCTCTTGGCAGGAGTTGAAATGGAGATACGACAAACGTATACGATGTGGGATATGGTTTTCTTTGCAAATTGGTGATATTTATTACGCCTAAAATAGACTCTGACTTGTTCAAACCTTTTTTCAAGAAATTTATAGCAGTTTACAAATGAATGCAGAATAACTCGATTATGTCGAGGAAAGTCCATTTAAAATTTTTAAAAAGCTGTCATGAAGAAGATTTAACCAGTTTTCAGTCAACTACATAGAAGAGTCTGTTTTTGGGAATCGCTTGGTATTGAGTAATTTTTCTCAGTTTTACACGACTTGTTTTTTCTCAGATCACACGAGAGGAGTTTCAGAACTATTACGCCGGTGTCAGTGCATCGATTGACCAAGACAGCTACTTCATATTAATGATGAAAAACGCTTATAAGATTTAGGTAAGTCTGTTCTGATAATGCAAATAGTATGTGGGTCATTCTATAAACGTAGTGTCCAAGGTGTGACCTTTTTTTCCTGTCCCTGTCGCCTTGGTACTTTGTGATTTGTCATTCAAGTATCATTAAGAATGACTTCAAATTATTCTTTAATTTGTTGGGTAGGTAGTTTGCTCTTCATAATCACTCTTGGAGGACGATTGCATTAAGGAGTGCATCAGAATTATAAATTATAAAATCATAGATGTCAGATGTAACAGGGACTGGGAAAAAGTGGGCCCCAAATTTATTGAATGATCCATGTCCGATGTTGGTTTGAAGTTATTTTTATCGTTTCAGATACATGTATTTTGGCTGGTGGTATTAAATGTTGCACTATGGCAAATTAACCCTAACTCCCAAGGCATTTTTGCTGAGATGCAAAACCTCAATGCTGCGAAATCCTCCAACTGCCTCCATGTTTTTTTTCTGGAATGTGGTCCCTGGAGGGGTGACCATTGCCTCAATACTGCAAAATTCTCCAGCAATCACTGTCAGTATGTTGAGGCAGAGCCAGTGAAATCCTGGAGCAGTGCGGGGGATTTCAAGTATAATCTATGCCTAAATGTATGCACGGCTGAGCATAAACAACACAAGGCCTGGCCCAAGACCTTGATACAGGGCATCCTTCAAAATCAGCCAAACATTTTTCCATATAACCTCAATCCTGCAAAATGCTCCATTTGGAAAGAGGATTTTGGAGGATTTGGGAAGGTCAGCGTTAAAGATGTTTCTATATTGTGACTACACATGCATGTTCCTAATTTGTGGAGTTCTCTTTTACTCACAGATGAAATTCAGAATGACAGCATCAGTACTTAAAACAGTTACGCATGACCGCTCCAACCCCGTTGGCTACAGCCTCCCAACAAGTTGAGAATATTTTGTTGCAAAGTTTGCCGGAAATGCTTGTACTGTGAGACTTATTTATTCACCGTTTGTGCCAAGTCGTTGAACTAGACAATTACAAGCTATCGACTGAGTAGTCATCAAGGTACGTGTTTACTGTACACAAACAGCACGCAGTAATGGAGACAATATTATGTACACAAAATTCACAGTTATCAACAACGTGAAAAGAAAAACTATCGTCAGTGACTTTGATCCTAACTCCTTTTGGTTTTATGCATTGAACTTGCCTAAATCGGAAGATCTTCACATCAGATCCTCACTTCACAGAATTCCAGTGTTAAGCATCAGCAGGCTTGACTCTAAAAAGCTTGACCAATCAAAATCAGGCAAAACTCAGCCGTTCGATTTTGGCGGTAATCTGAAAATTTGCGAACGAGAACTAACATTCCAAATTTTTTAACGTAATTTTTAAAAAATTCACAAAACTTTTTAAAGTTTGTTAGGGATTTGAAGCCACCTCTCTTTGTTTATTGATTTGTAGAGATGTGAGATTTGAAAGGCTACTGACGATGGCTGATTTTGTTTTAAATGTAGAAATTTGCTGTAAAATTACGATTGTTTTTTATAGATTTTTTTTTTTTTTTTTAATTGAATTCCGAATAAAATTTTTTTTTACTCAACACCTTGATTTTTAAAATTAATTGAATAGAGCTTGGGTTATTTGAAATGTTTTTAAAACTCAGTATTTTTGTGTGAAATTTTAATCATGGAAAGGTAAAGTGTACTTAATGTATGTTTGAAATGTATTTGATCGTGCTTCAGTTTGTTTTAAATTGTACTTAATATATCACCTGCCCAAATTGAAAAAAAACAAACTGAGGAAGTTCTTCAAATTATGAGCCATTGTTTATGCTTTATAAAACATTGAATATCCAAAAGGATTCGGCTAAACAACAATATGTTTTGGGGACTTATAAACAAATAGTCTTAACATGCTGCTGCAGTTATATGTGTATTTTTTATCCTAACTATGAATTCAAAAAACAAAATCAAATTGAAAACCTTGAGAACTGTTTTAAATCCAGGAGCAAAAATATGTGTAAGTAAGTTTTGATGCTGTTCTGATCATGTTTTGTGTAATTTGTATTCTGTGCGTTGTAAATATTCATTAATGGTATACTGAATATTCATATTATTAGCTTTTGCTCTTTGACACATTGACCAATTGCTTGAGGTTAATTGCCTTCGCATAGTGCTTAGCTCCAGGCATTTCTTAAACTATTTTCCAAAGCAGTTTTAAAAGAATCCTCAGTAGAAAAAAAATAAAATAAAAACAGCATTCTCTGCAAGCGAGTTGCGTTAAATTGGGCAACAGTTATTGGCAAAATCGAATGTTTAAAGGGCGAAAATGCAATCTGGCATCATACATATTCTTGACCTAGCTTAATCTGATTGGCCATGTCGTGATGATGCATGCTGGGATACTTTTTATTTTTTAGCTCTCGGCCTGTTCTGAATTTCCCACAAAAAAGTGGCATGGTAGTACACATCCTGTGTACGGCAAACCTAGTGTTGATCATGTATTCAATGGGGATGCTATTTTTGTAAAGCTAAATTAATTATTATGTAAATATCCCTCAGAATCAAGATGGAAACATCATTTTAACATACCTTGTGTGTTTTTTTGTCCCAGTTTTTATGTATTCGAGTTGCGTTCCAATACATTTTACATTCGATTTGTATCCGTGTAAATTTTAATGTAATTCAAAATTTGATGCCAGAAATAAATCTTCAGACTCGATTTCCAGTATCTTTTCCTTTTTTGTGGGAGACAAATTTAATAAAAGAGTAAAGGTTAAGGGAGTGAACGAAAATCAAATCTTGTTGCTATTCCTGTCTTTACTTTAGAAATAAAAAAAAAATAATCTGAATTTGTCTTACTTCGCTCATTTTGTTCATAATGGATTTTAGGATTTAATTGTTATAAACGTGAGTAGGGGATTAATATTATATACAAGTGAATTATCTTACATGTAACAAAAATATACATGTACCATGCACGTTTGACCTCGTTGTGTAGGCCCCCTATAGCGACCATCTGTTACATACATATACACAATAATACACCCCCCCCCCAGAAGAGGACAATAAATACTAAAATTCCATTACATCAGCGTGAAAGACGGCGAATTATAATTTTCAATAAAGGTGGTGTGTGTAATAAAACAGACATTGCTTACGGCGACTCATCCTAGCGTTGCCATAGATATTGTTTTCATGGCAACGAGGTTAGGCGTGAAATCGACAGGTAGGCCTATACCATAGAGCTATATTAAATTTAATATAGCTCTATGGCCTATACTGAACTGGCGTTACCATTCACTTGGGTGCCGCAAAACGGGGATAAAAAGGCTTTTAAGAATAAACGAGTTTTGTCCTTTATTAAAACCTCAATTTTTGCTGGTGCTTGTTACTCAGATCCATGATTGTTTATGTTTCATAATTAAATATGCAATTTTGATAAATAATGCAAAGGGTAATTCAAAAATACAAGGCATATTCGCACTGTACCGCGCCCTCTACAGGTGAAGTTACTGGGTTTTGGATTGGTCAGTTGAAAGTTGTCTTTTTCGATGACGTGTAATCGGACGATGAACTCTAGCTCTCTAAATACATGTAGATGATAACGCAACCTTGTCCCCAGTGCTTACTTTATTTCCAACCTCGTTTCCAATAGTAAGCCCTGAATAGGAAACTTTCTTCCTGTATCCTGATTCGATACCGCAATTTGCTAGTAATGGATTTATATCGTGTAGTTGGTGTTGTTATTTCCAACGTGCATTACGTGTTTTCACGTGTCAATTGTTATTTTAACGTCCACGCCTTCTCAAAAATACTCCTTTCTTTTCCAGTTTGCTCATATTAATATGAAATGTGATACTGCATATTGGCGAGCCAGATTGTAACATTTGAATGAAATAAATCGTGTTTTCATAACTCACGGCGCCACTAATAATGCTGTTTTTACCCCAGACACCGCATAGAAAACAAACGCTATAATGTAACGCATAGGCAGGCACCAGATTATTCCTCATTTGCATTGTTCAAAAATCTTGCACATGCAAATGATCCAATACCAGGGTGAGAGAGCAGGTAGTGGTGGGCTCGTACAGCTCGACATCCTGGGGACGAGGTTGATGATAACGGTTACCCTGAAATTCGCTTTGCATAAAAATAATAAGTCTGTCTGGATTAGAAATACCGCGCCAGTGAGGGGTCTTTTCGCTCATTCAAAGCCAGCCATCCGTAGTAAATAATGGTAAAGCTATAACACAATTGAATCGTGTGAGTTGTATGAGCAGTTCTCTGCCCCTTCCGAACAGGCACATTTTCAATGGGCCCAGCACTAGTTATGATAAAAGTAGAGAGCACACAGTGAATCCACTTTGTACGACGGCAAATCGCTATTCTGAAAGCCACGCCTTTTTGCGTCGCTTGCTGTAAGTGTAAGTATATTTCCGTTAAACTATACTTCGTAGCGACGCCAATACTGAGAAAAGATATTCTTTGGTGCTATAATATAACCTAATAATAATTGTAGTTACTGATTAGAGAATAGTGGTGTGGAAAAAAGGTAAAGTTGGGGGGAAAATGTTGCAACCTGACGCCACTTTTTTCTTCATATATCATCTCAATGAAGGTCAGCCAGAGTTGTAATGACTCGAGTCAATGACTCGACTCGAGTCCGACTCGAGTCACATTTTTTGGCGACTCGACTCGACTCGAGTCCTGACGGGTAAATGACTCGACTCGACTCGAGTCACTGCGAGCAAATGACTCGACTCGACTCGAGTCCCTCATCAGAATGACTCGACTCGACTCGAGGAAGGCTAATAAGACTCGAGTCCCAAAATAAAAGCAAAACTTACTTGCGAAAAATATTTGCAACGACTTACGCTGCGCCGTTCGCGTTGCCAGTTTTTGTTCACGTCACGTTAATGTTCGCGAATAATGTACGTTTATATACAGCGGCAGTCTGTTTCCTTCCTCCATAATGAAACAACAAACATACACCGTGTCGCGGACTCCCACCTTGTGGTTCTATAGCATGTAATGCTAAACCCGGAACCAGACTTAAAACGCATTTCTCAATCCGTGGTTTCATCATTGGTTTCGGGCGATTTTGAAGTCCTTGGTGGAACGCTGGCTAAATTCATGTCCCGATTTCACACAAAAAAATGGATACGGACGGGCCCACCTTTAAATAATCAGAACAGTTTTGTATAATGCAATTAGGTTTTAACGTTGTCAGCGATCAGCGAACAACAAAATCTAGACCCGAAGCCAAACCAGTTATAAGACCGAAGTTTCACATCTTCTTATCTGTGACGTGAGCTAGCAATGGAAACTGTTGGTTGGGTACCATACAGCATACTTCATGTCTTTGGATTTCCGTAATAGACTGGTGCCTTGTATTCTTTCTCTCTTGTGTTTGTTGCTTTTTATTGTAATTTAGTGTTCAAATATTTGTGACTCGAATTGACTCGAGCTAAGTACTTGACTCGACTCGACTCGACTCGACCACATTCTGTGACTCGACTCGACTCGACTCGACCTTGTTGACCTAATGACTCGACTCGACTCGAGTCACTTCTTTAAAATGACTCGACTCGACTCGAGTCACAAAAATCAGTGACTCGTTACAACTCTGAGGTCAGCCATTGCAAAAATGATAAGACATGAATCTAGGACTGAGAAACATTTCCAATTTTGTTAGGAAATACTTTTTTTTGTTTCCCATCGTGGAAAGAATGTAGTATCCAGACGCTACTTTAGCGGTTGGGTACACAGTCTATGGAGAGTCAAGAACATTTTCAAAGTATTTCCTTAACAAAATCGGAAATGTTTCTCAGCCCCAGATTCGTGTCTGTTCAACATTTTTGCAATGACTGACCTTCTTTGAGATGATTATGATGAAAAAAAGTGGCGTTAGGCTGCAACATTCTTTCCATAAACGTTTCTGGACATTGTGCTGAGAAAACTCAACTATATGCGTTATCCATCGGAGGCAAGCCTGGTTTCTACCTATACCACGACAAAATGATTAATTTTGTTGGCTATTTGGAGTGATTAAAATTTCAAGAGGATAGCAGTTGCGGAATTATGGATTTATCCTGTCATTTTGTTCATCGATGGGCCACCGTAAAACTATCATCAGACGTTTTTCGATGTACCTGTGTGTAGGAATAATCCGAAATCATTCACCCCGTAACAGGCCTAGACTTTGTACGAGAACAAAGTTTAACACGGCCTTGCGCAGCCCTTAATTTGATCATAATAAAGTTGTATCGATTTTACATCCACAATTTGCAGAATACACGGCGCCTTGAGACTATTCCAGCAAAATGGAGCAACTAAGACAGAAACTTCTGGAAAGGAACGTGAACAGCTTCAAGCGGTTAGGGAGGTATGAAGGCCCAATTGATTCTCCACACAACATTCCGAAGTATTCACTGCAAAATTTAATATGGGCGTGGCTAAGGGTTAGAGACATCACGTGTTAAAATAAGTTGCAAATTAGTATAATGTCAGACCTAATAGGTAACATAGTTTCATCTTAAAGGAATAAAAACCTCTTTTCTAAAGAGGCATCCATGCAACAATGACTATAATCCGCGCCAAGTGGGGAACTTGCATGTGCCCGGTTCGTTAGTTTAATGTCGGTTCAGTTTAAACCACGCCCACTTGCGATTAAGAACCGGAAGCTAAAGCAACGTGAGTGTTTATCCAATGGGCGCTAGTAATCCGTGGCGCGCGCGTGTATGACGTTTTTGCTAACGAACCGGATAATGTTCCAGCCGCGCGCGTCATACGCGCGCGTTTGTGCACACGCCAGAGAATAACCAATGCTCTGACTGCTCAAAGCGTCATGGGGCGGGACTTAATGAATCATTGACATTGTATTGTACATGTACAGAAAGTTTCGTATCATGGACGACGACCGGAGCGGCTCATTGAATCAGGAGGAGTTCGTGAAAGGTGTTCGCGATATGGGCGTGGATATGTCACAGGATGAAATCAAAAACATCTTCGGTACACTGGACAAAGACGGCTCAGGAACCCTGAGTATTGACGAGTTCCTGGAGACTCTTGCGGTAAGGAGGCTAAATTACACAGTGACATTTTTTTTTAGTGATTCAAAATAAACAAAAAAACAATTCAGAATCGATTAATCAGAAATGACTTTGCATCTGCTCTTTCTGAAATTTTCAGCCTCCCTTGAACGCGACCAGAAAGGACATCATCAAGCAGGCCTTTGCAAAGTTCGATAAGACGGGAGATGAGATTGTGACAGTGGCCGACTTGAAGGGAATCTACAACGTCAGATGCCACCCGGACTTCACCAGCGGTGCGAAGACTGAAGAGCAACTGATGACGGAGTTTCTGAACAGCTTCGAACCGGATGAAGCCAGTCGGGATGGAAAGGTACGAGAACATGCCTGCTTGAAACAAGACTACACTGGCTGGGCTGATGATATAAAATTCATACCTGCCAGATGTGAAATCGAGGCTATCAGGGCTTGTTTTTTTGTTTATCAATAAGCTGACTTGAACATGTTTATATTATTCTCCCATTCGTACACAATGAACCGTTAATGCATGAAAGTGCATTGGTCGTCGACGTCTCGTGCAAAAAGATACTGAGGCCTAATATTGACTATATTTTGGTTTCTTTTCAGGTGACGCTGGCTGAGTTTGAGAAGTACTATGCCGGAGTAAGCAGTGGCTACGATTCAGACGAGCATTTCAGCCTGATGATGAGAAACAGTTATAAATTGTAATTTCGAATCACAGTTAAGGCTTGATAAAGTATGTCCTTAAAAGAAAAAAATCCACAATTTACAACAGTTGTTTTGCGTCACGGTTCACCTCTTCTCAAACAATTTTTTTTTCCAGATTGGAGCGTGTTATTCTCCGAATAAAGCATGTACTTTTCTCTGCCAGGTGAAATCCTGCATAAATTATCCTTTTAAATTTACCTAGAGTATCTTTTAGGAAATAAATTTACTGCAGTGTTGTCGATCCGGGGAATATATTGTTATCACAATCCGATCATGGAGGAAATAAAATAGACATCATGTCGGCAATTTGATCGATTGAATACGAGATCTGAGGTAAGTTGCAACAATCAATTGAAATTTAAACCAATATTATTTCTGGTGACAATATGTAATTGTAATTTGAAGTCAAGCTTAATGGTCTTGACTTGGGCCAGTCTTTGAAATAAAGTGATCCGAAGTAGTGACAACTATGTCTTCGCGCGTTCGTTTTGTTCGTTAAAGACCCGTCAGCGGTGTATTTATTTGCAGCACGCGTCGTCAATGGATCATGATTATTCAGCTAGTTCGATGTTCATAAGAAAATAACAATGACGTCACACTATTGCTATCACTCAGACATGCATGTACATTAAAGCATTTCAAAGATCGGCTTTCGTCGAGCTGGCCTAGTGGATAGTGGAATGAATCGCAAGATATGTGGTTCGAAACATCTGTCCACTTTTTATGGAATATTTGTGTTGGTTGGGATAAGTTTAATTGAAGGGAAAACGCTGCGAGAACGTAAGTGTCTTCCATCCACACAGCGTGATAAATATTCATGTTATAGGGTGCGTGATTGGTTAAAATACGACGCATGCTGCCCCCCCCAAAAAAAACCCCACCTCGTCACCTTCAATTCAATTCAAAACTCGTAGTTCATATTTTGTGAATTTATAGCTGGGATTGTAACGTCACTCATCCGGATGGCGGAATATTAGTTTAAGTCGGGTTTATAATTGGGAAAACACAGCCACTAATTCCTGGCACAATAAAGTCTGTGTCGTCATGGCAACCGGATAGCTTATAAACTGCAATAAAAAGTGGGTCAGATAAGTGAAATATTTGGAGGAGTTGTACCTTTCCTGACACAAGCTTGGCATTGCGCGCATGGTTTCATGAGAAAGATAATTTGGCTATACATTGTATGTCAGTCCAGCTCTGATGAAGGCCCCGTCAGGCGGAATATTTAGCCAGAATAATTCCCGGTGAGCACTGCTAATTACTTATACTTTTCTTCAGTGCTACGCAGTTAATCCACTTCATTTTATATGAAAAAATATACGTATATAGTAATAAAGAGTAATTGTCGATATTTTCAAAATGGCTGCCATTGCTTGTTATTCTACCTATATATTTTTTTCAAAGGACAAATCTGCGATGTCCCAATAGCGAAAAATCTTTCTCATGACATACTCGGGCCGTGTGCCAAAATCCATGCTTGTATCTATACAGTCAAACACTGTTAATATACGAGCTCCAGCAGACTATAAAAAAAGCCTCGTATTATCCGGTTCCTCCATTAAGCATCACAAATAATGACATGCCCATTCATCCATAGCCTTTCGCCAAGGCCACCGTGGCTTGAGGCGGCGAAGCTGCGAAATCACGAAGCGATTGGAGGGGAGGGCAGGGGGAGTTCTCGAGTGGCGAAGCCGCTTTGTCTAATGCCGGCAAGTTAAGTCACGATGGCCTTGGCGAAAGGCTAGCACGTCGCAGCTTCGCCGCTCCCTCTAATAATGCCGGTTAAAGCCACGATGGCCTTGGCGAAAGGCTAATTCATCCATGACGCTCCAACTGGGCGCCATGCACGTGTGTGTGTGTGTGTTTTTTTTTTACATGTACGTAACGAATGTGTGCACAAAATGGGTGCCTTAACATTTATGTTGCACATGGTATCATCTGAGACACAACCATCACATTATCTGATATATCACGGGATTTACGTCGGGACTATAATTGCTAGAAACGCAGCCAGTAAGTCATGATGGCATAATGAAAGTCTGTGTCGTCATGGCAACCGGATAGCTTATATACTACAAGCTGATTTACCCGATCATAGATCGGGTAGGGCGTAGTGTTGGGGATGCAAATTTGGGGAGTTAAATGTAAATGGGGATATAGTTAAGGAGACATGCAGTTATAGAAAAGCAATTTCTGTGGTGTGATCTGAGGCAATTTCTGACCACTAAAACCAATTTCAGCAAATGATCATCTTTTAAAGTTTTGAGTTTGGAGTAATTGAATCAGCTACATGTATTCTGAGTAATAGAATCATTGTTGAAGGCTAACATTTTTACTCGGGGAAGAAAAAGTGGGCGGGGGGGGGGGCATTGTAAACTTACAACGTATTGACACCATCGCAAGGAAACCATCATGGTATTAAGGCAAGGCCCTCAAAATAATGACCATTTGTTACATGCATGCACAAGTCCAATACAAGAAGCCCTGAAAAAATTACTAAAATTCGAACAGACGATGAATGGTTTAGCCTATATTTTAATAAGGTATGCCCAGTGTGTAGAATAAAAATTGCCATTGAAGCTTGTTTATGGGCAACAGTGCAGCGTTGCCAGAGATATTGCTTCCATGGCAACGAGGTTAGTCAAGCGCAGCGACTGCCCCCATCCATGCATGATGTATGTACAGCGTAAAGCCCCCAAAAAGTCTCCGGTTTCTGGTATGCGCGTGCGTTGCCGTAGCCATGCGCGTCGGCAAAATGAAACAGTTCTTTTTTTCAATGAAAGATGATGTCTCAAAACCGCCAAACTCACTGGAATCCTGCTGCTGCACAATTTTAACGTGTTTTTAGATTAGGTTATTGTCGAGAATAAGGTTTATGTGGCCTCTCTGGACTCCCATATATTTGCACTAAGTTTAGTCGGGCACCATTTGCAGTCATCAGCCGACATTTGAAGCAAAAAATCAGGTAAAAAAAAAAAAGCAGCGTCACTGCACCACTTTTTGGGCAAGCTCCATACCAGAAACCGGAGACTTTTTTTTTTGGCCTTAGCGCTCATTCAAAGCTATATAGCGAACCATACTCGACTTTTTTTTTTTTTTTTTTTATAACACGACGATTGCATGTGTGCATGTTCATAAAATCCGGAGAGTGCACAGTGAATCGACTATTAACGACGGCTGAGATCGACAAGCCACACCTTATAGCACAGCTTGATGTAAGTACATGTATTAAACTTCACTTCGTAGCTCCGCCACTCTTGAGTCTTGAGTTTTGGCCAAAGTATACAATTATTGATCGTGTTTTTGTGCGAGGATGGTATGTTTGTAAAGCAAAATTAATCAAAGTCGGTGAATACGTGCTTTTATTTTGGGTGTGGCACCTTGCAAAATAAAGTTTTCAAACTGAATTGATAATTTTCTAGCGTAACATATAATATAGTTAAGAGCTTTCGAAAAAAATCGGCCCACGACAAGTAATCAATTAATTAAGTTCAACTCTTGAATTAAGAGCGGGACGCTCCTAATTCGTTCTGATTACAGTGTGCACAATTTGTGAACTGGATTGCGCCATTAAAAAACACTTTTTAAAACCGTATAAAGGCCTACAAAACAAACAAGCATATTTATTTGATACAAGACATTATTCCTTTAAATTTCGTTAGGAAAAGAAAATCGACATTTTGAAAAAGCACGTGTATACCAACTTTAATATGTAGATATCCTTCGAAGTTAAGATGGAACCATCATTTTAATAATATTACAGCTTTTTTTTTAATTTGTGACAGTCTCAGTTTGGATGTATTTGAGTTGTGTTCCAATAAATCTTGCATTCGATTTTAATCTGCGTACATTTTTTAAGGGCCCACGAAGTGCATATTTCTAGGGAACATTATCTTGTGCTACTTGCATGTAACAAAAGTACCAATTTCGCCACTCGGTGGTTATGTAGGCCCCAAAATAACGATCGTCTGTTATATACATGCACAAGACCATTAAAAGAAAGCCCTGAAAAAAAAAAAACAAGCTCGAAATGATCTCGAAAGTTGCAGGCCAACGAGTTTGCCATGTTCATGCATGCGTGATGTGATTGTGCCTTGTCATTTTTGGTGCAGGGGGTTACTATATTCTCAGTACAAACATGCAGGTTTGTGACCATCGACCGTGACACCATTTTTGCGGGACTATCCATAGAGTTAGGTGATGCGCAGGTATACGGTGCGGGTGTCAGCCACTGATCTCTGTTATACTGGAGATCAGTGGTGTCAGCGTAACAGACGGTGAATGGTATAATTATTTGAATGAAGGCCGTGTGGAGAATACATATTGCCATTGAAGCTTGTTTATGGTAAACAGCCCAGCGATGCCATAGATATTGCTTCCATGGCAACGAGGTTAGTCAGGCGTATGCAGGTGTTCGTCTATTGTCCTATTTAAAGAAAATGTTGTGTGAAATATTAACCGACGCATGCAGGGCAGACAATTATATAAAATCATGGAAGAATGCTGCATCCTGACCTCACTGTTTTCATCCTATTATTAATTATCTCAATGAATGTCGGTCATTGCGAACATGATCTGGGACTGAGAAACATTTCCAGTTTTGTTAGCTTATGCTGAAAATGCACTGGTCTCTTCATAAAATTTGTACACAAACAAAGATACAACAGTCTTTCTGAACATTTAAATATTTCTGGACATTGTGCTGTGAAAACTCAATTCCCATGTGCCATCCATTTTAGGCACTGTAATTTTTTCATCAATGGATCAACTGACGACCTGCATGTATATGTACGTGTATTCACACCGCGTAGACTTCATACTAGGAGTCAACTACCTTACGCGGCCCTCACTTCGATCATGATAACGTCATAGTTGGGATTTTAACATCCACAGCGTACAGAATAAACGACGTCTTGAGACCAGACCACCAAGATGGAGAAACTGAGGCAGCAACTTCTGGCAAAGAACGTGAACAGCCTGAAGCAGCTCACGAGGTATGATATTGTAATCGCATTCTCCACAAACCTTTTGAGGTATTCAATGCAAAATGGCTTATTTGAAGTCAAACTGCATTCAATGGGCGTGGCGAAGTATCAATGACAAGTCTTGCTACCATAAGTTGCAAATTAGTAAAATCAGACCATCTAACTTGCAGGAATAAAAGCATCCTTTTTAAAAAGGTTTTTTTTCTGTACTTTCTTCGTCCGTATCAGAATCGGGAACATCCTTCCGCGCGCATGCGCGCGCGTGCACGCACGCATGTAGGATATTAACCAATGCTGTGACAGGTCAAAGTGTCATGGGGCGGGGCTTAATGTATCATTTCTTTTTTAATTGTGCTTTGTACAGGAAGTTCAGCCAGATGGACAAGGACCTGAGTGGCTCTTTGGATACGTATGAGTTCGCGGCGGGAGTCCGCGACATTGGCGTGGATATGCCTCTCAATGATATCGTGGACCTCTTCAAGACGCTGGACAAGGACGGCTCAGGAAAACTGAGTATTGATGAGCTAATGGAGGCTCTTACGGTAGGCTTCGTCTTAAAAGTCACATTCAGTAACTAGTCTGTGCAGCGTGATCCATGCATAGATGGTTCATTAGCCTGTATCCCTGGCCTAGGCCCTGCGCAGCTTGTCCACATAGGTCTGATACTTGTGCTCTATGCCTCTTTGGGTTGACCAAGCTTGCAAGGCGTATTAGTCAGTGACATTTTTTGAAATAAAATGACTACCAATTCGAGAATCGATTGATCAGAAATGACTCTGCTCTTTCTGACATTTTCAGCCTCCCTTGAACGCGGCCAGAAAGGACATCATCAAGCAGGCCTTTGCACAGCTCGATAAGACTGGGGACCAGAAAGTGACGGTGGCCGACTTGAAAGGAGTTTACGACGTCAAGTCCGAAGCGGACTTCATCAGCGGAAAAAAGACTGAAGAGCAACTGATGACGGAGTTTCTGAACAACTTCGAACCGGATGAAGCAAGTCGGGATGGAGAGGTACAGAGAACATGCCTGCTTGAAACAAGACTATACAACTGGCTGGGATGATAATATAAATGCTCTGCCCGGCAGAAATGAAATCGAGGCTATCAGTGCCTGCTTTATTTTCTTTATCACATATGGATGAGTGAATTGTTTTCGATTTGGTGAAAGAACGCACACCTTTTTTGTCATCCGTGGACAGAACTTCAAAACGGTGGTTGTGTTTAAAATTCCGTAACTTGAAAAGTACATGAGTGATTTGAATGATTCTTGTACTAAAATAAAGCTTGTGAATTGGGCTTTCATATCCTAGATTTTGAAAGTGCTATATGCAGAACTTCACTAAAACAGTAGTCCCGACATTTGGGTTTCGTTGGTTTTTTGTTACTTACCCGATATTGCAGCAAAGTGATTGGTCGTCCTATGCATGCACAAACCGTTCTTTATAACACTGATGACATTTTTTGTGCTTCTTTTCAGGTGACGCTGGCTGAGTTTGAGAAGTACTATGCCGGAGTGAGCAACAATATCGATTCAGACGACTTTTTCATCATGATAATAAAAGCAAGATATAAATTGTAAACTTCACATAACAAACACAAAGTATGGCCCTTTAGAGAAAGAAAAATTCAAACGTTTATAGGGATATAAAAGGCGAGTAAAAAAAAAGGAAACCCAAATGGCAGGACCAATTTGAATGAAGTTCTGCATGTAGCTATACACTTCAAAAATCTAGGATGTGAAAGCCCAATTAATAAGCTTTCTTTGAGTATAAGAATCATTAATATCACTCATGTTCTTTTCAAGTTACAGAATTTTAAACACAACCATCGTTTTAAAGTTTTGTCCACGGATCACAAAAAAGGTAATGATTCTTCCAGCAAAACGAATGCATGAGTATTGTTTTCGTTTTGCTGAAAGAATACTTACCTTTTTGTGATCCATTGACAAAACTCGTGTAATTTGAAAAGTACATGAGTGATTTGAATGATTCTTGTACTAAAGGAAAGTTTATTAATTGGGCTTTCATATCCTAGATTTTGGAAGTGCTGTAGGTATCATGCAGAACTTCATCAAAAAAATGGTCCTGCCATTTGAGTTTCCTTCTTTTTTTACTCGCCCTGTACAGCAGTTGTTTTACGTTACAGTTCATTCTCAAAGAATTTTTTCAAGTTCAGTGCGTCTTATCCTTGGAAAGCGTACTTTTCTTTGTTAATTGGAAAACCTACAAAACCTGTCTTTTTAATTTTACATAAAGAACATTTTATGAAATAAATTACTACAGTGTTGTCGATCCGGGGAATATATCGTTATCACAATCCAATCATGGAGGAAATAGAATATACATCATGTCGGCATTTTGACTTAATAAGAGCGGTAAAGTTGCACCCGTACCATAAATGGCAATTGAAATTTCAACCGATATTATTTCCGACGGCATTGGTAATTGTAATTAAGCCAAGCTTAGTGGACTCGGGTCAGTGTTTGAAATAAAGTGATCCGAAGTAGTGACAAGGGATGCCTTCTGCGTCCATTTTGTTCATCACAGACCCGTCAACTTGGTTTTGTGGAATTTATAGGCAAAATTACGGAAGTGTCTTGGGATGTAACGTCGGAGTGTTTCAAAAAAAAAAAAAATCTGGATGGAAGTCGGACGGGGATATTGGTTTTTGTCGGGATTTTATTTGTGAAAACCCGGCCATTATTGATGACCCAATAGGGGCTAATGTCTGTGTTGTCATGACAACCGGGTACGTACTGTGGCTTATAAACTGCGATCAATAGGAGGGCAGATAGGTGAAATATTTGGGGGAATTGATGCCTTTGATGATACAAGCATATGAAATTTCGCACACAGAATATGCCATATTTCATGATATTTGGCCTTAGGGCCATCGCATATTTGTCCTTTGAAACAAGCAATTTTCAAAATTTTCAAAATGGCTGCCAGCGCTTGTTATTTAACCTATATTTTCTCAAAGGACAAATCGGCGATGTGTGCTCTGGCTGACATGTGCCAATACATTTGTACTGCCAAATTCTATGCTTTTAATGAATAATCCCATCACGTATCTGCCCCATTCATGGCACAATAATAAAGTTTGTATGGCGCACCCTCGGGCTCGACCTGGGGGGGGGGGGGCGGAGGGGGGGTGCAAATTATCAATCGCTCCAGTCTCGAGGCCACGGAGCAACGGTGAAGTAGTATGGCGTGATAATAGCAATTCACATGCAAATTATATTGCTCGGCCACCATGCATGCGCGGATGAACGCCTATTATGTCTGTTTTATTTAAAGGGTTTCGTAGTATATCGCCGAAACTTTTACGTTTAAGATTGTTCACTGCAAATGTCGCAATGTTCATAAAAAAGATGAACAAATGGGAAAAACCGGTTGTTTAAGCCTATACTTAATTTTGACGCGGGGGGGGGGGGGCGCCGTAGTTCTCTTGGACCATGCGTGGACGACGAATGCATATTCCTTCCTCCATATGGTACGGTACCATGTGTGTGGATGTACCCTGATTACCAACACACAATTTACACGCATAGTATATATTTTGAAATAAAAGTGCGACTGGAATATTCACGACCAGCACCCGGCGAAACAGCTCGATTTTTGAAAGAATATTGCACAAAACGGCCAAAATAATTTTGAAGTATGGTTGTGTGGACGTTTATATTCTACTTTAAAATACTCTTTCCGATTTCTATCATTTCGTCAGAAACGCGTTTTAAAGCCCAATTGGGCGCTTTCCAGGACGGAGTATCTCTTTAATAATAGACGTCTAGACGGACACGTGTAGTTCCCCCTTTCGGCTCACGGTCTGGTCACCAACAGACCACCCCCTACTCTCGGCGCACGCACGTCTACAACCACTGCAACCACACCCATTTTTTAAATTGAGGTAAGTCTCCCGCTCTCTCTGTTTCAATCAGTAATACACATGAGGATCGCCTCGAGTCATTTTTTGTTCATTTGAGAATTTGAAGTAGACTGTAGTAGCATTTGTGTGTGTAGCAGCGTTTGTGCGGGTTGCAGATTAACATGCACTTGTGCATAAATGGCGGATTTGACATGTTGGAACGCTTGATTCAGTTATTGCAGCTGCGGGCACGTCAGTGATTATTGACACTTCCCGTAGTGCGTGTGGCTATGGTGACCTTGATTTTTTGTGTGCTACCTCGACCAAAAACAGAAAGTCCCCCCTTCCAATACTTTTTGTCTAACTCAAAAACTACTGAGCACCTCTCGCTCAAATAACGACTAATCAGTACAGAAATTCCTTAGCAATCCAGCCATACTCTCTAGTTGGCCCAAAAACTGTGATAATCGTGTACCGATACGAATTTATGCAGTTGATGACAAATGATACCCAAAACAGTTGCACTTTTGTATACGTGCAAGTTGGACAACACATTTGCCAACAAACAATCCGTACGTACGTATCTGTACATGTTGGTGGTGTACGTGGGGTGGGTGGTGGGTGGGGGGGGGGGGGGGGGGGACGAGGGGGGGGAGGGGGGGGGGGGGGGGGGCTGTTCAAAGCAGAGGATCACTTGCACTATCGGACAACAGGTGGCGCTCTTCATCCCAGCATAAAATTATTTGCAGGAGGAAGATTTTGCCGACAAAAAGTATGATGTAGTATCCAGACTCTGTCACTGAGTTCTTTGGTTGCGTACAAAGTCTATGGAGAGTCGAGTGCATTTTCAACGTATTTTGTAACAAAATTAGGAATGTTTCTCAGTCCCAGATTCATGTCTTTTCCACATTTTTGCAATGACTGACCTTCATTGAGATGACATATGATGAACAAGTAGCGTCAAGATGCAACATCCAATCCTTTTCACAAGTATTAAGAAGCCCGGGGGGGGGTGGTTGTTATACACCCCCGCTTTAGTGATCCATGCGCTCCTAGGGACCCTTATTGTTCCCTTCTTTTGTTCCTAAGTTGTTTGGACTGTATATATTTTTTTACGTGTCCCATAAGGTTTGTACGTACAAAAACTTCCCGATGACTTGGCTCAGGTCCTCAGAGTTATTGTTATCACAGGAAACACATTGTCCCAAGTCCTCAGATGCAAAGTGATAACAAGGATCACGTAAATTCAGCACACCATACACACACACAAGACTGTTTAAACCCCCTCAATCGTGGACCCTATTGTCCCTTATCCTCATTCCTTTGTTTGTACTTTTTTTAATTTTTTTTTTATAGCAACAGCTCTCAATGGCTTGTACATGAATCTCAATCGTGGACCTTCGGTCAATCGTGGACCTTCGGTCAATCGTGGACCCTACTGTCCTCTATTGTTCAATGTCCACGATTTGAATGTCAGCGCACCAACCATACATTCCCACAACATAAGCCGATTACAACAAAGTATTGACCCATACATGGCCGCGTTACCCATTCATGACAACAAAATGAGAGAAAATATTTGTATTTAAACAAAAAAAAATAACTTTCGGCATGCTCTTTGAAATTCCATACACCTGTTAAGAATGTGGTTATGTTTCAGTAATTTTTGGCAATACTGAAACGTGCTAAAATCAGTTGAACAACATTTTTTTATTAATTTGATCACAAATTTTTAATTAATATTGGTGATTTTGTTTATGTCCAGACGAGACGTCTTGCTACCAGACCAAGATGGACAAGATCAACGACGCGCTGAAGGACATGGACGTCACAACCAAAATCCGAGTGTACAAGTAAGTTGAGGCAGATTGACCTATGACCTTATTTCGAATCTTCTGAAATCAAACAGAGCATTTTGAACACTGGGCCCCACAGAACATTACCACTTTCCATGGTAGTTGATGGTCCAATTTTTAAAATTAAAATTCAAAGACATTTACCACAAAAGCATAATGCCAAACTTTAAACATTTCTTGATTTTTCCCGGGACATTGATCAAGTCTCTCGGCATTCTTATAATCCAAACTCTGCCCCGTCCAGTTCTTTCAAAATCCACCAGGTTTTGGTTGGGTTCCGCAGGATCGAGGAAGGTAGCCCGTTCACTATTGCTTGACTTTGTCCTCAACGCCTGTCGAACGTTTAATTTCAAAGAATTTTGCGTTTGGTTCATGTACAGTGGTGGATTTTTGGGAGTGAGAAAACTTCGGTTTGGCCAAAAATGTCTAGAGTTAGGATTTTGTTTTAAGGATGTTTTTAAAAATGCTCATGAAATATGCATACTTTGGTCTAATTTTCTCAAGTTTAACTTGGTCTGTGGACTTCAAACGTGCTGTAGAATGTATTATCTAGCTCTTTATTCACGCAAAAATATTGGTAAATTTCTATTGTAAAAAAAATGCAGGAAATGCGAGACTTAGCAAGTCACTGTGATGGCTGACCAAGGCCAGTCCGACAGGCAGTCGAATGGAAACTGTGTACAGAAAAATAACGGTCAAACGCGGACGTGTATTATGTCTAATTTTATCAAGTTATGAATTACGATCCATTTCACCGTAGGAAGTTCAAGGCCTTGGACACGGACGCGAGCGGGAACTTGGATCTGGCGGAATTTACGAAGGGGTTCGAGAGCGTCGGGCTGTCGGATGCCGAGATGAAAGCCGCCTTCGACTCGCTAGACAAGGACAAGAACAGAACTCTCAAGAAGAGCGAATTCATGGACATCCTCCTGGTACGATGCACAACGCGTCTCCACACACACAAATGTAGCAGTCAAACAAATACAATTCTGAGGAAACTAAATCGTTTTTTTTTAAAAACATTTATCATGGAATGTGTTTCTTTACCCTTGTTCTGTGTAATTTGGACATTTTGTTGCGGTAAAGCTTGTAAAGACTGTCAAAATCTGTTTGGGCCATTTTTCAGATTATCTTTTTGTATCTAATACAAGGCATTCACACACCTTGGTATGTAAATACCTTTCATTACATACCAGAAAATCTCAAAAGTGGCCCAACTTGGAATTCAAGTCATTTCATTTAATTAGCTGTATCTCTGGACTGGGGTGTCCAAATGAGATGGGATAAAGACCATTGTGTAGAGTATTTACTACACCTTCAGATGCTATTAGTTTTGCAAAAAGAGAGTGCTATATAATGTTTTTAATATTTATGGATTGACTGCTCCATTTTTAAATTTTTTTTATTTCCGAGGATTATACCGTCAGGTCGTCCTTATTTTTACGATCTGTTGATTTATGTCTGTTTCTGTCGGCATTTTATTCCTTGTATAAGGTACATGTCGTTGATTCTTGCTATTTCTTTTTTAGCTTTTCAAATTATCTGCAAATTATACTCCGATGTTACCCAAACTAATAGTGTCAATGCGCACGGATTAAATCTTGTTTGTTAAGGTAAATTATTTTGTAGATCTAAAGACACTTTACATTCGGTTTGATTCATTTGCCGCTCATTGTTGTAAGCCCACTTCCCGGACACAACTCGTGTATGCGGCAAATTTTGGTGACAACTGTACGATCGAAACAATCTTGATATATTTAACTGGGCATTCCACCAACCATATTTTTGTCCAATCGCAGCCATCCATGTCTGACGCCCGCAAAGCAAAACTCAAGGAAGTCTTCCAGAGTGCAGACAAGACCGGGGATGGAGTGATCTCCACGGCCGACCTGTCTAAGGCCTTCGCCGCCAACGACCCGGGCGTCAAGGCCGGCTCCAAGACTTTGGAAGACGTGCAGAACGAGTTTCTTAACACTTTCGAGCCCGAAGGAGCAGGCAAAGACGGGAAGGTATTATCTCTGTTTATTTAAAACTTGGGGATAAGACGACTTAGGGTGCTTCAGCTAGTCAATTTTACTGGAGTGATTTTTAAAAGGGTGATTTTCAGTCCGAAATATAGGAGCGATTTCCACTCAAAATCTAGTACAAAGTTTCACTTGCTAAAAATAGAGATTTGAGTAAACATGTCCTCTGATATTTTGTCTGTAGAGTAGTGGTGCGCTCCATCAACTGAGTTGAGTACTTTATTGTGCCCTATTGATGAAATACTCGGGACGATCCCGATTAGGTCCTCCACGCAAAGTAATAGCATCGGAAGTCAAATAGTGGTGAACGGATATACATAATAATAGCGATCACACACTTAACGTTGTTTGTCATCATTTTTTTTTATTATCTTGTTTCACTGTTTATAGGTAACTTTTGAGGAGTTTGAGAAATACTATACCCCCGTCAGCCAGCGTTTTGCCAGCGATGACGAGTTCATCAACATGGTCAAGGCTTCCTGGGGATTGTAAGCGCACCGCGTGAACCAGAAACGACTATGGCTATATCGACCCAAGTCATCATCATTTGAAAATGAAAGAAGCGTTTCTGTCATTCCGGGGGTTGCCGTTTTAAGACTCTTAAATGTGTGTCTTTCTAGATTCCTCGTGGCCTTAGTATTGTTTAAAGATAACTTTTTATACTTTTTCTTAATTATTTGTGTTTTCCTAAGTTTGTGCAAGTCTGAAATAACACACTAACAGTTTAGAGTTTCAGAATTTACCCAACGTCAATTCAAATGCCGAGGTGTAAAGTGGGCCTTTAATAAAAAAGATTTAGTGAAAATTGGTCCAATATTCCCTTTACGTTAGGTTTGACTTGGCCTCGAAGATGTGCTAACCATTTATAAAAACCACACAGCTAGAGGCCTAAGCAGATTCGCGGACAATCCACTTGACAGACACAAAACAAACTCAAAATGCAGACACGGACAAACAGACTGAAAAAATGCAAGTTTAGCTACAATAATTCATCTCAACCTCCAATTTAAAACGGAGAAAGGTCTAAACAACTGAGTGAGTTCAGCGCTGTGAATGTTTCTCGCGAAAGGTTTCTGTTCAAAATTGATAACCATTTTTGCTTTCTTTAGAGATTATCTTTATGTTATTTTGAGAACAATTTTAAAATTGCGCATTTCATACTCGGGCACTGTCCGATGAAACTACGCCGTATTAAAGAGTTTAGTTTATTCAATAAATTGGTGGAGTCACCCTAAATACAACGCAAAAGAAAATGTTTGTATTGGCTGTCTTAAACCTGCAAACTGGTGTTTCACTTGAAAAAAAAAGAAAGAATTATTTGTGGGTGCAGGCCAGTAAATGGGTCCGAAATTGCCTACGCCGGCCAAATCACGATTTGCATGCCCTCACATTCTTCAGTATTGGGGCATTTTGAAGGCCGTGAACTTGATGATTTGCAAAAATGACGGTTGGAAGCAGTGCAGAGGACTGCGAGCTCGTACTGCTGTGAAATTTGGATGAAATTGGAGCCCTAAAATATCTCTATATTGCAATGGCGCGTAGGCGTCCATTTTCAAAATGGCGATGGCTTCAGGACTCCTTTAAGGGGTGATCATCTTTGGATGTAGTTTCCCCCCCCCCCCAAAAAAAATCAGTTAACCCCCAAAAATTTGACAGAAAATGAAAGATGATGAAATACGCTTTAATTTAATGCGTGTCTTGGACACCTTAGAGAGTTGTGAGTATTTTAAAATAATTTTGGGAAGTGCGCGAAAGCCTATGGCTGTCTGTTTACTGGTCTGGACCCTTGTATTCAAAAGGGCGGATCCAGTGGGTGCTATTGGGGCCATGCCCACCCCCCTCCCCAATGGAACCCATTTCTTTTTTAAAGTGACGTCACAATAAATGAAGGCACTGCGTACACCAATTTTCCTTTAAAAAATTGGTTACATTGGTCAAAAATTGCCTCATATCGCCTCATACGTTTGTAGCGTCCGTGCTGCTGAAAGATGAACAGGATATTTTTCATCGGCGTTCGTAAAATCGAAAAGGGGGAGGGGAGGGTTGATGGGGGGGGGGGGGGGACACGACTTTTTAGGGAACATCCCCCCCGGCTACCCCACTGCCGAAATTTCAGTGGCCCTTGCATATAGCATGCAGCGCACCCTGTTCCATAGGCCGACACGTTTCATGTCATGAATTATTGAAATACAAGCATCGATCCGTATTATTGTACTGCTGGCTTGTGTGGATAGTTCGCTTTTTTGCCCTTTAAGAAAAGCTTCTCAACACATGCAATGCTTAAGCTTCAATAGAAAGCCAGCAGAACTCGCATTGAGCTGGATTCCCATTGAGGTGAGTTGCAAATGGTCATAATTCATCTGAACTTACCGTGCTATAAATAATGTGAATAGTTTTGCAAATATCTAACTAGTAACGGCTTGTTATTATTAAACAAACAACCCCCAAGAATTTCATTGTCGATTCTTAGGCCTATACAAGAGATCGTATTTTTTCAACCTCCGTATAGCGGCTGTCAGTCTGTCTTAAATTTTGTTACCAATATAAATTGTACATGTAAATGGCTGATTTCTCGTGGTCATGTAAAAACCAAGAGTGCTTCTAGTAATGCCGAGGAAGAAGCCGCAAAACATGTAAAAGTGTAATATTTTATGCTGTTTATATAGATTTATTAAAAACAAATATTTTCATCCAAAGGTAACACTATAGATCCGGAGGACTATTCGAGATAATAAGATGGAGAAGCTGAGGCAGAAATTACTCGAAAACAACCTGAACGACTACATCAAAGTTTCAAGGTAATGACAGTTGTCCCACATGGACTCGGTAAAAGATAAAGCTTGGTGTTCCTTGCCTCCTTAAGCCCAATATTTCTGTAGCATCTGTGCTGAAGTGTGTGAAATATTTTTCGGACGAAATTGAATGTTACAGTTGGTGAATTTGAATGGAAAATGTTTTAAAATAGCCGGGAAAGCCTATATAAAAAGGGGGGGGGGGTGCGCCCCACGTTGCAGAGAGCTTATCTGCATTATGGTTCAACACTCTCACTTGGAATTGGGAAGTCCCTCCTTTTTTTAGTGTTATTGTTTTTGTTGCGAATTTCAAGTTTTGTTCAAAACGCACACTGATTGTATACTCCACTGCTTAAAACACAGAAAGTTTAAGGACATGGATGAGAACCGAAGCGGAATTCTGGATTTGGGTGAGCTGAAGAAAGGATTGCGCGCCCTCGGTCTGTCTGAAGACGCCATGTCGGATGAGGAACTCAAGGATGTCTTTAAGACACTGGACAAGGATGGGTCCGGAAATCTCAATCTTGTAGAATTCATGGATGCATTAACGGTAGGAGTTTGTTTGTTTGTTTGTTTGTTTTATTTCCATTCATACTTCAAACATACAATGAATAAAGATTAATGATCAAAACAAAGTGTATCAAAATAGAAAAAGCAGAACAATACAGCATGAATGGGGGTGGCATCCAGAGAAGGACTGGCCTTCTGTAGTGGAGCACCCGAGACTGCGGTCAAAGTAAACTACATGTATTTGGAATAATGCAAACAATGAGATCCCAGGTAGAGTTTATAAATGTAGTAAGTTCGAACATAAAGTGAGCACATAAAAAAACATAAAAGTCGTATACATAAAGGAGAAAAAAAATAGGGAAAAAAGGAATTAACGTCTTGCTGAATATGCATGTGCGTTGCCACAAATCAGTTAAGATTTCTCCGGCAAATCATTTGTCAGCTCACGTTCACCGCAGTCCGATTTTTGGACAGATACAGTCATTCTTTACACATTATTCCTAAATTCTTGTCAAAAATAATCACTAAACTGCCTATAAGTTGTTAGGGTTGGCGATTTTGTTTATGAGGAAAGTGTGGAATATAATACGGCCCGTTCAGAAGTATTTCAAGCAAAAAATAAAATAGCATAACTTTGCCGGCAATCCAACCGAACAGCCTTTGTGTTCGTTGAGATTATTTGTCCTTCTTTTTCCTTTTTCTTAAATGTGATTTGCTATGTTTATGCTCCATTTCAGCCTCCTTTGTCGCCGGAAAGAAAAGGAATACTGGTCCAAATCTTCTTTAAGGTGGAGAAGACCGGAGATGGAGCGATAAGTCCGGCCGATCTGACGCGGTTCTACATCGCCAAGTATCACCCCGCCGTCTTGGCCGGAGACAAGACCGAAGACGACATCAAGACGGAGTTCCTCAACAATTTCGAGATCGATAAAGATAACAGAGATGGGAAGGTAGGAGGAATCATTGACAATTTCCATTTAAATATATTTCCACTTTCAAATTGATCTTCTGAGCTACATGAGTGACGCGGATAAGGGTGGTGTGTTTTTATATAAATAAAATAACAACGATGGTTGTGCGCATGCGGACTAATAAAGTTTTGGCCGCCATTTTGTATTTTTACTACTTCACGCTTTGGCTTCGACTCAATGGGCAAAATGTAGTTTGACTGCAAAGCAACTACTAAACTAATTTTAAAACCAAAAATTAATGGAGCTTTTACCCTTCTTGTTCTACAGGTGACACTTGAGGAATTCGTGAAATACTACGCGGGAATCAGCCAGAAATGCGATTCGGATGAGGAGTTTGCAGAAATGGTCAAGAACACGTGGGACTTGTATTAAATTATGGCTAGAAGATTGTGGAGAAGAGGGACATTTTGCCCACCTTCCGGTCAAGTGAAAGTTAAGCATACATTTTCTGGTGACCGCGCGCGATTTTGTTCAGTTTTCGAATACTAAATTCAGAGTAATTTTTCTCTGCTGCAAGTTTCACTCTTTTGGAAATAAGAGAGTTTTTCCACGTAAATCACCCGGATTAAGATAGGCCTATTGTGAAGTTGATTCGGTCGGCCATTGTGTAAACGTCACGATAAAACTTCTCATACAAAATATTCACAGGGCCCACTCCACTGAATTCAATACACCAGTGTGTTTAATGGGTCAGGGTAGGCACGAAATAAAAAAGAGTCTTTTATTTGATGTCGTTGAAGCGTTTACTCGAAAATCCCACTGCCCTTGTTGTGTAGGCCTAAATGTACAGAATACAGCAGTGCGTTGTGGCTCTGTGTTAGAAGCTGGCATACTGCAGGACACACCTTTTTTAAACCAGCAGATATCCTACAAGTTGGCTTCGTTTCATGTGAGTACATGTATAGCATTAAGTGACACCAAATGCCAACTTTACAGGCCTACATGTCTGTATCAGTGGTGTTCATTTTTATTATCTGTCACTTATGCAATTTTACGAGCTGATAATATTGTTAGATGACTGGTTCCCCTAGGCAATAATCATAGTGTTGTATGTCGATAAATCATGATTGCCCATGTGTACGAGTTCAGAATGATGATGTGTAATTCCAAACATAGTCTCACAATTGTATTTTCCCCTGAAAATTATTTCTTGCAATTGTTGAAATTGTATGGCCCTCGGTTACCTTACCTTATGTGACATGATTCACACTATACATTGTAAAGATTTAAACTAACAGTAAACAAACTTGTTTTTAGTGACATTTTTCATGGGCCTATATTACATTTTTTTTTATAGCTATTAACTAATTGCATTTTCTATTAATCTGTTTCCCTGTACATGTACATGTTTTTCTTTGATGTCGCTCAGTAGACATGCTTTCATTTTGGGATGTGGTTGAATAGAAATAAATGTTGCATTGAAATAAAAAAAAAACACTCCCCGAATCTTCATATGTTTTATCGACAGAGCCAAAAACAACATTCTAACTCCAATCACCAAGTGTAGATTAGTGTTTTTGTAGGTTTGGCAAGTCTGTGACCTGTGACCTGTCATGATGAGCTTGAACTCGGACTTTTTAAGAAAAAGATATCTGCAGATTTGGCAGAAACAAGAACATTCCAATGGTACTGAGTTTCATTCACGGAAACGTTTAGCCCCATTAATGTGGCCTATTTACTGGACTGCCTCCGTAAACATAGGCCACACATCCACATGTACAAAAACGTGTCGCACTTTGCCAAATTTTGATTTTCACATTTAGGCTTAGTTTGTAGGATTTTTTTGCTTTAGAAGCATACTCACCCTCTTTATAGGCTAGTCAAAAAGTGCTGCCTTTTTCATATGTCTAATTTTTGTGAAATTTCATGTTGAAATTTTGATACGCAAACGTGTAAAAATGAATCTGGAAATTTCACGAAAAATATACATCTGAAAAAGGCAGCACTGTCTGATTAGCCTATAAAGAGGGTGAGTATGCTTCTAAAGCAAAAAAACCTACAAACTAAGCCTAAATACGAATATCAAAATTTGGCAAAGTGCGACGCGTTTTTGTACATGTGGATGTGTGGCCTATGTTTACGGAGGCAGTCCAGTAAATAGGTCACATTTATGGGGCTAGGAAACGTTCAGACCACCCGGCAACGTACTTGAAGTTATACAACTCATTCTTGAGAAAGTGGCATTTAAAAATCCTGCAGTTGTGCTACGGTGAATGAACAGTTAACTTATAGGCCTAATTGACGGGATGAAATAGTTTTAAAGATTTATGACAGAACGACAAAATGTAGAAAGGTAAAATAGGACTTACAGATAAATTCACATGGCCTTGGAAACAAATAAAATCAAACACCCTTTCAAATTTGGGCTTTTCCCCACTGTAATGCAATATGGCAATATCCAACTTTAAGCTTGTTTCGTGATGACAGGTCACATGCGCAAGGAATTAATTGGAAGACGCCAAATACTTCGAATTGTAGCGTGTTCGTTCAAAAGTAATTGTGCCCACTCATTGATATGTATTTATTCAATACTTGGTACAGGTGTAGGTGAATCTAGGACTCTATGAAATACGGACTCATTGGTAGTATTGCGCATGCCTAAGTATGCTAATTAGGAGAGTGATCGGTCACGTGAGAGGGTTTAACCAATAATAGGGTAAATGAGTCAGATTTTCATAGGAGTCCGATTTCCATATGACATCGGTATTCCTCATTTATAATGATTTATATTTTTATATGATTTTTAGATGAGTGAATAACTGAAAGAGGTTGATATTTTGTGTAAACACAAATGGGAAGGAAGCTGGATGATGATGCAATTCTCTTTGCTTTCCCAGTATTTGTTTGTCTAAAATAGACAACACAGCTGCAAATACCATCTCGTGCCAAAGTTCACTGAATTCAATCTAATTATATTTCGTCAAAATATATTTTATTGTAGAACTCTGGTAATTACTGGTAATAATTTCAAGGCGGGACCGGAACCGTGTCATGGAAAAGCTACGCTCCAAACTGCTGGAAAATGACGTGGATAACATCAAGAAATTGGGAGAGTAAGTGGAACGTTACAATGCAGAATCGGACAAAATTAAATAATCTAGAGCTGATCTGAAACAGAAAGATGGACCCTCCACTCATTGACGTACTTGAATTTGACAAAGACAGCTAGAAATGGCAATCCTGACGAGTCCGAAACGTGTACACATCACTGCCACAACATGTGGCAGGATACACTGTCAACTGAGTGTAGAACTTAATAGCTCGTCCAATAAAATTGGGTATGCATTCCTTCAATTTGCATGTATTTCAAAAGAGATGAAAAACCCAGAACCAAATCCATCACCAAACTGTAATAAAAAGTTTGTGGTTTATATTCATATTTTCTCAGACTAACATTATTTCACCCTTACATTAACAAGAATATGTCTTTACTCTTCAACAATATAGTGCCTTCAATGACAAAAACAAAAGTGAAAAGTATTTCCTAACACATCTCAATTCAATGGCATTTCATAATAAAAACAAGCTCACGACAAAGTGTACAATATTACTTTTTATTGGACTGGTAAATATGGGACACGTATACATCTGTTAATATTCCCTTATATTGGACTGGTAAATAAGGGACACTTGTACACCTCTTAATATTATATTGGACTAGTAAAAAGACACTTATACGCCTGTTAATATTCCCTTATATTGGACTGGTAAATAAGAGACACTTATACTCCTGTTAATATTCCCTTATATTTGACTGGTAAATAAGAGACATTCCCTTATATTTGACTGGTAAATAAGAGACACTTATACACCTGTTAATATGCATGCCTTTTATGGACTGGCAGATAACAGACACTTATACACCTATTCTCTTGCAGTGTCCTTCGTGACATGGACCGTAACAACGACAGTGTCTTGTCTCCCAGCGAGCTGGCAGATGGCATCAAGAATCTGGGACTTGAGATGACGGAGGAGGAGGTCATGGAGATCTTTACTGAGCTGGATAAGGACGAGTCCAAGACGTTGGACTTGCAGGAGTTCTTCGTGGCTGTCAGGGTGGGTTTCGGTACTTGGCGGAGGGGTGGGGTGGGATGGGGATGCGGGGTCGCAGCAGGGGGGGGGGGGGTTGTTCCTGAGGGTGGGGGGAAACAGAAGCCATGACCCCCATTTTCCCCCTCCCCTCCACTCCCCCCCCCCCCCCGGAAAAAGTGGTTCAGGATCCACCAGTGCTATTTGTATCCGTAGATGAAACTTTCACGTTTTCCCAAAGAGATAATACTTATCCACACAGGGCTGCTTGTCTGAGGCGAAACTAGATGTCTGCATGAAAGCATACAAGAAGCTGGACAAGGACGACAGCGGGGTGATCGACATCAACGACTTGAAAGACGGCTACGACTTCAAAGGGGCTGCGCGTAGCGTCATGACGCACGAGGAGGCTGCCCAGCGATTTCTGTTGATGTTCGACAGCAATAAAGATGGAAAGGTATAGCGTCACGCGGTAATGCACGGAGTATGGATCGGTCCATTAATTAAGCACCGCCTAATGGTCGGTTTGACCAATCACGGCTGTTACTAATTGTCCGACGTGCGCGTACGCCTGTGTTTGACCAATCATAGCTGTGACTCATTGTCCGACGTGCGTGTACGCGCGTATAACACGCACGACCTGAACGTGCAGTGGGCGGGGCTTAGTGAAATCGGAGAAGAAAAACGTTCATAAAACGCATCTTGTGAAATCCGTACTACTCCTGCCCAAAATGGTTAAATTTTTCCCATTTCTCCAGATTTGAATCTAATTGATTTTTCGGATTCTTGAAGAGTTTCTTTTTACATTAGAAGTTTTAAACCAATGTTAATAGGGAAGTATATTTCTTTTTCAATCGCTGATATTCCCTCTTCAAAATTCCTCTTTCAGGTCACGAAGGAGGAGTTTTTGAATTACTACGCGGGGAGGTCTCGCATGTCAGATGACAAGTTTGTCAAGTTCGTGTCAGCGACGTGGAAGCTGTAATGAAGACCATGTTTTTTTTTAATGGACGCACCAGACATGCCCTGTGCAAACTTTTTTATCGTAGTACGCCAAGACTTTAATGAATCTTATTGAATTAAATATTAAAACCCGTATATTTTTTTTATTGGGAAATTATGAAGTATTTCATTTGCATGTTTGTCAAGTACATAGGGTGTGATGGCGAGAATTTTATGGACGTATACTTGCCCCTCTTTTATCACTCTTGGTTTTTTTATCGTAGGACCCTATCCCTCATGAAATCTCATTCAATTAAATTTTAAGACCTATACTCGTTAATTGGAAATTAGAGGGATTTATTTTTAAAGCATAAACCTATGCAATTATACGCAAACCCAGCATTGTTCCACAGCATTTTGCACTGCATGGGAAATCGTCCTCATAAACGAGATGTACTTTGGGTGACCAATCAGCCAGAACGACGAATAGTATTATTGATCAGAAAAAAAGTTGCCGATGATGAAAGAAAGTTACCGATTGTGACGAAGGAAAATGGGAGCATTGTGTAGATTATACACAACGTTCGTTGCACCCAAACGTCCTTGAATGATTTATCGTGCATTATTGTACACAAATACGTTATATTTCTGTGTGTCAAATATGATCCTCGTCAACAAGGACAAAGATCACACAATGGTATCTGCACGTCTCACTTTGAAACAACGAAGATATTTTTCTTCTTGTGGAAATTACTTCATGTTTATCCTTCATTTTTATAACCTACTTATTGACGAATGAAATCACATATAGATTGTGTTCTGTTTCATAATTCCCTGGTATTTTAACTGTATTTATTGATTAAGTTACCCTTTTCGGTTTATTAAGCAGCATATTTATTTCAATAATTTAAACATTTTTAACATATCTACTTCTGGTTTGTTCATGTACTTCTTTTTGATACAAACGGGTGTTGGTGACATAAAATTTGACGGCACGTACGAATTCGAAATTTCCAACGGTTTTTTTTTTAAGTCCACTATTTTTGTACTAGAGGGATGCCGTGCTCTGCGCGGCACCCGCTCGCTGGTGGAGTCATTAATGTTTACTTTGACCTTAATTTGCATGTTGACCCCAAGTGGGCGTGGTAAAGCTCGGTGAAGCAATTTTGCCACATTTGTCATCATCAACGTTGTGTTTTGCGTAATAGCGATACGTTTGGAGTGTTTTTGTAATGTAGGCCTAATATGTAAATATTCAAAGTCTCAACAAAACACATTTGCCAAAGAGGCAAAATAAACAAAATACATCATGTTTGTTCACGTGCCAACCATGACGTCAGAGGACAGTGAGATCGAAGCTTAGGACCTGCATGTACCTTTCCATTAACCCTTGGATTTTCCGCACAGGCCTTGGGTTTTTGAAATTTTTTTTAAACGTTACACGCAGACATCAGAGTAAGATCTTTTAATAAAGTAGATATGTAAATAAATACCAGTAACTGTTGAATAAGATTTATTGACTGAAAGATAAACTATTGATGTATTGGGGATGGGATTATTGACATAAATAACGAGGTACATGTAAACCGGATGGAATTTTTCACATTGTCTACGACGACATTTATTAGTGCTCTTCTGACGAGAAAACTGCCAAAGTTATCTTTAAAAAAAACTTGCTTGTTGCCATTTCTATAGTTTAAGGATATCGATAATTTTGAATGCCCATCTTGTTGAAATGCTTGGTGTAATAGAGACTTTAGGTTGTTGTTTTTTTATCACAATCTGAAAATGGGGAGAAATGTAAATGAGGCCGGATAAAGAGAAGTATTTGAGGGTGCTGGAAAAGGGGAAAAGTGTACTTTAGGACCCTTCTCATGTAAGAAAACTAAATCCACTTCAAACATAATGTAGCGCGATATGACAGAGGGAACCCCTTTTGTGTTGGTCATTGTGTTACCAGAATCTCAGGAATTCTTTTGAGAATATCTAGGGTGATGTGTTGGGTAACAAATAGTCTAGAGTGTATAGGGTATAGGGAGATTGGAGGGGGGGGGTACCCCTGTCACATATCGTGCTTGCTATTCACTTTGTTATTGGAAACGCCAAAATAACTGGCAATGTTGAAAAGCAACAAGAATGTCATGAAAGAGAGCAGTGTTATGGATTTCGAGGGAAATTATGAGGTAAAAACGATGAGAATGACGACAAAACACAACACGAAATTGAAGATGAAGAATGTGCCATTTCATGTGTGATGCTAAGTGAATGCAAAAAACTGTGTTGATTCCAATGGCATCAACTTGAAAAACGGATAATGAAGTCATGTTTTTTTTGACAACTAGGGGACAGGGAGATCACTGGAGTTTGTTGACATCATTTTGGAGCGCTAAGAAGATTTAGAACTAAAGAAATAGAGGGGTCGTAGAGTACACGTTTTATCACAGATAGATCTAGAGAGATAAGAGCTCACTTGGACTAACTCTTCCTTGCCTGATTATGGATTATGGCCTGATTATGGAGCTGTGAATTTAACCAACCAAAATATCGGATTAAGTAAATGTCTTTGGGTGAATGTTTGCTCGAGTCGTACACAAATTGCATGTTATTCAAATTATTTAAAGGGAAAATACAACATTTGCAAACATCAAAAAATAAAACTACCAAATCATTTTGAAATACCTTGCTGGACTGTTAGTGAATGACAGTGTAAAGCATCCTGTAAAATCATGGCACCTGGTATACTGTCATTTTCAAGAAAAGTGGTATTTTTGTATCAATTTCCAACGCTGATCGGCCGATCAGCGTTGGAAACAACTGGCTTTTTTTCAAATACTGGCCCCAATTGACCATCGCACTTGTTTGCAATCGATTACAAACCTATGAACGGGTACGAGCCAGCTAGACTGTTCCCTGACGTTACAATTCCCCAATGTATGTAAACTGCTCTGTTTCTTCTTATATGGAGTCAGGGAACCAGACTACAGGAAAATGATCGTTTTTCTTGGTTTTTATAGCATTTTCGAACCCAAAACCTCAAAAAACTCAGTGTAACTATATTTGCTATATATTTTTAACCCCCCAATTCCATCCATTTCTGAAAATTACAGCAAAAGCAAATGATGTATATTCCCTTTAAACAAAATAACTGAATGCCCGTTCTTTTTCTAAAACTTGATACATTTATCGTGACAAAACAACTCGGTTTCGATTTGAGTTCTTTTTAAATCGTTCTGAATGCTTGAATGATGTAACAGTTAAACTCAAATTTTAAGAGTTTATCAGATTGCCTATATTACGGGAACAATAAGTTACTGCAACATATTTATAAACCATTTTTTCTTGGAATTTTGTTTCTGAACATTAAAATACATTAAACTACATCCCCTCTTAACAAATAAAAAAAAGTGTAAAATGGGTTCAAAACGTTAATTTTGGTACTTCAGTTTCCAGAAAGGTTTTAAAAATGTATATTTGCGTTGGGATATAGGTGAGGTATTAGATTGTACTCTCAGCTCATGAATATTCAACAATACATATTCATGAGGTAGCAATGAGTTCCCATTGGTTAAACATGGTATGGTTTTGCAGGCTGGGGTGCAAGTGAGATTAGAATCAGTTGGCACTTCAGCTCATACATATTCATGATCATGCATATTCATGGCACAGAAGTGCACTCCCATTGGTCATACATAGTATGGTTCTATCTCAAGCCTTTTAATCAAGACATATAATCTCTCGTAGGGCTGTCCATTTCCAAAGATTTAGTCGAAACTGTGTTTTTTACAGAATATTCGAAACTGCCAGCTGAAACTGATGCTGCGCGCTGGTCAAAAGTTGCACGCAGAGCGCGCCAATTAAAATCTGTGAGAGTTTCATTAGAGTGGTTTGCAGTAAGTACATGCACCATTTGAATCTGTGCAGAGTGAAGAACTCAAAGTAGCATTTTGTCCAGAAACAAAATTACTAACTTCTAAGAGCGGACACAAAAATTCTTCTACATATTTGTAACTTAAGGCCAAAAGTAATACCTTTTACATGCCAGGCTGAATTCTGATTGGACAATTATGCATGTCTGGTACCCTGCCTCTCCTGGGTGGATAAACCAACAGTATGGACTTAGACAGGTTCCTACTTAGTTTTTATGGGCGGGCGTTGATTGGTTGAGGTAATTTAGGGTAGCTTGTTTCAGGGCGAGCACATGCGATGGGTGCAGATGGCATTTGCTGCTAGCGTTCCTCTATAAACAGAGTTTGTTGCGGACAGAGACCAAGTTGCTTGAAGGATTGCGAAGGGTCTAGAGATGTCAACTGTGAAAAAAAAGAAGAAAACTTGGTGTAAAATTTTAATCAATGTAATTGAGTGAATCACATGTCAATCATTAGCATCTGTCAAGGCAATCATGAATTTGGAATTCAAAACTGAGTGGCAAAGCCAAGATGTGATTTCAGCTGACCCGCGAATACACAGTGCAGGCTAAGTGACTTGTCACCACGGCCTTTCGCAATTGGTCTACTGAAGACTGCACTGTTGAATTATTCATAAATTGCCACGACAGCTGTGCTTCAGAACCGGGTACCCGAGTACCCGACCACTGATGTCAGGAACCGGTTCCAAATTATGGAATCAAGTACCTGTAACCAACTTTACATCTTACTTAGTAACTTCTCAGACAACGAAAAAGAAAGGTTTTGAATGTCATTTGCGGAGAATTTTGTAAATGTAAACAAGGCTAAACGGAGAACAAAACAGATTCACGTTTATGTCGCGATTGCAAAAATGCAATTTACATCTTAAAGCTACATGTTTTGAGCTCACTAATCACACTTGTATCTTGCTGTCTTTTAAGTGCCGATGTGGTAGTATTATCGTCTGATGTGATAGTATTATTGTGTTATTTCTTTAACGGGTATTTTTTTTTTTTTAATCGGGCACCAGATTCCTGTACCCAAATGTGATGAATAATTAACTTATTGTTCAAATGAGAAGCCAGCTTGCATGCTGAAACTGACATTTGTTGCATTAATTGTTACTGATTTAAATAACAAAAAAACCTTCAAAGATGGCCACTTAACGGGAAAGGTCAATAGGGAGCGTGTACCAGCTAAACCGGTCTACTCACGTCTTTCTTTGGGAAGGTGGTCAGCACTTTGAAGTCTTCGGCGTGGTAGCCCTTGGTACCCAAGTAAACCATGACCATCCTGATCGGCTGCTCGGCCAGGAATCGTCTCGTCAGCACGTCCCCGCCAGGGACGCGCATTCTTAGCGTCGTGGTGGGCTCGAGGCAACTCTCGCTGGGCTCGTCCGGGAGTTGTTGCTCCAGAGATTGTAGCAATGCCTGAAAAAAGCAGAAGAAAATATAGACTGGATATGTAGCCTCACGCTTATGTACGTGTGAGGACAGAGAATGCCATCAGTTTCCAAGATTTTAGTTGTTCAACAGATGACTAACAGTTTCTTTGAATTTTTAATAATGTTTGCATTTCAGTAGAGTCAATAACCATCTCTGCCATCACGGGTACCCATGTAATCCTGGGTGGGGACAAGCAATGATTGACAAAGTGACTTGCCCAAGGGCACACACACCATAACCTCAGGCTGGACTCGAACCAACAACCTGCAGAATTACCCGCAGACCCTGATTTCAATGCTCCAGACCCTGAGGCCATGACACCTTCACAATTATGTGGCCAGCACTCGCCAAAACACATCTTCAAGGTGTAAGCGTTTAACTTTAGCAAAAGCGAATAATCCGTACAACTTGAAGACAACAATGTCTTTTCCAGCGCAGTGAATCGCTAAGATCCGATGATCGCTCACCTTTTGTTCGGCTTCTCTTTCTCTGATTTCTAGCTCTTCTTGTTCCCGTTGTCTCTGTTCCTCTCGTTCCTGTTTTAGCCTCTCTTGTTCCTGTTGTAAATAAATAATTAAGTAATTAAGTACATAAACATATTAAAAACAGAAAAATACAAGTGTAGTAGAACAGTATTACGCCCTTTAACAAGCATAGAATGAAATTTGCATTAGGGAGTTGTACATTTTTATCTGAACCAGCCAGCCGACCCCGACAAGCTCGATAGTCAAGTGGTAAGACGTCTGCACTAGTAAACAGGAGGTCATGGGTTCGAGTCTCACCCGAGTCAGCTTGTAAATATTTTTCTTGCAAGCCCTCGGCCAATACTGAGTAAACAGTGCTTATAATATTGATGAAAGGTAAAAGCCCATAAATAACAAAAACCATGCAGCTAAGCCAAACTGTCAGCCGTGTAAACGCAGGGGGAGGGGCACCAGTGGACCAACCTTTGCTCTATCAGCCATCAGCGATGCCTGGTACGCTGCATCCTGCTCTTGCTTCAGCTGCTCAGCCTCCCTCCGGTCATTCTGAAACAAAAAACAAAAACGTCAAATAATTTCATCTTCAAAAAAGACAATCAACAAGTGGCCATTATCTTGGTTGGTTCATCTCCTAAATACTCCACGTGGGAGTTTATACAGGAGGCCAGAAACACCGGGGCAAACCCCTTCTCTTAGCGATAAGTGTCACTGGGTTCTTTCACATGCAGTGCATAACACAACACACGGGACCTACGGCTTTATACGTCCCATCCGAAGGATGAAGCAATAATGGTTAAGTGCCTTGCTCAAGGGCACAAGTGTCCACCCGGGCTCGAACCCACGCCACTGTTGCCTCTGAAACACCAGAGTCCGGTGCTCTTAACCGCTAGGCCATGACACTCCCATTATATTTGCCAGTATAAAAGTGTCAATTATGGCCAGCTTGTATATTTGAAAAGTAGACGGGAATGTTGAAAACATTTCAATTAAGTAAATTGTGCAATATATAACTTAATTTTATTTCATTAAAGACAATTAATTGTCTAATCGAAGAGTTCAACTGGGATGACTGCTACTGACCTCTTGTTCAATCTCGGATTTCTGTTGCTCTGTGAACATGTCAACAGCGTGGATCAAACTCGTCATCATCTCATCCAAACTTGTATTGCCTTTAAGATGACAACAAAAGATCAAAACAGAAATGTAAACGTTTTAATGTACATGTAGATGTTTTTGTATCAAATACTTATGTGCTGCTCTCAAATTAGCAAAAACAACGAAGTGTTGCGAAATAATTCTGTGACAGGCACTGGCTGGGGTAACGGAACATCTAAATGCGCGCATGTTGCTCCAACTGTCTTCGAAATACGGTGCGGCACAACGGAAGCGGGTCACAAAAATGCCAAGTTATTTGGACGCGGTCTACGGCTCACCTTGTAGTATGGAGAAGACCTCAGTGTTTGACCGTATTCTCATGACTATCAACAGCAAGGGGAATTTATCTTGATTTACGTTGCGGACCGTCGCCGTGGTGACGCTGCCAAACATCTTTGTACAAGTGCTTAGAAGTCTGCAAGAGAGACATGAAAATAAATACCAGAATTTTTGATAAATACGAGTGGTTCTTAAAGCGTTAGTCAATGTAGCCCGAAACCGTCCAAGCTCTCTATGGTTTTATTGATTTTTCAGTGAATAAATACAATGTAATACAATGTAATATAATGTAATACAATGTAATACAATGTAGTACAATGTAATACAATGTACATGTAGTACAGGTGCTAATGGGTTAAATAATAAAAAATGTCTGAAAAAAATATCCCAGTGCATCTCAGAGAGGCAAATACATTGGGACATGAGAACTTACCGATCATTTGTCCACGTTTGTCGGAACGAGTTGCATTCTTCGTGCATGTGATAGCACATTAATTGTTTGTTTGTCATTTTTTGCCGGAGAGGTTTATGTGTCTAATTCCACCCCAGGATTTTTGGATAATAACTCTGCTGTTGTCACCTGTCTTTGTTCCTGTCTACCTACCTTTCTTTGTTCTTGTCCGCTGTGACGTCCCACGCCCACATAACGAAGTTCTGCGTCAGGAAATTAACATCTGTCTTTGTTCCTGTCTACCTACCTTTCTTTGTTCTCGTCTGCTGTGACTTCCGCCGTGACGTCCCACGCCCACATAACAAAGTTCTGCGTAAGGAAATTAACATCCGCCTTTGTCCCTATCTACCTACCTTTCTTTGTTTTCTTCCGCCGTGACGTCCCACGCCCACGTGACAAAGTTCTGCGTCAGGAAATTGACGATGCTCTCCGAACACAGCAGCTGGCTGCAGAAGACGTTGCTTTGGACACTCTTGTCGCTGTGGATGTAGATCGCTAGTAGTTTCCTCTGTTGAAATAAGAGCGATGAATTGGTGATTACAAACTGATAGGAAGGGATCAGGGAGTCAGGTTGCCGCAGCGGTACTTTCCTCGCCTTCCACCTCTATGGCCCGGGTTCGATTCCTGCCCTGGCCACATGTGGATTGGGTTTTCAGTCCCTACCTGATTCCTTTGGTTTTCCCCAGAATATTCTTCTGGGGTTTTCCTTCCACCTCTAACACTGTAATTCCCTCTCATTGTCTTCTCTCTACAGGTTTCTTCAGGCTTGCAAGCTACAGTACCTAAGGTTCTTTTGAGGAATCCTTGGTTTCATGACCAGAAATAAAATAATAATCAAATCTAATTTACAAAATATAACGAACGAAAGAATATAGAAAAACTTAAATTCAATTATCGTAGCAAATCAAACATTCGTGCGAATTTATTTCTGAGCCAGGGGTGCTCACCTCAACTGCCAAGCCACCGAATGCTTCCTTCACAGCATCCTCTAAAGGACCCATGTAAAATTGAGGGTGGGTCTCCCCGTATCGGGAGCTGAACTCATGACAGAACTGAATGAGGCCGTCTGTTTCGTTTTCTATATCGGCTGGTACTGTAAACAATCAAAGATACATGTAAACAATCTTCGGGTAACTCTTTAAACTAAACAACAGAATTTCTAGGTGAGTTCCTATATTTTGTCAACAGTCAGAGCTGTTATCAAGTTACCATAAGTCAATCACACGTCCATCACAAGACCATCACAAGTCAATCACAAGTCAGTCACAAGTCCATCACAAGTCATCACAAGTCATCAAAAGTCAATCACAAGTCATCATAAGTCAATCACAAGTCAATCACAAGTCCATCACAAGTCATAACAAGTCAATCACAAGTCATCAGGGATCACAAGTCAATCAAAAGTCATCATAAGTCAATCACAAGTCATCATTAGTCATCACAAGTCATCACAAGTCCACCACAAGTCCATCACAAGTCCATCACAAGTCATCAAACGTCAATCACAAGTAAATCAAAATGCAAGCAGAAGTCATCACAAGTCAATCACAAGTGATCACAAGTGATTTTTTTTTCAATCTCAGTCTACGGCAGGCATGACCAATAGGTACATTGTCACGAACAACATTGTGACACACCTGAATGGCAGATACTCACATAACGGTTCAAACTTTCTCGTCTGGCTCTCGTTACTGAAGATCGTGCAATCGTCAATGTCCATGTCCGCCACCTCATCCTCGCTGTCGCTGATGTTGATGGGGTCGCGCGACGCAGAGGGCTGACGTAAAAAAACAAACATAAGTTCAACAAAATAATTTCACACTGTTGTATTTTGTTGTGTAGAGCAGGGTTTATAGCAGAAATACTGTAGGGATTTAGTCAAGTAGTCATTTTTTATTGAATGCAGGGCCCCAATGGAAACCAGTTTTGAACTGTTTGGGCATACCCTGGGTAAAGAAATGTAATAAATAAATAAATAAATATCTTTAGCTAATTCTTTCGAAATGTACTAAGCCTGAAAAAAAAAACAATAAAGGAATAAATGTGTGCTTTGGAGGTTTCAAACACTCTGTTTAAGACCAGTTGGAGGCTGGATGCTGATAATTACCTGAGCCGAAGGTCCAAAAATATAAACTTTTCGGTCCAAAAGGCAAAACAAGTCCAAAATTGTATATTTTTAACCATTTCGGTAAACAAAATACCCCTCTAGCTGTACATGGTAAGGCCCTCTCGTAAGCAACTCCTTATATGGAGATTGACGCGTGCGTTGCGCGTACTGCGTGATGTGGTGCGCAACGCAGATGTACCGGTGTAGTGTTAATTTAGGACTATGAAATACTGACCCACTTGTAGTATTGCACATGCCTACGTGAGGATTGTGAATGTTCAACCAATAAAACGGTGCTGGCACTGGATTTTACAGGAGTCCAAATTTTATGTGACACTGGAAAAGTGTTTAAGACCAGCCAGCCATGCCATGTCAGCCTCACATTGAGTACCTAATTGTTGGTAGATATGTGTGATATATAAAACTCCGGTATTATTATTATTATTCATCAACTGTTTAAAACTGGCCACATGACAGGCTCTCATCCAATAGGAATGGGTAAACTGTCTTAGGTATTTATGAATAAACAATAATACCTTACAGTGGACAATATTAACTAACTTTTAGCAACATAACAAGTGGTCAAGCAAGAATTGTTTAAAGACAATCGTATAAAATCAAAGAAGTAAACTTAGCTAAACGCAATAAATAAAACGATAACGGTTGTACATGCTCACCTGGTCTGTTTTGTTGTGGTTCGGTACCCTAGAAAAAGTGAACTTGTGACTGGGAAAGTCTATTCCTGAGGCTGCTAATGTTAGCTGCAGAGTTGATACCGAACGGAATAAGGAAAAAAAAAACGGACATTAAATTTGACGTTATGCAGAGGCAGTTGTAAAGTCAAACAAGGTCTTTGAAATATGTTTTTTTGGCAACACCATGGGTAGTCTGCGTATCGGATATTCACATGGGAAGAGCCAAGGTGCGAACGTCTAATAAATTTTATGCGATCCTGCGTACCAGCCAATTGGAGTCGACTTTAGAATCAGAAATGTGGACTAAGCTGTTGATTGGTCAATTTGGATGCCATTTTTTTGGTAATACAACGGGTTGCACAAGACCCGATAGAAGGCCCGCTGAATGGTCAGAATCTCGAGGTCAAGACGCAGTCTTGTTTTGCATAATTAATCACTAAATCTGCTTGCATATATGGCTGTTGATTTTCAAGGCCTTACCGAATCATCGCTCTCGTCGGGCCACCCTATCCATCGTTGGTGTCGGACCTCGACGTTGGTTAGCGCGTTCATACCCTGCTTGACGCTAAGGATGGTCTTACAACCCTCGTAGCGTAGTCTGTACTCCTGGTTCATGTCGGTGTCGTTGATAATGAGCTCGAAAGACCGCGTCAACTTGTCTGTGTAACTCGTCCTGCGACAGATGAAAGAATATTAAAAGAAAGATAAAGTACTTTAACTTGAAACTTGATTTTTCTCAGTATTTAATTTTTTTTTTACATGTTGATCAATGCGAACCTTTAACTTGTCAATGGAATGTCTGATTGAAGTGCAAAAAACATAATAGTGAGGAGAATTTTATTCTCTTTCCTAATACCTGCAAACCCTCATTTCAACTTCTGCCCACTTCTGTCTCGTTTTGCCAGAAAACATGTGAGGCACATGTTTTCTTTGTGTATTCTAACCAGTGGCCTAAAGGGGATGGGGCAATGGATGGGGGTTATTGGGGGGGGGGGGGGGGGGGGGGGTTAATGGGTGGGGGGAGGGGGCAATGGGTGGGGGAAGGTATGTTGACCTCTCCCCACTCAGAATTTCATTGCAAATTTGAAGTAAAACGTCCATACTATACATGTAATAAACTTAAGTAAACAGCTCAAGCACAACTGCTAGCAGGGAATTTCTTTTGAGCTAAGTTGCTTAGCTGGTAAACAAAACTTTAAGAAAGGACTAACTCTTCTCCATTGGGCTGCTCGGCACTGGTCGTGGGTAAGCCGGGCGTGAGAACGTACAGTCTGTTCTTGAGAGGTAAATGTAGCGTCGACAACACATCCTGCAAACGTGGTTAAAAAAAAAAATGATCTCACAGTTGTAAAATAAAATTCAAGATGTCCAGCATGATTCAAGATGTCCAACTGCATCATTGTTCATACACCCTTGTCAATCTTGGACACTTTACAGTCTTTGGTAGCAAACTGGATATCAAAATGTAGCTAACAAAATTCCCCAAAGGTCTATATAAATGACGTCATCATAAGACGATCAGATTCAAAATAATGACCCCTCCAATGAGTGTGGACTTTCTTTGTTTGCGTGGTTTTCATAGCTTTGTCTGTGAGAGTAGAGCTTGTATTGGAATGATCACAAACCACTTACAATTAATTCATAGCCTGAAGAACATAAACAATAATTGTAAAGCGCTTTGAGGAAGTTGTATAAAGCACTTCAAAACCGCCACACTATTTTATTAAAAAATTGACATGGATTTTTTTGTACCGAGTCATCGGGTGCTGGTCTGGCATGCGCCCATCCTCCTACAAGCAACTTCTCTGGTGGGACATTGAGCTGAGCTGACAACAGCTCCTTGACCGTACCTGGAAAAAAACAGGGGAAAAAGTAAAGTTTATAGATTTTACCACTTAGGGGTACAGGGAGTAATAGGCAGGACAGTTTGGGGCAGTACAGGGAGTAACAGGCAGGGTGGTTTGGGGTGGTACAGGGAGTAACTGGCAGGGTGGTTTGGGGCGGTACAGGGAGTAACAGGCAGGGTGGTTTGGGGCAGTACAGGGAGTAACAGGCAGGACAGTTTGGGGCAGTACAGGGAGTAACAGGCAGGGTGGTTTGGGGTGGTACAGGGAGTAACTGGCAGGGTGGTTTGGGGCAGTACAGGGAGTAACAGGCAGGACAGTTTGGGGCAGTACAGGGAGTAACAGGTAGGACAGTTTGGGGCAGTACCAAGAGTAACAGGCAGGATGGTTTGGGGCAGTACAGGGAGTAACAGGCAGGGTGGTTTGGGGCAGTACAGGGAGTAACAGGCAGGGCAGTTTGGGGCAGTACAGGGAGTAACAGGCAGGGCAGTTTGGGGCAGTACAGGGAGTAACAGGCAGGGCAGTTTGGGGCAGTACAGGGAGTAACAGGCAGGGCAGTTTGGGGTGGTACAGGGAGTAACTGGCAGGGTGGTTTGGGGCAGTACATGGAAGTTAAAGGCAGGGCAGTTTGGGGCAGTACAGGGAGTAACAGGCAGGGCAGTTTGGGGCAGTACAGGGAGTAACAGGCAGGGCAGTTTGGGGCAGTACAGGGAGTAACAGGCAGGGCAGTTTGGGGTGGTACAGGGAGTAACTGGCAGGGTGGTTTGGGGCAGTACATGGAAGTTAAAGGCAGGGCAGTTTGGGGCAGTACAGGGAGTAACAGGCAGAGCTGTTTAGGGCAGTACAGGGAGTAACAGGCAGAGCTGTTTGGGGCAGTACAGGGAGTAACAGGCGGGGTGGTTTGGGGCAGTACAGGGAGTAACAGGCAGGGTGGTTTGGGGCAGTACAGGGAGTAACAGGCACGGCAGTTTAGGGCAGTACAGGGAGTAACAGGCAGGGTGGTTTTGGGCAGTACAGGGAGTAACAGGCAGGGTGGTTTGGGGCTGTACAGGAAGTAACAGGGTGGTTTGGGGCAGTACAAGGAGTAACAGGCAGGGCAGTTTGAGGCAGTACAGGGATTACTTTTTTTCAAGCATATTTATTGGTTACGTACGAACTGTTCTGCTGTCTTCCACGACCAGCTCTGTGTTTGTGTCGTTGTAGGATATATCAAACTCCAGCATGCGGACTCTGTTTGGCGGAGGACTGTGGGATCGGTGAGACTCAAACGCTCTGGGGACGGACGCACACGGTGCGGATCCACTGAACTGTACAACTCCCGGCCTACATTTCAAAACAGAATCGGATAAGTTTGATTGATACTGGGTTTTTTTCTTCAATAAATGTAGGACCAAGGCAAACATTCTCTCTAAGACATCCTACTTACAAGGTGGGTGGTAGGGGTGCCTCCTCAGGGGCCGAGTCAGGGACCGTTACACCCTCCTGTGCCCCCATGACGGACACCACCGCTCGCTGTAAATCCCATTCATTCTGCTCCAAATGGGCCAAAGACTCCTCAAAATTCTCAATTCCAGTACAGGCCTGGAAAACAAATTGAGACGAAACAATGTCACTTCGATCTTTTAATTTTAGCATGCACCACTCTAAATTGTGGTTTATTTGTAGCAAAGACATACATTTAAACAGGTTGAACACTAAATGAGCATAATGAGGTGGATGCAAGGAGATACACCAATGATTCAAATTTCCAAACAAGCTAAGGCCCCCCAAAAAAGTCTCCGGTTTCTGGTATGGAGCTTGCCTCTAAAAGTGGCGCGGCGACGCGGCTTTTTTTTTTTTTTACCTGATTTTTTTGCTTCAAATGTCGGCTGATGACTGCAAATGGTGCCTGACTAAACTTAGTGCAAATATATGGGAGTCCAGAGAGGTCACATAAAGCTTATTCTCGACCATAACCCAATCTAAAAACACGTTAAAATTGTGCAGCAGCAGGATTCCAGTCAAACCAGTGAGTTTGGCGGTTTTGAGACATCATCTTTCATTGAAAAAACAACCTTTTTCATTTTGCCGACGCGCATGGCTACGGCGACGCGCGCGCATACCAGAAACCGGAGACTTTTTTTTTTGGCCTAATGGATAACTTGTGAAGGCCAATTCCAGCATTTTTGTAAAGTTCATCCGTGACAGAGCGAGCTAAGTGAATAAATTTGAAAAATATTTTTTATATACATGTATTTTCAATGTATCATATACATCTAGCCACCATCTAGTAATGGTCAAGGAGATTACAGACTAGGAGTTTTGGATCATTTCTCTGCGTTATTAATTATATATCATGATTATCTGGCTCCGTCAGGGACAATAAGTCCTTTCATAACGTTGGAATGGCCCTCAATAGAAATGAGAGGCCATTTGCAATTTTGCATTGGCAGACATAGTCTAGTGAATTAAAGGGGCAGCACAGCCTAAAAAATTCATGTTTGGATTGTTTACTTGTTCTCTTTCAAAGGTCTGGTTGAAAGGAAACTAACCCAATGTCTTACCGACGTTACTGTTCCCGAGAAAATATGGAGAAAAAAAACCTGTTTACATCGGACCCGGCGGACATTTTGTGGCGTATGCATACGTATTTCACGCCATCTCTATAAATATACATGTACCGTACACATTGTGTGTGGTCACATAATGCATGGTTCTCGCAAACAATAACACAAAAACGCCCAGTTTTTAAAGGACAGTTGTGTGGACGTTTATATCTTACTTTTAAATGCTGTTTCCAATGAATATAATTTTGTTTAAAATGTGTTTTGTAGCCCAATTGGGTGCCTTCCAGGCTGTATTGCCCCTTTAATCCATTAATACTTGTACATGTTCTATGTTGCATTACATTGCGTTTATTAACTAAAGAATCACAAAACTATAGGGGTTTTTAAAATTTTGGTGAGTAATAGATAATGACGGTTTCGGGTGCTGCAGTGACTAAAGGTTTAATTGCACAATCACACAGATTGCGGGATTTCCCTTAACAATGGCCATACTACTTCCACATCTATACATAAACAGGAAGTAGGGTCTACATAACAAAAGGCATGGTAAACAACAAGCATGCAGTAACCATGCGTGAACACTGCTGATACAATTATGTGCTACAAGTCTCGTGAAATCCATACAAATCTCACAAAGGAAGTTAGGTCTGTCGTTTACACGTACATACGCGCCTCAGTTCTCAAGAACAAGCCTTCTTTTGAGTTGACTCGACACCCATGGTAAGCGTCGTTTATTTTTAAAACTTGGTGTCAATCCAAAGTAACTTTTATGAACTTGCTTCTACCGATGTCAAACGGTCAGAAATATTCACCACTTTTTATTGATGTTACCAAATAAAAGATAAAGCCATGTAGACAGGGGGCAGGGTTTTTATTTTTTAAGGGAAATTTTGGGATGAAGACGACAAAAGGCAACACGAAAATAAAGATGGTGATTGCCGTGATGCTCAGTGAATCAATGTTCAGTGAACACGCAAAAGTTAAACGGCGTTGATTGGCAGGGCAACAACTGCAAAACATGTAAGAAAATCGCATTTTCTATCGCAAGAACATTATTTATAAGCTGCATAAGAAACTGTTCAAAATTACAAAAAAATGATGTCATTATTAAAAGAAATTAAAAACATGATGTAGGCTACGGGAAGTCTGCTTCAGGTTGAAAACAAGTCATTTTAAAATGATAAAAAACACACTTGACTCTAATTTGATCAAACCTAAAGAGGGATCCTTAACTACACAATCGCCTTTTTTTTGGGGGGGGGGGGGTAACGCCTCTGACTGACTGTACATTGTTATGTGATTGTGAATCATAGAATTGGAATCAGCTGTGTCATTGACAGTCCGATCGAAACTACATTTTATCTAGTAAGAAAGGGACCAGAAATCTTGATTTGGCCAGATCGGTGGAGGTTTGGACCCCGATGACCCAATTTACGTCATGATATCAAAATTCCCCCACAAACATTTCAGAAATCCGAGAGTTTCTCACCTGAAAATCTGCCAGTATTTCTTCTCTGTTGGCCGCCATTGTTGTGTTCTCTCGTCACTCACCGCACATGCGCAGACGTCGTGTTTACTTATTATTTACTCTCGGCTGGAGAGGGCGCTGTGTCGAGTAACAAAAGGGTGTGACATCACACATGTCTAGACGTGTTGCGCTGATGCGATGTTGTTGATCATTGGAACTTGGCTACTGGCATTATCTGACTTCCAAACAGATCAAAAATCCACCGTTACGAAGTAGAGGTCCAAGCAAGTATTTGTTTTTATTTTAAAAACCACAGATCCATGTGTGTGTCAACGTTCGAAAGTTTGTAAGAATGAACAATTAGGCCTACCTATGATGCAGGAACTTTTCCGCTCTACGAAAAAAAAAAAAATTTCCCACGTGACGTGGAGACAAAGACCTTTAATTTCTTTTCGCGGTCCAGAAATAACAACAGACCTTGTCATGTCCCAACTTGTCTATTGCCCAGGGGCTCCACTCCAAACAACGACTATAGAAAACAAACATTGCTGACATTTGTAATTTACAAATCACGGGAATGCCCCGGATTTTGTATTGTTGTTAGCAAATTTTGACACATCCTGTGACGTCGGTTGAAATCCACACCGAGAAAAAACTTAATCCCGCGCTCAAGCCTGGTTGGACGATCCGTGGACATTTAAATGTGGTAAGTGAACACATTTTTAACGTTTTCTGTGGAATACAGCTAAATTATTATAGACAAACGCAGCTTGGACGTGAAGTTTATCCGCGATATGTGTAATTTTTGTATAATCAGTTTAGGATATTATGTAGACTCGTCGTGCGTATAAACGAAGGCGCGGTATGTGCCATTCTGTACACGTTGGATGCTTATAGCGGATACTTAAAAGAAGACAATAAACCTCGCCGTGTTTAGGATGGCATCATGACTAGGCCAGGGCTGATTGATATACGGGTTGAAAATAAATTTAGGTAGAAGAGGCTTGTTGATCGTGGAAACGTTTCCAAAGACTCGTTTGATCTGCTAGGCCGGGCTTTGCCAGTTGTTTTGTCGATCGTCAGTTTTATTTTTTTTTCCTGACGACGGTCGAGCATCATCATGACTGAAATGTCGAGCTTTACATCTGGTTCTTTGGGCACCTACTAGCCTCTGTTTGTTTTTCCGTTTAATCCGAAATGACTTTTCCAAAAGCTCTTTATTTTCAACTTGGGCCTTAGTTTATTCTGGCATGTGCGGATGTGCTGTGCCGTGCTGGGTTTGGATTTATGATCTTATAACATACGTTAGACTGTAGTAGTGCTGTGCCCCCTCAGAATGTGCAGTTTCCATTAATACGTCGTTCCATGTGCTTCGACCCTCAATTTGACATAATGATGCTACCGTTCCACGTTCTCTGTTTTGATTGACATTTGCTTAGAAATGATTGAAATTTCTTAGTGAACCCTGTAGCAGCTACTTATCATGGACTGAATGCATCTGATACACGCGATTTCTAATAGTTTCCTCCATCATGAATAGAGCCAGTAATTTTGGACTGATTTTCTAGCAACGTCCATGTTGACCCCAATATTTGCCAGAAAGTCCGGTTGGCTGCCTTCTTGTCTGTTGTGGATGGGTGGCCGTGGGACGGTACGTACCGTTGCTCACCCCCCCCCCGTTCCCCTGCCCCAGCCCTATATGATTAAAACTTATTCCCAATCATCAAAGCTGCATATGAACTTATCACTCAAGACATAATTGTTCTGCGGTCTTTTGACGCCACGATTTCTCACATCATCAGTCGCATGATCAGAGGACGGTCACCACTGAGGCCGAAGCATTGTAATGGGCGCTGTATACAGCATTCAGGTCGACATTTCTCTTTCATATTTCTCTTGACTAAACGAATCGTTGCCAGTGTACGGGAAACTAGTTATTTGTGAATGTGCCATGGTACATAATTGTTAGTGGTCAGAAATTGCCTCAGATCGCACCACAGAAATTGCTTTTCTATAACTGCATGTCTTCTCAACTAAATCCCCCAGTTACATTCATCTTCCCACATTTTCATCCCCAACTCTACGCCCTACCCGATCTATGATCGGGTAAATCAACGAGGGATCGATGCATTGCTTCAAATATTGTGATCTTTGAACTATGTTGGGTTGGAATAACGAAGAGTGCATAAATAATAATATAGGCGGTTGTTGGCTGTTTGGCCTTGCTTATATTATGGTTGAACCATGCCAACTTGAATAAAATAATTAAATCGACTTTTTCCTCGTAGGTCTCGCAAATTGTAAGAAGTTCAAGTTTACGTTTGTTGAAGAGTCCAATACTGTACCTTCATAATGACCTTCCTCCATGATTCAGACTATTTAATTTTATGGTAACACACTCAACATTTTTATTGCAAATGCCACCTTCACGTTTTATTCCATTATGATTTATTGTCAAAGCAGTACAATCAGCCTTCGCCTGTGTACTATACGGTAAGTCTTTCAACTCAGTTTTCCCACATTAACAAACGCGACTGCCTCACAAAATGCAATTTAACAGACCAACGGGAAAATTTACAGACAGTTATACATGCCATGGTACATAATTATCATGGGCGCGGCGTCAATCGGTGGGGGACGGGGGACCCCCACCCCAACATTTTAAAGCGGGCAATATCGTTTGGTTCCCTACCCCCACTTTTTCTTCCCCGAATAAAAATTGTAGCCTACTATAATATTCTTTTGCTCAGAACAGCTGATTCAATGACTCCAAACTCGAAAATGATGTTTAAAAGATGATCTTTTGTTTTACTATCGTACGTGGTCAGAAATTGCCTCAGATCGCGTCACCGTAAATTGCTTTTCTATAGCTACATGTCTTCTCAACTAAATCCCCCATTTACATTTAACTCCCCACACTTTCAACCCCAACACAAATACGCCCTACCCGATCTATGATCGGGTAAATCAGCTTGTTTGTGAATAAGACTTGTTCAAGCGTTAAAACCACTGAGCCGTTCAACGTCAGTGTAGGAATGTGCATGGCCATTGTGTTGTTTACCAGGATTGCAGCATACACAATAATATTATGGAGACTTAAACTGCTCGTCCAGCGTCAACGAGAATGCGAAGGCCATTTTATTAATGCGTTGACGATGTGTACAAAGGCCTCTTCACGTTCATGGTTTTTTTCTTGTTCCTAAATAACCGTGTTGCTTTACAAATGGAATCAAAACATTTTCAGATCATAAGGCATGACAAATGGAGCGAGTTCCATCACTTTTGACTTGGCGTCCTGCAATATCGATACAGCGTTGGAGACGGTGGCGGAAGGCGCGTGCTGCGGCCGAAAGCTTCTGAAAGAATGCAGGATCACCCCTGATGTCATTGCACACCTTCTTGATCGTGTGTTGCGCCAAACGATCGAGGAGGCGTGCAATGATATCAGGGGTGATCCTGCATTCCTTCAGAAGCTTTTGACCACAGCACGCGCCTTCTTCCACCGTCTTCAGCGCTGTATCGACAACTTTTTTTTCGTACGTGACATTAAAATCTTGCCATCTTGCACAAAGCCGATGAAACTTGCTCCATAAAATTTGTCATATCTTTTCACATTATCTGAAATTTTGGCTTAATTCTATTGGTAAACAATATAGTTATTTAGGATCAGAAGTAGGACATTTTTGACACGTCTTGCGTACAATTATTGCGTGGCGGCATTCCTTTAAAGAATTTCTTTAAAATTCCTTTGAACCCCAACAAATCACCCCCCCCCCACAATGTACACAAAACCTTTGGAAAAAGTTACATCGTAGGCCTTTACGAGCCTACCGTGAACAACGTATTTAGGCCTCAGGGCATATCCGAGTTCAGCTAGCAAATTGTGCTGTAATAGCGCGAACAATGTGTACGCGCCAATGATCCAAACAGACCGTGACGCGTCGGTATCCTCCCGCACGCAAGTTTTGCCAGTGAAGATCCTCAAACGGCCCAGTTTCATAGAGCTGCTTAAGCAGAAAATTTGCTTAAGCACGAAAAAACATTGCTTAGTAAAATTAGGTTACCGGCCAAAACTCCATGTGATGTACATTGCTTGTGACTGGTATTTAGCTGTTGTTTACTTAGCATAACAATCGCATGGAGTTTTGGCCGGTAACCTGATTTTATTAAGCAAGACGTTTTTGTGCTTAAGCAAATTTTGTGCTTAAGCAGCTCTATGAAATTGGCCCAGTCGTTGTGCAAAGCATAGAACAATGCACAGATAAGCATTACAAAGCATGTGGTTTGTGTAGGCCCTATTTTCAACAAGTTGGGACGGGAAAAAGCGATGGATCTCGGGAATAAACACTTGTTATTTTGCTATTCTAAGGAATTGCAATGGACGGACATATACCAGTACGGCAGATGGGATTGTGCCTTTGACAATGCAAGCATGACATTGGCATACAGTCACTATATAAGGTATGTCATGAGAAAGATATTTGGGTATGGGGCCATCCGGCGCAGATTTGTCCTTTGAAAAATATAGAATAACAAGCAATGGCAGCCATGTGAAAAGATTTGTTTTTCCTTTAAATGTCGGCTGATGAATGCATATAGGCCTGTGGTGCCCGACTAAATTTAGTGCAACATATATGGGAGCCAAGAGAGGCCACATAAAGCCGTATACTTGATTGTAACCCCCTCTAAAAACACGTTCAAATTGTGCAGCAGCAGGATTCCAGTCTAACCAGTGAGTTTGGCGGTTTTGAGGCATAATCTTAGGCCTACATTGAAAAAAAAATTCAATTTTGCCGACGCGCATGGCTACCACCAATTTTTTTTCATAGCTAGACAAGTCTGCGATGGCTTTTAGAACCAAATATCTTTCTGACTTTGTGCCAAATGCCATGCTTATTAAATCGTCAAAGGCACAATTTTCTCCACTAATATCTCTCCTATCTGGCCCACCATACCACCCTCCTACAACGGAACTGACGCAACAATTTCCATACACAAAAGCGGCGGAATGCACTCCGTTCATGAGTTGTACAATTCTGACTGGACGAAATCTCTGATAAAGTATCCATTTTGACTGTTGACCCAAATATTTGCCACAAAGTCAAGGTTGATTGTCGACGGAGGCCTATAGTTGTTTGAAGAATGTTCCGGTTGAGCAGTGGCGCACCAAGGATTAGGGGGGGGGGGGTGACACACTGTTTCCCCCCATTTTTTTTAGAAGTAAAATTGTGGTGGGAATAGCTGAGTATAATGTGTTTATACTCTTCACGCCATTTTAATTATTGCCTAGATATCCTGTCACAAAGGCTGGTGATTTCACATTATGTCAGTTAACAGTGCTTTGGCGCATGGGCTGGCCTTGTCATTGTTAACGCAGTTTACAGGTTGACAATTGTATTGGATAAGTTTACACGCATTACAAGGGAAATTGGTTCTTGTGGGTTTCGACGGTTGCCAGGGACACAATGGAAAGTTGGCAGTAATACTCCCACCCAAATATATTTACGCGGCAGCATGTGCCTGGTTGGTGGACAGCAAGCACATAAGTTCAAGAAGAGGCCAAATTGGTGCAGTTTATGCTTTAGATTTGTATATTTCAGTCACTAGTAAGCAGTTTGCAGCAGTCTTTAAAGTTCATGTGTCTACTTCCCTGTTGCAGTATCCATTCGTTATGATCTTCCTTCCTAATTGTAAGTATTATTTTGTCTATGTCATGGCCAAGCGTACGTATTAAGCGCATCGACTCAAGCTCTGGTGTTTCTGATCAGCAGAGTGTGGGTTCAAGTCCCGGTCTTGACACTTGTGTCCTTAAGCAAGACACTTAATCATTATTGCTTCGTCCTTCGGATGGGACGTAAAGCAGTGCGTTGTGCATGTTAAAGAACCCAGTAACACTTCTCCCTAAGAAAAGGGGTGTGCCGCGGTGTCAGTTTTGTCAGTGGCTGCTTATAATGCGCCGCAGCACCGTTGTAAGGTGCTACATAAAATGGGTCCCATATTTCAGATAATAAGTTCATATCAAGTAGCGCCTTGAGTACCTACTTGTTGGTGGATACGTGCGCTATAAAAGACTCTAGTATTGGGCGTGCGGTATATATATTATTATTAGTATTTTTCGTTTTTAGTGTTGTATAATACCCTCCCAGTCCGTGCAGTCCCTACATGTTTGTTTCTTTTGCTGCCGTCATTTTGCCTCTGAAGAAGAACTTGCCAGTTCACAAAGTCAGGCCACATTTATTTCTGAGATCTTGAAATTGTTCACTTTTGAATGAAACGTCAACGTCCTCCTTTTCAGAGGGTTGCCGAAAACGCCCAAGATCGGGAGTAGTTTTTTGTGTGTGGTTTAAACAAAACAAAGGAATTAAAATTTGTTTGAACATTTTTTTTGGGAGACAGCATGGGGTACGAATAGAAAAATGTACATGTATTTGATTGTTGAAAGTTGAAGATTAAACAAAATCTACAAGTCACGTTTTGCAACATTGTATATTCATTCGTTGGTTTTCTGTTCACGGGCAATTTCAAAGTCAACCGGAATGGGGTCGTGATGGCTACATACTTTGAACAAAAAAGTCACCAAAAGCACAATAAAGCCTACCGTGGGAAAAATACTTACATGTACATAGTCGGCCGATCCGAGTTCAACCTGTATAGCGGCTTTCTGCTATAGCCTAACTGATGCGGTATAGACGGCTTGGCGCGAACAGTGATAATGCGCCAACGAATGAAAACCACAGACTATACGATAAAATGGAATATGAATTTCTCCCGCAATGTTTGCTGAAAGTGAGTGGCTGTATCCAATAGCATTCGTAGAACAGGAAAACAGATAAGGAACACTCTCTTGAATCTTCAAATACAGGGCGAGCAAAAAAAAAGAACACCCCGAAAGGCCAAAACCAAATTGGCAGGACCAATTTTAGAGTGAAGTTTTGCCTGTAGCACTTTTTAAAATCTAGGATATGATCCCCGTCATTAAAGCGTTCTTTTGGTGCAAAATCATTCAAATAACCACTCGAGTATTTGTCAAGTTACGGAATTGTGAACACAAACACCGTTTTAAACTTCTGTCCGCGGATCACAAAAAAAGCAACTGTACTTTCCGCAAAACGAAATGAATTCACATGCATCCCTATGTCCATTTTTTTTTTACTCAGCCTGTACTGAGGATGTGCTTGGTTTCAACTTGATTATTCTTGATTCGAAAGAAGACAAATTGGGGCAGGGAAATATTGGCCTAGAACCGTGAAGAAGCAATTTTATTTTGCTCACTCAGGATCTGTGATGGACCCATCCCATACCCTGCCTGTGGCTTCCATACAGCCTTCATCAATAGTGCCTGTGAACTTTACCCTCAAAATATTATTGTCCTATATACAGTCATGACACAGACCCAATTCTCATGACAGTCGCTTGTGTTTGTTTTGATTAGAGAATGTTCACAGGACGAGGCGTGGGTGTTGACGAGGAGTTAAGTTGTAGAATAATAATTGTACAACTCTTTATTGACTCGATACGAAAATGGGGTAAACAGGAAACTATATGTTCCCGTTGGTTTTAGTTTCGACTTCATGGTGTATTGTTAAAAGCGGAAGCAACAAATTACAAAAGTAGCACATCAACATCCTTTTAAATATTTTGTGTGCACATTGGCGGTGGAGTGTCGATCGATCATCAAGTGACATAGGGGCGTAGCAAGGTCATTTTTTTTTTGGGGGGGGGGTTGTTAAACAGTTTGTGAAAAAAGGGCACTCTCTAAAAAATTTGGAAGCAGACGCTGGTGAAAAAAGGAACTTGAATAGAAAAGGCAAGTCTTTAATACAATATATTGGGCCGGTGGGGGGGGGGGGGGGGGGGGGTACACACCTTACCCCCCCCCCGATGGCCACGTCACTGTTGTGATAGGTATCACGCGTACGACTGTTTAGAGTATCACGTCCAATGACATTATTATTGTGTGGCATTTCTGAAAGTTGGGCTTTTAGTTCGGCTATATCTTCTCTGGTCCTGAATGATTGATGGGACTTTATTCTTTTTAAGTTTTAGACCAAAGTGGAAACTCGGACCGCCTTGTACCATAAAAATCGATCGGGGTAAAAACATGGGAGTCGCGGGGGGGGGGGGGGGCCAAGGGGGGCACGTGCCCTGCCCTTGAAAAAGGGGGGGGGGGGAAGGGGGAAAAAGGAAAAAGAGGTGCGAAGCCATATTGCTGTGAATTTGATGGGGGGGGGGTAGGACAAATGTTTCCCTGCCCACGCTCAGAAAATGATGAATTGAGAATATGTTGAAAAAGTTAAGAAATTTTTGGGAAAAATGTGCTTCCCCCCCCTCCCGGAAAAATGCTGGCGACTCCCATTGTGTACAAATGAAGTCGAAATCTCCAAAGTTGGGGCCCCAAACCGCGACAAAACGCCGGAAGCGAAATCGAGGTTTGACTCATGGCCCTCAGTGACAACTTGCAACTGCATTCCAAACCAAGACATTGCACTTCAACGCCTGAAAACGGTAGTCTTATTTCTTGTCTGAAAAACTGAGCATTTTATGCGTCTAGCCGACATGTCAATGACCATCAGACCATGCACACTCGTGGCATATCAAAATGTGTACTTTTCCTGTCCAATATCACACCACCTGGTATTCGGTCATGCTGAACCTATTTGTTCAATGAAATAGCACGCACGCTACGCTGTAAAAAATAGAATGACATTGAATGACGTTATAAAGGGTGGTGCAAAAAGAAGGAAACCCAATTTTGACATGAATTTTAACCTACTTACTTAACTTTTTGAACTAATTTTTTTTATAATGTAGTGAAGTGTAGTTCTTCGACCATGCGTGGTTAAAAAAAAATCTTTACAAAACCACAAACATAGTGTGTTATGCTAATTTGAATACGAAAGTCACCAAAATCACTGTTGTTCACGTGTAGTGTTTTGTCTTCAAATCAAGCTCCGGAGCTCAGTCAATGAATAAAGCCGTCTGTGGACAAACAGGTCGGCCACATGAACTATTTAAACTACCTTATCTCAGAGACAAAATATGCATTCGCAATCTTTTTTTTTCGTCACTTAAGTTTAAAGATCAATACTTTAATATCATTAAATTGAATATGCAAAATAAAATTACATTTACAGAGGCTTTCGGATGCCCAAGATTGGAATGAAGTATTGTTTTTTTCGTTAAAACAACTGAACATACAAATTAAAATTTGTTAGAAATTTTTGTTGGAAAGCACCTTTATGCCAAACCAGACAAAAAGTCCTGTATTTTCTAAATACAAATGTAATATGAAGAGTAAGCCAGCATCAACACACGTTTTGCGCCGTTGTTTATTAATTCTTTGGTTTTCTGTTCAAGCGCAATTTCAGAGTCAACCTGTCGCCAACGAAAAGAAAAACCTAGTGGGCGCGAGTGGCACATTAAAAAGTTACAAGCTCTGGGCACGGATACTGAGTAGACAACGAGGCTGCATAACTTGAAAAAAAATCACAAAAAGTGCAAGCCATAGAGCATGAAGAACAAGTAACGCACTTATTCACGCAAAATGGGACTTCAATCCGAGATCAGACTTCAGTGGCTTTGTGCTACAGCTGGGTGGTTCACAAAAACCCCGAACCTTTAAAGTCCTCTTTTTTGACAGCTTAAAAAACACATCGCAATAATGTCAATACGCATTGACACAGAGTATATTTCTTCAGCTTTTCAAAACCGAAACGATTTTTCCAGTCGGGTAAATATATATTGAGTTATGGCCAATTCAATTCAAGACGCAAAAGCGGTACTTGTATTCAATTGGCCATATCGCAATAAATATTAACCCGACTGGAAAGAATTTTTTTTGGTGTTAAAAAGGTGACCAAATATTGTACTCACTAAAATAATGTGTATCGATATTTGCGATGTTTTTTTGTAAAGCTGTGAAAAAGAGAGAGCTTTGATAGTTCGTTTTTGTGTGTGTGACACACCACGTATTTCAATGGATGACTGTGTTTTTGGCGGGTAAGCCACAGACGATATCCGATCAAAGGGAATGAATATTCATATCCTCCCACGCAAATTTGGGGATAGTGCAACGTCCTTGCGCGAAGCATGGAACAAGAAACAGAAAAGCAATGCAACATGTACTCACTTGAATCTTCATGATATTGGTTTCAACTTGCCTTTTCTTGATTCGAAAGAAGACAAGTTAGGGCAGGAAATATAGGCCTAGAACCAGGAAGAAATGATGTTTATTTCGCTCACTCAAAGCTAAAGATCGGTGGTGGACGGACCTACGGTCCCAGTAAAAACTTCATTTCTACTTTGATGAAAGTCCAATTAAATTTGGCTCAACTTCTTCTACGTCATCATGAATTATTCTGGTGCCTTTTCGGTTTTTGGATGTTTAAGGAATTTGGCGGTTAATGGGAACGGCGTGCGGAATAATCAAAAGTCAAGTTCAACCGAGTGGGAACGGGAATTAGGTAAGTTCTGATGAAGAGTTCAACACTTTGCGATTTACAAAGTATTTTGCAAGTTGGCGTATTACTAACATTGTAAGCTGTTTAAAAGCACTGATGCTTGCTGGAGTATATATCTCGCAAACTTTAATTCAAGCGATACACCGTTTTGTTATTGTTCGTTTTGAGAACTGGAGACAATGAGATAATATTTAAAGGGCAACCACAGCTTCGATCAATGCACTCATGTCCCAGTGAGCTAAATTTAACACATGACGTCACTTTGCTCGTCAGCTATTGGGTCACGTTGAAGTTCTAATCATCCCAGTGACTGGCTGTGATATGTTTGTTTGCTTTCTTTATTTGTCCAAGATTATCTGGGATGTCTGTACGTGCTGTTTATGGGTCCTAGGAAAAACCCTTCGTAAATCACACATTGTTATAGGTTCTTCATTTTTGGGCCGTCCCTGGTAACAGTAGGTTGTATTTATAAGCACATTACGTCAATAGCCTCGCGTGCTATTGGATCGGGGATCCTCCAATCGTAGGCCTTGTTTGATCTGTTTCTAGTCTGGTGCGTTTTATTTCGCCGGCACGGTCCCCAATAAAAAGTTAACTGGCACTGTTATGTTATGTAGTACAAGAAAAAGAAACTATGACAACATTCTTTGTTTAGATCATGACATCACTTACCTGTCGTCCCATTGGATAATTCCGCAAGGCCCACAATCTGTAAGAACCGACCGCAGAACCGCGGTTTTTGCCTTTACACCGTTTTGTTATGGGAAACTAACCATGCGTTTTGTCAACAAAACTATGCATTGTATAATACATACACAATATTCCAAATGCCCAGGTCTCTGGCATAATGTCATTCCCGAAATTAGAAAATTACAAAGTCGGAAAACAAATGGAGTGGGCGATTTTGATGGGTACAATCCCGCATGGCTATAACCCCAGCTATGAAAAGTTCCCTTTAAAAGTCCGTGCTGCATGCTTCTCCCGCGTAAATTTTGTCGGCGGCGGACGCACGGAGGTTGGCGGACGTGCTTGATTCTGTTGTCAGCTTTTTGGCGGTCTTTTACCCCTCTAAGGACCAGCTCACCGAGTCCTATAGGAATGATTTCCACTGAATCCAGACGCCTTGAGCTTCCAAGTGTTTTCGAGAGCTATTTCATAGGTAGGGTGATACGATAATAAGTGTAATATTATAAGTATAAGTCTCAGAGTGCAAGTGACTGTTGTGGAGATGATGCATTTTCATTGTAATGACGTTTCTGTCCGCTCGAGCCATAAGTGTTTTTTTCTTCTCGATTTCACTCACTTAGGAGATAATAACTGAAACAATTTAGGCGACTTATAAGCGAGTTCGGTATCCAACTGCGCATGTCCACATCAAGATTTGCCGATTTTTCTTTCGGGATAGACATTTCATCGTATGCGTGCAAAAGCATAGCGGGTACCAGCAAAACTGAAGAGACCATCCTGTTCTGAAGTATAACAGCGGGCCCCGAACCCCACGCCGTAATTTTTTTGACCCACTTTTTTGGGGGACCAAATTTTTTTGGGCCCCCCCAAAAAAAATTGTGTTCTGGATCCGCCCTTGACTCACATACGAAATGAATGATATATTATCGAATTATTACATGACTTTTTGCAACGAACAGATTTCCCGCCATCTGGTTCATGATATCACTTTTTGAGATTAATATTTTCAAGTCGAGGGCAACATGTTATTCCGGACATTGACCTCAGAAAGACAGTTAAAAATTGCTCCCATTAGCCTTCTTTTCCAAACGAATCTTAAGCTATACTTATTCAAATTTGGACGTTTTCAGCCCTTTGAAAATGGGTGTATTATTGAGTGTGCTTTTGCATGCCCGTATCATTACTGGAAAGTAAACACTTTTTCGAAATTCTGATTTTGTTTTGTTCCACGGTAGACTTTATTTGACAATATAAGGCCTATGCACTTTTAACTCTTTTGAATCTTATAGCATGTTTTTCTTTGCTGAAATAATCGCAATGAAGAGGATACTTTCCGGGCTTGCAGCAGGGGCGGAGCTAGCCGTCAGGAAGGGGTGGGGGTGATTTTTGAATAAATTTGAATGAACATTTTGAAATTTACGATGCTCTCTCTGCATTCTCAGGCAATTCGAGAATGAACTGCGAGTCAAACTTTTCAAACCTATTGTTGTTGTTGGCCCCATTTTACTAGTATCATAACATTAGCGGCTGTAACGCCCCCGGGTCGTCCACTCTCTATAATTAGTTTAAAAAACAACCTTGAAATGGTGATTCAGAATGCTTTAATCTTCTCAGTCACTTCGCGGAGGCTATAATCGAAAGCTGAGTGTTTATAATCAACACCCACGCTTTCATACACGTGGAAAGTTGAGTGTTTGTAAATCAACACCCGCGCTTTCAAACACGTGGATGATACTGGCGTGGTATACATTATGAATCATAAAATTATACAGGCGAATACAGTCACTGTGAACGCGTTCAATGTCGTACCCATCGTCGGGCAGAAATTTTGACAGTGGGCCAGAAAATATCTTCCAATCTATTTTTTGGACTGGGGGTGGGCTACTGGATCATCCCCACACTTTTTTTCGCCAGGAGAAACCAAAAAAAATGCGGATATTGAGGTATTTTTTTCGAACTTTACAACAACCAAATGTATTTAACACCACTTAACACGAAGAAAAAATGTACAAAAGCTATATAAGTGTGCCGTTTTTGATGCATTAAGGAACATAAGCGCGCAAGTATGCGTAAGATGTACATCTGCATCACGCCATGAAGAACGTCCCCAATAGTGTAATGTGGTATTCCCCTCCTCCTCCCCCACTTTTCGGAATGCCACGGCCGGGCAATTTATTTTGGTCATCCACGATTCCCCTCCATCAGTGGCGTACGCAGGATTTTTTCAAGGGGGGTGTTTCAAAATTGGATGTCATCATTTATGACGCTAGAAATGAAGATGGTAAATTGTGTTGGCGCCAGAAATAAAAGATAGTATCAGTACAGTGGGCTAAACTTAACGCTAAAATAAAAGTCGGGAGTTTGTGTTGGCGCCAGAAATAAAAGAGGGTATATTTGGACGGGTTAAACTCGAAGGGCCGGGAACCCACGACCATCAGTTATCTTTTTGAGCTAAAGCATAGTAAATTGAAAAAAAACATGTTCTGTTTCTTCAGAGTATGTGATGAACATATGAGTAAAGGGGTCAATGTGGGCAGTCCCCTCCCCCAACAGCATTTAAACAAAAAAAAAGAAGAAATTCAAGAAAAAAAGTGTCACGGGCTGCGGAAGTGCTAGGATCTGTTCTTGTAATTGGCTAAAATTACTCAGCTTCGTCCCCTGAATCTCATGATTCTCAACTGTTGGGAATCTTTGTGTAAACTGCCCCCACCCCTAAGGCCAAACTCCAGATACAGGCTACATAATATGCGCTCTGGTCACAGGAGCGGATTAAGACTGCCATTTGCCGGGGGGCTAGAATTGTTATGAAAGGTCCAGGACCTGCGAGCGCGCAGCGCGAAGTCCTTACGGCGTGGGGTCCGGGGCCCGCTTATAGGGCCCCGGAAAAAAAATGGATTTTAGATGCTCTGTGGTGCAATCTGAGGCGATTCCTGGCCACTTCCACCGTTTAGAAAACGTTTTAAACATCGAAAATTCCATTTCAATTGTTATTTATTTTTGTTCTTTATAAAGTTTGAGTTATGTACTCAAAGTTGAGAACCATGTTCCATCTCCGTATTTTTTCACAATTTTCTATTTTGGAAAATTTTTGATCGTAGATGCTCTGTGGTGCAATCTGAGGCGTTTCCTGGCCACTTTTCCCTGATTTTTTTAGCAGAAGTTTTTAAAATTATGAGGGGATATTTTGTTTCATTTGTTTCAAATACATATAGGCCTATATACTCTTGCTCTTAAAAAGTGTCTTCTGTATTCAAAGCTTAAAGTTGAGAACATGCACATAATTTGTTATTGTTCCGCGCTCGGTCACATAACTCTCTTTTCCCTCCATATTTTTACATGGCAAAGGGGGTGTTTAACAGCCAAAACACCCCCCCCCCCCCCTGCGTACGCGCCTGCCCTCCATGATCCACTCGCCGGCACATTAATACATGTACATGTGTTTTTACGTCATTGGCCGTTACCGCTGGACCATGGCAATGACATTCTAAACATATATAGCTTCGGGTATTTTTTTCTCTTCCCCGAATCATGTGACTGGATTATTATACAAGCGCATGCACAAAAATAATCGTGTCCATTCAAGCGGCTGAAACTGCACACCGAAATACTTCCTTCTCAGGAAGATCATCTGGCGTCATTTACTAATGAAAGACGAAAACATACTTTCCTGAGATTATCTTAGTGTATTTCCTTGAAATAATCCAAGAGCAATTGTCTTGTACATCCCAGATGTGGCGATCATGGCTGCCAACGCCAACCACCAGCAGCCTGCAGCAGTTAACCCACAGGACGAGTTTACGCGGGCCGCAGCGAACGGGGACATGAATCGACTGCGAGAGTTGAGCGGGCAGGTCGGCGTGGACGTGGACGGGCGCAATAAGTACGGCCGCACCGCTATACAGGTGAGATTTTTGTTTTAAATTCAGGATGACACGAGAAATCCTGCCATCAAATCAAGCTTATTTCAATTAACAATGTTACATTATGTTGTTGTCCTTCCCATATTCGTGAAATTCGAAAGTCTTGTTGGGGCACATGCGAGAAAATTGCTACGCTAACCGCTTTCATTAACGACGGCTTTATTTCGTCTCCCTTCTTGCCCGATCTAAAATGAAATTTTCTTTGAAAAGAAAACAAGAATTCTTAAGCGCTGTTCCAGACTATTTTGAAGCCTCTTTCAAACTGACTTAATATGCTTTAAGGCCCTCTAGGAGAAGTCAGAGAGTACGATTTGGCTCGGCCCTGTCTCCCTTACTAACTCAAGCCAAATGCCCCTATAATCCATGAACGAATTCCGCTGGCCTATCAGCAAAATTTTGATGCGTCTACGATAAAGGGTACAAATTGTAAGCATGTGCCTTTATTCCCACCATGCCATTGTCTAACGCTGTCTTAATTATGTCTCTTTAACAAATAAAGGGACTCTGGTAACAAATGTTTCTGCCTTTCCTACGTAGGTCATGACGATGGCCACCCCCATGGTTGCCCAGTTCTTGCTGGAGAAAGGTGCCGATCCGAACGTGCCGGACCCCGACGTGGGGCGGACTCCCCTGCACGACGCCGCCGAGCACGGCCACGAGGACACGGTACGGTGGCTGCTGGCGCACGGTGCGGACCCCACAGCGAGGGAGTGGAGAAGGGGTAACACACCGGCACACCTGGCCGCGGAGGAGGGCCGTCCCGTTGGGGTAAGGGTGCTACCCTTTATTTTTGTTTCTCAATAATACAAAAACACTATTCAAGTGATTTATTTTGCATCGATTGAAGCCAGGAAATATACGATTTAGAGTAAAATTCAGTCAATCATTCAAATAGGTCATGTTTTTGAACTCGACCGGAGTTATTCATTTTCAAAATATTTCAGTGTTTATTTAAGAGTTTTTTGTTAATTATTAAATTATTTTTTATCGCTATTATACGTGTAGAGGTACCACTAAGGAGACACGTTATCGTAATTTCTTTGCACGATGGGAGACATGGGTCATTTTTAGGGAGACATTTTCATGTCTCCCTAATGTCACAGCCCCCCTTTAGAGGCAAAATTTTGGTGTCTCCCAAATTTCCAATCCAGGGTAATTATTATACTTATTATTATTATTATTATTTTTACTTTAAATCACCTGGTCCCTATTCTTTTGAAGTAAGATTGTTTTATTATTGTATAAAATACGTTTTTTGGGTGGTTAATCCCGGTGTTTTGTATTAGGGAAACCGAGAATGTTTCTTACAAAAATCGTGCTTTTTGTTGTCTTTTCCATGAAAGCAGAAAAGAGTTCAATAAGTCAACGAAAAGGCATTTTGTTTTGGTTAACCTTGAACTCAACAATATGTAAATTATTTTTACAAAGTCATGTGTCACGCCACTCACAGGTCTGGCCATACAAAAGAACCAAACCCATAAAGCCTTAAAGTTAAATTAAAAAAAAATGTTATTCAGACGAGGAAGTGCACATTTTTTTTTTGTGTTCTGGGTCAATGAGGCTAAAGTTGATGAATTTGTAATATGTAAATTTTTTCCTTTTTTTTTTTTACAAAGTCATGTGTCACGCCACTCACAGGTGGCCATACAAAAGAACTAAACCCATAAAGCCTGAAAGTTAAATTTAAAAAAAATATAATTCAGACGAGGTAGTGCCCTTTTTTTGTGTTCTGGGTCAATGAGGCTAAAGTTGATGCAGTAATACCTAGTATTTTATTTTGAAGCTGCTGCGTGAGTCGCTTGAGTAAGGTTGCGGTAAATTGTGCCTGTTATGCGGATTTCCCATACATTTTTATGTAACAAATTTGTAACTCAATTTTGTATCAAAAATTAGATTATATATTAATATATATATTAAATGACCCACACATCAATAACCGTCACAACTAAAAATAAATCATGTCAAAAAATTCAGTTTCTCTAAGAGATAAGTTTTGCACTTGTATTGTTTATTAAATGAACTGTAATTTTTTCACAGAAAATAGAAAAAACCTCAAGGGACATTTCATAATATTCATTTTTTTCCAGTGATTTATACACAATTGTAGTTTTCTCTTTTTTATTTTGTTTTGTGTGTAGGGCTAAAGCCGATACCATTCAGCAACTATCACGAGATGTAATTTTATATTCTTTAGCCCTTACTGTTTTGTTTTTGCCAAAAAGCATAAAGTGCTTTCATTGTTTTTGGAAATTTTTGTGCAGATTTTAAGTTTATTATCAAGAGGTTGTTCGTTCTGGGAGACGAATAACGCCGGACAAACTCCTTTGGACGGAGCAATTGCGAATAACAGGCAAGCGACAGTGCAGTGGATTACAGATTATCACAGTAAGTACTAAAAAAAAATTTAAAAAAATTGGGGTCCCAATTCATCTCACACTTTTGCCGTTTTCACGAACGTCAGTGACGCTGCATGATTATTGTCCAGTTGAAAGTTATATACACATCAACTTTTATATTAAAGTAGAATAAAGCAGTTCAGGGCCATTTTGCCGAAGAAACTTGTTGATTTGTTTTTCCCTATAAAATGCCGTTTCTAAGCACATAAAAACTATCCTTCTGCCGTGCAACTGTCATGTTTTCCAACTCTATCTATTAAAGTACACATCGTCAGAGCTTTTGTCGTGGATGTGGGCAAACTTACACTCCAGACAATATGCAGTTTAAAATAGTCTTGTTTCCGGGAAAAAGTGCCCCACCCGGTATAACTATCAACCGCAAGGTCAATGATTAAATGCACAGTATATATCATGGGGAATGCAGAAAAAAAATAAAGCTATACCTGACGAACTAGAATTGAGGCTACAAAACAAAAACAATTGAGAGTGTTTACTCAGTCTCTGACTCCGCACTTTAATATTTATTATTTTTTTTCTGATTTCTCCTTATAATTGATTGCATTATGTCGGATTTATTGTGTAACGATAAACAAAAACAATTTTATACTCTGCGCTCCCTTTTGTTCTTCCAAAAACAATTTCCATTTTTGCACGAGTCAGAAGCTTTATTATCTAACTCCAAATTTTTAATTTGTTTAACCAGGGATGAGAATGTGAATTAAAAAAAGTCTTCAAATTGATGAAATGTCTGAAAGATGCCTTTCTTTTTGTACTAAAAATTACTGTCAGGTTCAAAAAAATCTGGAAACTATCATGCCTGTTAATCGCCATACTCCGACTTTTTGGTTGCAAATTTACTCTCAAATTAAAACTTGTATAATTAACTTCAAATCGACTTCCATTATAAAACAGTTTTCTCTCATTGGAAAGTTCACAACTTAGTCCTACCGAATTATCGTTATGAAAATCATAATTGATATGAACGGGTAACACCAGAAATTCTCAGACGTCAAAAAGTGAAACACTATTTTGCCCATCAGGTAAACAAATTTCTTTTCAAAACCGAAACTAACTGCTCTTGCGATGGAATTTTTCACCGGTGTTTTTCAGGTTCAGGCGAGGGTAGGACGTTGAAGCATCTATGTCGTCTGACCATTCATCGGGCTCTGGGCACACAGCGCATGCGCCGAGTAGGTGAACTTACCAGTTTCCCTCTACCGGAGACACTAGTCGACTATTTAAAAATGACCAGGTGAAACTGAAATAACGTTTCTTGTATGTAAATTAGAAAAAAATAATGAAAGGCAGTGCTTTTTGGCATAATGTAAGCATGATTTTATCATGAATGAATGTACAGTTTAGAGGCTGAATTTTAATGTTAATAATGTTGAATTTGAGAATAAAATGACAGATGTTAGGTTTTAACAGATGTTAAAAGGACAAAATAGTCTGGTGCCTGTTACACACGTGGTAAGGCTGAAAGATTATTTGCCCTCAGATGCCTGCAGAAAGAGCCAGGTATTAAGACCAAGACACGCAAATTATTAAGATTGTAGTATTTTAAAAAAAAATGAACTCAGTTCTGGACAAGTAATAAATTCATTATGATATAAACTTTACTAAAATAGTTGTCGCGAAAAGCCATTAGATTGTATATTTGGAGATGGGATAGTCGGAGTGTTTAATCGTTACTGTGCAATGAAATAATTATATTATATACCTTTTTATTAAGAAGGTTTCATCTGTAAAAATATGCACGGATTATTTTGTTAATAAATGAGCAATATTTTACTAAGAACTTCAAGATTGACAAATATTTAATATCTTGAAAATATTATTTCTATTTTAATGGGACGCAATTTCATCATTAAAAATGGTGATGCTTTAGATACTGGTGTGTAATGGCTGAATGTAGTACTTGTTACTTTAAAAATTGTATTCAAATATATATCCCTAAACTAAACAAAACGACTGCAGAATGTGTTTTTATTATTCTATTTTTGCGTGTCATCAACAGTTCATTGATATATTAATTCATTTTTAAAAAAAGGGCTGGAAGCATTTCAATACATCATTTTTTCTCATTGTCTTTGGGAGCCGATTAAGTTGGGTGGCCTCCCTTCACATGTAAAGGGTTACGGAAACAGACTAAATTAAAAGTCGATAAACGAAATTCTCTGCATGCGTAAAACACATCTTTAATGCAAACTGTCATTAGCGTAAAGCAAGCTGCGTATACATATTCTGCGCCAGTGATTCTGTGTACAAAATGTATAAATCTTATCAAGCGAAAAGATGGTTTCATATTAGAAAACCTTTAATCATTAAGTATACCGCCGGGTTGCAACATTTACGATGAGTGTATAATTCTATTGTTTTAAAAGCATGAAATATCAGTCCTAGTGAAGAAAGTCTACACCTTATGACACTTAATTCAACTATTAAATCGTACCTTACAGCATTATCTACAAAATCATAGGAACCTAGATGTTTCACGATTTTAAAACAGACTCAACAACGAAATCATTGTAGTTTTAATTGACATAAACATTGCAGAATATACGCTGTACTAAAACATTGCCACTATTTTTCCTAAACCAGAAAAAGAGAGGCAATCTGTTCTTTTTTTAAAGTAAACTTAACAGTCTTTGTCTGCGTAAATACTGCGTTTACTTTTACACTAAGTCTTGATTACTTGTTCTTACATATAATCGAAATAATACAATGTGAATTAAATCAATAAATCGTGTTACTAAAAAGTTAATTGAATCTATGCCATAAAAACCCCAACTACATTTGTGTTTGCATACCAGAACCAACCTGTTCTGCTGTATAAAGTATAAAAGTTAATGGAGGGACTTGGAGCCAGTCTAAAAAATAACGGCAACAAATCAAGTGAGGGCGGTGTGTATGTTTGACAGTCCACCACAAGTGCACAATTTTACATGTACATGCAGTGTATGCGCGCTGGCAAGTAAAAGTACTAGTCAGGCCGACCTCGGTGCCTTGTTTCGTCAGTGATGTTTTTGAAAGGTATCGTGCCGGTATTAATCTCGCACACTTCTAAAGCAAGTTCTCATTAGATAGTTGCCACCTCGTACCTGGAAAGGAAATAAATCGGAGAGGGAACCTCGTAGCTCTGCCACTTCCGATCAGCTCAAGGAGGTTTTCGCTTTTAGTTTGTCACTTGATGAGAGTTTCAGTTTTCGAATGCCAGTGTACAGGCCCGCTTCTTCTACGAGCTCGGACCACACGCATTCTTGGAATGACTGTTTCAATCCAGATTCCAAGCCCGCATTAACATTCTAGAGACCGCCACGGAGCAATTAACAAGGTAAGTTATACTTTTCCAGGTGAACAAAAAATTGGACTAACCTTGCAATTTAAAGGGAATGCACAACATTTGCTTTTGCATTAATTTGCAAAAATAAATGGATTTGGAGGATTAGTATATTATATCGGGTATTGTTAATTGACTTGTTTTACGTTGTGGGCTAGAAGCTAGATACTGGAAAACCAAGAAAACCAATCATGTTCTTGTAGTCTGGTTCCCCGACCCCACTTAAGATGAAACGGATCAATTTATAGACTTTCAGGGGGAATTGTAAAGTCAGCAGTGGCGCACCCAGAATTTGTTTTTTTTTTTGGGGGGGGGCTAAAATTTGTTTTTATAGAAGTTAATTTGTTTTCCAAAAAATTTTGCCCAAAATTTTTGGCCGCCAAAAAAAATGGGGTGTTTTTTTGGCGGGGAAGGACTATTTTGACGTTGGTGGCGCCACTTACACCCCTATTATACTACTCGAAAATAGGACACACACGTATCACCAAGGTCAAATCATGGAACCCCCCCCCCAAAAAAAAATCCCCCCAAAATGACAACCTCCTTGGGGGGGGGGGGGGGGGGGGGGCTTGGTGCGCCACTGAAGGTTAGAGAATCAATAGCAGGCTTGTACCCCTTCACAAGTGTGTACTCAATTGCAAAGAAATTGCGGAATAACTAAATATGCAAATTGTGGAAAATTTTTGAAAACAAAGCCAATTTGCGTTGCAAAAATACAATTTTTCTTGAAAATGTCAGCACACCAGGAGCCACGATTTTACAGGATGCTTGAGACTGTCAGTGTCATTCTTTAACAATCAAGTAAGGTATTTCGTGATAGTTTGATCATTTCGTTTTTGGATGTTTGCAAATAGTGTATTTTCCCTTTAAAATATAAGCACTGGAGATCAGTGTTTTTAATACTACTCCATGTGTAGTAGGCGTACGTGGTTTAAGTTAAAATGACGAGACGGACACACGCACAGTACGCTCTTAGTCAATCAGCGTCGTTTACGTGTTCGCACAGCCAGGGGTTTGTGAAGGAACGCGCACGCAGCCCATGGAGTCGGGACGCGGTGAAACGTTCCCAAGTTCTGTGGAAAAATCTCAGTGCGCACGCTGTTGTATGCACGTTCCATGCATGCATGTGAAGAACATGTGCCTTACACGTGATCCACGCGTGCTTTCTGTGGCATGTCGCGCATGCATACGCGCGCGCGCAAACCACGTCGCAGTTTTCAGTAGCATGTATGCGCTGCAGACACAATCACATGAGCTTGTCTGAATGACTTGACTGCAAGCAATGGCGCCTTGACTGGGTACCATAGAAACATTTGTCATGTTACGAAGGATATACGGGATTATCTGGACACTGGAAATACTGTAAAATTCGGAGGAATACGGACCAAATGTCGGGCCCACTGGCGTGCGGAACAAACGTGAGTAGGCAATTGCAAATCTATTTTGCCACCATGTGTTTATAAGCAAGGTTTCCATTGCATTGTGACTGACATCCAGGGTATAAATTGTACCACCATAGCGAAAAAAAATACAACCCATTTTTTCCCATTTTTACCTGACGGAGGAAGCTGAAATTTCGCTTACATATTCCTTGTGTTTAGAATTGTGCATGCCCTTGGTTTTAAAAAGGCAAATATGTCCGCGGGCGGCGCGTTTACCGAAAATAAACCGCAAGTTGTACGCTTTCGTCGAAAACATTTTCAGTACGACTACGAACTCCCAGCGTGAAGACGTACACGCGCGTGCCGTTTGCAGCCGCTTGCTAGCTGCCGTGGCTGCAGCGTGCCTGTGTGCAATGCACGTAATCTTCACACGGGGAGTTCGTACTGAAAATGTTTTCAACGAAAGCGTGGGATTGCGGTTTATTTTCGGTAAACACGCCGCCCGCGGACATATTTGCCTTTTCTAAACCCAGCGCAGGCACACTTCTGGACACAAGGAATATGTAAACGAAATTTCAGCTTCCTCCGTCAGGTAAAAATATGCAAAAAAATGTGTTATAATTTTTTTCGCTATGGCAGGAGAGATTCATACCTTTGACTCCGTTGCTTTTACACAACGGAGTCCAACCTGGGCTAGCACGGTGCTATTGTTAGGCATGGTTTGAAATGATTTTATTCGGGGCCTAGGCATACTATGCCAAGTAAAACCTGTGCGGTAATTCTGAGTATTGTTGTCAAGTTTATCATTTGTCATGGCTTAAAATTTACAAGTATTGAAGGCCAGCTAACTATTTTTCCTACGCAAATATACCTATTATACAGGTACCCCCGACTCAACCTAGAAAATTATGCAGAACCAAAATTGAGTTCGGTTTGTAAAATTTCATTCGGTTTTGGAAAATGCATTCGGGTGGTAAAAATACAAGTTAAACGTTTTGAAATACATTCTGTTTTAAAATGCGTTAGATTGAAACACAAGTAGGCCTACGTTTGATTTTCAAAAATACATTCCACTGTTCAGCAAGATATGTTCCAATCTTTTTTACTCTAATTCAGCTTCATATTAATAAACAGCGCAGATGGAATGAATAGTTGATTCACATGTTAACTTTGAAGAATGCATGTCAAAACAACATGTAAAAAAATTTGAATGCACGCAAAAAAATTACAACAATTAGTCCACCACCACCCCACTCTATTTTATTTGGCTACGAAAAACGAGGCCCACCCCCCAAAAAATAAAAAGCAGAAAAAAAACCACACACACACACACACAAAATGATTCAACCCACCCATTTTTTTCAATGTATTACAAAGAAAACACATTTTTTCTTGTCCTTACCAGTAATTTAACTATGTAATAAACCAAATTGGGAGTAGGCCTGAAGTAGGGCTATTAAACTATGGAAGCAACATTAATTAAGTTCCTTACAAGTTACAGCTATCTTAATTCACAGCTTAGCGTTACTTGGCAGAAATTGGCAAATTAAGTTTTTTAGAATATCTTGATGAAGTGTATTACCACTGGGAGAATCTGTGTCTAGAGATTCTCGTAGACAGTGGACGAGTCCAAGTTGGCCTGGAACACATCGTAGCACGTCGCATAGTGGTCCTGTCAAATGGAGAATGCAAATCATGTGTCAATCGACCAGCTGTTACAATGTATCAGTTGAAGTGCTCGATCGATAATTAACGAAGTCAATCAAAATAATTTGTTTTGTGCATTAAGTGCGCCTAAAGTTTTGGCCGACTGAAACACGAACAATGAGGTGTGTTTCAATAGAGTTTGGAAAACCGGTCAGAGTATTAAATAGACACTTGCAGGTGGTATGAGCGAAGTAAAATAGTTTTGAAGAACCGGTGGAATGGCAACAATTGCAAAGCAATTGGTTAAATTTATTGAAAAGTGCACACACACATTTACACATTTAATATTTTTCATGTTTTTGCGAACATTATGTCATTTCAGGAAGACACTGTTCAGTTAAGGGGTAAATTTGTCATTGCAAAAACAAAAAAAAAATGTGAGAAAAGTTTGCTGATAGGCTTACTGCCAGTAATGACATACAAAGAATCACCAAAGAAAACAATTTAGTGACAGCAAAATATCCATAATTCTGCCTGGAGTGAAATTATATCTCACATTAGCATAAAATCCAATCAAAAAAGTAGCAAAATAACCTTGAAAATGGCAAAATAAGGTTGAATGAGACAAAAATATGTGTTTTCAAATATAGCATTTAACTATTTTTATGCATGCCCTTTAATATATTGGCAAAAACGAAAATTGAAAATAAGGTTGAATGAGACAATAATGTGTATTTTCAAACATAGCTTTGAACTATTTCATGCATGCCCTTTAATATCGTGCGGAAGTTGATTTATTTTTAGAATTCAAAGCACGCACTTCAAAGCAATCAAGAATAACTATCCCCACCCTACCCCCCCCCCCCCCCCCCCCCCCCAAAAAAAGATAGTATAAATGTATGTTCATCAAAACAAGGAAACTAATAAAGTCTACCTTGGGTTTTGTGCATCATTGTACATTTGTATCAAATCATTAGGCCGAATAAAAAAAAACATGTTTCTCGTCCGGGATTTTGAAAAAGAGGAGGAAGCAGGGCTTTTTATTTTTTAATTTTTTTATTTATTTCAAGATGGCCGCCATTTTAAAATGTCCTGCAACTGTTGGTGTTTCCACTGTTCAAAGACACTTTTAAAATGAAAGACAAGTTGGACAAGAGAACTGAACATATTTACAGTGTCATTAAGAGTTGTATTGGCATTTGTATTTATTTTCCGATGAATTTGTGGACTTTTCCTGTGTTTTTTACTGCATTATTACAAAAATAAAAAATAATAAAAATATCCAGGCGGTCTCCAAAAAGGAAGCGGGCGGGGACAAGAAACATATATATTTTTTTACTTAGCCTTAAGTATTAAGTGAATAAGTAAAACACTCACCACAGAGTACATCATGCTGCCGTTAACTGCTCGGAGGCGAAGAACGGCTTGAAACACGTCCGCAACATTCTCCTCTTGCAACTGTTCCATCACCGACATCAGGGTGCAGTACACGGCAGAGCGACCAAATCCATTCCTTGATTAAACATTTATGAAAACAGACTCTTTAGGAGATATTTCCAAGTCACTTCATGCTAACATTAAGATTTAAAATTTCAATATTCAGTGACAAGTACTTATATTACAAAATGTAACTGAAGTTGAGAGATGAATCCCTAACAAAATGGGCCCTGGTGAACAGTGACTATTTGAAAAAGCAGTATTATCGTGTATTTTGATTGCAACTTACATGCAGTGAACCACGATGGGTGGTCTTTCCTCGTGCCATTTTTGAGTCACCTCCATGAGAGTGAGTAATCCTTGTCGAGATCTGGGCACCGGCTGATCCGACGGCCAGTCTTGGACATGGAACTGGCAGACAGTTCGTATGGGCTCAGACTAAAGCAAGATTGCAAAAGTATAGAGTGGAAACTAATTTATTGTATTGCATCTTTTCGAGCTTGAATACATTTGTTTTAAATTGAAAATGAAATGGTTAATCAAGTGCATGGTTATGGCTTGTCTTTGTAGAGATTAACGATATAAAATATGTAGATCTGCTGCGGTATTCAATCTAAAACTATTCAACTCGTATCTATTGCATATCCTTTCTCAAGTTAAGTGCAGTCGAATATGTTAGATCCACAGCAGTCTCCTTCAAACACCCTTTGCACATGGCAGAACTTGTTATTTAAATTACTTGTCAAAAGTACTTTTCATTTGTTTAGTAATAGTTACAAAAATAGAATTTACTTTGGCTTTGTTGTTGCGTAGAGAAAACGTGCGCCCAGTAACACCCTTGTACTGTGTAGTCTGTAACAGCTTCACTAGCAGCGAGCCAAATTCGATTGGTCCCTCTTCTGGCCAGTAACGACTCATTGTCTATTCAGAGAAATAATTAATGAAACCATTATTATTTCTTAAATAAGCAGTAAATTCATGGTATACATATTTCTTTTGCATTTTTAAGCAACTTTTTAGGACTTACTTTGTCGTTCTCATCCAAAGGGTTCAGCATGACGATACAAGTCGCTTTGTGGTCGTACACCAGACGCCAAATGTCGGCAGTGGTGTTGGGCATCGGCATCTGGGTCGCGATGTACCTGTCCTTCTTGCGATAGCCCTACAGGGTGAGTGCAAACTTGTTACAAGTAGATTATCAAAATCAAGCATCTAGCCTAAACACCGAGCAAATTGAACGGGATTTGAACCCCTGAGCTGTACTTTAACTTGTAATTTTACGTAAGCAAGTACAGGCAAAAGTTGTAAAGGCTGTGGCCAGATAACTACCGGTAAAATTTACAGATTTTTTTTTAGGATTCTTGAATCGTTATGACAGTGAAGGGAAATTTAGACAAAGTCGCTATATTACCGGGAGGAAGCTTGCGTTGATGTAATTGGTATCATCTTCGCTTACGTCGGTCATCAAGAATGGTCTGGATCGATCAGCTGCAGCGATTATGCCATATTACAAGAAAGAAATACCACTGTTAGGTCTGTAAATAACAAAATGTTGCTTGAGGGATGTAACATCTAACAACATCACAATCTGATGTTGATTCTTTCAAGCAATCTCAAAACATACATCTTAATTCAGGCTTATCATCAGACCCCAACACGGTGAATAGGGTTTGTATCTAGACACCAGCGCTTTACAAGTTATCATTATTAGGTCTGTTATTTGCATTGATTTGGCGTGGTTTGTAACAAATAATTATGTGCTCGAATGTAATCTAAATTACAGAATGATTGTAGTTTTTTTTTCAGTTAATTGCCTTCCGTCACATTGTGTTCTTGACATTCAGAGGATTATGTATTAATCCCGTGGCTATGTTTATATAGTGCAGTAATATCATGTGACATGTTAGCATGATATTACTTTGTGTTTTCTTACACATCACGTAGCTATCTTGATATTGTAATTATAAATCAAATGCAGTCTCCCCCCTAAATATCAATTAGGTTGATACTATGGAGGCATGAATCCTCAGATAAAAATGTAAAATCTTCGAACCTTTTTTCAGGTTGTTTTCTAAATAAATTAACTAATGGAATGAATTGCACTTCAAATCGTGGCACTCACTTGGAATAAAATCTGGAAATCTGTTCTTGGATGCATTCTCTGGTAGCTGTGCTGATCTGCTGCGGTTATTGCGACGACTCAGTTGCACTTCACCCAACGTCTAAAATAAAACGTTAACTTCCTTAGATTAAGGAGTCTCTCTCAGCTGTCCTAAGCAAATTCAGATTAATTCAGTTTTATCAATCAAAAGGGCGTAAAAAAAATACTGTGAGCAATTTTTTCTTGGTCATGTAGTGGAAGGCAAGCTATTTGTAAATGTTTAAATTCATTGTCGCTGAATGAACTAAGCTTCATTTATTGTCCTTTTCCAAGGAAATATTTTTCAAGAAAATATTTTCCCCACTTGTCCTCTACCTTGTACTGTTTCTCTATGCCTGTTTTCTTGGAACCAGTTTCGGTCTTCTTCAGAGTAGTCAGCTGTCGACGGAAGTTTGTCATATCGTAGGTAGTCTCGCCAGTCATAGAGGCCGCAAGGAGGGCGTCGAAGAGAAATTTGTATTGCTCCTGAAAAAAATTATTCAGATCAAGTCTTGATTTCTTGACCAATTCGAAAATGATGCCTTTAAGTCAATTAACAATTTTTTAAGTCAATTTAAGTTTTCTCTTAGATGGTGTTTGTTTTGTATTTTGAATTAAAGCTGTGATGGTGCATCAGAGTTTCTCATCATGTTGAACACGTGAGTTCAGAGCTTGTTTTGGTGAAGAGAAGGTCACTGTTTGTGTGATAGAATATTCCGTCGTAGAAACGTAGGTTTGAGCTACACTGACGTAATTTTATACAGTGTCAGATACACTCATCAGTCTATGGCTCTCCGATAATTCTTTCGCTTCAGTAATATATGACCATGTTACATATCATGTTTCACATGTTTTCTGTCAAATGTTTTTTTTTTGCGTAACTGGACTACCTTACCGGAGTCTGTACCATCTTGATCCGTTTTTGTCTCATGCGATGGATGAAGGCAAGAACATTGACTTGTCCCTCCTGTTTCATCTGTTCAAGCATTGACTCAAGGCAAATGTAGGTCCCTGTGCGACCAACGCCGGCACTGAAGTGGACAAAAAACAAACAAACAAAAAACCCCACAACATTTTGAAAAGAACAGTCTGTTAAATGAATGACACTGTAATATGTTTTCTCTTTGAAACGGCTGTTTCTTTCTTGTGTGTGTGTGCATAATCCATAGTGCTTATGGAAACTATAAGTTTGAAGCTGGTATTCATTTTCTTCCTCACTGTCGTTTAGATTAGCATGTTTAGACCATTTTGGAAATGTTTGGTAAGCTTTCATTTTGAAACCTTTTTTAAAAGAAGATGTAATCGAGCTTTAAGGACAAGGTTTTGTCTGATGACCAATTTCAGGAAATGGTCTTACCTGCAGTGTATAATGGTTCGTCCTTCGTTGTGTTCAGCGTTCACCACTCGCATGAAGTTGAGCAATGGAGCGGGATATTCAGGTGGTTTCATGTCTGGCCAGGTGTTGTAGTGAAACTGCTTCAAAAAGCGACAATCGTCTTCATTGTCGATCTAAGTTGACAGAAAGTAAAGTTGTTTCGAAGCTAAATGAAATGCACTATGCAATGTCATAGTTTGAAATAAAGGTAAAAAGCGGTATGAAAATTTACCTGAATGACTTTGAAAAGCCGAACAGTGTGATCCAGGAAAACTCGTTCGTCGACAATCGCTACAGATATATCCGAATAAGTTGACGTTCCCGTAGTTGGCCAATACTGCAAACACTTTGCCTAAGTTTACGACAAATTGATTTTAAAAGTTTGTAAAGTTAGTCTTAACCAATACAACATGTGTTTCTTAGCTTGAAGTGGCATTGCCAAAATGTTGGAATATATTTATTGTAATCATGAATTATTTTTTTGGGTACAACCTCACATTGGAAAATTGGCAGTCCTCACAATGTCTTCTCACGATGTTCGTGTTTAGACCAATCGGAAAAAAAATATTCATAATTTTTTGATATCAGTCCTGAAATACATCACCTTTCCATTTTCCACCGGATTCGTCAGCATGACAATCTTATCCACGTTCATCTGCCACACCATCCGCCACATGTCATTGAGAGATGCGTTGTTAGGTCCTAATGAGATTACATAACATTCAATGTGCTTTAATATTTCCTGTGTATAGTAGAGGGAATATGATTTATACATACTCATATGAAAACAAACGGTACATTAGGGAGATCATTTCTAGTAACTTATTTTACAGTAGTGAGACATTAGTAATAAGGGAGACATTTGAGTGTATCTCGTATGTTTAACTAGAACCAATTTTACCGTCGCAAGTTGCTTAAAACGATTCCTTAACTCGAAAATAGTATAATTAAATTTTCGGTAATTATTATAAAATAATATATTAACAAATGTTACCTTGGCTGGCGATGTACTTGTCCGTCTCTTTGTATCCCTGCAGTCAAAAACGCAAAACTGTATCAACTTGCAGAAATTATATTGGATGCCCCCTGTAATATGACTTACTGATAAAAAAGCCTCAAGTATTGCAAGCTTGCTGTTATACTTATTACTCATGGAGTCATTCCAGAATCCAACTCACTGTTATTTAGTTAACTTACATCTATGTAGCAGGCATTAATGTAGTCCGAATGAGGGTCCTCCTCTAAACGCGTCAAGACAATGCGAGAATGATCATCTGTGTTGGGAAGATCGGTGTATAGTTAGAAACATGAAACGAAAACCTCTTAAATTAATTGAAGAACTGTGATATGATTTGGTTTTTGAAAAACTTCTCAAAGATTGAACATACAGGCGATGACGTTGGCAAATCGGTTCTTCTGCCTGTTTTCTGGCTTCTTTGCCACTGTCCACGGGTGTAACGGACCGTCTGAAAGGGTCTAAAAAATAAAATGACAAACTGGATTGAGAACCACGAATTTTGATTTGAATATTTTTGACCTGTAAATCCTAAGAATTGAAATCGCTCTCTCTCTATGTGTTTTTCCCAGTAAACCGTACATAATTGATTATATAATACTCTTGACAATTCACTTCAAAAATATATCACCGCGGAATATTCAATATACCATCGTCAAGTTTTACCAACTCTTTAAAATTTGTAAAAACATGCCCAGATTATGTTTATCCAAAAACACAATAAATACGGTACCCAAATCTCTACCAATCGAAACAATCCAAACGAAAACTGTACCTTGTAGTCTGCCTCAAATCCCCTTTCCCCTGCAAGTTCCTTCGTTTTTATGTAGTCAGCTAGCTTATCAATGCGAACGGGTGCTGGATTCTTGAAAGGCTTCTGCCTCGGCTCGGGCACAGGTGTAGTTGGTTCCGCAGGTGTAATTGGTTCCGCAGGTGTAGTTGGTTCCGCAGGTGTAGATTGACCCCACACTTCATCACACTCATTGTATGCGTTAGGTTGAGTTACTGCAAAAACATAAAGTAAACATCGGTTTACCTCAGTAACCGTGAAGGGGGAACCGCATTCGGATCAATCACCAATTAGATTGTGAGATTGACTTCTTGAAAGACAGCAAACTCTTAACGGGAAGAAGTCTTGAGTTTTTTTTTGAACTTCAGACTCAGTACAACACAATTTGTCTTGAAAGATTTTGAGAGAAGAATGCGAGAACAATGACAACACGAAGAATCTGGCGAAAGAGAGACAGATTGTAGTTTAGGCTACTTTGTTTTACAATGTGCGATTGTTATGACATCATTCGTCGAGCCTAGACATCAACAAATAGTGTTTGACCTCCAAAAATATTTGGATATATAGTGTTAAAATGAAAAACAAAGTCACAAATCAAATATACCTGCCACGTCATCATTTCTCTGTTCCAGTGACAGCATCAATGATCCCCTACCCTCAGATATGTCTTTAGCTTGAGTGGTTCTCCTGTTAATTAATTCAATTTCAAAAAAATAAATTGGGTGAAGTTTTCAACTTGGCACCGTTACTTTCCCTTTTCTATATATATGGCCGCTGATATTTAACATAAATGGTCGAAGATATTTTTATTGTTTTGTTTTTACCTTTTGTAAACAAAGATGGCGGCTATAATAATTATCACCAGTGCCAACACCAAAAACACCATTCCTACAGCAAGTCCTGTGGAATCATTCGGCCGTGATACTATTACTGTAAAGAAGATTCAAAACACGAAATTTACCTTCCATTACAATCTTCGTAACTGAACATTAACAGAAAATTATTTTTTACATTACTTAAAATCCTGAATAACCAAAAGTGGCCTTGAGCGGAGAGGTGCGAAACAAATGCTGTTGGTTAAAGTCAAGTCGTATCTGATTATGTTTGAGATATTTATAAATATATTACATAATGTTGCTGGTTCTCTCATGGTACCCAGTTAAATACTTTATGAACATAGCGCTTTTTATATTGAGAATACCTGTCACGGTCAAGGGTAGAGAAAACTTCACCGTTGCTTCCTAAAGTAAACCAAAACGAAGAAGTGAAAAAAATAAAACGTTGAAAATCAGTTTTTAGTACATAACTCCACAACATTAGATAACAAATAACATTTTTTTCAGTTATTGCAAACTTTCTCTCTGCATTCATTATTCAAATCAGTTTCAATGCACTCTATTCATGTTGACCAGTTTGTCATCAGACCCGAAGTTTAACAAAGTGCTTCCACACTTTATTTTACATCTCGTGTCTTGCTTCTTTCTAAAACTCAGATTCATGCCAAGAGTTTAAAAGCATCCGTCTTTAGATTTTGAGCACTATCAAGAAATGATGAATGTCGTGCTTACCGTTTCGTTTCCCTTGCTGACGGAACCAACCCGAATTTCATAGACACTGTTTGTCTGAAGTGGTGCATTGGTATAGTCTCCATAAATCTTGGAGTCTCCGACGACAAATTTGTTTGGAACTTCGTTTTTGTTGAATTCAGCAGCTATGTAGTTATCTGCGGAATCGCTGAAGTGTTGAGAGATCGAAGCTTCCCTTCGAGCCACATCAGAGGACTTGACCTTTTTCACTTGTACGATGAATGATCTACGAAAGGGAAGGAAAATATATATTCTGACGCCAATAAGCATGACACTTTTAATTCATCATGAAACATCGCTGTCAATGGGAATGTATTGTTTTGGCAACTTGACAGCAAGAAGATCCTAGTCGGTCATCTTAAGATTATAGGAAACCCATGTTAAAGCAAAAAAAGTCTCCGGTTTCTGGTATGGAGCTTGCCCTAAATGTGGTGCGTCGACGCGGGTTTTTCCCCTCTACTTTTTTTTCAAAAGTCGGCTGGTGTTGCAGATTAGGCTTCGATCCTCTTTAAACCATTTTCAAAATCCTAATTGTATGTTTATCCACAAAGGTTTAGTAATTTAAATCCTTCTATAAGAAGATTGAAAAATTATCTAAAACTTACTCTATGTACTTTCCACCAGAGATCAGGGCTGTTAGACCAATTGTTACGGTAGTGTCGGTCGTCGCGCCTTCGAATACCTTCGGTTTAGATGGTGCTGGTATGTCTGTTTAAGAGTCACAAGGTTTTGTCATTCATGATGTAGGCCTATGTGTTCAAGAAGAGCGAGTGCACTGTTTCTTTATTTAATGCGTACTTTGAATTATGGTAAAAATGCAGAGTTTAGTTTAGTTTGGTATCTTTTGATTAAACACGGAGAAGATTTTATTTAATAGGAAAGTGGCCAACATGATTTTTATCCCCTGGCCGTATGCTCAGAAACTTCTAATTTGGTTTGTGAGTTGCACTTAGTAGTCTTATCAAGCCTATTGATTTCGGGGATGACAGGTCAAAGGTCAAGGTCACTATTGCTTTAACAATAGAAATCTTCCATTTTGGTTTGATGTTTGAAGGCTGCCCATACCACTTGTGGTATTGCAACTGTTTTAATTTCTTGGTGGTAGTATCTAAATTTACTATTTCTGTTACTTTGCTTCCCAGGATTGATATGGCTATAGTGCTATCCACTATAGCCACAGCAATCCTATGCATAAGATCTATATACGCTATACTAACAAGACATTAAGGAGAATTGGGATTAGTTACAAAAGCACTCTTCCATAAAGTAAGGAAAAATGACTCTTACCTTTCGATGGTTTAGTGTAAACTTGCAAGAGTTGTGACTCGCCCATATACCACATGTTTTTAGCTGAAACGATGAATTCATATTGTGTACTTGGTTCGAGATTGTCCTGTACAAATGGAGCGCTGGCCGTTTCATTTTTGATGAAAGTATCCGTTGGAGTGAAATCTGGTTGATAAGGTCTTTCTATTGCCCTGTATTGTACCTAGTCAAGAAAATTAAGGATTTTGATGTTAACTCATGGCAGTATTTATGGTAAGTTATTGTAGCACTATTAAAATATCTAAAACAGTTTTTTATACCACGCATGATCTTCAAATGATGCAGTATATGATTGCTGGTAGATAACGAGATAATTCAACAGTGAACTTGTCAAAAAATTCAATAATCTTTTTACTGTCCTCCTGAGAGATTGCTTTGCATAAGAAAACAACTTTAAACTACTTTTGGTTTTGCTGTGCTTTACTTATTTTTTTTTTTTAACTTACAACATAACCACTTATTGGTCCCTTAGGGGCTAGCGGCGGATCCCAATCCAAAGTAACCCGCTCATCAGTTCGATTTGTCCAGTGAAGATTTTGTAATGGTCCTGGTACTGTAAAAGGAAGGAAAACCAATTAAATTTAACACAAAAAACGAGACTGAACAAATTGTCGTTTGGCAGTTTTCAGTAAAAGTCATTCAAGAACGTATGACATTCAAAGGACAACATATTTATAGCTAAGATTTCAGTGAAGTCCTTGTCAAGAAGAAAAACAAGCAAAGAGATTTTTTACCTCCTACCACTGTCGCATTGATTACTTCGCTCCACGGACCATCCCCTATTACAGTCTTTGCTCGCACCTGGATTTTAATAATAAATGATATTGGGCAAATGGTGTACTGTATACATTTCATGTGTTTGTTGTAGTTCAGTGAAATCTTAATGTCCTTCAATGAATTTCAGATCAGAGCAAGAACCTTGTACCCGAGTTTGATCAACATGTCAACATGCCAATACAATGCGTAGTTAATCCTGTACTCCAATGCCAAGTATTACCTCGGTATGATTAAAGTGTACAGAAAAAAAAATTTATCGAAGGGCCCTGAATTGTCTTGCATCTAAGTTCAGTTACACGGTGTTTTTGTGTGTGTGTAGATAATTGGAAGTCAAGCATACTCGGTATCACACTAGCGGAGGCAGTGATGCCTCTAGGTGTGCATCGCATTGCATCAAGTCCACTCAGTTCTATCTCTCGTTACTTATTTGTAAATACGCGAAAAAAGAGAAGAATTTACCTCAACATTATAAGTATTATCTACTCGAAGGCCATCGATCCTGTACGCCACGGTGATGCCCACAGCTGTCTCCTGACGTGTGTCATGATCATCTCCCAATGTCCAGGCGACGTCGTATGCTGTAATATTCCCTTGCGGGGGGTCGGGTTTCATCCAAGTAACCGTGATGGAATCTTCACTGACATTCGTGATGTTGACATTCAAAGGGACTGTTGGTTCTGGAAAAGCGAAGGATATTGGTATTGATGCAGGTGTCATTTGAAACTCGGGCTCCTATGGAATCTGGTCTTTTATCCTTAAATGGACTTTAACTCTCACACGTGACATGTCACTGTCCTAAATTTGCCTTCACTTTGGCTTCCCTAAACGCATTTGCCGAAACTTACTTGCTTCTGCTGTCCTTACATCCATACTGTTACTGTACGTTCCCGTCCCTTCACTGGTGACAACTGCAACTTGGAAACTGTATTCAACATACGGTATCAGCTCATCTAATAAAACTGATGTGTCAGTAGTAGAATCGGATGCAAGCGGTATTTGCTGTTCGGAAACCGTATCAGTCAGTTTGTATTGGTATCCGGTGATGGGTGGACCTGGCTGACCTCCACATGTTGTTGGCACACTCCACGAGAAACCAAGGCTGCGTTTCTTGATGGACGTAGATTTCACTTCTCCTGTGAAAGGTTCCGTATCTGAAATGAAGTCCCCCCAAAAGGGAATCATGTCCCAAGTTAGAACTTTGCTGTGGTACCCTGTGATAAATGTGTCTTTTCATCTGAAAATTGGGCTGAGGCGTAATGGATTCGAATGGAGTCCATGTACAAAAAGATTGGTTGTGACTTGTCTTACCAAACATTAAATGGATTTGTAAATCTATTTCGACGTTTGGCAATGAAACATTCCCGAAGCCAATCATTTCCGACAATGGCTTTTGTTTTCGCATTAATAATGTGGATACAAAAAAAGCTTGATTTATTTCCCCGGTTTTATTACTTAACCCTGAAAGGGCCAAGGCGGATTCCACCCCCTCAACTATTTCCGCGATACCCTTGCAATTTTTTTTCCGACCCAAGCTGTCCTGACTTAGTCTCGAGTCTTGCGCATCTGAAATTTTCCATAATCCTATGTAGTGTCTTCTTCTTCCAAGTTCTGCTCCAACTTCATAATGTTGAAGACTTAGGCACATTGTTGGGTTCGCAACTTGCGGATGGAGTGCGTAACAAGAACGTAGTATGTACAACAAGCAGAATTACCATTTGCGCATATGAATAATTAATTAGCCATCATTCCAAAACTCTTCACCCTAATGTCATGAAATTTCTTTTAGTTCTATTAAGTTGGTGTATACATGTACCGAGTTTCATAGTTTTTCGTCACTCGATGGCCGAGATATGAGGGGGAGGCAGAATCCGCCCCCCCCCCCCCCCCCGGGCTGTGAGCTGGTGAGAAAAGTGTTTTGATTATTCAAACCAGATAGTAGACAAGAACGCTCATATTTTACATCGGACAACCGTTTTTGGATATTCTGCACCACTTTTGATTCAATAACTGTATCATTAATTTTTTAGTATAAGGCGAAATTCAATCTTGCATTTATCTTACTTGAGCATTGACAATTGATTCCGAAGTATGACGAGTCACAACCACCGTTGGTGCATTCTCCTGTATCCTTACTGCAGGTACCTGCACAGTGACATGTTTGCTTACAGTCAGCTCCATACTTCCCCTCGGCACATTCTAATAAAGGAAGAGAAATCAGTTACATTTTTCATTTATCGATATGCGTAAAGTTCATAGAAATTTCCCTAAGGTAACAACGAGGTATAATGATGTTGACTTATACTGACATGCCTTAACTGTGTAGACATATAGTATTTAAATAGGTTATACTTCCAGCCCTCAATTGTAGTGGCTGTAACAGGTTGCCATTTAGGTCATTTGTAAGAAAACAAGTATTATATATTACCAACATTAGCTGACTTGCAGACATTAAAGCAATCGTTAACATTCTCTGGATTTCACTTAAGGCGGTACTGGGCCTTTTCCCTGCGATATTCCCCCTCACCTTGCGTGCATTCTAGTCCTGTGAATCCTGCAGCACATGAGCATCCGTAAGGATCAGGAAGACAAAACAAACGACCCCGGCAAGCATAATCGTGATCATCGCCAGCAGAACAGTTATGAACACCATTTTTACCGAAGACATTGCGGCCGCGTACTGTATGCAAATTATATAAGTACAATGTTGTAAAAAATAAACAGAAATGGTGATCTTTATGTATTTTTCGGCCTCAAAGCAAAAGCACAAACCTCCATGCGTGACAATATGCCTGATAACAAACCTAATTTTATCAAAACTACCAAGTGCTTTGTTGAATTAGGCAATATTGAAAAGTCATGCATGTTAATTAATCACGCTAACAGATTAAGAGCGTATATTTCCATCCTACTTGCTAAGATTCACTTTTCGGATCCAATTTGATTAAATGTATTGCGCCATTGATACTTACCTTGTTGACATTGTTCTCCACTGAAACCCGGAGCACATATACAGGATCCAGTCTTGGCATCACAAACGCCTCCGTTGTAGCATCGACGACAGACATTGAGACAGTGAGATGATGCTGATCCCCACTTTCCCGAAGAACAACCTGTCAAGAGAAGTTGACAAAATTAAGAAAAACATTGATTGAGAAGAAAGTGACCTTTCTGGGGTCCTTTGATGGTTTGGGGTGTCTCACTCCTCAGTCAAAAGTTGCTTGTATTTGGCAAATATTTCATCGTTCTGCATTATTGCGAATGCTCTTCTTTTCAGACATTCACATTATTTGAGCCATTATTTTAACAGCTAATTTAAATAGACATAACCTCGCACAATAAGCCTCATGGTGCCACGCAGTTGTTGATCCTCCTGGTCAGATACGAAGCAGCTGTAGACTCCTCCATCACTCACAGCAACATCATCAATAGACACACTGAGCTGGTCATTCCAAGATGTGACATCACTTCCATTATGCCGCCATCTGTAGTTGGTGTTCGGTGCATGTTCATTTTGCATCTCTAGTCGAACTGAGTCCCAGACACTAGCTACCTGCGTTCTCTTTGCTGGACGGATATGGACGTTGGTTTCTAAAATGGCACAAACCATGAGAGGCACATATGTTAAGAGGATTTTGTTTGGGTAGAGGCCGTGAGTATCAAGATGTGCAGTTACGCGCTGGGAGTTAACGATGGGTATAATGACGACGACGCACATATTTTAGTGTTTATCCATAAACAACTTCACGCTATCACTGCGCTTTCAAGGAGGCCCCTTTCAATGGCGAAATCATTATGTGAGGTATTGTACAAAGAAACGAATTACCTAAACAATATCAATGGTACAATGCATTCACCATTGAAGGGGGCCTCCTTGATTGTACACTAATAATGTGTTTGAAATGATCTAATGACTAATAAGGCGTACAAAGTTTAAACATGATTACCATCTTTAGGCAAGATTACGGTCAGTATCTTCGTGTTCGTCCTGCCAGCTCTACTCGCCTCACAGTAGAAGACACCCGTTCTGTCGATCCCATCCTCTTCGGGTAGGTTGAGCTGTCTGACCTGACATCCTAGGAGTGGATCTTGTAGCTGATTGGACCCTGACGGAAGGTCATTACTCCCTCCTGTTGTCACTTGACGACCGAATGAGACATCAGCGGAGATATCGTTGGGACCTTTGTAAGCTGCAATTATGGCATTGGCGTCTCCAGTTTGACCAAGTAGAGCAGGATTGGTGACAAGAGTAAACTCCACATCCCCATCTGTTTTGATTATGAAAACGAGTTATCGGCGATGGCTTATCCAAACCATAGCTATAGTCGGCATTTCTGATTCTTGATTATGCGTATATATGTACATGCATGTGCAAGCAAACGGTACTTTCGGTTTTTAGGTGGTATCAAAATATAAGCAATGTTTACAACTGTAACGACGAAATCTTTTGATATCATGTGACAACGAAATACATTACGATTTACGTAGCCATCTTTAAACCAGGTTTGGATACTTACAGGATAGTCAATAGTGTTTTGGGAGAAATTCGGGAGAGGATTAAGGTTGGTTCATAGAAGTAAATGGTAACATAACAATGAAAGTGCCTCGACTGGTTCATATCATTGTACGTGACTGACATACTTCCATTCCAACACTCACCCCCTCCTTCATCCAAGTATTCTCCAACCTCGACCTCACGCATGTGAAGGATTTCATTTGTACCCGGGATATCCACGCTGACGAAATGGGCGGTGACCACCGGGTTCGCTATTATCTCAATCGGTTGCGTTCTATCGATGGCTTGCTCTTCAGTGACTGTTCCTATCGCTCTGTTTGATAGGTGATCTTGATTCAACCCTGCTCGTATTATAGCACCTATTAAACGGCGAGCTGTAATGTAAGAAGCACATGGAAGCGAAGAGTTTGAATTGAGTTCATTTTAAACTGAAATGTATTTAGTCTGAGCAATTTCCAATTTGAAGGCGGGGGGGGGGGTTGTACCCACATAGACCTTTAACAATTAAAGTCGTTTGACCTTGTATTGCTCCTTAAGTTGAAACAAAATGAAAAAAAATTCTTTGACATTAATGCTTAACACTCAGTATTTTCATGTAAAACAAACGTTGGGGATATAACAGATATACTCATTGAAAATGGAACTCTCTGCTAGTGGAAGCTCTGATTTCGAGTAAACGTGATAGGAATAGAAGTGAGCCGCTATGACACAAAGGAGTACCCTGGTAATCAGGTCCAGAGAAGTTCAGCTACTGCATTTGGCTTGGAAACCTTTAAAACAATCCTTTAACAAAGTTATATTCAAGTTTGAGAGCTCAACTAACAGCACATACACTTTACAGCAATATTACCACAATCGGGCGCGGGGTTCCCGCATTCGTAGTCTTGTCTATTATATATGGTGATAGTTCTCAAGCAGTAGATAGCTCCCAAGTCCAATCTCCACCATGGATTTGTCTTTAGTCCCGCTGGATTATAACCTGTGGATAAATCAGAATATAAGACGCCACTAAAGAGGGTTCTAAATTCGCACCGGCATGCCGGTGTTATATGAAAATCTTACTCCTATGAAAATCGGACTTTCCCCCTATTATTGGTTAGATTTTAATCCCTCGCATATGACAGGTCATTCTCCTATAAATAGGCATATTTATAGGCTATTATCATGCTTTCACATTCGCAATACTACCAACGAGTCCATATTTCATGAAGTCGGATATTCACATTACACCGGCATTACCCCTATGACTTCACATGTTAGGTAATTACTTGGTGTTTGTCACACATGTCGCATGCATACATGTACGACATGTACATGACTGTTAACTTTAACTAGCGGCCTGGTGCCTACATGTCTACGTTCATAGATTTCATATTCCGCTGATGTACATTCATATTCAACGAGAAGTTCATCTCGAAGTAATCTGTATCAAATCCATAATCGAACCACTTTGTGTAAAAATGAAACATTACAACACGGCATCAAATGCTATTCCTCAGTTACAGATAGCATATCGGGGTCCCTAAATGTGTTCACAAAGAAACTCAAAACCAAGCTTACGTCAACCATTGTATAAATCTTTTTTTGTTATGGTCTTATCTCCTGTTTTTTTTATTGTATTGTGTTGTTAATTGTACTCTTGTAATAAGTCACTTGTCCTTGTATTTTTATGTTTAACAAAGTTAATGTTATAATGTAACTATAATACGCGTGATATAGGAAATGGGATAGGCGGAGGAATAAAAGCTCTTGGCTTCTCCTGATCCCCTATGCTGACGCTTCTGTGTATCCATTTTTTCTGTTTTAGCCTCTGAAGAAGAACTTGCTATGTTCGCAACGTCAGGCCACATTAATTTTAAGATTTATATATTTCAGGTCCATCCAGTCAGTAAGCAGTTTGCAGCAGTTTTACTTTTTTTCATTTTAAAATAAGTTAAATCCAAATTTAATGTATGACTTGTTTTTACTTGCACATTAATTTTACTACTTATAATGTATACATCCAATGTTAATGTCGGCATGACTAAAAACAGTTGAAACAGTGAAAAAAAGAAGAAAAGAAACTTAAAATGAGAACGCCATATTATGTTAAGCTACTTACGAGCATCAGGGACAACCATAGGCCTATGCAAGGCAGTATGTAACTTTCAAAGAGGTGCCATGTTTACAGTGTTTGGCACTGTGCCATGCTTCCAAAAAAAACAAACCTCTGCGACGTTTTGAGTCCGGTCAAGTTACGATTTGACCTATAGGACTTATTGCAGTAAAATCATTCAAGCGTCGAACAACTCCAAACAAAACTAGACATATGTTTGTGGACAAACATAGGGCTGTTTCGGCATTATGTTACAGACTGATAGGTAATGCGGGTGTAGTAAAAAGAAAATGCAAATGTAGATTTATAGGTTGTAGAAAATGCAGCTTTAATGTGAGTGAGATGTCATGTCAAGACGTCATCATGACGTCAGTTGGATTTATGTATACAACTTGGCGGCTTAGGTTCATACCAAGCTACAACCAAATTGGATAGTATTGTGCTGCAGACAAACCATATAATAGAATAATGGCCACTTAATGTTACGTAAAACTCCAATTGTAGCAGGTCTTCATTCAAGGTTTTCCCCCAGTTATAAATTGTAAAGAGTTTCCTTGTAGTGATTTATTTTATTCATTACCCCTCGAAGCTGGCGATGCGGGCTTAGTTCGTATTAATGTGCTCAATTATAAGTGTATAGGGGTGTTTACAAAATAAAGGAAACTGAGAGCAATCTAAGATGGCATTGGCGGAAGTCAACAAAAGGCGAAATGCCAAAGATCAGTATTTAAAACCAATGCAATCACATGTGTCTGAAGCATGCACTGGAAGGGGATGTTTTGGCAGTATTACCCACCGTATTTGGAAAAAATTTAATTTTCTGCACATGTCACACGCTTGTGGTATATTGCTAAGCTTTTTTTCGGGTTTTTTTTCTTCAATTTTTGCAGTCAAACTTACATGCAGTCGTTGCGTCATTTGAATTTGTCATAAAGCTTTGACCTTAAATCCGATTAATATAATTAAGACAATTTACTTTAGCATAAATTAGGTGATGACGTCATCATGACGTCATAGTCTTGGCATAATTTTTGTATGAGTGTCTTCCTTGGCTGTAACATTGATGACGATTCCAGATCGCCAAGTTATAGAAATGGTGGCTTGAAAACGTGTACAAAGTCAATGGGCTAACACGTGTACAAAGTTAACGGGCTAAAAAAAATCCCACTGCAGAAAAATTGCACCTTTAAATTTGTAATTTGCCTTGAACTGAAACATTTTTATGAAATATTACTTGATATTCTGACCCTTAGGAATATGTTCAATCGAATAACAGCGCGAAAAAAAATACGATTTCTCTTTCCTTCTCATAGTAATTCTCGGCTGAAGTTAAGAACTACTCAGTAAGATATCAGTGTTGTATAGGAAAAGAATTGTGGAAAATCCCACTGCAGAAAAAGTGCACCTTTAAATACGTAACATAGGGCTTTTCGGCATTATGATTTTGTATTATACGTCCCTGACTATGCGCATGCATGAACATAAAATCTGTCAAAGTTAGCCGAAAATCGGCTAAAACAGTCACTGTGATGTGGACAGGATTTGACCTCGGCAACACGTGCTCTGCAGGCTGTTAACGTACGTGTATGTACATATACAAATGTAGACGTTCTGTGCATGTTTCAGAGCAGAGGTATTGTCAACCTGAAGTTTTAAGCGTGCGAAGGGCATGTCCGAGTTCGCTTACTGCCTCGAAGCATTGAAATGTTTTAGACCTACCCTTAAATCGACAATTAAAGTAAAAACTAACATATTAAAACACTGCCATGGTTGATTTTTCGGGAATTTTCAAAAGAAAAAGGATCTTTTTATTATAACTTCCGGTCTGATGACGTCATTCGCCTTAAACTTCGCACACGTCTTAAGTGGGTCAAGTTCATCATATACACCAATATTTAGGCGATTCCGACAAACTTCGCCACAGACATCTATTCAAAATAACTTTCTTTTTGCAAATTTTCAACCTGTCGCTAGAGGGCGCTCGATGATTGCATGACGTCATTGGTTGATGATTTGAAGAATACTTTTAGCCAAGAGACTAACACCGTTAACATAAAATCTGTCAAAGTAAGCCGAAAATCGGCTAAAACGGTCACTGTGATGTGGAAAGGATTTGACCTCGGCAACACGTGCTCTGCAGGCTGCAGCTGACTGACATACGATGTATGTGCGTAACGTACGTGTATGTACATAGACGTTCTGTGCATGTTTTAGAGCAGAGGTATTGTCAACCTGAAGTTTTTAAGCGTGCGCAGGGCATGTCCAAGTTCGCTTACTGCCTCGAAGCTTTGAAATGTTTTAGACCTACCCCTAAATCGACAATTAAAGTAAAACTAACATAAAAACTGCCATGGTTGATTTTTCAGGAATTTTCAAATGAAAAAAGGTCTTTTGATTATAACTTCCGGTCTGATGACGTAATTCGTCTAAAGCTTCGCACACGTCTTAAGTGGGTCAAGGTCATCAAATACACCAATATTTAGGCGATTCCAACAAATTTGCCACAGACATCTATTCAAAATACATTTTTGCAAATTTTCAACCTGTCGCTAGAGGGCGCTCGAAGATTGCATGACGTCATTGGTAGATGATTTGAAGAATATTTTTAGCCAAGAGACTAACACCATTAAAAGCAAGTTCATATCTATTACCATTTTCAAATAATAAGCCACTTCCGGTTTTGGCCTTTTTCGACCGGAAGCAAGGGTCACGTGATTTCACGCACACTGAATGAAATAAAGACCTCAACCTACTCTACCACTTGCCGATAACAGAATGCTGCGGACGCATACGGTTGATTTCTTATGCATTTTTAAATATTAAAATTGTCACAATGTAATTGCCTATAAATACACACCGGATGACGTCATCATGACGTTATCATTACACAATGTTGTTTGAATTAGGGTCTTTGCTTGGACAAAGATCGGTGCAAATGAATTACTGGCAAAGAGTAAAAAATGCCCTTTGAAAATCGACAATTGTTTTGATTTCTGTGTACAAAGTCTATGGGAAAAATTAAATATTCAAAATTCTATAATAGATTAGTCGATGACGTCACCATGACGTCAATGTTCGGCCCACAACTTCAGATGCTGGTCTAAGTGTGTGCCAAGTATAAAGTCAATCGGATTGATTTTAGTGCCCAAAGTGCCTTCCACTGTGAAAACGTGTACAAATGCTATGGGCGATGGCTGAAAAAGAAGGGGGAAAAAAAAAAAAAAAAACTCTAACGAAAACAAAGGCTGTTTCGGCAAAAGTGCCGAAACAGCCAAAAATAAAAATCTTAACGAAAACAAAGGCTGTTTCGGCAAAAGTGCCGTAACAGCCAATAAACATAGAACATGTGAAAAATCTCCTATTTTTCTCTCCAGTGGAAGTATGTTGATGATCTCAGTGTAGTTGAGATTGTTCCCAGAGGTGAACAGTCAAATTTGCAATCTGATGTTAACACACTTGTGGACTGGTGTAATGTAAACGATATGAAATAAAATCCTTTGAAATGCAAGGCTATGCAGATTTCTTTTCTTCGTAATCAGGTTTTTCCCAGTCAATTGCAAGTTAATGATGATGATGACCGGCAAGTTCAACAGAGTGTCAGTATGGCTTCACGTCGACTTTACATCCTCAGTAAATTAAAAAAAAAAATCAATTTGAAGTTCTTGATCTTATTGTAATATAGGTTTTCCCGGCTATTTTATACGTTTATAATTCGAATTCATCGTTTCTAATATTCTAATTCGTCTATCAACATCGATTTAGTGCACTTCCAATTTTTAATTTCGTCTTTGTCGGTAAAATTTAAATTCGGATGAAGCAAATTCAAACAACGAGCACACGTTTTCATCGCGGAGTATTCGATTTCGTCTCGTCCACGCCAAATC